CCCTAACTAGGGATGGGACCTCCAAGACGGAAACCACGAAGACAAAGAAGACTCCCCTTCGCAACATTTGGATCCTTGCTACGGCAAAGGAGGAGTACCAGTAACAAGGCGCAGGAATTCGCCAAGGACAAAGCTCAAGAGATGAAGAAGAAACCATTCGAAGAGCTCGTCCCCGAATACCTTCACGACTTCGCAGATATATTTGCAAAAGATGGGCTTAACAAGCTCCCTCCATCGAGACCAGGTGTAGACCACCGGATCGAAACGAAGGAAGGTTTTATTCCAAAATCTTCCCGTGCTTACCCGCTGTCTCCAAAAGAAACAGAAGCGGTTAAAGCGTTTCTGGATGAACATATCCAGAAAGATTTTATCCAACCATCGAAGTCGCCTCAAGCCTCAGGCTTCTTCTTTGTAGGAAAGAAGGACGGCTCCCTTCGCCCCTGTCAGGACTACCGGTACATTAACGAATGGACTATCAAGAACGCATATCCACTTCCCCTCATTCCGCCTCTCATCGCCAAACTCAAAGACGCGAAATACTTCACCAAAGTGGACGTCCGTTCAGGATACAACAACATTTTAATCCACCCCGACGACAGATGGAAGGCAGCCTTCTCGACATCTTTTGGACTCTTTGAGCCAAAAGTAATGTTCTTTGGGCTCTGCAACTCACCAGCGACGTTCCAGGCCTACATGAACCAGACGTTCAGCAAGGAGATAGATGAAGGATGGCTCATCGTCTATATGGACGACATCCTAATATTCTCTTCTGACCTTGCAGAACACCAGATGTGCACCTGTAGGGTTTTAGAGAAACTCCGCCAGGAGAAACTCTTCCTCAAACCCGAGAAGTGCACCTTTGACTCCCAATGTTACAAGAACATCTAGACGCTTGGGCCCCTACCATTTTTCTCCTCATCCTCCTCATATCAGCCCTCGCATCATACCCTTACCCCGACCTCACCCTCATTATCCTTGTCATCCTCGCATTCCCTTTCGCCCTCTACCTGTCGCTCCAGCAGAGCCAGTACATCTGGCCGGATCATTTCGCTGACGAAGCATATCCATGCTCCGTTCCACCACCTGACTGATCCTGCGGACAGTCCCCCTGCCCTTACCGTCCGGACAGTAACCTATGATACGATGCACGACGCATCCCCTTTACCCTGTTTCCTTTTCTGACCTCTGACTCGAGGCGCAGTCGCACATGTTACTTATACTTAGCTCCGCAGCTGCACAATCGTGCCCCTGCATGTTTCACTTCTTATTCTGATCTTTGACTCACTTTCTTATCCGCATGTTCAGAGTTCACCCGCGTCTCATCTTGAACGTGCCTTCCTTTTATGGTCATACCCTTTACCGTTTACTTCTCTTGGTAGTACGAGTTATCATCCACTAATACGCTTCCTGTCCTCTATATAAACTCGCTACCATGTAACATATTCCTTAACTTGAATCTACTTGGTTCTTGACCTCCTACTCTCACCAGAGTGATCCCTTCTGCCTAGCCAGCAGTCTATATTCTATCTTCTTATCTGCTCTTCGCGGATAAGCCTATAGTCTCGATCTTTACTCATCGACTTCATCGACGAGTAAAGCCCCTGTTAACTAGTCGGACTTCTGTCCTTCTAATTAATGACGATCCTTACGATTAACCTTCGGGTGTCGTAAGTCTTGGCAGATACAGCTCATCGTCTAGCATCCGCTTGATGTAAGCTACCCGATTCGGACATAGGCGTCAAATCTTACTTGCCAACGCGTCGCCAAGTAAGACCCCTAACCTTGGGCTAGCCCAAGGACGTCCTCGACCGTTGACGACACATGCTCTGTTTGAGCGTCGCCAACAGATACCATCCAAGTCGTAACACCCAAGAGGTAGAATACCTTGGGATGATCATCCGACCTGGACAGGTTGCCATGGACCCGGCAAAACTCAAGGGGATTAGCGAATGGCAGACTCCATCGACGGTGAAAGAAGTCAGATCCTTCCTAGGATTCTGCAATTTCTACCGTCATTTCATCTCCCATTATTCCGACCTCGCTCGCCCCCTCCTCGACCTCACAAAGAAAGACACCATGTTTTCTTGGTCCACCGACTGTGAAGCTTCGTTCCAGAAGCTGAAACAGTGTTTTACCACCGAACCTGTACTCTGGAACCCCGACCCCTCTCGCCAATTTGCATTGGCCACAGATGCATCGCTATTTGCGACAGGAGCAGTCCTCCTGCAAACCGACGACAATGGGTCTTACCACCCATGTGGATATCTCTCACAGTCTCTCAACGCTGCGGAACGGAATTACCAGATTTACGACCGAGAGCTTCTTGCGGTTATCCGTGCCCTGAAGGCATGGAGGCACTTCCTTGAAGGCAATCCCCATCCGGTGATCGTCTTCACCGACCACAAGAACCTCCTATATTTCCGTTCCTCACAGACGCTGACATGCCGGCAAGCCCGCTGGCAGCTCACCCTCTGCGAGTACAACCTTCAATTCCATCATGTCCCGGGCAGCAAGCTCGCTGCACCCGATGCTCTCTCCCGACGACCGGATCATGACAATTCAGATCGTGATAACGAGGACGTTGTCCTCCTCCCAGATTCGCTCTTTGTTCAACTTATTGACACTGCTCTAGCGTCAAAGTTCAAAGCAGCAAACAATAACCCTGCTGATCTCACTATAAAGACAGCAGCTGACGCCTTAAATGGCCTCTGCGCCCCCCCTATGAAGTCTGCCTTGTCAGACTGGCACATTGACGAAGGCATCCTTTATTTCAAGGACCGAGCCTACGTCCCCCCTGACCTCTGGAAGTGCATTCTGGAGCTCCACCACGATCACCCAACTGCCGGGCACGCCGGACGTTCCAACACCGAATGGAACATCAAGAAAAGCTATTGGTGGCCCGGCATGGGCACCTTCATCCGACAATACGTTGATGGCTGCACTATGTGCCAGCAGATGAAATCTGACACTCACCCCACCACACCTCCCCTTATGCCCATTCCCTCCACCTGTACTCGACCCTTCTCCCAAGTTTCAGTCAATCTTATCACTGATCTTCCGGAGAGTGCCGGCTATGACTCCATTATGGTCGTGGTCGACCATGGGCTTACGAAGGGGGTAATTTTCTCGCCTTGCAAGAAAACCATCACTGCAGAAGGTGTTGCTGAATTATTTTACAAAAAGGTGTTTATGTGATTCGGATTATATGACAAGATCATCTCTGACCGAGGCCCACAATTTGCCTCGAAGCTAGCAAAAGAACTCGGATGGCTCCTGGACTACCAGGTAGCCCTCTCCACTGCCTATCATCCCCAGACGGATGGGCAGACAGAATGAATGAACCAGGAGCTGGAAACGTACCTTCGGATCTATTGTAGGATGACTCCTAACGATTGGGCCAAACATCTTCCTATGGCCGAATTTGTCCACAATTCCAGATGACACTCCGCTCGGAACGCATCCCCGTTCTACCTCATGATGGGTTACGAACCCAAAGGCATACCTTACGCCTTCCCCGACTCAGCTCTGCCAGCAGCAGAGAATTGAGTCAAGAAACTTGCAAAGATCCGTGAAGAAGCCCTTGCATGCCACAGCCTTGCGCAGCAACGCATGGCAGAATGCACGTTCGGGCGAAAGTACCAACCTTGGAAGGTTGGGGACAAGGTGTGGCTATCTGCTGCGCATTTGATCACCCACTTCCCTTCAAAGAAACTCACACCAAAACGATACGGACCCTTTACCGTTAAACAGGTCCTTTCCCCTATCACGTTCACCCTCGAACTCCCTGCCACCTGGCGCGTTCATCCCACGTTCCATGCATCAGAACTATCCTCCTATCAGGAGACGGACGTGCATGGCCTGAACTATACTGAACCGCCACCGGACCTGATCGACGGGGAAGAACATTACGAAATAGAAGCAATCCTCCAACACAGGGGTACCGGAACAAAACACCGATACCTGGTCTCCTGGGTTGGCTATCCACCCTCCGAACGAACGTGGATCCCAGAGAAGGAACTGAAGTCCACAGCAGAGATACTCAAGGACTATAAGAAGAGACTCAAGCTGACAACAAAGCTCCTCAGTTGTTAACCAGCTACCATCATTTCCATGTCTACCACTTTGTCCAATGCCTCCTCCCTCTCCCTCGGATCCACAGCCTCTATCGTCGAACTCATCCACGAGTCCACCATTTCTTTCACGCAGACCCCAGACTCTCAGAAGGCATTCTGGGAGGCCGTTATTCTCGACGCGCAGTATGCGCTCCGACTCGACAGCTATATTGATCGTACCAAAGACACGGTTCTCCTGGAGATTGTCAACGCCTTTCGGGCAGTTGACACTATCGCTTTTACAGCCGGACCACCTGGTATCTGTCCCCCTCACCCGATCACCCGCTACTCCGTCACAAAGGCCAAGAGGTCCCTCTTGAACCTTCTAGCTACTAGAAACTTTGGTGACACAGTCGCCAAGATAGAAGAAGAAATCACATACAACCAACCGCCTATACAGGCATCCGTTGTCGAGCATACTGCCGAGTGCAGTGCTCCAACACCCCCTTCCAAAAGACCCAACCTCATCCCCACCGACCTCACATCAGAAGAAATTGACAGAATGTTCGCAGAACACGAAGAAGAGCAGTATAGGATGATGACTAGTGACGAGCTTGAGGAACTCCGAGCTGCCATCATCAACGATGAGGTCGTAGCCAACGACCCGCTACCTGCTCCCTATAAAGGGAAGAAGAAGCATGAAGAAGAAAAGTCGAGTAAGGAAACTCGCACACCACCTTGGAGAAAGACGAACAAAGAAGACTATGGAAAGCCAGAGCACCGTGCTCATGTGCATTGCCTTATTAGGCAAAAAGTTTCGACGGGACTCCAGACATGCCTTGGAGCCAACCCAGTATTTGCACCTAGTAAAACAAGTGACTACGAAGTATAATTTCAACCTTGAAAAACGACGGTCCAGTCACGAAGTACACTAACACAATTTGAATATCACCATTCATCCACTGCGCCATCATTCTCTGACTCATCACTCGAAAATTGCCAAACAATTAAGGGTCCAACACCCGCAGAACTGCCATCCAATGGAACATCAGGTTCATCCAGCTCAGCTAGAGCGTTTAAGTTGTGGACGTGAGAATCACCTTTGGCCTCGTCAGTATATAATTGATTAAAGGAGATTTGCATCGTACCTAGGCCCAATCCTCCACGCACGCCACCCATGTAATACATGTCATCCGGTTCCTCATTGAAAGGTAAATCGGCATGGCCACTGATCAATGTCAATGCACCGGTGGCGGCACCTTCATTTTCCGTCCGAGTCAGTAGTAAGTTGGGATGTGGGTTCTCTGCAAGCTGTACAGCAGACAGCACATTCCTATATACAGTCCAAACTGATGACCGAGTCACTGCAGGGCGCCCCATTGCATCATAACAATGCTCGATAAAGTTGCCAAGCATAGGTGGGACAAGGTCGAATACCGGGTTGGAAGCATCGATATAGACATTGCGAACGTAGTCGATGCCCTCGTGATCTATAGAAACCTAGTTGGCATAGTCAAGTAAGCCTTTGTGTGCGGTCACTTGTGCAAATGAATACCTTGAAATCCAATGCTCCGAAATCTTCGGGAGAATGGTAGATAAGAGTTGGGACACCGTGTGGGAGTACCTAGGGGGATTGTAAGCACACATTTTAATGAGACAGAAATAAGTAGATACCTTGTTGCGGTCACGCCTCTTGGCGGAATTGTTCACTCGGTCTCTATAAGCATCAAGCTCCTGCTGCAGCCAGGGTATAAAAACCCAACGAAAAATCATCCTAGAAGACAACAAGACATATAAGGGCATAGGACCATAAGACAAGCGCTACGTACATTTGGAGAGTATCCGCTGAGTCGTACCAACCCTCAATGACACCTTCGTCCAGCAAATTCTCGAAGCCAGGTGTGAACCTACGCCGGAGTGGTGACCAAGTGATTTCCGGCATTACATTTTTCTTCAACTGTGGGTTTCTGTTAGAATGCCAAACTCGGATCCACATTATCCACCCTGAAAACAGCTCGATTCCAGTGTGAAGACCGAGCCCAAATCTGAGCCATTTGTCGTGCTGGTCAACGGCAAAGAGATCGTTAACGCCAGCTGCCCAGAAGCGCTTTCATTTCAATTTTCTGGCCTTACGTTGTCACACGAGTTCTGGTTCATAGGCAGCAAAGTAAGACATCATGACTGATCTATTATAGTCACGGTTGCGATGTCAGTCTTTGACAAACAGATCAACTTGACAAAATTACCTAGATACACTCATACTCTTTTCGTGAAAGAGCAGACTGATCATCTCTCGTGTTCCGGCATGAGGGTACATCTTGCGAAGATCCGTCACAGCTTCGTGGATTGTTTCTATAGTGTGACCCTGCTGGCAAGACCGTTCAAGGCCCATGTCCACACGGATTTGATGAAACTTTGTGAGTCTAGGATAGTTATGAGCAATTAAGTCAGCTAATCATAAATATCATATACGTACCCGATACCGTAGCGTTCTGTATTGAAATGTTTTTGTAAGGCCTGGATGATTTCTTTGTCGTTGAGCCGTGTCTTCCAATAGCGTAGTATATGAGGCGCGAGTTCATCTAAGGGGGCTAGAATGAAGATCAAAGTCAGGGAGTGGTATTGAAGCGAATGCGCCACACTTACGTGTTGGTTTATGCTGGTTGGGCATGATAAGGGGTGCAGGACGGTATGGTCCCACTTTACGATGCTGTTATATTTATTATCTCCGTAAAGTCACAGTAAAGCCTCCGACTTACTTTGTTCTGAACTTCTGATGAAGTTCTGACTTGCGCACTGGTTAAGGTCCTCGGATATCACTCAACTTGCAAGGTATGTCCATAGGTACTGTAAAAGACTTACCTTGTTCTGACTTCAAGTTGTGCAGTTAAGGTCCTCGCCGACTCCTCGGATCACATGCGCATTGCGCACTGCGCATCGCCTCTTTCATGCCGCACTTCCATGTGCCTTTCATTGGTGTTAGATCGCTGGATTACATGCGCATTGCGCATCGCCTCTTTCATGCCGCACTTCCATGCCTTTCATTGGTGTTAGATCGCCCCTTTCATATTGTGCAAGCTGTGCTGGTGCATGCCGCAAACTGCAGATCGCCTCTTTCATGCCGCAAACCTCACACCACTTGCATGCCTCGCCTCTTTCGTTCATCAAATCACAGAGGTTTATGGTGCTCTCAATTCATCTGCCCTCTTTCATCCTCCCTCTTTCTCAATTCATCCCCCCTCTTTCATCTGCTCTTTCATCCTCCCTCTTTCAATTCATCATCCTCCCTCTTTCAATCCTCCCTCTTTCAATCCTCCCATGCAGATCGCCCCATTGATGCCGCAAACAATTTCAATCCTCCCTCTTTCAATCCTCCCTCTTTCAATCCTCCCAAGCAGATCGCCCCATTGATGCCGCAAACAACCTCGGGCTTCACCACTCCGGCTTCACCACATGCTCACAGAGGCTCTCACTCATTCTGAGTAACTGACGGTCCAGTACGTGTTCTCACTTGGCGCTCTAGCTTAGTCTCACTCACTCATTCTGTTGGTGCTCTAGCTTAGTCTCACTCATTCCAAGTAACTTGTTCACCATCTGAATGCTCATTCTGAGTTACTGATGGTCCGGTAGATGTGCTCTCATTTTGCTAACTAGGTAGTATGGCCACAGAGGCTCTGACCGCTCGTTCTGAGCGACTGACTGTATTTAATCCTGCATTGAAATATATTGTTTCTCGCACCTTCATCGTGTCTGTCCTCGTCTCACACCTTCAACATTCATGGCCTCCTACGAACTTGCATCACAGTTCACTGAAGATGTGTTTGCCAAAGAAGATCTCATTTGTGAACGTTCTGCCTGTGCTGCAAAGATTTTGAAGGGAGATCCATGTTTCTACATTGCAACAATCGTCATTGGCCAGCGCGGGCGCTTTGTTTGTGCAACTTGTCACCGGCACTATCAAGGCAAAGCAGCAACATCAATGAGGCCCACTGCTCAACGTCCGAACCCTCAGCGTCCGAACCCTCAAGGCAATGCTCAAGTTATCCGGCAAAATATCAATGCTGCATGGAGACCAGGTTTGATTGATTTCATACTCGCGTCCATTTTACATTTACTGATGTGATCTCTCAGCGGTAGCTCAGCAGCTGCCACCACGTGTAGTGGCTACTAGTGCTGGGCCAGATATAGCTGTCCCTTCTAGCTGGGCTCAGCCTGGCTACTCAGTAAACCATGCACAATACGGTGCCGAACGAGAACGCTGGGCTAAGCAAGCATATGCTGTACCCCCGGTGGAGACTATTAGCTTGGAAATTACCGCTGTTCGGGAAGGTGGAAATAGAAGGAAGGGCGCTCGTGGTATACCTTTTGGAGTACGTAGATGGATTCTGCTACATCTATCACATACTGACAACTCTGAATTCTGAATTTCAGAACATATGTGAGGGCCGAAAAGACGTTGATGCACGCATTGACGCACCCGGACTCATCACACTTTCGCTGGATACCATCTTGCCGAAGATCCAAGCTTTTGCGACAGGCTTTCCATGGCGCCAGGACCAATTCGTCATTCGAGATGGCGGATGGGTTGATTTATCAACCCATCCGCCACGTCAGCCTTATTTTTACTCCCAATGCACGCAGGCAACTCGCAAAGGCTTGCGCACTATGACATTCAAGTCGAAACAATTTTTATTGTATGTCGTTGTGCCCACGGCTCAATGGGAGGACTATGAAACGTGGCTTGAAAAAGCTGAAGAGGTTTGTATTTTTCAATTATACGATGCCGGTACATACTTACCAAAAAATCTATACCCTTAGGAATGATTCAGCATGGGTTCACAGTCTGAGCCACTCTTTCTACCTTCTGCGACAAGGAGCATCCATTCAAGCACGCTGGCTGTGGCTGGCACTCAGGCTGATTTGTTGACTATCTCATCAGTCGAAGCACCATCTGAAGTGGCACTGTCCAAAGCGCCAGTCAAGCGGCCGTTTCAGCGTGAGATTGCGAGTGTCCCATCCTCGCCTCCCCTCAAGAAAATGGCATCTGCCAATGTTGGTTTCCGTTCTCCAGATCGAGAACAGCTGCGGGAAGTTTTGCAGTCTGGTGGGACTACAGACATAGATGTCCGACAAAGTAAGTACGTGCTATTACTCTTAGTCCTTCTCTGACATCACACCTCCTAGTGCTCACTGTACAGCACGAGAATATTGAATTCTTCCCCATCCCAACACGCCCGCTATCAGTCATTTTAGACGACCCAAAGCTTCATGCTGCCTTCCGCACGGACACCAAATTGAGCCACAGCGGCCGACTTACAGTTCAGACCTCGACGGACGACATGCTTGGCGTTGGAGGCTTCAAGACGGCCCATCCTGGGTTCTTGATGCTTTTATCAGCCCCCGAAATTCCTTTAGGTTCACGCCCATGCCAGAAGGTCACTGTCAAGCGACCATTTTACAAGAAGTACCCTCCAGGCAGCAGCACAAACCCGATCAATTTTTCGATTGGACGCTATACGATAAGTGATGAGCTTCCAAAGCTGTTCAGAGAAGCCAATGTCTTGTACTGGGCACGCTCATTGCTCACATTTGCATATGAATACATAGACCATTGTGTTGCTAATTCATCCGACACTCCGCCCTTTCACATCCCTCGCTTGCGTTTGTCGAGGCCGGTCTCGCATTGTCACACGATCACACACAACCTGGCCACAAATCAAAGTCACTGACCATGCCGCGGGCTGGGTACCTCGTCGAAGAGTTGATCACCGACGATTTCATCAAATATATCCATAATATGGATTGCAACCCTATGCTTGATCCATACGAGGTTGGCTATGAAATCGCCGAATTTCTAGCTTGCACGCAACACATACAGTTTGCCAAAACCGGCGGTCTCGCTTTCATTTCCGATTACCAAGGTGGATTGGAGATTTTGTCTGACCCTCAAGTTCTTACACATCCGTACGTGATTTCATTTTAAAATATTACTCGTAACTCAACTGGGGACTATAGCCTGGTCAACAAAGGGAAGGATGATATCTTCGGGGATGGCAACATCGAACGTGCAGTTAGCACATTCGAGAAGGAGCACAATTGCAACAAGTTTTGTAAATGGAGTGGCTTTAAGTTGAAAATTTACGAAAAGTTGGAAATTGACGAAGCAGAGACGGAGACAGATTAATCTTGGGACTTGTAGATTTCTTGCTGGGGCTTGTAGATTCACGTTTTGTTTGGACATGCTTATATCAAAGTATTATTTGCACGCAGTGTTTGGGGTCCCTCAACTGCATGTGACCAAAGTCGCTGGCAAAATGAGCATGGTGCTCCGGCTTTCCATAGAAGACAAACCGAGCTTGGAAGCTTGTCTTACCACTCCCCCTCCAGGGTTCACATCTACTGATGACATACCGATATTATCCATCGGGTCACCTATCATAAGGGATGACACCCCTATCCCTGTCCCTCCACCCACGCGCACCCCTCGACGAAGTCGCCGACTGAATACCGAGCGCATCCTTGCACTCGGATTACCCATCACTCGACATGTACTGGGCCAGGATCCCACCAGGCAGCAGATACTTAATGATACGCACACTAGGACGACCCCACAACCCTACCAGTGCAACTTTAAGTGCAGGGTCTGCCATCAGTATGGCCACAAACAGAAACAATGCAAGCGATATTTCTGCCGCATTTGTGGATGGTTTGCCCCCGGACATCTCACCCCCTTCTGCCCTTGCCTTCACGGCAAGAAGATCCTTCGTCGAGGAATATCCTCGGAAACGTTCTACACTGACATGCGTCAGTTAGAAGCAGCATACGATCACGATGCTGCACGACTTGAACAAGATAGAGAAGAGAACGCGTTAGAAGCCATGGACGCACTCCATGACCTCGACTGCAACCCCTCCTGGTATGACAACATGGATGACTGAACTCGTTGATTTCAGTCCTAAAAACCGGGGTAATGTTACAAGAACATCTAGACGCTTGGGCCCCTACCATTTTTCTCCTAATCCTCCTCGTATCAGCCCTCGCATCATACCCTTACCCCAACCTTACCCTTGTCATCCTTGTCATCCTCGCATTCCCTTTCACTCTCTACCTGTCGCTTCAGCAGAGCCAGTACATCTGGCCGGATCCTTTCGCTGACAAAGCATACCCATGCTCCATTCCACCACCTGACTGATCCTGTGGACAGTCCCCTTGCCCTTACTGTCTGGACGGTAACCTATGATATGATGCACGACGCATCCCCTTTGCCCTTTTCCCTTTTTTGATCTCTGACTCAGTGCGCAGTCGCACATGTTACTTATACTTAGATCCGCAGTTGCACGATTGTGCCCCTGCGTGTTTCACTTCTTGTTTTAACCTTTGACTCACTTTCTTATCAAGCACGTTCTGGTTCACCCATGTCTCACCCCAAACGTGCCTTCCTTTTATGGTTATGCCCTTTACGGATTACTTCACTTGGTAGTACGAGTTATCATCCACTAATACGCTTCCTATCCTCTATATAAACTCGCTACCATGTACCATATTCCTTAACTTGAATCTACTTGGTTCTTGACCTCCTACTCTCACCAGAGTGATCCCTTCTGCCTAGCCAGCAGTCTATATTCTATCTTCTTATCTGCTCCTCGCAGATAAGCCTATAGTCTCGATCTTTACTCATCAACTTCGTCGACAAGCAAAGCCCCCTGTTAACTAGTCGGACTTCTGTCCTTCTAATTAACGACGATCTTACGATTAACCTTCAGGTGTCGTAAGCCTAGGCCGATATAGCTTATCATCTCGCACCCGCTTGACATAAGCTACCCAATTTGGACATAGGCGTCAAATCTTACTTGCCGAAGCCTCGCCAAGTAAGACCCCTAACCTTGGGCTAGCCCAAGGACGTCCTCGACCATTGACGACACACGCTCTGTTTGAGCGTCGCCAACAGATACCATCCAAGTCGTAACACTGAGTTCCATATGTTGAGGAAGGAAACTAGGTGCACCTTGGGTGCATTTTTTTTCGAGGAGATTCTTTGTAGATGGGGAGGAATTGAGGAAATTGTCACGGACAATGGCACGCCATTTATCGCAGCGCTCGATTGGTTAGCACAGAAGTATCATATCCATCATATCCGCATCTCCACGTACAACTCCAAAGCTAACAGAATTGTGGAATGCTCGCATTGTACCATCTGGGATTCCCTTGTGAAAGCATGCAATGGCGACATCACCAAGTGGCCCACCCTCGCACATCACGTATTCTGGGCTGATCATGTTACCACCCGCCAATCTACAGGATTCTCGCCATACTATCTAGCACACGGTGTAGAACCCCTTCTCCCCTTTGACTTCGTCCATGCAACCTTCATGCTTCCTGATATCACCACCCTTATCTCGACTCATGATCTCCTTGCCGCCCGTGCTCACCAACTTGCCAAGCACGACGAAGACCTTGCTATAGTGCACACCCGCCTTCTGAAAAGCCGCCTCGCATCTATTCATGACTTCGAGAAGCGCTTTGCCAACACCATTCATGATTATAACTTCACCCCCGGCTCTCTCGTCTTAGTTCTGAACAAACAGATTGAACCAGCATCCAACGCAAAGTGCAAACCTCGTTATTTCGGTCCCATGGTTGTTATCTCCCGCTCACAAGGAGGATCTTACCGCCTCGCAGAAGTTGATGGCACAATTTCTAAATTGAAGTTCACAGCCTTTCGCATTATCCCTTACCACCTGCGCTCCCCCACTTCTATTGAAGTCACCCAATTTATCGACCCTCAAGCTCTTGCTGGAGTCAATGATGAGCAGTCTTAGATGCGTTCTCTCTATTTTTCAGTTTCCTCCTTTATTTTCGCTCGAACCATTCTATCTTATTACGCATATTTTTTTTAGTTTTATTGTTGGAAGATCGACCGAGGACGGTCGATATTCGAAGTAAGGAGGGGATGTAAGGATTCCATATCCTCTACACCCCGACTAAGGCTTCATAATAAAGTTCAAGGACTTACGTTCCGTCATCCGCGTGACTCACTGACGCGAACAAGCATCATGCTTCGCGTCCGAGTCACGCGGACACATTCTCTTTCCTTACCTTCACTTTCTCGTTATGCTCAACGACGAGCTTGGTCTTTCACCCTCGTTCATAACTATACCCTGGACTTATCACCAAACTATCTCTCGTCATTCTCTCTTATTTTCATTCCTTCGCCCCAAAAGCAGTCAAATACCCAACAGTTCTCGTCATTCCTGTGCACGGCTCAGCACCACCATTCTCCGTCTCACTGAACCTTCACGTTCGTAATAATCAAGGACCCTTACTCTTTTGTAGATAAAATACGGCCTTGTAGACTCACTTTGAACGTTGGTTGATTTCCCCACTACCAACTCGCGTCAGATCCTAAGAACAGTCCTATCGCCTCGAGCCACGCAATTCCCATATCGAACTCAACGTCAGCCTTATATTAGATCCAATTCAAACATTGCGAAAAACAAGGTGAATCCTAGTCAATTTTACCACTAATAGTGCTCGTCATCTATTACTCCTCCTCGTCTGGCATCGCATCAATGTCCAGGAACATTGATGCCTCGCTCGTCTCCAGGTCACACACCCTGTTGGCCTTGGAGCCACTGCAATAGACAGTGAGTTATACAGAGAAAATCAATCCAACGAGCATGTACTAGACAGTATTGTAGATGGCATACATCAGTACGTGGTACTTGCGCTCACTCGTGTCAAAGATATCATTCAAGATACCCACCAATGGTTTGTAAATCCCGCTATACAATCCACAATTGAAATCGCGGTCATATTGTTCGGATGTATATTGCATGATCACGCTGCGTACCTACAAGCCATACATGTTAATAAGTAGCTCGGTCATCATGATTGAGTGCCAGAATGGACTTACCGCTGTTCCTGCGAGTGCAAGAAATAATACTTATACCGTCTCCTTCTCAGGCCACGACAACCGTTTCCATCTGGGATTGAACAACCAAAAGTGCGTCACCCAAGTCAACCCTTACTTGACAAATCACTTGACAAGTAACATAAAGCAAACCTCCTGGCCTTCCTTCTTGGTCTGGCCTGGGGATGCTGAAACGTCAAAGGTACAGTTGAGGTCGCGGCTCAATCGCCTCTGCTGCCCTCCTGCTCATTATTGGACATCGTGCCTTCTCGGTACGTTGTTTCCTGACGGATAAAAATTATTAGTAGGCGCATGATTGAGTCACTGATTCTTTCTTCCGTTTACTAACAATTTCTTTGCTCTAGCCAATCCATCATTCTGCCCTGCAGTAGTTCACCTTCGCTCACAATTTACGGATAATCTGCCAACTAGTGACATGTATTGTTTGTGGTGTCTTTGCGTAACTCGCTTGTTGAGATAAATGATTATCGGGTGTCTTAGAGTCACTTGCTGCATTAACTTCAGTAAACAAACGCGGCATTCAAATGTGGAATATCATACATCATGATCGACCAAAAGAACTGTCTCTCATTTTGGCCACCACTCTCAACGCCCTTTGTATGTCCGCTTCTGTCGGAGCCTCCTCCCCAACCCACTCAGTTACCCACCTAACCAGCTGCCCGTATTCACTCTCCCCTTTCTTTCGTCGTTCCGCCCACTCCTCAAACAATGGACCGTGCAAGGACACTTCAGCCCAGAACACGAGCGCAATGGACAATGTGTTGCGTGAGGGATTCATCTGCAACTCACGCATCCACGCAAGTGTAAGCGAAATTTCTGATGCGCGCCCGGTGAAACCCAGAAGCTGGATGTAGGTTGAGAAGGTCTGATCGGTGGGTACGATAGATAGATAGGGACCGCATGGCTTCTTTTCGGGAGAATGGGCTTCCGCAGTAATAACTTTCGGTTGTGCATCATGGTCCTTACGCATGGAGAATGGCATTGTAATGCTTTTGGCTAGTTTCGTCAGCGGGTAAAGAGGGTTAGCCTCGGCGTCCTTGGAGTGCACGACAGAAACAGGTTCCTTTACATCTAGGAGCCGCTTCCAACTTCCGTACATCACAGTGCGGAAAATGTCTCGAGCTACGTCACCCGCACGGCGGTCCCTCCAGATCCCAACAACTGACGGCGGATGCGGAGGGTGAAGCCGTCCCATAATCAAGTCGATAGGGTTGCTGGACTCTACTGCAGGCGTGTGAAACAGGTGTGCGAATGTCCCCCGCACGGACTCATTATCCATCTTGGTTGCGAGCACGGCAGCTTTTAGGAGGACGTTTAACGTGGCTCCGTTCGGGCGTACAGAATAGAGTTGTTCAAGGTGGTCCCACAGCTGGAAGATGATATCTGGGCGGCGAATGCGCAGTAAGGCGACCATGAACTCGTTAATGACGATGATATTTATCCAGTGACGGGATGCTGGAGCGATATGCTTGTCATCTGGAAGGGACGCTGGTTGCGAAGAGGTGCGCTGTGCGTCCATGAATGAGTTCAGAAGGTAGAATGCATCCTGCGGGTGCCCTGCACGAGTAAGGACCTGTATACCTACAGTCAGTGCCTTGCGATCAAGTGCAATATCTGAATCGAGCAACTGATTCCATATCCTCAAGGCCTCGTCGAAAGCTCCTCGGAAGAGTAAGCCACGAAGTATGACGGTATATGTGGCAACAGTGGGTTTGAACTGCTTCGTTCGTTCGCGCGCGCGCTCGAAAAGCGTAACAAGGGTGGATGTGGAAGTCTGTTCATCGTTTGCTGCGGAAATGAGTGCAGTGGTCCAATCAAAGATGTCCACGCCGGTCTTTGTACCAGACCAGAACTTGGTGGATGCGTGGCGAGATGAAGGTCCCGGGACGGACGTGACGGGTCTAGAGTTGTGGGCAGTATCAAGCTGTAGAAGCTTATGGAGGTAGTGAAACGCAGAAGCATAGTCATGCCGCAAAGATCCAATATATAGCGTGTTTGCAGGGTGTGTTGTCCCTGAGTGATCAGCACCGCGAAGGTGGATATCCGGTCCGTGAGGAACTGTTAAGCCATGCTCTATACAGTATCGACGGATGGCACGGAGATATTCCTGTGAATCCTGGATGGCTCCATGTTTGGAAAAGATGCGAAGGAAGGCCTCTAAATGTTCCGCAGTTGGCACAACTCCTTCGTGGGACATCTTCGTGTGGAGGACCTTGGTCAATTGGAGAGTGACAAAGCGATCTCGCATCAGCGACCTGTATGTTTCAAGCCATAACGGCACCTCTCGTGCTGACATCGCCTCGAGTACAGATACCGCAAGATTGGCGGCTGCTTCCGAACGAGTGAAGCCAGACAGGCCGCGGAGTAGAGCATTGAAGTAAAATGTAGGAAACTGAATCGTGCGCGCGAGGAATTGTTGCACAATTTTACGCATCGGCGGAAGAAAGTCAAAGTGAGCGAGCGCATGTGTGGACAGAATTAATAGTGCAGGACGATCTTTAGAGCCAAGGGTCCACGAGTGCTCAAACGTAAGACGTAACAGACCGTCCTGCGCATCCTGCGCAGTCCGGACTTTGTGACAGATTAAGGAGAAAGCAACCCACGCGGGAAGCTGCACCGTCTGTTGACGTTCGACGGCAGAACCGTCTGCAGGGAATTGACCTGCAAGGCCCCTATTCTGCTTTATTGCAGATAGAGCTGTGTTTAAGTCGGGTGAATATACCACATGTTTCCAGAGAACATAATCGATGAATGGTATGCTACAGCTCTCCAAAGCACTGTGTATCTCTTCGTCTTTGCGCTCGCGTTTCAGTTGAGAAACGAGATCCCATAGGGGGTCCTTTGTGATGAGGGAAGCTTGCTTTGCGAACTTGACGAGGCGTTTACTGCCAGAGAAAGATGAATAAGTCCTCTGATAGAGTCCAGTGAAAGTAGACTGCGATGATCGTCTATAGAGAGGAAAGACAATATACTGCATGCGCGAACAGCATCTGCAAAATTCATCAAAAATAACACTTGAAACTGTTAACAGGAAGTATACCTGGTGTTAAGACTCTCTGAGATCCAACCAAGTCCGAGATCTCAAAATTGATGCCAGTTGTGTTTGCCACAAGCCAAATAGATACACATATGACGAGTTCACACTCCGCACGAACCCTACTCCTCTTAGATCCAAACCACGACCATCTGTTCGCTCAACACTCAAAAATGCCGCGCATCCTTTTCGTTAGTGGATTTCATCCTTCTACTAGGGCACGCGACCTTGCATTCGAATTCGAACGGTGAGCACATCGATGACTCTTGATTTATATACGTCAAAAAAATGTTCAATTTTTTTTCCTCGTATTTTTAGATTCGGTCCCCTAGTCCGCTGTGACGTTCCAGCCCCGCGTAATCCTCATGCAAGCTCGAACCCGTAAGTGTAATTATCGTTTTTGTTTTCTTCACCTCTGTCCAGTCAACGCGACTCGAGGGACGATTGCCTTGCGATGCGCTGCTGCCTTGTCTCGTCGATTCGATTAGTCACTCGCGAGTCTCCTTCGTCTTCGTATTCGCCGCTCTGCGCTGCGATATCATTCGATGTTTCGGGTTCCGAGAATCACCTATCGCTCAACATGTCTCGCACCGTCTCGCAGTTACGCTTTCGTCGAGTTTCGAAGCCAGCGACATGCTGAAGATGCCTATTACGATATGTATGTTCTCTCTCATGTTCACTTGTAACCTGCCTGACGCGTCAGGCGTAGGCATGGAAGGTACTTTGAGGGATCTCGTTTGAGTATTCAGGTAAGTCAGCACCTCATGGGAGCAATTTAATGTTCTCAATTATATTTGTAGTGGGCAAAGAATCCCCCATCTTCTGTTTGGCGGTACGAGAGGCGTTCTTCTCCTCCTCATCGTTCAGGTCGTGACCGTGAGCGTTCTCGAAGCCCCCCTCGTCGTCGCTCCGAAAGAGATAGCAGGGACGACCGCGACCGTCATGACGACCGTGACAGAGACCGCGAACGCGAACGTGACCGCGATGTCGACAGGGAGAGGGACAGGAGGAGGCGGAGCAGGAGCCCTGATAGGAGGAGGAGCCCATCCCCTGACAGAAGGAGGCATGACCACGCGCGTACTCCTCCGATGGAAGACCACAAGAAGGATGATGATCGTGATTTGCAGTCGCGCACCCCGAATCAGTATGCGCAGTAAAAATTTTGTCGGGTTACACAGTGAAATGAGTAAACTGTTCTCTGTTTCTTCGTTCAAAATGATCCTCGAGACTGTTCTTCTACTCGTAGCGTTTCTGTGAATGTTGTAGCCGCGTTTTGTTAGATTGTTAGATGTCAATGCTGATAGTTGCCTCGATTTCTTTCGCAAAGTTGGATATGAGAAGATTTAATCCGCGTCCAAAAGCGTTTATGCCACACATGACGCTGCCAAGTTATATTCCTTATTGAACCATCATGGCACAACGGCAAGTGCCCACCATCAGCGACCTCAGAGTACGCATACATTGAAATATGCGCAGCCCTGGTGCTCACAATTGTCTAGATTAAGCTCTGCTACATTTGCAGGGAGGAGGAGCGGTATGATGGTATATCAAAAGCGCTTTATTCACGCTAGCGCTTATCTGACCTGTCCATTCTCAGCACCCGAGCATCCTCCCCGAGCATGGACGCATCCATGTAAATGCACACTTGTTGCACACGAGTCGTGTCTGCTACAATGGATACAGACCTCGCAGCAGAACCGCTCACGAGCTCCGAATGCTCTCAAGTGCCCGCAGTGCAGTGCAGTGTATGAACTTGAAAGCGACAATCCACTCCTCCTACGAATATTGGACGCAGCAAACAGGGGCCTTTCGACGATGGGAAAGATTGTAACCATCGCAAGCGTGACCGTGGTGGTGGTTTCTCTTGGGACTGGTCCGTGGTCATTTGCTTCCAAGGTTCAGCTTTATAAAAGTTTGTAGGAATGTATATCCTGAGCACGGCATATGGTGCTTATGCCCTGAAGGAGTTTCTGGGTGCTGAGTACGTGCCACTGTCATTTAGCAGCCACTCGCAAAACTCATGTCTCCAGGATGTATGATCTCCTGTTAACGGAGGACCCTACTAATTGGCCGTGGCATTGCTACCTCAATCTTCCACTCATTCCTCTTGCTCTCATTATCTCCCGTCTTCCCTTTAACTCTACTGTTACGCCACTTGTCCCCCTTCTCCTCGCATGGCCAACGTCCACCCCCCCGCGGACCGACAAGCGCATAGTCCTCAATCGTTGGGGTCTTCAGGAGCCAATACAACGGGAAATGTTTCCCTTACTTCCAAGCTGGCCCCCTCCACCAGTACTGCTCGGCTTGATCATCTATCCGTCTCTGCGTATCACATATAACCGCCTATTCTCTCAGTTCTCGAGATGGGTGCTAGGCTCGCAACCGGATGCCATCAATACCGCACAGCCCATGATGCTTGCTTTGGAGGATGATGACCCATTCCTTCGCATTCGCATCAATGCTAATGGTGAAGAACGGAACGCCCAGCTCCATCCTAATGATCAAGGCCAGCAAGATAGAGGTGTAGGTGTTGCCAACAATGGTGCCAACAATAATCCGAATGCCGACGGCGAGGCTGTCGCAGGAGACGTTGCTGCTGCCGCCGAGAATACCATTCGCGTATCGGGGACCTCCCTTGGGCGGCTGATCGGAGGGGCTTTGATTATCCCGCGCATCTCCAGTTTCATGGGCTCGCTATTGTATCGATTATCCAAGTATTCACCGCTTTTACGTCGCTTCCTTGCTGTGCGCCCACCTCTTCCGCCTGATGTGCGGCCGTCCCTGATAGGGACTTGGGTCGACGAGGAAATGTGGCGCCAGTTGAGCCCTGTCAAGCGGCTTAGCGTTGCTGGATTGATGGGTCTTAGCGTTGCGTGGCGGGGAACACCCATTTGGGCAGAATGTGATCCTGTTTGGTAGGTGCTTGTTCATTTTGATCCAAGGCATGGATTCTTACTAAGGAGACGATTTAGGTGGAGAAATTCATTAGGGTTGGGCCTTTTCACTGTTGTATGTCACCGATATCATAAAAACGACGACCTTATGCTGACGCTGTTCCAGGCAAAGGACTGCTTGCATCTCTTGCATCTTTGGCTTGCCAAACGGGAGCTGCAGAGCCGGCGAGTCAAGAACAAGTCATTTGAAGGTGTTGACGTGAGGGAACTGGATCTCATCGATCCTCTGACATACGCCGGATACTATCATCCTTAGACGGCTAGCTATGACTCCTTTGATCTTATGAACACTTTTCGCACGTTCTTCTCAATAGCGATTGCCATTAATATTTACGATGAAAATTAAGTCCTGCTGTGGTAAGTTGGCACTGGATAGTGTCTAGCCAGGAACCCACTCCGCTAGCAATCACTATAAAGACAACATTTCCTTCTATTTTCCGCTACCTGTCTTTCCTACATATAATTTGATTAAATTCGACGCACAGCGGACGTGGACCTATGATTACCACGGGGCCCGCATCATGAGATTACGTTCAGAATCTTTACGAAGCCTGGGTGAGATTTCTTGCTCCCAACTTGAAAGAAGCCGCACGAGCCCCGACAGACTACTTGGAGTCACATTGCACGGCAGAATCAATTACTCTGGAAGGGCTGTATATAGAACACAACGGAGGTGGGTGAAAGTCGGCCGCCGGCCCAAGTCGGAAGCATCCGTGCAATGAATTATGTAATCATGCTAAGGACAACCGATATAATATTTATAAGTATTAGAAACGACGACGGCGCTACGCCACAGAAGAAGCGAGGATTCTCATAATAACTTGAATATCTGTTGCGACGCACTGGACACCGCTGGTGGATCGCGACACTTATGTCAAGCTAGCCAGAAGTTAGTAGAACTTGTGTGGTTACGGCATGGCAGCTGACTCGGTCACTCGGAGTAGCTATGAACGCGGGAAAGCGTAATGACATGCTATGTTTATGGCTCCGAGTCGCCAGCACTCTTGTTGGTTCGCATTAGTGCGGGATATAACCCTAGACACATTGACAATTAACAGTTTTCCGCTTGAGCTTTGAAGTACTCTTCAATCCCTCGACCAATGATCATTTCAGAATTCGACATTATTTTCGCTGGGGGTGAGTGATACATTTTGCATTGTGGTGATTATCTTGACATAACCCTGTATCACGAGTCAGGCGGTACCACAGCCTGTGTCGTCGCAGGCCGTCTGGCTGCATGGGATCCCTCGCTTAGTATCTTGATTCTCGAAGGGGGCCAACACACGCTCAATCAAGCTGCGCATGTGCAGCCTTACCAGTATCCAATCCATCAAGTGCGTACGAGTACCACCATGACATTCAACGTTGGAAATCCAAGTCCACGTCTCAACGGCCGTGCTCCGATCGTTCCGTGCGCCCATTGCATCGGTGGAGGCTCAAGTGTAAATGGTTCGTAGCGTTCTTGCACTCGATGACATAGCTCTAATACGTTAACTCGGTCAGCTATGTTTTACACTCGTGCACCTGCCTCAGATTTTGACGACTGGGAAGCCGAAGGGTGGGATTCTGAAAATTTGATCCCCCTCATGAAGAAGGTGCTCAATTGGATCATCTTTATCATACTATTTCTCATGCTGAATCATTCATTGCTTAGCTGGAAACATATGAGGTGCAGCCCAATAGCCCGACCCACGGGTACAGTGGACCTATCAAAGTGTCTTCTGGCGGATGTAAAATAGGCGCCAGCGAAGAGTTCATCCGTGTTGGCACGACGTATCACAAGAGGCAATATGTTGAAGACACGGATGATTTAGAAACATGTAACACATACAGTGTGCGCCACATGAATTTATTTCTTTGCGTGCGGAGTCAGCTCACGAAATGAATTTCAGCCATGGGCAAAGTGAGCTTGTGTTCATCATTTATTGTGAATTGGGCTCATAGATGAGAAGGTACATTAATGGGACAACTGGAAGGCGTTCTGATGCGGCCCACCACTATGTCTACAACCAAGCTCACAATGCAAATTTGCAAATATGGGTCGGTAAACGCGTGAAGCGCGTGATCTTCCAGTGAGTGTCACACATTGAAGTTGAATTGTAACCTGATATATTTTTTGAATGAAAGAGATAAGCGTGCCGTAGGTGTTGAGTTCACGAGCGATCCAGTGTCTTGCCCAGATGCGGGTCAGTCATCAATCATCGTGAGAGCATCGAAGCTTGTTGTTGTCTCTGCTGGGGCATTCGGTTCGCCGGCCATCCTCGAGAGGTCTGGGATCGGTGCAGAAGAGATTCTTAAGCGGTGCAATATCGAGCAGCTAGTGGACTTGCCTGGTGTCGGAGAAAATTATCGAGGTACGTGTTGAACTATCCATCTCATATTGTTAACTTAAAGTTAAGAGATCACAACGGCGTCTTTGTTCCATACTTTGCTGCTGACGAAGCTATTACTATGGACCCCCTCTGGCTTGGGAAGGAGAGTGTCGTCCAAGGTAAGCATGTTCTCGCCATACTATGAGTCCCTTTGATCCCTCGGGAAATATTATAGAAAACCTGGCGCAATGGAAAATCGACGGCAAGTCACTTATTGCCCAAAAGTCGGTATACACCTTCAATACTGGTGACATGTTGATTGGCATTTCAGTGGCAGCGATGCAAAAATTAAATGGCGTCCTGACGACGACGAGCTGAAAGCCATGGGTTCAATCTTTCAATCACGATGGAAAGAATTCTTCCAGGACCGCCCAGACAAGGCCGTTGCAATATTTGCCCTTTGTGCAGGGTATGCACATTATTTTATTTTGATGACCCACGAATGCTCACAATAACCAGAACCGCTGGGTCACGCTTGCGTGACCTTCCTGCTCGCAATTACATGATTGCCTGCTGTTTTACAGTACTACCCCCAAATTTACTACACCGTGATTTTTGTGCTGAATTTTCTAATAGCTGTACCCCGTGTCTGCTGGCAGCGTTCACATCAAATTAGACGAGAACGGCCAGGAAGGAATCGACTTCAATACAGGTTACCTGGATGAGTGAGTCGACAACTTCAACTCACTGATGTGATTACGATAATCCTTCCAGTCCATCCGATATTGTACCTCTTAACTTTGGGTACAAAAAGATGCGCGAGATTTTTCGACGCATGCCTTCATACAGGGGTGAAGTCCCTGCCGGCCATCCTCGTTTCCCAAAAGGAAGCGCTGCAGTCTGCAGAGAAACGACCGGGCCAGTGGACATGAATGCGTCTGACTTAATCTACACAGCAGAAGATAACGAGGCAATCGATCGATACCATCGTGACCGCAGTATGTCGCATCTCTATCGTTATCTTAAAATACTGAATTGATACCCAGTGCAAACTACGTGGCATTCGGTATGTACAGCTGAAACTCGCATGCTGGCACTGAACCTTGCATGTGTAGCTCGGAACTTGCGCCATGAAGCCGAGGGCAGATCAAGGGGTCGTTGACGCTCGGCTAAACGTGTATGGCGTGACAAACCTCAAGGTTGCAGACATGTCTATTGCGCCGAAAAATGTTGGCACGGTAGGTACTGGTCGGGGATTGTCGACATGCAATCTAACTGTCTCTCTAGAACACATATTCGACAGCGCTTCTCATTGGGGAGAAAGCTGCGATAATCATTGCTGATGAGTTGGGTATTGAATGCAGACCATGCAGTGAATTGTCGTGGAAAAGTTATCGATCACGTCTGTGATTAGTAGGAGTCATTTCTTGAACTCCGAAGAAACGTTGAAGTCGGGGACTCGAATTCTCAGCGCCACTACTAGTACGATCTGTGATTACTTATGTAATTATTTGGCTCTTTCGATCGCGTTGTTGTGGAACGCCACAGCCACAATTGTCCTAATAACACGTACCACAAACTTGCAAATATAAGTTATACAACATGTTGCTTGGCTGAACCAACTACCGCGCGTCAATACAATCAAGGTGACAACAGGCAATGGAATCATCTACGAACAGAAAAGAACAGGAAATCCACAAACAACTAGAAATTCGAGCAGAGATTAAACGCCTCCAAGCTCAGCTTACACCTTTTCCCGACTTCGCCAACGACGCAATAGGATCTCCCAAGAGGAAACAATCATCTCAAACTTTGCTCGCACCCGCTACTCCGTCTCCTAGTGAGTAAGCGCGTGTATTCTGAACGTTTCATCAAAAGAACGCTGATGAGTCAGAGAAGAGGAGGAGGGTCGATCATGCACAACGCTCATTACTTGGCGGGACGAATGCCATCACAGGGTCCCTCTCAGCATCTGGAGTCCGGAGCGTGAATTCTCGGTCGTCGGATAGAGGTTCTACAGAGCATAATCAAAAACCTGCTCCCTCGAATCTCCTCAGCAAGCTTTCCAGGTTATCGGGCGGCACACCAAAGCAAGAACAAGCAAATTCGGCACGAAGGTCTCACCACTCACTGGCTCGGCCAGAATCTGTGCCCTCGAGTTCCAAAATCATTGCACCTAGGGTCATCGTGCCGAACAGAGATGACCGACTGGCCATCGTCGAGCAGCTCAATGTCGGTCCCATGGATCACAAGCCGCCACTTGATGACGCCTATTTTCAGCGACTCGAGCCAAATTCTGGCATCCGACTTTCGTACGTCTCGTCATCGCAAATCTATTAGATCATCGGTCTTAAGTATTGTATGCAGGTCTCGTTCATTGTCACACGATGATCTACAGGACTATCTCCGAGGTCGATATTACCTCTCGCCGTCTACACTTTACTCCTGTATACGACTATCACCCAACCAGTCAGCCTACGAGGTACCTGTCGAAGGTGACTGGATAACAATCGCCGTTGTTGCAGAGCGAGGCCCAGTAAGGACTACGCGCGCTCCAGTAGACATTGCCCCTGGCGATGATGGACGTGCAACCGATGATGAAGGAGGCTCTAGTAACATCAGCGACCGTAAAGTTGGCAACGATTCTCGTACCCAGGGCCCGCAGAAAGAGAAGCCTTCAAAAACTCACGGCAAAAAATTTGTCAACATGAAATTAATCGACTTTGGGGCGCGTTCACGATCGTCGTCATCGAGCGCAGCGTCCATCCGAGGAGACGCATTTCTGACTCTCTTGCTATTCGAAGCTGATAACTTTGATCGTGTCACGAGCGACGATGGTAAAGTCAAGAAGCTTTACAAGGGTGGTAGTAAAGGCGCATTCGAAGCAATGTCAAAGCTTAAAGAAGGGGACGTCATCGCTCTTCTCAATCCCAAGGTCCTCAAGCCCTTCCAGGTGAGCTTGCACGAGTAGTATTATTTCCTATAATACTGAATAACTCGGTCAGCGGAACAACAAAAATGAAAAACCTCATCCAACCGACAATATACTCGCCGTCACACCCGAGTCTGCTGAATCCATTGCTGTCATCGGACGCGCACAAGACTTGGGTATGTGCAAGGTGCTCAAACGCGACGGAAAAGCATGCGGAAGCTGGACGGACAAGCGTGTGAGCGACGTATGCGACTGGCACTTGACGAACGCTGTGCAACGACAAAGAGCCGGGCGAGCTGAGTTTTCTGCAGGGTATGTAATACGAAGGATTCTGTACTTTCGCTCCGAGTCACAAACCGTTCTTCAGGACCTCTGGGATGACAACTTCGACATCAAAGAAGCGCAAAGCGGATTATGATCCACAACGCCAGTGGGGAATGAAGCCTTCTGAAGCGTCCGGCTCGCGTACAGACAACACCACGTATGTTGTCTCGGGGCACGTCGTGGGCGGGTCGAATCGAGATGTCTCGTCGATGTTTGTCGCCGAGAACATGGGGCGCGAAGGCCAGGCGCGCGCGAAGCGAAAGCTGATGCAGGATGCCGATCGCGAGCTGAAGGGTTTACTCGAGAGGGATAAGGAAGGCATGCGTGCTGTTGCCAAGGCCAGGGAGATAGGCACGATGAGGGCGAAGCGAACCTCCGATAGTGCCAAGGATAAGAAGTCCTCGCAGTGGAAGCAAGGGGCAAGAGATTCAGATTGTATTTCAGAATCTGATCATGCGGAGACATCGAACGCACCCCAGACGAAGCTGGCGTATTCTGCAGATATCATCAAAAACCTTGGATTTGATCCTGCGGCGAAAACAGGGCAGAAGCGGGCGGTGCAATCTTCGGTTCAAGATAAAGTGCGTTGGTTATAAATGTTTACTTTGCTCTCTCTGACACAAAGTCTTGGTGCTTGTTTCATAGATTGCAGCTCTCGCAGCTGTCCGTGAGTCTCGGAAGGAAATTCATCTTGGTCCGCGACCAGGCCCCAGAATTCGTTCTGGGGTGACCATTCCTGCCTTCATGCTGGAAAATGAATTGGGCAATGATGATTGTGGCGAGGAAGGAGATGACAATGTCAGTACTGGAGATGGACATGAATCTGATGAATTGATAGATCTCGATGATTGATTGGAGGTCACGACGAACAGATAGCACTCGGTATACAGACAGTCTCAATTTTCACTTGCATCTCTTGACGTTGCACTCTCATTTGTAGGAAACTTCAATGCAGTTTGATGTGGTGCCAAGGGAGCGCGTTGTGCAAGAAGATTAATTCCGCTGCCTTGTACCATATGCACTTTCAACTTATATCCGCTGCACATCATCATCCGATGCAACGACTAAATCTCTTCCCTCGCGAGCAGCCAACTGTCAATGTAGACATATCTATTGCATTTTTTTCCAAGGGCAATGCGTCTTTCCTGTATATTACGATGTAAAGCAATGTAATCAGGTCAGGCCCGGAGGTATATATTACTTTACATCACTTTATATTGCTTTATATTGTTTTATAACGTCATGTCCAGGAAAGAGCATTTCGGCTGGGAATATCTGAGTCTCACCAGTTTACTGATGACTTGTTGTGTAGGCCCTTTGCTTTGTCAGCATTCGCTTGAGGTTGGCAGCGGACCGGGTGTGACCTTACAAACTGTACTTCTAGTTCTCTCCCCATTCTTACCTCTTGTTTTAATCAAATACCATTCAGCTAAACTGATAAGATGGTATGCGAGCATCAATCCTTGTCGTCTTTGCCACTCATGATTTCAATAGTCCACGACCTGCAGGAGACGGCTTATCCGTGACTTCAAACGTCTCTCTAGTGACCCACCAAGCGGCATTTCTGGGAGCCCATGTCCGGATAACATTATGATCTGGAACGCTGTAATATTTGGGCCTTGCCAGTTTTCCGTCTCTGCATATATTATCCGTTTCTGACACTACTTGCAGCTGATACGCCCTTTGAGGACGGCACATTCAAACTTCTGCTCACGTTTGACGAATCTTACCCCAACAAGCCGCCTACAGTAAAATTCCTTTCCAGAATGTTTCATCCAAATGTATACAACAACGGCGAGCTATGTCTCGACATCTTACAAAACCGCTGGTCTCCCACATATGATGTCGCCGCCATCCTTACTTCCATCCAAAGTCTCCTGCACGATCCTAATCCGAACAGCCCAGCGAATGCAGAGGCTGCGCAGTTGTACCGGGACAACATGAAGGAGTACGTGAGAAGGGTGAAAGCCACAGTGGAGGATAGCTGGCTAGATCCAGAAGAGAAGCAGAAGATGATGGTCGATGGCGACGGGGAAGGTAGTGTAGAGTCTGCTGCCTGACGTGTTCTTTCCTTTGGTTCGTACTGTTTCTGAAAGTTACTATCATTCCACGTAATATGTCCACGGTTGCCAATATGCAAAATGTTCATAACAATTCAACTGACGGATCCCCGCTGGCTTCCATGCAGTGATCGAGGCCGACGGCGTTGAATACCAGACAAGCAATATATCTGTAAACGTAGACCAGGTTGTCCTCCAATGGCAGGAGCGCATTCCTCTGTAAGTCATCTTTAACCCGTCTGCTATACAGGTATTGAAAAAGACTCTAGGCCGCACGAGCCATGTTCCAAAGTCCGGGTCAGCATATATGCCTCATTTGAATTGGGTCCCATGCTCTGTCAAGGAAAACTCCTCCGCACGTTCGAGATCTCGGTCGGAGAATTACTGGATCGCAGCGAGAATTGGGCAGGAGCAGCCCGCCCCATCCATGCATCCGTCATCGCCAAATCAACTCGCTCATCAAGCACAGCGGTGTTTGGAGAGAGATGAACCTAGTGTCTTAGATGAAGTGATATCCCTTCATTATGATGCCCTCGGATACTACAACGCCGGGCATGCTTGCCGAGGGCAATTGCTAGGTAATCTAGCTGTAATGCTACAGACTTGCTTCGAGCATCGAGGGGATGACAAAGATTTGGATCAAGCTATCGCACTTCAGACGGACTCGGAGGTGCTGGCTTTGTGCCCGGTCGGTCACACAGATCGGTCCATGTCATTAAACAACCTCGCGATCCAACTCAGCGTACAGCATTTGAAGGAAGGCCAGCTTCTTTGACAATAGCGAAACATCCCATATTTATATGTAGCCGTCATGGCAGTTACTGACAAGAAACTTTCCACCTGTAGAAAAAATTGCAAATTTCACCTTGTGTCAATGGTGGAGTAATATTCCGATGCGTTGAATTGTTTCGAGGTTCCAGAGTTGCGCTGTCACGGTGTTGTTCAAAGAAATTGATGCGCCTCCCAGGATCCGCTCATCACTCGCCCTCCATCTAGACTCCAGCATACAGACGCCACTTTCTTTGTATGTCTCGTCAATATTTTGATGACCTTGCCCATGTCAACGTTCCACAATTTCATTGCGCCATCACAATTCCCGGCTGCTACTGTATTGCCGCCCGGCGACAATGCCATGGCAGACACTCCTTCAGTTTTGTCCTCTCGGTCCTCAACCTGCGTGCCACCGTGACTCTTCAAGTCCCAGACTCGAAATGTCCCATCCAGTGAAGACTCATGTGATGATCCACCGTCCACCGGGCAGGTGCAAAATGCGGCTGGCGGTGTCGTTCACTTTGATCTATCGGTAGATCATTGTTGCTGAATTAAAATTCGTACGCTTCGCAGAGGCTAAACATGGACCAGGGTCCGTCCAATAAAATTGTGGTCGGTAGGAGGCATAGTACTGTACCCATTATATACATGTCACTGAATTTGCTACTTACCGTACATTCAATGGTAAGGCTACAGCAAAGATGGGGGACTGATAATCATCAACAAGAACATGAAAACGTTGCACATGACAATTACACAAAGAACCTCTAGTCAAATTTCTTGTCCGAAACAGCCCCAGTCGCCTCATTGTGCCTACTCACAAGGCGATCAATTTCAGCAGCCTGTTGTGCGGCCTGCTTTTTGAGGGTTTCTGAGGAACGCACCTTCAGTTTAGAAACAAGACATCGATAACAAGCGATAAACGCACCAAAGTCACGGTCTTTTGCTTCACTCGCAGCTAACTTCTTCTTGAGTTCTTCAATTTGTTTAGACTGGTCACCCTTGGCGCCAGCACCAACCTACAAAACCAGTAATATATAAACAAGAGCCAACTCTAAATAGAGGGTACTTACGACTTTCTTCAATTTTGCATATTCCTCCTGCGTGTGAATGAGGTCCAAGATGACTGGAGAACGTGCGTGTGAGGACCAAAGAAAGGAAGAGGCAAAAACCAGTTAGATAAGTGTTTCGTTGAGCGCTGACGACAAAACACAACCGTCAGACTAAATCATACGCTATGACAGAGGATAGGGTGCGCACTAGAACTTGCGAGCGGCGAAATTGGTCTCAGTTCGTACGTCGTGCATACTCTGACCGCCTGTTTTTGCCATTTCGGTTTCGGCTGTTACGCGGAACATACGTTGGAGAGCATCTAGGAAGAGGATGCCTACGAAGCTGAGGGTGAGTGTCATAATATTAGTAAGTGAGTGAGATGTTGGTGATTAGAGTACAAACATGAAGGAAATCTTGAGTCCATACGCGACTTTAGCGACGATGGGGCTTTCGGAGAGAAACCGAAAGATTTTTTTGCGAATTGTGAAAGGGAGTGGGGATACGAGCAGGCAGAACGTTATCATCTAGTTTGGGAGCATTATAAATCATGAATTAAAGTCAGGATACTGCGCGACATACTTCTGCTGCTAGGAGTAAAAATGTGAGCGAGTAACTGTGAGATCATTAGAGCTTGTCGAACTTGATTTGCTTAATACATACTAAATTGTCATCGTGCTTAGCGTCGTTGTTGCTGTCGATGTCGATGTCGTCGTGGAAGCTTTGAAGTTAAAGGCTAAAGTCTACGTTGAAGCCTTTAAAAGTGGGTCGGAATGCACTGCGCGTGTAGCGTGACGTCACAGACACGTCCCCACCATTACATAATCGATTCCCATCTACCCCTTGAACGCGTCACTCTAATCACTTGCGATTACGCAGACCTGCACCACATCTAAATCAATGGCCCCACTACAAGTACACGTCAAACACGCAGGAAAAACTCTTGATGTTAATCTAGAGACATCACTTCCACCTGCTGCCTTCAAAGATGCGATTTATCAGGTCACGGGCGTACCACCGGAGCGTATGAAAGTTATGATCAAGGGCGGCGTGCTTAAAGTGCGAGCTTTTCGTGTTGTGTGGATATTTTGATGGATAAATCATTTGTGTAGGATGATACGGATTGGAAGAAGGTGGCTCCTAAAGCGGTGAGTGCGCTTTTGTTTTGTTTTGTGGAATGTGTGTATTAAATATCTGGTTAGGGACAAACGTTCATGGTTATTGGCGCTGCGGGCGAGCTCCCGAAGCCACCTGAAAAACCCATCGTTTTTCTCGAGGGTGAGTATCTCTGTGTGCATGTGTAAGGGTTGTGGTGACCGTTCCTGCGTAGATATGGACGAGTCGGAAATCGCAGAAGCCGTATGTTTGATTTATTTGTGCTTGTCACTCATGTGGGTTACTCAGGTTTTTGCAGCTCTCTTTACCAGTTGGATTGAAAAAGTGGGTACTACAGAGATTCACAGCGTGCCGTGAAGTGATAAGTATATGCTCACAGCCTCGGAAATACCTGTTACATGAGCGCCACCGTCCAAGCGATGCGTGCAATACCAGAGCTCCAAACAGCTCTCTCAACGTAGGCTTCTATTTCTTACATGCGTGAATCCTGATCCCACATATGATAGGTCACCACATTTGGACGTCCTTCCTCGTGCGCTGAGAGACTTGTACAGCAACATGTCCCGTACGACAGAGGGATACATCCCCACTACATTTTTGACCGTGTTGCGTCAGGCTGTACCTCAGTTTGGGGAGCTCGATAGATCAGGCAAGAATGGAATCTTAGGGGGGTACGCGCAGCAAGGCGAGCGTTTTTCTGCCTTCTTTTTCGTCGGGTTGTTGATTTAAGGTATAGACGCTGAGGAGTGTTGGACACAGCTTGCGAACGGCTTGAAAGAGGTTCCTGGGATTGATGCTACGGGTAACACACTAGCGGGGGGAAGGAGATTTGTCGATCAGTTTATGATGGCAGAGATACGCAGAGAGTGATTGAATTTTTCCTTTTTTGCACAGCGTCAGCTGACTGATTTGGACAGATTGAAATGTGACGAAGCGCCTGAAGAACCTAGCACCGTCACGATAGAGAAGATGCTGAAAATCGAGTGCAATATCTCGGCGACCACGAATTATATGCATACTGGTATCAAGGATGTATGCGTATTTTTTGTGCTTGGTTTGGTATTTGCTCACGCGTACACAGGCATTGAACTCTCAATTGGATAAGAATTCTCCTTCGCTTGGACGTCAAGCTGTTTACAGCCAGACATCGCGTCTCTCACGTCTGCCGAGTTACCTGACGGTGCACATGGTTCGTTTTGCATGGAGACGTGATATCGGAAAGAAGGCCAAGATCATGGTGAGCATCAAATTATTCTAGCTCTGCCTCACATCTCACGATCCCCCAGCGCAAAGTAAAGTTTGCGTCAGAGTTTGATGCGCTAGAAATAGTGACTGATGAGCTGAAATCGAAGCTCATGCCCGTGTCCAGCCGCCTAAAGTCAATTGAGAAAGAGCGTGCCGAACGGCGGAAGGTGCGTAAACGGACGAAGGTGGTGCAGGAGGCGTCGTCATCATCTAGGCCCGCAGAGGAGAGTGCAGATGTTGAGATGGCACCTGCGAGTGAGTCGCCCGGGGACCTAGAGGAGGAGAGAGTTTATCGTGCGCGGGAGCTGGAGGAGCTGGAGGGATTGGTTGATGCCGACCTGAAGAATGATTATGGGTGCAGCGTGACTGGGTTGTATGATCTTGTTGGTGGGTAACATTTTCTTGTCTTTGGGACGGACTGAATTCAGAAATTTTGGACAGCCATCGTTACGCACAAGGGAGCAGATGCTGATGCGGGGCATTATATCGGTTTCGTGAAGAAGAGCGTATTCCATGCAAAGTCAGGTGACGGACCTGCGTTCGATGAAGATGATGAAGATTGGTACAAATTTGATGATGACAAGGTATCAGTGTTTCCCAAAGAGAAGCTGGGGACGATTGATGGAGGAGGGGAGGACGCATCTGCGTATGTGCTTTTATACAGGAGCAAGCCGTTAGCATAGTGTTCGATAAATGAAGGCGCGTAGGTATAATGCAGGAAGAATACATTGAATCTAAGTACTAGTACGATCCACATCATCACCATCTAGGTCGTTTGCAGAGGGAACGGCAGCTGATGCAGCAGCGCCTGCAGCGGCGTGACCTTGTGATTGTGGCACGACGTCCCTTTGAGTGGATGAGATTCAGATCACAAACATGAAAAATAAGACGAACCACTTGATTTGAAAGCGGGTGACGCGTAGTTTTGTGCTTATATCGCGTACGAGTCTATCAAACTGAATTTTCTCCGGAGGAGTGGCTTTCATGTCCTCGTTATCGTACTCCGTGTTCTGATAATACCCAACGCGTACAAACTCTTGATCACGATAGGATCCTGTAAGGATAAGGGCAGCGACGCCCAGGACGTCCTCTGTTGGTATTTTTGCAGGATCAGGAGCGAGACCCTCGAACTCGAAAGAGTTTACGCCGACTGGGACTGGACCTACGAGGCAGTCGTCTAGTTCTTGGTCTAGTTCTTCATTCCCTGGTGAAGATACATAGATGAGCTTCCATTCTAGATCTACATTTGAAAGTTAGCAGGTGAAAGCTACGAATTAAGCATTGCGCGGACCGTCTTTAAGTGGCGCTATACACTCGAAAGTGACGCGAAAGTGATAAGGATCCAAGAATCTTGCTGGGTTGTTGAAGAACTCGACATTCTACGGAGTCGTTGATGATTTTCAGTGATTTTTTTGATAGTGAATTAGACGCACGCGGATTGTAACTATCGACATCGTGGAAGAGAATGATGCGGGGTAAAGCACGTGGTTTGCATGCGGTGTCACTCTGCTTTTGTTTCTTCGAAGCCACTCATGTCTTACTAACAGACAATTACGACTACGACACCGACCACGACGACCACGACAGGGAGGGCGGGACTAAATATGATATCGGCGACGAGTAGCGCGACGACGGACTCAGAGATACCCACAGACGAACTCTCACCAGCAAATCTCTTGCTCCCGATTCCCGCACCTTCTTTAAACAATTCACAGTCTTCGTTCTCATTCTCCCGCACATCAGATACCGAATGGAACTCGCTCCCGCAGGAAGTAGCTTCAGCAGATATTTCAATAGCTCGTATGTTCTTTCTTTGTTGTTGGTCTGCGTGCCTCTAATCTTTCATCAGCTGATGGCAGCTTCGTTGAGACTTCATGCGGCTCAGCTGCCAGAGAACTAAAGAGGCGCTACGACCAATTTCTCGGTGTAGGTAAAGATGTTCGTTCTCCATATGCCATCACCGCCTTCGTCAATCAGCACGGAAAGCAGATGTATCGTGTCAGGTGCGGTTCGGCCTGCATCATCGCCACCATGCACAGCTAATTTCGTTACTTACTTATTTAAAGTCGTCGCGATGCGATCGCTCCCGCCGCTGCAGCAGAGGAGGCAGAGAAAATGACTCACAAGGTGTCCATGTCCACTGATGCCTCTCGTACTCGTGCCTCCAAAACCCGTTCCCGCATGAGTTTCCTCATCCAGAATAAAGTAAAGTCCACTGCCCATGAATCTCAGTCTAGTTCCATTAGCTCGCACCCGCGTAAGTTAGTACGAAGGACCCGCTCCATTCCAGACATGTTCGGCATGGCTGCTAGCTCGTCTGCTACGGGCTCATCTACACGACCCAACCCCACTGGTAGGACTCATTCACACAGCGTCACTGGTGCAGATATGCCACGTCCACAGTCAACTGCACTTTTCCCCGATTTGCCAAAACAGCCTACTGCAGACATTTTTGCAGAGGTCATGCAATGGCCAAACGGCTCTGTGCCCCCCTCTCCATTTTCGAGCTCTGGGTTTGAAAACCACACTTTACCAGGTCTCATACCACATCCATTTGGACTCAGCGCCACTTTTGAATCGCCTACTAGACCTTCTTCCCATGGGTTTTTACCCATGCCGCGCGCACTGCGGGAGATGCAGTCGTTCGAGTCTGGTTTGACTGCGCGCGCAGGAGATACCACACAACGAGCAGATACCCCGGATTCCATCCTTCCCCTCCGTGTATCACCCGACCTCATCCAAGATTATTCTCCCTCCCCACCCCCAGGCATCGTCCCACCCGACCCAGAACTCATGCCACTTCCAGAAACGAGCATGCATTCCCGATATTCAACAGAGGTGTTCGATGTTCTCCAGACTTACCGCGGTCTTCCACAGCTGGATAGACTGTTTTCAGATTCCGCAGGGGAGACGACTATCAAAATGTCTCTTCGCGCAGAGGATAGCGCCGCGCCGCGTAATGACCCCCGTTTTGTCCTCTGGGGGGAAATACATGTCTCTTCTGATTTGGATGGTGATGATGTTTCGGTGTCGCAGAGCAGTCGCGGTGGAATGTCTTCTTCTTCTAATTCTCGCAGGGGCCGTGGACCTATAGATGTGCCTGTAGTACGTGTCGATGGAGAAAGCTTGACCACCAAGGTGCTCATCGCAGCGACGATCGAAAGATGGATTGCCCAGCTAACAAGCGATCTTGACTATGATGAACTACTCAACTTCTTCCTCACCTACCGAACATACATATCAGCCGTCGACCTCTGCCACCTCCTCATCTGTCGTTTTCACTGGGCGCTGAGCGGCAAAGACGATATGGTACGGAAAATCGTGCGCGTGCGGACATTCGTAGCTATCAGATACTGGCTATTGACGTTCTTCGTCATGGATTTTTTATCGAACCGAGAGTTGAGGCTTTTGTTAGCGAGTTGGTTAAATACCCTTGTGAAGGATCCCATTTTGAAGAAACATCAGGATGGTCTTGTGAGTCTTTCACCTTTTATGGGTTTTTTGAGCTCACGTATGATACACAGAACATCGTAAGGAAACTCATTAAAGTTGTCAAAGACTGCAAGGAAGCCCATACCCGCAGACACCGCTCTGGCTCCGTTTCTGCACGTCAAAGCCTAAACATTCCCACCAGACCCCGACCCACGCATGTCCTAGGCGAAAAATTTGCAGAAGCCATATCCTCCAAACAGCAAGACGACTCTGATGTAGATCTCGATTTTGCTCCCGACGAACCACCTACACATCCCCAATCTATCTTCCATGGCGACAACAGCACTGCGTTTTCGTTCAATTCTGGCAGCGTGTCTTCTCCGCCCAGGGCTCCTGCGATTTTGCAACAACCTTTGCAGATGAACATACTCCAGCAGAGTCGAGCTTCTATCTCAGCGTCCTCTAATGCAAGCGATACCACTCCTACGAACAGCTCCCTTCCTCCCATTGTATTTCCCCAGAGTGCGATCTCTCGTGCATTCGTGAAGACAATCGGGCGTTTGGGAAGATGGAAAAGAGTGTTGAACTTGAGACAGACTGTGGATACGGGCCTTGCAGTTCCTGCAAACGTTTCGGCATTTGATTTGGAGTTGAATGCAACGGGGGATTTGTTGATGGTTAGGGGCGGTGTTGAGCAGTATCTGAAGATGATTGAACCAATGGGTGTGGGTGGGTCTAGAGGGGAGAAGGTGCTGGATGGGTGTGTGTGTCCTGTGTTTGGGAAAGCAGAGTGCGGTGGAGAGTGCGGTCAAAGGGCTTGAGGCGAAGTTGGACCTACCCTCACTGCAGACGCAATTACGGGTTGTCAAGGAGGTGGAGGAAGAGGAGGAGCGGGATAGTGTGGCAGTGGTTTCTCTGAGCGACAAGCCCGTTTCGATACAGGAAAAACGCCAGTCCACGCAGGAGAAACACCAATCAATGCAGGAGAAACGTCAGTCCACACAGGAGAGACCCCAGTCTATACAGGAGAGGCGCCTATCCATATCGTCGGTCTCCCGCACGTCCACGCGCACACACTCAACAGACTCCTTCGGCTCAATCTTATCCTCACGATCACGGATCAATCCCCTCGTCGCCCAAGTGCAGGCCCAGCCACCATGGCGTTTCGACGTCGTTTCCATTGACGACCTAGATCTCTCAGATACCTCTTCTGAGGCGCATGGTGAGAATCCACCTGTACCACCAGGTCTGCGTAAGCCCCCGCGTCGACTGCCTCTCCGGCGGGATTTCGAGTTCATACGTCGGTCTGTGGACAGCGTTTCCTCGTTGGGATTCCGTTCTCGGGACTCGGTAGCCTCGGGTGGATCTGCTGTGTCGTCTGCGTCTGTCGGAGCTGCATTAGGGAATGGTATCCAGCAGTGGCAGGTGAACGCCCTCGTGGATTCCTTGAGCGACGAGGAGGATAATGGGGGCGTCGAGGAGGCTCTGAGACGTCTTGAAGGGCAGATCAATCCTCAGAAGCGGAAAGAGAAAGCGAAGAAGGTGGATGGGTGGGTACGTACGATTCAGGAGCGGATGGCTGTGGGTGATTTTGGGGATGAACAGCCGAGGTTTTTTGCGTTGGATAGTGAGGAAGAGGATGACGAGGATGATTATGAGATTGATCAGCACGAGACTGGAGCATCGAGGGTGGATGAACAGATTCTTGTAGGCACTGGGTCGCAGGTGACGATTTCGGGGGCTACGACGACGACGACGACTACGGATGACTACTTCGGCTTGGTGGGTTCGGAATTGACGTCAGGGACGGTGGAAGCCGTGTTTGAAGGGTCGGGACCGACTTCGCCGCCCGTGAGGATGAGCGACTTGAAACCTGCGCCTGAAGATGCTGTTCCACTTGAGATATTGCAGAGCCGGGTACCTTCAAGACCGTCTACGTCCCATGGCTCGCCTACACCATCCCCCTTTATAATAACCTCTCCATCCAAATTCATTTCTCCTGGTCGAAAGCAACACCGAAGCTGGATCCTGAATGTGTGCACTGACACGATCGTACAACATTTTTCGATGATCGACCGAGAGCTTTTCTTGGGGGTCAAGCCTGAAGAATTGATCATGGACGATTGGATGTCGTGTCAGGAAGTGAACGTGCTGGATTGGGCACAGTATCTCAAGGACCGGGCGCGTTGGAAGGCTGAATCACGGTGGAGCCAAAAGACGACTGCATTGGCTGCTGTTCGAGGGCGGTTTAATCTGCTTGCGAATTTTGTGGTTGCCGAGATCGTGATGACGCATCCGAGCGATAGGGCGATGTTGGTGGGCAAGTTTATTCGTGTCGCTTTGGTGAGTTGCTTTTCGATAATGTCTAATTTTGAGGAGAATAATTCTGACTCTGCGCGACCTATTTCAGAAAGCATACGTCCAAAGTAATTTCAATACGTTGGCAGCTATCATCGCCGGTTTGCAAAACGAGTGGGTCGCGAAAGCTATGCATCGGCATTGGGGACGAGTGAGGCTGTGGGAGAACGGGGTGTTCCAAAAGCTGAAGAAATTTGTGTTACCGGACAATGATTTCAAGGCTATGCGCGATGCTATCGCTACTATGGCAGACCCGAAGACTCTGAGTGTGACGAAGCGGACGTCTACGGTCTTGAGCAGCAGCAGCACAGACCTACCCTCGGGGAAATCAAAAGGTTCTAATGATGCCAAGACGCCATCAGCCTGCGTCCCATTTATCGGGGTCTACCTCTCTCAACTATACCGCTACAGCAGACTCCCAGATCTAATCGACCCAACCTCGCCTCACGACCCCGTCGGCATCGACTCACAGACCGTCAATTTCGAGTCTCCAGCCCACCCAGAGGTATTCGATTCGCTGACGCCTCTCCCGCCTTCGATGCAGCTAGAGCCATTGATCAACGTTCATAAGCAGCGGCTTATTGCTGGCGTGATCAAGGATTTGGTTGGCGGGCAGCATCTTGCAAGCAGGGTTCAATATCCGATAGATAAGAAGTTGTATGGGAAGTGTCTTAGGATAAGGGGGCTTGATGGGGAGACGATGCAGATGGCGTATAGTATGTATGCAGAGTCGGAGACAGGGGTGACGGTGCGTCCGACAGGGTTCATGCCTTTGTAGAGTGTGTCATGCTGGATGTTATTCCGCTATGCTGGGAGGTGATCACTGGTACTTTTGTTCTTCGACATTTTTTTTATTTGATTTCATGCGCAATATGGATATATAGAGCCTGTTTTCAATCTTTGTTGTATTGACAAGAGTAATGTATGCAATACGTAGTTGAGATTAAGGTCCCCCGAGGAGCTGCCACTACTTTTGACGGCAAGCGATTGATCAGTCATTCTGTTTCCAGTATATATCCACTCGTTCATCGCGCTTCCGAACGTGTATGTATGCCTGCAACCCGATGCGTATATATAATTGGTTCCTCTGAAGTACATGTCCGTCACGCTGTTTACTGTCCTCAGCTATAAATGAAAATGCGAGACGAAAGATTCTAGGTACTCGGGAAGACTGGACCTGAAAATTTCGACCATGAAGTACTCCATACCACTCTGCCTGTTCAGGTAGTCATAGAGTAGAGGGGAAAAAAGTAGTACGATGCGAGGACAAGAACGTCAGCGCATAATGAGAAGTAATGCAAGTGATGAAATGCTGCTTCATTAATGAGGACCATTCGTATGGTCAACAGAGACACAGCAGACGCAGAGCACTATGCGAGTCCATAGGATGATGAGGCTGTTGGTGGCAACAGCAGGACGCGATGGCGTTGCAGTTGCAGACGCAGTTTCACCAGCAGCTGTAGATGGCATGGATGTTGCGGTAGCAGGGGCCACTGGAGGACCAGACGATGATGCCTGGCCATGGGATTGACCTTGTTGTTGTTGACCTTGAGTATGGGCACCTTGCAAGAGTTGTCTTTTCTGGCGCGGTGGGGAGACATACAAGGCCTTTGAACGGATTGGCATCGAACCAGGCAGAACTCGGAGGTAGACACACCTTTCTGTCCTGGACGGTGGGCACCTTAACAACACGGGGCGTAGTATGATGAGGACGTGGGAAGAGCGAGGAAAGTCGACCAAGGAGGGTACGTGGTGATGATGGTGTTGTACGACTGCCACGGCCATGACGGGGAGGGGGACGACGTGTTGCAGAAGACTGAAAAATTAAGTGTCATTACTATGTTAGACTGTTATTCTGGAAACTCACGCCAACATGAGCATCGTCGAAAAAGCCTGGTGGCAATCGATGCGCATCCGTAAATTTCTGATTTCGACGTTGTGTGGCCTCCGTCTGGTACAAAGATGAATAGAAGCAGGGCATGGTCAAAGAAAGGATCAATTACCTCTAAGATCAATTTCCCGCCGACCTGTAATAATACGGATTAGGACACATAATTTCTGAACATTAAAAATTGAGATACCTTTGGGGCGGAGGCCTGAGGGACACGCCATGCCATCAGTATGATCATAGGAAACAGGATTCAAACTCACAGTCAGAAGTTTACCAAGGCCAGCTTCCTTGACAATAGCAACGACATCCCATGTGTATATGTGATGGTCATCGCAGACAGTCGCCAGCAGTTTTCCATCAGGAGAGAAAACCACAGATCTCACTGCGCCATCATGGAGGAGGGGTGGTCCAATAGGTTGATTACTTTCGATGTTCCAAAGTCGTACTGTTTTGTCGGATGATGCGCTTGCAAGGATACGGTCATTGGGGGATAATGAAAGGGCTTTAACAAGATGTTGATGTCCTTTGAACACAGCGGTTTGTGTCCCAGTGACGGTGTCGAATTTTCTAACGGAGCAGCCATCGACATTAAGTGACCCAGAGATAAGTGTGTTGATATCCGAAGACCAAGCCAAACATAAAACTTCGGATAGCTTGTCTGCCTTGAGTGTTTTGAGCAGTTCACCTGTCTCGGCATCCCAGAGTTTCACTGAGGATTCATCGACGCCGTTATGCCCGCCCGTTGCAATCATTGTTGCATCGGGTGAATAGTGAACCGCGCGCACGTATGTATGCCCAGTCTCGATTGGTTCAAGGATGGTCTCGCCGCTGTCGACATTCCACACTCTTGCTGTTCCATCGTATGATCCACTCACCAGTCGATCTCCATTTGGACTCCAGGAGATAGATGACACCCCTGAGCTGTGGCCTGTCCATCTTGCAGTGACTTCACCTGTCTCGATGTCCCATAATCTTACTATGCCGTCATCACTCCCACTTGCTACTTCCTTGCCACCCAGCGACAACGCTATGGCCCACATTGTTCCACTTCCTTTATCCTTCCAATTTTCGCCTTTCTGCTTGCCACTCTCTAAGTCCCATACTCGCAACGCAGCGTCGTCAGAACAGGTGATAGTGTACCGTCCATCTGAGAGGTACAAGATACCCCAGACTAATTCCTTTTGTCCTGCAATCTTCTGTTGTGGCTGGACCGCTGACATGTCAGGAGCACGGTGAGCTACGAATAGTGCACGCCAAATTTGTCTACGCAGTCCGTCTCTGCGATCTTTGCTATGACGTTCTTCAATAGAATTTCTTGCATATAACACATATTATCACTTACCAGCAAATATTTTTTCAATGGAACTTCACACCCACACACTTGGAATGAAAGACAAAATCGAGGCAGGTGGATGTTTCGCTCTGGTCCCACTGGAGGCGAGTTGGGATGATGCTTGTACAGGTCGCCCACTACCCATTGGCCAGGTGCTTTTCGCTTTTCGTGCGCCACCAGCTAAGTTACCATGCTGCGGATCACGCGGGCCGTCATCGACACCTGAGCGCTCCACGCATTCAATTATCAGGGGAGCTCAGAGAGAGTAGGTCTACTAGTAACCGCTGTCCGTTCAGTTCTCAAGCTGCCTTAGTCAGCTCAACTGACTTGGCTCGAAACTTGTTTGCTCTCTGTCATGTCCCAACTCCACCCGGCTTTGCAGTCCTACATAGCAACTGCTCTGGCATGCTCGCGTCCAACTGCCGCTTATTATGTTGTTACTCCTGCTCATAGTATGTGCACATCTTCCTGGCATAGATTCTCAACGAACACACTCTATCACCACCTCTTTGGACCGCAAACCTCACCAATTGGAAGGACCGTCAATTTTTCATACGAAGCGGGGTTGGGATTCGACTTTATGCTAAAGGCTGATAGAACCTGGGAGATGAAGGTTCCTATTCCCCCACTAGTACTCCCCAACCTGTAAACCACCCTGCTGGTGAGTCATCGGAGTATCGAATGTAGCTGGCTGGCAGGTAGACTTCGTTGCGGTAGTGCACGGACCATTTCCTCTCCAGGTTGTATAAGGTATTCTCTAAAATGGACGGGGAAGAACTGCGCAGTAGGAGAGGGTAGGGGTAGGTTTGACAAGAACTCTCGCAGGTTCGAAGCCACTGTCACCTGCCCTTCTACCAGACCTTTATCCCAGGAGATGGGTGCTTGAGGCAGGTGTCAAGGACGTGGTCTCCCTCTCGACGCTCAACTGGATTCTCTGGCAACGTGCTCGCCCCGTCGCCGCTCATTGTGCCTGGTCTGGTATTCTCCGGTCGTTACTAACCTGGGTCATAACTCTTAACTGGTGTATCCTGCTTTGAATTAACAGCAAAATAATTGTGGTTAAATAACAGCTAGTGCGAGTCGCCAATAACGATCGAGCTCGATGGCTCTTTATCGCAGCCTGCTGCCTTCTCAAGGGCCCGAGATGTCATCCTCAACATCAATGACTCCTGACCCTGAGATGTATTCCTCATTGTCGTCGTCATCGAGGCGCCCATCTTGCCCCAACTGCGGTGTAACAGCCGACAATGAGGATGGTGGGGACTGTTGCTTTCGGGCCTCGTCAGCCTGCAATATTCCATGTGCGATGGCTTGCTGAAAGATCCATTTAACTGACCTAATTAGTAATAACTCTTGATGAGTTAGTAACAACACTGCTTTCCCCCGCTCATTCTGACTACAACAAACACTTCTTCCTGTGGTGAAGACTTTGATGAATATATTTTTTCACCACCCGAAGGGCTGCCCATTTTCATACAAATCTAAGCTCATGATCCCAACGTTGGCTCGCCGGCAACTTCCATAACTCCTTGTATCTCCTGCTCAATGCAGGCGAGAGCACGTTCAGTCTAGTCTTATGGTAGTAACCTTGATATCACCGCATTGTATTATTGTGTGATCTCATCTTTGATGGTGCACACTTCTAAGGCCGCTGGCCCGGGCGGGAACGGCGACCAATGAGAGTACGCCTCACACGAGGGCATTCGTGACTCTGGAGTATGTATTGTCCGACATAGAGTACAGACATGAACATTAATGAAAAAAATACATCCATAGCAGTGACAACGGCCCAAAGTGTGATTTTCTATGCACTGCGCCATTGTTCGGTACCTTTTCCATTAGCCTGTCTAGACCTACGTATACTAGTAGTATATGACGCCGCCACAATGATCATGACAAGCAAGGTTTCAGCCGGCATGACAGGATTAGGCGGCGCATTATTACGATGATCGAGTGGAGCTTGGCTAAAAATCAAACTTAGGTTTAAGTATCCCTTTGCGGCCGATGACAAGAACACAGGTCGCAATTTGTCACTCCGGTAGTTTGCGGAAATGAGGAATTGAATTGACCCAGACGGAGCCACACGCGGGGATAATCAATCATATTGTCACCTGAATGAGATATATATTTCCGGTGACAAAATATATTGCACGAGCTTACCGCATTATTCTGACGGGAATAGGTCCATATGAAGGGAACAGATTCGGAAGATCCAAATCTTGAAGCTTGAAGAAAATTATTCGATCATCATAAATGCCTGCGATGGCAACGATGGAACCAGATCGTGGGGATTACAAAAGAGCACGGGCGTCACGGCGGACGTTTGCTTGACGGAAATTAATCCTAGCCGCAGATCATAGATCATTCAATGAACACATCCTATAACACTCCTAGACCAGCTTTGAGCTGATCTGCGAGATCGTCCGCTTCCTGTGTGTTGCTATCTGATTCCTTCCAAATCTTTTCTTCTGTAACACAGCGCTCACACCGGCAAGGTCCGAATCCCCACTCTGATAATCTCCGGCGTCGATCCCTGAGACTGCTCTGGGGGTTCGTATATGTAATTAGGAGCTCCTGTCCTATTTTGAAATCATCCTTTGCGATTACTGTGATGCGCGAGAGCGCGGTGCGCTGGTCCAAGTGTCTTATGGAGACGTTGGGAGTGCAACTGTGGTTAAGGTGAGAGTGTAGTCTGTACAGTCCACCATGGGCCTCCAGATCTACAAACCAGTGTAAAATAACGAAAAAAAAATACGACAGTTACGGAACAGCTTACTGAGACTCATGCGGCCCAGACCACGTAAGAAGGCCTGATATTCGAAAGTAAATTTCTGTAGCTCTTCGGAAATTGGCTTTTTCAAGACGCGTGCGAGTTTTTTTTGTTCTGCAAGGTGTCCGAGGTTCTTTGAATGCTTGCAAGTACAATTCAAAGGCTCTCCGCCAATTTTCACGATCGGGCTCCAATCCCTGCTCACTATTAGAGGGTCAGTGGACATTCGCCGTTGAAGTGTTGGAGTCCAATGACTCACCGAAGACACTGAGCACGTTCCTCCATCCCAAGCACAGCGAGGCCCTGGACTACTTGCAAGTCCAAGTCGAACGTTGCAGTATCTTGCTGAGAAGCGAGTAAAAGTCGGCTGGTGCACTGTGCGAGAGCATGTAGGGCCATCCACTGCGCATCTCTTGCGAAGGCAAGGAGTGGTACAGATGCGGGATTGCGTGCGGGACATAGAAGAGGGTGTGTTTTCTCTGCCTGCAGACGACAAAGCCTATTGCAGTATCTTGCTGTACAGGGAGTTGCTGTTGTGGAGGCCTCGCAGGATATATGCAACGGGGAATGATCGCGGATGATGGACGAGCAGAAGGAGCACGCCTCAGATGAGCGCTGGAGGTCATAGATCTCCCTTTCCAACCATAAGCTCTTTGATTCGAGTGATGGAACGTGTTGAAGAGCTCACCATTCTGGGGCCAGGATGAAAGGATCCTCTTTCCATAAAACATCCCCTTTTGCTATATCTTCTTTGGCGACGAGACCCTTGCCCTTGATCGCGTCAAAGTACTTGACTTCCACCCTATTGGTCCACTTGTTGACATCGAGGCTTTTATTGAGGCGAAAAGATGGATGGATGCTGTCGGTTGTACTACTGGGCGTCCCAGCGTCCGATCTGACGAGCCCTTCACTGTGCAAGATCTTTCGGACACGTTTTTCGCTGACCGTCCATGATGGATTTGCGTGAAGTAAAAGGCTGTGGATTTTAGCGACGCCAGAGGCAGGGTTGCTTTTTTTCAGCTCGATAGCGGCTTTTCTGACTTCGTCTTCGGTGGGGATGATGTTCCTGGACATGATCGTTAGATTCGGCGAGACGTTTTCAAATCATGATCTATATATTTCTCCTCAGTCCTTCGAGTTGGTAATCAAGCTTCAGACTGCGTAGTAAAACCTTGAAACCAACTTGCAAAACCATCGCAATCAACTTGAAACTACACACATATGTTACATCGTACTGTGTGACCTCGTAGTTTGAATGTCTAACAGTTGTTTCATTTCTCCAGCACGATAAACTTTTCTCAATGTCGGCTTTAGCTCGCTACTAGATAATGTGAGCAGATTGTCGATTGTAACAGTGCAGTGCATGTTAAGCTACTGCAACACCGGAAGTTCTGGCCATATGATGTTCAGAGCTAGCCCTCTATCAAGCGCGTGAACACGAGGTAAATATCGAAATCCAGTAACTTGAATCTCCGGCCGCCCCTTTGGACTGATCTCATGGTTAAAAAGGACGGCTCGGGTGGCCAGACTTTCATGGACGCGTACACTGCTCATATATATATATATGCATGAACACAGGCCGGGCGCGGGATGCCGCGCTTTATTGAGGGTGTTGGAGTTGCGGTGTGCAGAGAAGCTGTGTGGGATGAAGGACTTGAAGCACACCTCTGGGGTATGTATCTTTATAGAGTAGACTGACAAGGAAGAATGCTGAAGATTGTCATACCTTTTTCCCTGAGCCCTGAACGTTGGATAGGATCAACTTTTGGGATGTATGCGCGATGATATAATACACTTCGAATATCACATAGCAGCTACAGTCGAAGACGCCCGGGGACCCTCGTTAACACCACACACGCACCGATGTGATATCATCTCGACTCGACTCGGAGCGGCAACTGCCACTTAGCGTCCTCAGAACCTTTGACATTCGGAGATGACATCTGTATGGTCCATTCGATCTCTTTTGTGGGAGTGAACTTGAATGTCGGGATGAGCATGTAAAGGACAGTCTCTGGTCAATTTGTCAGCCGGAATCTAAACAAGAATGAAGCCTACGAACTCATCTCGAGCTCTGAAAATTTGAATCCACTATGTATTTGTTCTTATCAGAGACCGACAATTGTAGCATAAAGTTTAAATCTTACATGCATGCTCTTGCGCCGCCAATGAATGTCATTCTGGAGGAGAAATTGATCACCGAGTATGAGTATTCTGGGGATTTATATTCCCAAATACCACTCACAGGTGAGAGTAAACCCCTGGAATCTCGGCATCAATGACACTTTGTGGAAGCGGAGACAGCCACCTTTCCGGTTTCCATTGAAGCGCGTCGTCTCCCCAGATTTCAGGATCTCGGTTAGAGTTCAGGATGGACACGACAACATTTGTGCTCTTGGGCACAAGGATCTCGTGCATATATGTCCCGTCATTCCCTTTGACGGGATGCGAAAAGGGGAGAACTATATCATCACTTGCACTAGAAAAGCACAAGGTTCATTCGATATCCAGTGAACTTTGGATGGGACATACGTGCGTGTGGCGGTAGTAACCGGTGGGTACCTACACCTTTATGAGCATATATAAGTTGATAGAAAATGAACCCTCACAAGCGCAGTGTCTCTCGACATACTGCATCGAGGTATGGCAGATTCACCAGGGCATCATAGTCAAGCTCGCCAAGTTCAGTCATTGCTTGTTGTATTTCCTCGCACAGTCTGTACTGTGCATCTTGGTGTTGAGCAAGAGTCAAAAGGGTGCGACATAGGGCACTGGCAGTTGTATGTGTTGCGGCAAAAAGGAGCGTGCTGGAGTAATATTAGATAAATACATGGATGCAGCCACGCTCACCTCATCTGAGCCACAAGCTCTGAATCTGGAAGACTATCTTCCGCTGAAGCATCCATGTTAGCTCGGACTATAGCAGTAGATAGCTCAGCGGTTAAGAACGCAATTACAATAAATGAACGCACGCAGTATGCTCATGATGTCTTTTCCTTCTTGCAACTGGTGCAATACTGTGTCGTCTCCCTTAGAAAGTGCACGTTTCTTTTCCTCAAAGACTTTCGTCGATACCTCGTCCATAACGTCGACGATAGCACAGATCTCCTTCAGTGCCTTCCAAGGAAAAATCTTCACGACGAATCTCCTGAAGTTAGGAGGACCAACATTGATCAGAAATGGGAGAATTTTTCTCGCGACAGACACTTTGAATAATGTTGGCCTAGATTTCTCGTTAACCCTCCCCTATAGAGTTGTAAAGAATCATTGGAATGCGTACACGAGGTTCTTGACGGCAGCGCTGTAAGGATTGGCATAGCCTTCTTTCAGACAATCAAAAGAGTACCCCAGTCCACTCTGCCCCACAAGTTCAAGAGCGGTGCGATTGAGCCATTCCAACATATTAATTTCACAGGGCCCGTGTTCTACCTGCGCTGCAATGCCGTCTCGGAGCTATTACACATGCGCGCAATCAATAATGCCACCGATGCCAGACAAGTAAGGCACTTACACATTTCGTCACCTCAAGAAAAGTAGGCACCATGTCTCGCACGTGGCTGATAGAAAAGACAGGGTTGAGCATCTTCCGTTGCTTTCGGTGATGTTCACCTGTATAGGGATTAAGATACAGGGACAACACAAAAAGAATCCCACCGCACCCAATGTCGAGAGCAGGCCATCCCCGAAGAGGACCTTGTTTGTCCTGCAGGGCTTTTCAGTAAAGTGAACCATCAAGTACAGTGGAAATCCCTACGCCAAAAAGGTAGGAGCCATTTCAAAAGTGTTCTGATCTTTGACCATGATATGGTACATAGCCTTTGGATCAAACACATATAACTCTCTTGCCTGCGAACAACGTTCTCAAAAAAATAGCGATGCGTTTGCGCGATTGACGTACCCCAAAAAGCCCATAAAATTTCGATACTGGACCGTAGCGTTCCGCAAGCATCTCGTGGAAATCCCATGCATACCGCGCAAATATCTGTTCCAAGTTTCCTGAAACAATCTTATCCGTGCATCAACTCGTTAAGATTCTGCATTGTGTTCTTACCTGTATACCAACGCTGACGAGGGGGCCCGGGAATGTTATCTAGTGGGTTTCTCCTGAAGTAGCTACCCCAAACGGCGTAGAGGATTAGCCCCACGACGCACAGCAACTGCCAGACATAATGCATGATACTGAACAAATACCTGTGGTCAAAGATCAAGGGGCTATGTATGCCAAACCGTCAAAATTCATCTTATCATGATCAATGTCACCGAAACTTTACTTTCTTCCATAGACCGTGTCACGAACAAGAAGCGAGTTACTATCAGGCGCTTTATGCGGTGATCGGGATCTATTGATATCCCTCTTACACCAAGATGGTTAGCATGAAACCTCGACACCAAAGAGTCGAGGATGCGCAAAAAGCACAGGTTTTTCCTCACCAGGCGCAAGAACTGTCGAGGTTTGCCGTTAATACCAAACAGGAGATAAAGCGCCAAGACACGGCAAATTCCCCAGATGCGGGGATCTGGATAATCAAACCAAATCTTCAAGCTTCAAGTTCCACGTACGTTGATAATACAGGACTCGGAAAAAGCACTAAGTGGAAGTTAGATTTATGGGTGCTATCAATACAGCTGAAAAGATAATACGAACTACATAACCTCAATCAACTCTCGCACGTTTCCCGGGCCTGCTTTCTGACTCATCACTACTACCTTCCTCTGGTCGATTCCCAAGTTCCGTTCGCACTTCACTCTCACCAAATGGACCTCTGTTAGACGGCCCATCCTGCCCTCGCTCAACTGAACGCGAACGAGATTTATATGGAATGGTTGTGGCCTGACCCGTTACACCCCTCAGCACATCGAGTTCGTTCTCTGCTCTTTGTCGTGCGATGCGTTCCTCCTCCCATAACCTCCTCATGTCCTCCAACTGCGCTTGCAAGTCACCCATTGCTTGATCCATGAGCAACTTCTCTAGTGTCCATTTCTCAATATTGCGCGCCTCGTTTTCTTTCAGATGGTGGATATACTGCACAGCACGCTGAAGAATTGCGCCTTTCGCCTTTTCACCAGAACTGTTTGGTACTATGCGACCGAGTTCATTGATGCCCTCGTTGATATTTCCTCGACGTCGACGCTCAACTTCTTTCTGATAAATTACATGAATATCAATGACCAGAGCGCAGGAGGATTCATCGAAGATACCTACATGGTTGTCCTTACGCTGGCGGGTCCACTCATCGGTGCCCATTGCAGCGCTCCTGGCGGCCCGGGATCTTCCAGATGATCCGGACGGCGGTTGTGGAGCCGTTGAAGGAGGTTGTTCTCCGATGTCTGTGTCACTGAGAGCTTCCCCTCCATCCTGCGTGTGTGAGGCTGGAGGGGTTTGACCTGCAGCTGCCGCGGCTGCAGACAAGTGGCCAAGGTTAGGAGGACCGCGGGGGTGCGAAGAAGGGCCAGGATCGCCGGGGAATGATATGGGGTGCTGAAGTTGGTGTTGATTTTGAAGAGGGAACAATCCGGCTTGAGCGAGAGCCTGCAAAGATTGAGCAGCCTCTCCAGTCATATCGCCTTGAGCAGGAGACTATTGATGTAACCAAAAAAAATGGTGTCAGCGGCACATTTAGTGAAAATTGACGAATTCGACAAAAGCAGAGTGAACCATACAAAGGTATATCGTTCAAGGATAGTTGTTGGCACGAACCTTGTGGAAGAGACTAGGTAGGTTCTTAAGGAGATTAGAGACTTGAGTAGCATCCATACCCTCTATCTGCAGGGGTATGCGGTCGCCGTTAGGAACAGAAACCGGGCCTGTTGCTGGTGAACTCTGACTAACACTGGTGGTGGATGCGCCGGCGGGAATAGAAGAGTGCTGCGCAGAAGCCATGGTGAGGGATGAAGTCGCCAGCGAGCTAAACGATTTCTCATATTAGTTACTTGACTTGTTTTGTGTGGATTGGTTAAATTTTTTGACTCACAATTACAACAGGGATATAGGCACGGGATGGGAGGAAGGTGTCGTGCTGGTCACGGGGTAAGGAGGTCAAAAGTCACGGGAAAGTCACATGTCGCTTCTTATATCGCGAAATTGTTTCTTACAAATATAAACAAATATATCACGCCACATTATTAACGGCAGCGAAACGGAAACCCACGCAATTGAATTGGTTGATCGACATTACGGGCGAACTCCCACTTGGCAGTATGGTCAAGACAGCTTTGGTGACAGTCCTGACACTTTTAAATACTACATCCGCAAGTATCTTGCAGATACAGTCAATTATTAGGATACATTTCATGTAACCTGCTTCATCAACTTGTCTAACTTACTAGTTTACCCTTCAGGTTCTAATGACATACGCCAAGGCTTGTGAACTGCCCAGGCTAGTTATCCATAATATGCCGTACGGCGCCTATTGATCCATTTGGCCTCAGCGGAGTGACAATTCTTCGTCTTTTCTCTTGTCTTTTTATCTCTGGTAACTTCTTCTTTCTGATACCATCTAATCAGTGACGATGCAGATATCTGTGGAAGACCCTCTTACGCTTGCAATCGCACCTCCAAAAGATGAAACACCAGAAGAGAAAGAAACACGAGAGCAGGCTGAGATCGAAGCTCGTCGAATAAGCGAGGCCATCGACGAGCAGATTCGTCAAGAACGAACCGCACTCAAGAAGAAAAAGAAACCTGTCAAAGTACTTCTCCTCGGACAGAGCGAGAGCGGTGCGTTCACCAGAGCATGATTTCGGAAGTGAGCTTATCCTCATACAGGAAAATCTGCTACACTCAAAAGTACGTTTCGAGGGCACTCGTGAATCACTGAGAGATGATCTCGTTTCACAGATTTCCAGTTACAGCATGCACGTTCCGAGTGGGCGGAGGAACGAGCTTCATGGCGGGTAGTCATTTATCTAAACCTCGTTCGCAACATTGTCAGGGTCCTGGATATCCTCAGTCGGGAAATGTCTCTAGCCGAGAGCGAAAAGCGCCCAGGGTCTACAACAATAGAGTATCTCAGTGATTCAGACGACGAGACACCCAACCATGGAAATGTTTATCATTTCTCAGACAAACATCGTTTCATGCAACGGCGTCTCGGCCCGTTGCGCAGCATTCAGACTGACCTTGAGCGCAAGCTCGGTCCTGAATCGCAAGAAGTTCGATCAACAACTTCTACATCTGCAACCCCATTTGATTTTCCGGGCTCTCAACTACTACCCAAACGCCCCTCACGAGACTTTGGCATCAATTCGACAAACGGATGGAAATCCGCTTTGGAAAAGCTGCGCCCGTCGACAATGGCTAGTGCCCGTCCTCAAAGACGGAGTGATAGTGATCACGACGAGGTTACTGACGTGCTCGTTGCGTGCAAGGAAACCATGCTAGAGTTGTGGCAAGACCCCGTCGTCCAGCAAGTTTTGTCTTATCGCAAGACAAAGATTGAAGACTCTCCGGGCTTGTGAGTGTTCACTATCCTGTATTTTCATAGCCTTATCTATCATGTCGAAGCTTTTTGAATGACATCGACCGCATTGTAACATATGACTATGAACCTAGCGACAACGACATTGTTCGTGCGCGTCTACGAACGGTTGGCGTTCAAGAACACAGAGTCATGATGGATGACAGTAAGTAGTTCGGTTACTTCCAAACACTTGTATTAATCAACATTGCACAGGCAACGAGAAAGAGTGGATATTGTATGATGTTGGCGGAACGAGGTCTTCGGTAATCCTGATCACTGATCTAGTCGTATTTTGGAACTCACAACCCTCCTATTAAGCGTGTAGCGTGGGCGGCGTATTTCGACGATGTCGATGCTATCATTTTCCTTTGTCCAATCTCTTGCTTCGACGAGCAGCTCCGTGAAGATCGTCGCATAAACCGCCTGGAAGATAGCTATCTCCTATGGAAATCAGTCTGCTCGTCTCGTATTCTAGCCAAGACCGAGATCATTCTCTTTCTTAACAAGTGCGATCTCCTGCACAATAAGATCAAGCGAGGGTTGTCCATAAAGGATCACATCACAAGTTACGGCAATCGCAAAAACGACACTGTTACAGTAATGAAATGTAGGCCCCAATTTGCGCACTGTTTGCCAATAGGTCATGGCTATACGTCGATCCTCACGCAATCATTCTCTTTTCCAGACTTCCAACAACATTTCAAGGAAATTTCTAAGCAGTGTTCCCCGGAGCCACGGCCCATTTTCATCCATTTCACATCGGTAATCGTGAGTCTCCCACAGCTGTCTGACGTGCCTGGGTTCCTTGAGAACATTTCACCGTTGGAGAATTTGCGTACCCATGGTCACGGCGGCGTCACGCTAGCACGGGTGATAGCTAACTGGTTTTTGTTTTTAGGACACCAAGGCAACCGCAGCTACTCTGAGCGTAGGTGAGTGTCCACACGAGCTTAGGATGTCTTAGATCTCAATCCTCACATTGGTAATTGTAGTCGAGGAAAGTATCCTTCGTTCTCATTTACGGAATGCGGATCTTCTGTAATATTGCTGTGTTATCTTATCGCAACTTTAGCATACCCCCCGCCACATTGTTTTTTAATGTGTTGTACCATCATCTTCCTAATGTATTCCTCTCTTTACTCATTAACATTGTTGATGTCATCTATAAATTGCAACGACCCTAACCACATTTAGGTGATATACGCAGTACAGTAATACTAGATGGCCAACACACTTGCTTGCTAGACTGACTCGTGACCAGTCCTAACTTATGAGGCAAGCCGTCGATGGACGCCGTCTACTTGCTTGCACTTATAATCCATCTTTGATGATGAGGGGAATGGTTTGGGAATGGGGATCTAGCTTTGGATTCCGCAGCCCACAAACACAGCCACCCATCTAATTAGATCCATGTGAATTATCATGCTCTCAAGCCAAGCTCAATATGAGAAGAGAGGCCCAAGCATGCTCTTACCAGGAGCACGAGCTTGAGAGAAAGACGTTCAGAAGTTGTTCAAAATGCCCATAATGCCGCTGTAATTCCGCTGACTAGAATTTGCCTGGTGGATTGTTTGGTAATTCAAGCGTCAATTGAGTAAATTCTTGGTAGATCACTTAGCAAAAACACTCTAACGAGGTACCTAATACTGTGAAACAACTGTAAGACAAATGAATCTTTAGGAACCCGCTCGACTCTGTCCATCATCTCTACTGTTTCCGTTCCGCAAGACGGGTGTAGCAAGTCCCCTCTCAGAACGCATTTGCTCCTCTGGAGATTGTGAAAACTGCCTGCCAGGCGTCATCGGACTCACTGTTCCAAGCTCCACCTCTGGGCTCTCAGCCTCGTCTTCACTGTCATGCGGCGTACCCAGTGCGCTTAGATTCGCACCTGCGGGTTGACCTGATATCGAGATATTCCTCCGCGCACGTCTGGCGTGGAAGGTGCGGCTGGCAGTGGCATTCGAGAATAAAGGAAGAAGATATCTCTCATCCAGCGCCTGGAACCATTTGCCATCTTCGTTGGCCTGTCTGCCATCATGTCTTTCCGCAGACGGACCCGCATCCGCTGAGGTCGTGGCCATAGGGAGCACTTCCGCTTCTGACTCAAAGGAATCTGATGATGTCGCAGAAAACATGGTATTGCCGATCGGCGATGGTGGTGCTCCCGTGTGGTGATTATAAGTCCGTGATGTATAGTGTGACCCTACTCTGCCTGCAGCCCGCCCATATCCGTGTTGTGATGGCGAGAAATATGGCAAGGGTTCAGAATCGTCGGTATACCTGTTCCATGAACCACTATGGCGGCGATTCTGCCATGCATTGCGTCCCGGAGGTGCATCTTCGTCGCTGCTACTAGCAGCTTCGTCTTCAACGCCTGTGCGAATACCAAGGATCTCTAGCATGCGTGCAGTGGTACCCCCGAAAACGAAAACAGTAAGCACCACTACAACAAGGACAGTTATCCGCAGTGTCTGCGCATTCTCGCCCTTGAAACCAGCCGCAAGTGCCACACCCACTGCACCTCGCAAGCCAGCCCAGAACAACATCATCTGGTAAGAGTGTGGAATCTCTTCTGTTCGCTGTCCCCGAGCATGACGAGTGAAGAAGTTGATCGCTTCAGATAGTGGGAAGACGGCTGCGTATCGGGTGAATACAACTGCAACCGTCGTGACCACAATGAAGAGGGGCTTGACATAGTTGGTAACGCGCTCTGATGACGGAGGACTTGTGAAAAGTGAGAGACCGAGGTATATGAAAATGAAGTTTTCGGAGAGTTGAGCGAGAGTCGAGAAGATATATTTTGTTGTTCGCTGCGTTCGCCGGGACATGGTATGATATGCATAGTGTTTCAAGGTGATTCCGCAGAACAGGAGGGATACGATGCCAGACATAGACAAGCCGTTTGACAAGAAATAGCAGGTATATGCGCAGAGGGCAACAAGACAAGATTCGATGGAAGGATACAGACTCATCGACGAGTGTTTGAGGGTTAGGGACATTGCCAGGCCAAAACTAACGCCAAGGGCCATGGATACGCTGAATGAAAGCAAGAAAATTCCGATGCCATGGAATATCGACGAGATGTATATCTCTGTGCCGTGGAATTGGGCAAGGGTTCTGAAAATCACATATAAGCAACAGATTCTAAGGGAGGGGGTAATTCAAACTTACTCATACATGACAATACTGACCGCATCATTTAGCAGACTCTCGCCAAAGATGATGGTGTAGAGCTTTGGGTCCACCTTATACTGATTGAATATGGCAAGAACGGTCACTGGATCAGTTGCAGATAGTGTAGAGCCATAAATCAGGCACTCCAGCAGTGTAATATCCAAGGATTCTAGTCCCAGGAATGAGTAGAGATACACGAGCACACTGTCCTAGAACAGTTAAGCAAAGTATTGTAATGCGAGTAGCATTTTCGCATTTGACGCACCCGACACCGATAGCTGATATTAATGTGCCCAAAAATGCAAAAGTAAGGATGGAACCAAAATTGCGAAAAAAGTTCTCCTGCGGCAAGGTTGTATATGTCTGAATCTATTTTAACATCTGCAGATTACTCACTTGCTTGAGCTCGTATCCAGAGTTAAGAATGATAGGAGGGAGTAGCAAGTTGAAGAACAGAGTATGTTTGAAGGTCTATGAATAAAGCTTCAGTCGCGCTGGCAGTGGTCACAGTCTACAAGTGGCTTGGAGACATAATAAAGCAAGACACCATTCTGTCCGTGAAAGCAGTGCAGATATGTGACGAGTGAATACTTACCAGCATTTCTCGAATCATCGTTCCCGGTGCAAGTCTAATCACCAACCCTACAAACATCCCTGCAAAGATAGAGACGGTAGTCTCATGGATGGCCCGGATTTTCCTGATTTGCAGGTAATAAGATGTCCATAACGAGACGACGAGTAGCAAGCAAACGAGGAATAGAGACCACGACGAGTAGTACTCTTCGTCTTCCGGAATGGGAGCTTCAGTCAGTGTTGCGGATGGCGCCTGTACTGTTATTGAGCCCAACTTGAAAGCCATGAAGTGTGCGTAGCCGAAAGTACCACGGCTATAAGCCTACAACCAAGTTGGGGTCGCAGGGTACTCCCACGCACACCATAATATTACGTAATAAGATCGGTATTTTTCTCTCGTTGACTGAGAACGTTGTATTAATGAAAGAGATATATAATAGGGCCCTCTACGCATACTGTCTCGCGGCTTATTTTATCTCCTCCGGGTCTTCGCTGCCTGAGTTCGAGCAGCGATAATCTCACTTCTCTTGCTCATGTACCACGATTTCGCGTACTGCATAGATTCCATCATAGTGGGTGGTTTGACCTTTGGTTCAACACGAGGGTTTATCTTGAGCCACCTGCGCACTGTTGTACGTTGTAGGATAAAGGACTGCAGGCATGACACTGCCACACCAGTCAGGATGGACAACCACAAACCCTGAATACATAATTATCAGAATCGCATTCGCAAGAATTAATTAGTGAACCCTACGCTAGGCAGTGAGCCCATGAGAGGGACGCTCATGAACGAAAAGATGCGCATAAAATTCATGAGATGAGCCATCTCGGGACGCTCGGAAAAATTGACGTCGTTTTTCATCACCTATGACCACCATTTGGTATCAATTTCCCGGCGCATAACTTCTAAATACACGCACCGACATTTGGATGTTGATGGCAACAGTGGACAAGATTGGTAGGATGTAGTATGGGTCCGACATAGTTAAATCAGGCAAAAAAGAGACTCCGCTCTGTTTGAGCTGCTCTACAGGAAGCATGGTCATCTTCCTGACAGCTAAGAACAAACCCAATGTGATTGGGATTTGAACAAAGGGCATGATAATGGAAGGAAGCACCCGTGCACCCGCTTGTTCATAGATTTTCTGTCTTTTCAGGGATATACGCTGCAATGCAAGGCGGTCACTGGTGTCGATTGACTTCCATTCCGCCGTCACAGCTTGCAGTTTATCGGTATATGGAAGTAAACGCGACGAGTTACGAAGGCTCATGATGTTGGCAGGTAAAATGACCACACGCCACAAAAGTGTGCCGGCGATGATCGTGTAAAACCACGGCATTCCAGTGCTGACCTGTAGAAGTTCGAACGACCACCTTATGATCCCAGCTGGTGACCAGCCAGCGAGGCCTAATTCTGCTAAATCTCCATATTGAAGGGGTAGGATGGCGCTGTCGGACGCAGGAATATCGATACCTGCACCACCGTCAACGACGGCCGTTAAACTATCCTGCGCGGTAGTCCCTGGTATCAAAGCAGAGTCTAACTCCGGTGTCGCTGTATTGGTTGTTGTTGTTTCTGGTTCCAAGTCCACAACAGCGGTACTAATGTTGCCACTGGAAGGTGGTGCTGACTCTACTGCCGATGCCGCCTGCTGCTCAGGTGTCGCCGGTTTCGACCACCAGAAGTTACGAGTATGCGGTATGCGCTGGGAAGAGATCACCCTCGGCGTAATTTTTGAGTGCTATAGAAAAACTGAGTAAACGAGTATATAAGACTCTTCGACGCGTACCGGAAAGGTCAAAAACCGCACTTGGTTTCGAGACACTTGCGTCCATATTCTGTAGTGTCATCAGCAGTGTTATGTCGGTAGACTCATTCATCGGAAACGTACCTTGCACCAGAAACTCTGGGACTCAGGCGAATGCCTACGCGTACCGTTGAAGGCAGAAGCATCAATTTGAATGTCAAACCCACGCTCTGCTCAAGCTGACCACCTTCACTCGCAGCTAGTAAGGGTTCAAGAAATAATTTAATGTACCGAACCGAGCCGAACCAATTTCTCACAGTACTATCGATTGTATATTCGGATTACTTCACTGGCACCTTCATCATGCTCACATACCGGTGAGCGATACGAAAATAATTTGCGATCATTAACGTGACTGAATACTATTACAGGGGTCATAGAGAAGAATCATGTAGGCCAATTGATGTCCTCGAGCTGACTGAACTTCGGGCACGCAATCGCACATTTAACGGTGCTTACCGCCGTACCGCCATTGCTGCCCTTGGGTACGCACTAACGACCCTCCGACTGTTTGATTCGCGTTTTCTTCGAAGTAAGCCTGTTATCTTATTGTCCTTGACCTCTTTTATAATGCCGTCACCTTGTCCTCCCTCCATTGCCCACAATATCGGACAAAGTTGGTATTCTCTATCTCGTTCTCTCCATTCTCCTTTTCACTCTCGGGTTCATTCGCGATCGAAATTCACGACATGACTTTTCCGACGGATCAAAAACTAGCGCTCTTTATGATCAGGCGCTCCCTACTCTCGGGCAGGAAGACAGACGAGAATATGGTCGCCCATTCATAACTGCTGGACGTGATGTTGTTGCTGTTGGTGCACTCGTGATGATAGTGGAAATCCTGTTGCTTGTGTTTGTACTTCAAGTGTAACTCTTCTCTCCGTGCGGGAAAACATCATGTTGGGTATGGTGCGATGATTTACCTTGCTAGCCCCATCTGAGCTAATTTCTATGCAGCTATCTATTCATATCCGCACTGAGGAATGCAGATCCCTCGATACGTCATTTAGTGTCGATGTACTACAACCACTGTACGAAACTCAATCACATCTTCAAGGCGGTTTCCAGGCATTAACCACTGATACATTTGCGAATTGTACTGCTTTTGCGTTCCTCAGTTGGGACCTTTAGCAAACACAGTTGCCAAACTCAAATATTCATGTTAGAAACCACACACAACTTGAATAATACTGTAAGTATATAACCTAGTCCTAAGGCCTCGCGGCACAGCCGACAAGCTTATTGTATCATTAATGAGATGACTACGTTGGTATATTGAGCCGACTCGATACTGGGCGACACGGCTGAAATGATTCGAAGCACACCATGCCCACAAGGATCAAAAGGTGAAAGAGAAGACGACAAACAACTTCGAAGATGATACCTGGAGAGTATTTGTCTAAAGAGAAATTGCAATAGGTATAATATTAGACAACTCCATTCCAGTCACCATAGACAACCATCAAAATTCCATGACTATCAACTATGAGTCCACTTGACTTGTGTAATACAGACCTCAGAAAGCTGTGATCGCGAGACCTGCAGCACCCAAGATAGCACTGACGAGCAACGATACATCGGCATTTATTGACCGGGGACTGCCACTCATAAGGCCACCGGAAAGGCCGCCCGCGGCCTGCACAGCGCCACTCAAGAAGCCGCTTGGGCAAGTTGACGTGGCGGCATTGTAAAGAGCAGACTGACCACGGAGCAGTAAGCTGTTGTTCAGACCTGGGGCATAAGGGAGACTGGACTCGAACGTGATGTATGACGTGAGAATGTTGCGTGTGCAAGTGGTGCAGAGTTGAGTCGAATTCATTGTGGAATCAAGGAAGAGGAACACGAGATTGGTATCCTGGAATGTCGTGGTGTTGGGAATAAGTGCAGTGGTGGAGTTGCTAACGTCCCGACGTGCAGAAGCCCCGCTGTTAGATGTAGTATATAGGTATTGTTGCAACGCCTGTTGTTTGTTGGGGGTCACCAAAGCCACATTTCCAACAGCAGAACTACTGGATGTGGTGTTTAACTGCGTGACACAGTATTGACCGTTGTCAGACTTCGAGCATACGGCTTCTCTGAGTGGCGTCAAGACATAGAGAACATCATAAGTCCTGAGGACATCGGTATTGAGATTCGTCGTGAGTTCTGCGGAGCATGCCGAGTAGTAGGACATCAATTGAGAGCGAACAGTGCTGTCGGGGCATGCATTGAACGCAGATTCCGAGCAGAGGTTGCTCAATACAGTGTTAATAAGGCTTGTGGTGATGTTGCTCGAGTTGACCCCCGGTGCGAACGCAGATGTCGCAGATGTGATTGGGGTTGTGCAGGAGGAGAAACTGCTGTTGCTGTTCAAACTAGCTAAATAGTCTGAACAACCTTGACTGATTCCTGAAGGAATGTAAGGATTGGAACTGGAGGACTGGTTTCGGAACAGTGTCGTTAGTCTAGCAATCAATGGTTTCACTAAACTTGATACTTACAGACTGTGCCAAAGAAGCAGTAATAAATAATGAGAGAATAGCAAATGACTTCATTGCAAGGTGGGTATGATATATATCAACGAGTGGAAGGGTTGTTTGCAGTCGATGGCGACGATGGCGACGAGGTTTCTGTTGTGAAAGAAAACAATCATGGAAAAATATCATTTCTGATTTATAAACAAAGCCAAATACATAATACACGTGGTTTGCTCCAATAGCCTGCTAGCAACGGTTTGATCAAAAACATGCGCTTATTATGATATCCTGGGATTGTCGAATACGAACATGGCTTCAGGAACTTATATCACCCTCAGCACCCTTCATTCAAATCCAGCATGCTGCCGTCGCTTGTCCCGGATTTATGCAGGCGGACTATCCCTGCATATGCGGCCCGCGCCTTTTTAATGTACCTTTGGTCCCCAGTATGGATGCGGGGGATACAGGGACGAATCGGGGCCTATCGAGGCACTGCTCTGGTTGTTCTTTCACCTTATCTGTTGGTCTTTACGAGTATGGGTGTACCAAACTGTTTACCTCGGTACCTGGCCAAATCCAAGATGCATCTGTTCCACCCGAGTCTCACTCCACAGATCAGTTCAAGTTGGCTGATCGGTCCGCAACTTGGTATCGCACACTTACAGGAGCATACAATAATTTTCTCGTGAGTCGTGATAGAACTTACCTATATGTGATCGAATCTTGTACACACCTGCCGGTAGCCCACGCGGTTGCATGGGACCCATCACGAATGTCCTACCTGAAGTATGCACTTTTGATTCCTTCTCACACCCTAGGGTTAGTGATAAAGATTCCTGGTACAGAAGGCTGTTCTCTCCCTGTTCCAGGAAAAACCTACTAGTACGGACATGAAAGAGTCTACATTCTACTCCAGTAAGTCTATCGCCGCTTAACCTCGCCTGGCTGATGTGTGTCACTTCAGGATCCGCACTGTCGTGCTGACCCCGCTTCTGTTCACATACCCCAAACCTATCTGGATTCTTGTTCAGTTAAGTTACTTCTGCAGACAAATACATGACATGTACATACAAGGAAAGCACTTTGAGAGTACCAGGACGCTCGGATTGGATCGTACACGTTACAGCAAGTCCTGAAACTCCGCTCAGTTCAAGTTGCAAATCCTCTTATCTGCACATGCGGCAAGGCCAAGCTGATATTCCACCGGCAAGGGTTCAAATCTCCACAATGCGGTAAGCACCGAGTGTGTCCCATAATTGCTTATCGTGATGACCACTTTTTTTCCGCCTTATTCCATCTAGTATCCATCAGGGCTCTCTTGGCTTTGATGATCCCAGTCGTAGGCGGGTTTGCTCCGCCGGCAAGAGCGCTGACCAGTCTGCATAACATCAAATTTGGTGTAAAGCAATATCGTCTCACCAACAATTGTTTTCCATGCTCAAGATCATATTTGTGGTAGGAACAAGAGTCAACAGCACCAGCGTGTCGGTTGGCCACAACCATTTCGAGGTCGAGTATCGTCAAATAGATCACTGAAGTCATCCACATCCAGATCCATTTCGATCATAATCACTCATTTCCGTCGAGGGTGCTGCATATCGTCACCACTGTCGCCAGTCTGATATCGGGAGCTCATTTTAATAACACGTAACTGCTCAGCAGACCACACCTTTTTGTTCTTGAACGAACAGATGACCTCCCGGGTGGGCGAAATACATAACGCAGAAGAATTATTGGAAATAAATTGGAAATCGTGGAAGCTATAATCTGTCCAGCTGAGAGGATTAGCGCAAATCGTGACTGTATATCATCATGGTGCCACAAAGGTCTAGTCCGTTGAAGAAGCCGGAACTCGGAGATTGGCGTACTTGTTATATGTTCGGCACCATGAACTCGAGGAACAGAAGACCATCATTCGGATTGATACGCGACATCAATTCTCGCAAAGCCTCGCAACCAACGTGAACCTTGTCGTGGTGTCGGGCACCCTGGTGATCTTCGGCAATGCTTATGTAATGGATTTCACAGTCTAATAGTCAGCCAATGAAAATCGTTTATCGTTTAGACAATTCACCAATAGAAAGCCCAGCATTCGGGTACAACCAAGAAGCAAGAAATGACATATTATGCCAGCTGGATATGTTAAGATTCTTATCAAAGTTCATGCACATGTTCCAACACCCAGGTACAAGAGGCAAGAAATTCTGAGCACTGACTCAACCAGGAACTCTCATTGGTGGAAAGGCCTCGGTCATGACTCAATATTGTTTCCGGTGCTAGCACGAAAACGACGCGTCATAATGTTGTCGGCTTTGCTGGTTCATCAGTAGAAGATCAGGGACCAAAAGTCCAGAACTTCAGGAGCTCCGACAGAGGGAAGTTCTGTCCACGCTCCTTCCCACAATTTGCACGGACTTCTGCGTTATCTTCCAAAATAAGAATTACAATGTATTTTGCAAAAAGTTTCGCCTACAGTGCACAGTAATGGGAAGGCGGATCATCCACCTTGGTCAGGCTGAAAATGCCTCGTAAGCTCTCACGTTCAGACACACTAAAAGAGGACCATCGTCCGACAAAGGAACATCTGTTATGGATGTAACCTTCAAAGATCCAAGTCCCACGTCCTTCGTCACCCGAGTATTTCTGCACGAAAAATACGTCATAAGAACGTGAAAAATACGTCGAGCGAAACTGGACTAACTGGTTTTCTCGTCAGCGTGACAAGTCCGTCAGATAAGCGGATTCTCCCAAAGAAGATAAATGCACCCCAGGTGGCTTCCAATCTGCGTGGAGTCTAAAACGAATGCGTGAATAATCCCCTAAACTCTTTGATGACCAACACGCACTTCACCAGTAATCACGACATCCAGGGCATGCCGTGGGTCCCTGTATTTGTCGGAAATATCGGTTGGGCGAAAAAGTTCATATCGATGTTTTGATGAACCTGTGGCGTCTGAAAATTCATTTGCTGTCTGAGGTGGGAAGGTATGACAATCGTGTCAACAACATTGAAGAGCAGTGAGAACCATACGCACAGCGACTCCTTCACAATCATTCATGGATAAATGTTTGAACGCTGACTCTCCGAAATCACCATTCTGCGGAACGCTGGGCAATGGTATGCATGGTGTGAAGCAGAGGTGTTCCTCAAGCCGGCATTGGATGGGATGCCTGGACACGAAATCAGGGGAAACCGTGGGATCCCATTTCTGTGAAGGACATCGACAAAATGATGTCGGTGATGTCTATGGAGATTTTAGCCGAGCTCTCGAAGCCATAGACCATCCGCCTACCCTGTGAAATACATCATCAATTAGGACTAGTAAATGATATCAGGCACTTACATGTATGTGCCTTCCCAAGTTCCACTTAGCAATCCAATGCACGACCGAAGTTCCCAAGTGTCATCCGGTAACCCCAGGCGGTGGGCAATACGATAGAACTCTTCATCATGGGCGAGACTTCTTGATGCCCGCATCTTCCTTCCCGCGCGATCCGCAAAGGGTTCACGGGAGGGTTGTTGATGACCCGAATCAGCGACAAGAGGAGTCCTTCTCCTTGTGACGGCAAAGAAGTCCTCTATAGTAGGACCATCATGTTCCGTGGGGCGCGAAATCGTTTGAGTTTGTGGCAAATGTTTGGGCACTTGTAGAGCTATCGCCTCCTTCAGTGCGAAAGTTAGGAAGATTGACGCGGAAAGAAGGTTGGGGGCGGTTAGCGTGTATTCCCGAGTGTAAATCGGGGAAACCAGCGCCCGGTAATTATTTTTGACACAAACGTCGGGCATTATTTCTGGTCCTCGGCTGTACGATCCGTCGATTGATAAAGGACATTGTCTCGCCCCACCGTTCACATGGAGCGAAGGAACCTAAAATGATGTCAGTGATGGTTTAATATATGGGTGCAGTCACTTCAAATCACATTTGACGACCCTGTGACAAAAGGCCTTAGTTCCGAAAGCGTCTGACTGCGTTCCTCCGACGGCATATCGACAATAAACTCTGGACGATGTCATTAAATCAGGAACGCATGTATGCTAGAAAAGTGTGTTATGCCTTACTGTGAGACCAAACCAAACAAGCGACAGAAATAGCTAACGCGGGAGCTGTGTCGTCACGAAGGACCCCTTGCTGGCCAAGGCAACGTTTCAACAGCATACGTATATATTGCGCGATGCCGGCAGAGTGGAGTTGAGATTCGTTCATCCCATCGCTTTCCAACAGCATTAGGTAGATTGTCCAGAGGTCAGGAAGGATGCTGTGATCGGCAACATGGCGATGCTGGATGCGGCGAAGCACCGCACATCGACGCTGTAACTCCAATGCCAGGTTCGTAGTCGTAGGCGGTGCTAGCTTGTTGCGACGGTGATGAGCGACCAGATCAAACCTACTGCGAAACACCCGCGCGTAAAGCTGGGGGCAAGATTTCAGAGAGAGGGCGTCATGCAGGTTGCGGCTACATAGAAGTAACTGAAGAACAGCACCAAGGCCAGTGAACGGTGCGGAAGCAACAGTGAAGAAAGCTATCTGGGATAGAACATCGACAGGGATTGATTCGAGGCGAGGAAGCATCATACTAGCTGTGTAGAATCATAAGTGCAAGCCCGTTTTAAACTAGAAAGCAGGCGAGTGGCGGAGTGCCGTTCAAGCAATGAGATCGCCGCGCGAACTAAGCGGAGGTTTGCTTTTCTCATTGAGAAAATTGGAACGTCTGAAAGAGAGGTAAACACACGTTCTCCAGATCAGATCTTGATTGTAATCGTGGCTACATACCCGTGTGCCTGGTTGGGTTCATATATCCGTCTTCACAGCAAGTGCTATCGGAAGCGCATCGTAATTCTTGGCCAAATAGTTTCCACATCTAGCACTGGGCAATATATGTGGCGTTGATTGCGCAACTGCTGTCCTAGTAGCTATCGCCTAGACTAGTACTGCTGAATCAGGGCCAACCGCCAAAGTTGAACGTGTACATCACTTCAAATTTGAGTGCAAAGCAAGAAGGCGGATAGCTTCTGCTGCGACGCCATCACGCAGTAAATGACTGCTCAGTACTCAGTGGATCCACCATATTTTGTGGGACATCCTTTGAGCTTCCAGTATCTGACACGAGGGCAAGAGAGCGCCGTCGACGGTCGTCGCTGCCAAAGCAACTTGCCCAAGCACGGAGATGAACAATCCAGAATCGTTGTTGTCAGATGGCAACAAGTGTTCCGAGCATCGAACTACTCCAATGGTGCATTGGCATTATGATAACGGTCAAATGGCGGTGGCAAAACGCATTTCCTAAGGTGCACCAAGAAAGGCAACATAAGTTTGCACTGCTTTGCGCATTCCCCATCTGTTTGAAGTTAACCTTGTCCACTGACTGATCTAGCGTGACAACCACTCACAAAGTTGTGCGTGGGTGAAGCGAAATGTGAACGTTTGAACCCACAGTGCGCAGCAGCTATTCTTTCTGTATGTAAATGACCCGAAATTTACAATCAATGCTGATGCGTGTCTTATACATGCGGCAGGCCAATACTGTGCAGTGTCAGTGTCATGAGTAAGTCAACTTATCATACAGTTAGGACTTTGCCTTGCAGGGAGCATGTAATGTGTGGGTCCGTTTAATTGACACTGGCACATTCATCGCGCACATTAACAATGATCATATCGCACGAAACCTTCACATTTCCTATAATGATGCTTCTTAACACAGCTTACAAAATCTCGCTCATCAACACCCGGTTTAATTACAGTTCTTTGGGAAGAAGTTAGGTATCAGCCATCATGCAAGATGCAGGAGAATGCTTACTCTGCATGGCAGCAATGTCGGAACTCTGGACGTAGTCATCGAATTCAGCAACCTTCTCCTGTAGGTCATCCAAGGAAACAAGTTCATCCTCTGTTCCAAAAAGTCATGATCCCTTCGTCAATATGATGACGAATGATAACTGACCAACAACCACAGTGATTTGGAGCTTTTTGATGCCATAGCCGACAGCGACTAGTTTGCTGGCACCCCAAACAAGACCTTCCTGCTCAATAGAACGTACGGAGTCCTCAAGTGCTTGCATATCGGTTTCATCATCCCAAGGTTTGACCTCCAAGGTCACAACAGACTATTGAAGAGCAGCCGTCATAAGCACCTCGATATTAAGCAAGAAATGAAACAAACCTTCGCGGCTGCTTTGGGCTTATTGGCTTTCTTGGCATTGTAGGCGGCAACACGCTCTGCTTTGAGCCTCTCTGCCTCTGCGTCGTCTTCTTCATCATCATCGGCAAAAAGATCGACCTCGTCTTCATCAGCAGCAGCAGCAGGGACCGGAGCCGATGCCGATTGAACAAAGGCCTCCCCAGCCCTACTTGTGCCAGGTAACGTTGCATGCTCCGCAGCATAAGACTTGATGTGAGAGTACCATCTGGCAGAATGCGGGTACTGCGGTAGCTCAGGTGCTGTGAGCAAGTTGTAAACGTGAACGTCTGCTTGAGAAGGCGTGTACCTGGAGTCAAGATATTTAGCTAAATATAACATCATAACGAGCCAAAGGAAATCAGAAGGCTAGGTAAAGAGTTATCGGCATATCTGAGCAGCGGTGTCTAGTCGCTTCTTGGAAACACGGACCATAGCATAGTGATCATCACGAGAAAAGCAATGTTAGAAGGATGGAAGATGACTCACCCCTCGATGTAAGACCTGGTACTTAGGTGTTGCTCAAGGGCGTTGAGGTTCAAAGACATCTTTATCTTTATCGTCAAGATTGGTTGAGTAGAATAAATCGAGAAGTTTAAAATTTAAAGTTTTTTGCGACGCCTCTTTAGGGCAGGCCCAGTGACTTGTTCGAACAATTCCGAGTCGGACACGGCTCACTACAACGACTCTTTACGTGCGGGATACTACAAGCTATCGTTGGCGATCTATCGAATGCGAATCTCACAATAGCCCGAACCTGCAGTTGACCCGAGGTGATTTTTTCCATATGAGGTTGCAGTTTGTTGACTTCCTCGACTTTTCACCAATGCGGCTAAGCGCCAAGCGTCGGTACGTCTTATTTGTACTCCCATCGTGTGTGATGCAATTGATAACCAATTCTTTTACATTGTAACCCCATATTTTACAGAACCGAACCCTTTCGCCACCGTATGGGTTCCTGTGGATTAACATATGAACTTTCTATCACGGCGTAGAAAGATCTGCGTGCACCAACATGCTTTTGGCATAGTCATAGCGCTTCGGTACCGGAGAAGATCAACCCCATTGGTTCAACTCCGTGGCTTCCAAGTGGCCTTGGTTCTGAAACGAGTTTCAAGACGATATGACGCTATTGATTATGAAACTAATGACACAAGGCAAGTGATTCTTTACTCCTCTTTTATCAAGTGGTTGCTTATTTCATGCAATGAGTAGTAATTGAGCGGCGGAAAAGCTTGCTCCATATGATGCAAAGCTATTATTCTGACCTCATTGCGAACTCTCGCTAATTCTTTCGTGAGTACTTGTCAAAGCAGTGGTAGACTGATATATAGTTGCTCATATTGTATGCCGGAACAGGAAATGTCAATTGTTGGTGATAATGTCACGCTTCATACAGTACTGTCCGAGTCCGTCCCGGTGCGTAAGGCGGAAATTGGTTGATCAAAGTTTGTTTATGGAATTCCGCTTGATCACGATATCTTTGCTCTGTAAGTCTTAGTCCTAACACGACATTTCTACCTCGCTTTCGATTAAAATATATAGTGACTCGTTCTGGTCGTGCACCAAGGCCGTCTTCCCCGCGATGTGGGCCCTTCGCTATTTTGATATTGAATTCCTCGCCTGAAACTCGCATGTTATGCGCTTCCGCTCCTCGGGTATTCATTTGATGGCCGCCGGGGTACATGTCAATAACTTCCATCCGTTCTTGACACCTATTACACCCTTGCACTTCGATTAATGATTTTGATAATGGAGTGATGTGAATGACATTATATTTATTATGAGATCAAGGGTTTGCAAGCGGTCTGACGCGCGTTGGTGTCGGCATCCTATGTTGAGACCTGTAACGATTGGAAGCTGCGGGTGACCACCGTGAGCGTCGCGATCATCCTGCAAAATTGCCTCATGAATGGCCAAGGTCTCCAATCCATGTTCCTCCAAGCGTAGTTTTGCACATTACTTCACTTCATGTCACCCCGTTGGAATGACCGCAGCACCGTGACGTCAAATACCATTTGCTGTACTTCTAGCTCGTACAGGAAAATTGACTGTGGTGTGGAACGTGTGGCAGGGATGCCGTTAAGGCTGAAGCCCTGGATAGCATTCGGGCACAATCTTCTGTGATTCGCGCTCGACAAGCGTTCGTTGAGGACCAAGCAGGTGCCCCTGTCACGGTTGCCTAACGTATATAAGGCTAAAGCCCACTGCCATTGCGACTCGGATGCATTGACATGGATAAAGGTGTCGCGCGGGTTTCCGAAGTCGTCGGGATTACTAGAACCCTGGAATGACCATCAGGAGTCGTGTGAACGAGTCTTGACTCGTCTGCATGTTTTCATGAGGCCTTGAGGGAAAACGTAATGTGTGAAGGGTGACTAGGATGGCAACCATTGCGTTTGGCGAGTTATGAGAGGCGTATATAACCACATCTTGATATCAAGCAGGAGGTCATCAGATCTGATTCTGACATGAGAATCACAGGAGTGTTTGATACGCTGATACGATAAAGACTTTCGTAAGCCGCACGTTTAGAGTACTTCTGCATCCTTGAGAGATCCCACAGTACAGCATTTGCTTTTTTCGTCTCCCCTACGGGATAAATTACTCGAGTGGGCATAGTATAAAGCTTATCATGGCGGGAGCTTCATACACACGCCTACCGATGAAGGCGCTGAGACACCTACTTATCACCTCGGAATTTGGCCGGTATATCGATGAAGAAATTATGCCATTTGATTCACGATCAGATGCGGCGGCTGTCACTTGTGAAACGTGCTCAGACAAGAGCATTTTATCCGATACTACGGCGGGAAGCATGTTGTACGTGCACTGTCGGAAAGTCGCGAATTGCACTAAGGCTTTGGACCAAAACCTTGCGTCGTGTCCGGTAGTCGTCCCGCGGAAGTACTAGAAATAGTTAAGTTAAGTCCTAGACTCAAAGACCCTGTTATGGAACATAAAGTTAACATCTTAACAAAGAATAGAAAAGGAAAGCGCTCGAACTCACAGCCATGGTCGTGAACGTTGACAAAACGTAGCAAGAACGGAAGGGTTCATCATATTGTCCAGCCATGTCTGGTTGGGAATCACCACATTCTTACGTGCAACTTCTTCGTGAGGTAATGGCGGATTATCCCATTCAACATATTGTCTAACGGTGTCTTGAAGGTTAAGATGGGCATCAAGAAGTCCTGACACAAGTCACGGTGTTGATACTGATGCTGTTATTGGCCCAGACTATAATTCCGTTTGCCATTCGGCATCAGTGTATCATAGTCATGCATTAACGATGGCAGAAGGGGTCACGGACTTTTACCGGGCGGAGGGCCACGAATGCGGCAGAGCAGCAGTGTGCCTATGAGGGTATGGATTCTTGCCATGAAGAGTGTAAAAGCCCAGTTGAATTCTTGCAGCAAATGCGTCGTGAGTCGGTCTACCCAACCTTTGCTGGCATCACAGTACTTGCACACTTGCATCTGCACTGACAGGAGGACGTTGAGAATACGGCAGAATTTGTTGGGTGGAGCTATGGAAGTAATGGGGTGCGGAAAACGACGGGATAGCAAATTAAAACTCTGGCCTGACTCGATCAGTGCAGGGTGGGTTGTGTTACAGAGTGCTATCAGATCTGAGAGCATTCTGTAGCAAATTGCGTTTCCCTGATATGATAGCCAATTGCAAGACGTCCTACTCGGAATGTTCGAACCGATATGTCAACCCCGCGAGGCGCATTCCAGGCCAGACTCACTTAGTAGAGGGCCTGAAAACTGAACCGAATAACTTCAAAGCTTCCTCCAGGCCAAATCGACTCATCGCGTAAAAGTTCGTGCGCCGACTAAAACGGCAGAGGTTAATCACTCAAGCAATTTGACCCTTTTGCTGTAGCTCCGAATGTGTTTCTAGTAACCGAGAACCTCAAATGGCCGCCTGCACTGAGACTACTAGTGCGTATTATCGTGTATTATCGCACATTGTAGACTGAGAGCTTTACTCTGTCAGAACTTAATTCGCGGGCTTGCCACTAAACCCCATGGGGGGAATTCATGCTCACTAAGCATAGCTATGTAATAGGCATCAGCTTGAGTGCTGCTGCTTCGAGGATCTTCGGAACTCGGCCTTCGCACAAGGATGTCCAGGTCCAAGGTACCCGCAGACAAAATTGTTTGATCAGGCCGCAAGCACTACGTTATTATAATCGGGCACGGCGCCACTGCTATGGGTCCGAAAAGGCATGAGGTAAGTTGTTTTGTTACTTTCGCTTGTGCAATTACGCCTACCAATGTGCCATGCTCAGGCGGCCTATCCTATCACCGCCTCCTTCGATCAGTTCACGTGTAGGAGCTAGACCAGATCTTGTGATATTCAACGACAGAAATTTGGTTCCTACCCGTATGAAGACAATTAAATCAGTAAGTCCAGTCTAAAAGGTTTGCAGCCTAATACCTGATATTATTTTATCGAATTCGAAGGAAGTATCCGAGATAATTAATTGACGCGACCCATGACATTGCCGCGCATATCGTGATCTCTTTGTGCGTGGTGTACGTTCTTCATCACCAAAGTTTGATCTCAGATTCGTTTTTCCTATTTAGGTAATATTCATCCCACTAACATGGCGCGCATTTCGGATATAACCGATGAGTTGGTCAGGTATCGACAATATTGACGTCCTTGAAATGAGCGGGTTACTTTCGCCTTCCAATGATATCAGTGACCGTGCTATAGCTTCTTCACGGAGCGCGCTTACGATCTTGTTCGCGTAAGAACACCATGTCGATCTATACCCTTCCCAGCAATAATTCGCAAGTCGCCGTTTTGCTCAAAAGCAAAGTCATTCCTCGAGTTCCGTTCCTCCTCGAGCATGCCTGCCTCTCTTATCACGACCCCTGCTGAGCTTCTAGAACGAATCGTCCTTATCGCAGCTTGCCAGCATCCACAAGGCCCACCAAGTATCTTGCGTTCCCTACGATTAACGTGCCGCATGTCTAACAATGCCCTTTCATCAAACTCACATATGTACTTCTTGTTATTCAAGGACAGATTTTCCCCTTGGCGGCATTTCACGGCCGTTCAGCCTACAGTTGACAACATAGAGCATGAGCTGAGAAAACGTTTTCGAGCACTTCAACGCATTCGGCGTGGTGATATTACTGATCCTGACATTCTGGAGTCACTTTCCACCATCTATATTATGATACTGGAGGATGATGGTCGGAACTGGGACCAGTTGCTTTGGGCTCGACTTCCCATTTTCATGACGCGCTTTCTTCGGGAGCGCTTAATGGTGGGTGCCGAGACTAACAACGGCTGGCCTACAGAGAATGAAGTCAATGTCTTGGCAGTTTCCATCTTCTGGTTGATGACCTGCTCAGGTCAGTAATCACCCGCAGCTGTCATTTATGTGATCGTCACGCTTCCTCAGAGTCTATATGTAATGAAACCGATGAACTCAGGAGAGAGTTCGTGCAACTCCTATCACCATACTCCTTTGCCGGGTTTCGAGTTCGTTCTCTATCAGTTATGCTTGCTATGTTCTCATAACGCTTTTTCTAGTATCCATGTTTCACTGGGCTGGAGTACGATTTCTGTGCTGCAGAAAACTCTCCTAAACATGTTGTTACACCTGCTCATGGGACACACTCTCCCATTCGTCTACTTTCGACCACTATATGCTACTTTGGACGACAAGTACCTTTCGATCTTCCACCACTTGCTCCATACGCTATTCTCATTCACTTCTCTCGTTTGGAGACTCTCCCTCTTATGATTCCTCCACACCTACCAGAGACTCGCGCAGAGGCCATCGCGAATGGTATTTCAGGGCCTACAAAGCAGGACATAGTATACTTTAATACTCATTGCAAAACTCACTTTCCGGGCACAATATACGGCAACCGCTTCGACACTCTGCTTAAGAGCCGGCGTCATGACCCTGATTGGACGCGTTCCATTCGTGATCCTCTCTATCGTTCCCCTTCTTCCTTACCTGGGCAATATATCCCTGGAACAATTTCCGGTCGCTGGCAGGGGTCTTTCATCGTTGAGTTTTTCTACCTGTTCATCTCTGACATGGACTAATATGAATAGGCCCCGTATTGTGATGTCTACAAGGATATGCTGTCATCTCCCTCTGCTCCGTCACCTTTTCCGACGTTTGGTCGATTCCCGCTTTATGTTACCTTCAGAGAGCTTTACTGTTACTCTCCATCAATTCCCCTTCCCTTGGGGGGCAATGACGCATTTGAAAATGCTTTTTTGCCAATCGGTTGCCGGTGGCATGAGACCGAGGCTAGTCTTTTCATTGGTTCCAGAGCAAATGTTGATATTTTTAACAGGCAGGGATTGAATTTAATGGAGAAAACGCGTCGTTCAAAGCCTATTATTCTCCGCCGAGGCAAGAGCACCTCGAAATTGGCTTTGTTGGAGGCACTACCGGCGCGTCGAAGTCAAGTGCGCATGGTGCTTTTGATGTCATCATTACAGGAGCGGTGTGTGCCATAGAATGCTTCCTATATCATATCTAATTCTTTCAACAGACGGAGGAACCATACACAGCTGCCTGGGGTGGCTACCGTTATATAGGACGGATACGACCCTCAGATGGTCTGATCGTTCTGCTCCGTGAACCAGTAAGGAAAGCCACTCTGCTATCTTTTCTACGCTCAAGAAGTATGTAGCTGAACCCTCAGATGGTTGAACTTGGACGAGCGTTATTCAGAGGTTACAGTACGTTAAGACAAATTCACATAACTGTTGTGTGGCTGACAAGGTCGCGTTAGTTATCTCCTCTCGCAATTTTGTGGGTCGCTGGAGACGTGCGTCCACCGGCGTTCATCCCCCTGAATGGGAGTCGATATTCAGTTTGTGCAAAGATGTGTCATGGGAATAGTGTCAATGTGATTTGCGCTCTCCGGAGTCCTTAATCGTGTATATCGACTTAATACCTATTAGTATATAAATACAAATACATGCTCGCAGCCGAGTTATTGGGTTAACTTCACCTGTCAAGGAAAGACTATGTGAGACATCCCGACGGCGGCCCGGTAGGACATACTAGTATATACACAGCAACTTAACATTAACTCCACAGTATTTTTCAAAACAATCTACCCTCACTGCCACTACCAACATCATGTCTACTCAAGCCGTCACATTCGATTGGCTCCCTCAGGAAGTGATGGAGAACATTGCTTTCTTCGCAGCAACTACGACAGATGTAGGACCTCCCTCCGACCTGCTCCCTTTACTTCTAAGCTGCAGGAGCATATACCGTGCCTTATCGCTTGACGCAAATCTACATCTTTGCGCACGCATATTCGAGTATAAATTCGACCTCAATGCCGCCGTTCGCCGCCTGGGCCAGCAAATCGCCACGCCCGATGTCTTATCGAAGGAGTTGCGCAAGAGATTTGTTTACCTGAAGCGAATACGGGCGCGGACAGATTCTCGAATCTACGTACAAAACATGTCGCATTCGCCGATGATGAGCGAGTTGCTTTGGATGGCCTACCTAATGATGCTTGAAAATGACGGAAAGAATGTCAAGCAACTAAGGGAATACGCAGGGATGGAGCAATGGTTGATGGATTATTGGTTTGATGACCAGGGTGCATCGCTTGCCTCGAAGACGCTTGTGGAAGATGAGTGGCCGCTGGAGAATGAGCACAATTCTCTGGCAATGTGGTTGTTTTGGTTATTTCTCAGACCCGGTACGTCGTATGGGCACATCTCCGCCCTTGCACTACGACCTAACCCTCATTTCACAGATCGTTTCCAGCGTACCGAAAAGAACTATCGGACTTTTGCAACCGTTTTGAAACCGACTGCTTTAGCAGCCAACAAGGTGTGCCCTTATTTCTACCTCCATGCACCTGCTGATAATTCAGTATAATATATGCCATACCCCATGGGAGAACTTCGTCCCCAGGTCCTGTTTGCTTGAGCCTACGTGCATAAATCACTATTCTAATTCATATCGACTGACTCCACCGACGATGGCTATACCTGCAATCCTCTCTTACCTCAGCTTGGTGGGTCCACTTGTATGTCCAACAAGGGTTGCCTACAAAGGACCATGTACACCGAACGGCTTTTCAACCTCTCTGAATCAGAGTCTTGAGTGGGAAGCTGATTGGCAGAGGTGTATAAATCTCGCTAAAAACCCTCTCACCAGCCAATTCTCGGGTGCATATAAAGTCGGCAGTTTACAAGGTGTGTGGGAAGGCATATTTACGGTATGTTGATTCATAACGCGAGCCTGAAACCCTCCATTGAACAAGGTATCTTTAGTACACAGAATTCACTACCTATGCTGCGCTTCTGTCTGGACGCCCCCCTTCAATCCTTCATAATTGTATGGTTGCACAGCATCGTCAAACATGGAAGCTGCGAGAGTATTACTTAACTGTCTCGAGGGGCGCTGATGGCCTTGCCGGCAGCGCAAAATCACCATCGCTGAGCTCGGGTGATCCGCTTAAAGCATTTTTTCCGTCTGGCATCCGTATTCACGAGCACTCGGGCGGTGCAGAGGTACACGAACCCGGGAAAACGGTTCCACTTTCCTATAGGCAGCCGTCGGTTTGTGGCGTGGAAGCCGAAGGCTTCAAGAGCATTGAGATCCAAGATATTATCGTCGTAGGAGAGGTTATTAATGATTTACTTATCTTGAACTGTTCTGATTTTTTGCCCAGGGCCATTCTGCTTGGGGTCAGTTCAATCTTATGGGTAGGGTACGACCTTGCGACGGTTTTGTCACTCTTTTGAAGGAATATGTGGGTCTACTCGATTCATATAATGTATCATGCATGAATTCCTCCTTTTATCAGGTCGCAGGGGATCGAGGTCAATGGCTTTATCGGGGCTATCTGGTTGGTGGAATCAACGGGAACCTCTCCGGGCGCTGGCGAGACACGCTCAGTCTCCCTGATGCCAATGGTTATGAGGGCTGTTTCGTGATGAGTAGGCGGAGATGACGGAATCATATACTGATTACTGGATGTAAATTCAGTCCATCGACATCTTTACCTTCTTCTAGGTTTGAGCCAGAGCGTGCATCTGGCCTAGGCTAGTCTTACGACGAGGTTTGCTGGTAGTCTGACTATTGAGTGACGGCGTGATGATCTTGGGTGAAATGACAGGAGGGAGTCTGATTCATGATCTATGGACGAGTAGGTAGGGTAGAATATTATGTATGTATTAGTGCTATAAAATTAGTTGAATAGGTCCTGAAGTAGAGAGATTGAAGGATGCGGCAGATGATCCAGGCAAGTGGGTTGAGGTCTAGGACTGCGAGGATGATGGAATTACTGGCAGATGTCTTGTCAAAAGCCGCATGTCAACGTGCAGTCAGTTATCAAATATTTGCACTCACATATTAGGTCTGAGACTTGGGTGGTATGCTACACGGAATGTTAGACAATGCTGGCAAAATTAGGGGCCTGAAATAGAGTAAGAATAAATGAGATAAATTAGACCATCACACATATGATGAGTGGCGTATTCCCGGTGACATCTTGTAACCAGTTAAAGATGTCAGCCATCGTGCGGGATCGAGCGTAGATGATCCTCGCCAGAGGGGTGTGTGCCTGGTAATTGTCAGCTACGACGATGAAGTGTCCCCCCTTGCAAAAAGCGACTGCGTAAATAAAAATCACAAGTACAAGATCACCAGGAAGACGTACTTAGCGGCCACGACATTTGGAGCAAGGCAAGGTATATTTCGTGTCCTCTGATACTCGAGGGGATGGACAAGGTCGTCCACTCATGCCCCTAGAGCAAGGCTCGAGTACGTAGAATCGTACCTGGTGGAGCGTACAGAAATATGCTTGAGAGATACACATCGTTAATATTTTTGCGAGGAGGAATGGGGTGGACTCGAGACTCACTGCGCACTTAAAAGCAGAGACCATGATGGCAAAGCACTGACGACGAATTGAGATAATTATCTCTTCGGGGAAGATATAAAACAGACAATATTTGGACTCACAGGGCGGTGAAGCAAAGCAACAGGCTTCGGTGGCGTCGGTTGAGTGCTTGTCGGAAATCCTAGGGAAAACAACACAAGACATCCACCTACCATAGTTCTGGCTTATATACAGGTTGCGCTGGATTGATTGTGTCTGTTGAATGGGATAAATCAACTTGACGAACAAAGCGACCCGAGACGGTCAAAGCGAAATTATTTCAGTGGGAAGTACTTTCCTGATCTCTCATGCTTGAAAACTTCAGTATTGAAGATTGAAGGTGAAGATTGAAGATCGTCTCGAAGCGGACGTAATCAGTATCAAGTACCGCCACGTGCTTCATCTATCATCCATTTAGGGAAAGCACTAGTATTAACCACCATATCGATCATCATGGAGCACAGCAAGAAAGAACGTGTTTTGCTCTCTTGAGGTCAGCGGTATGGAGTATGCGAGTGTAGGTCCAACTTTTACGCCACATGTTTTGCATAACTGAGTCACGCCACATGTAGAAGGATCTCACCATTCGCAAACTCAGACGAACAACCGATTTCAAAAATCTCACTTTCCGTATAGGCGGCTATAGCGAACATGATCTAGGGCGCTTCTATCATCTGTGGAAGAACGGAGAGGTCCTATCTGTTCAGGCAGAACCATACCGCCGTCCTGGCATTGACTATTCTCAATCATCCTCCGAGTCGACTCGGGATGTTGATTCATCTGACAAAGAGGCATATTTTTACCTGCAAGAAGTCCTGCAGACGATGCTTGATAATCTGCAGTTCGGTACCGAGAACAATTGGGCGCATATTGTGAGGCAAAAGGTGAGAGCTACTGAAATCATCCTCCACTCGTAATTCACAAGTAATCACCAAGGACAATACCTACAGCCTGATCTACACTAGAAAGGAGTTTGTTCGTCTGAAGTGCCCGGTTTGGACGAAGAAGGTAAACTTGGATGATATAGAAATTACTCGCATAGTGGACTGCGCGTTATGGGAGGGAATACACGAAGGTCTTGTAGCGTAATGCCTTCTTGATCATGATTCTCATACCTCCTCATACAGGGATGGAAGTCGACCTCTTCATGGGCGTACACGCACTTTGGTCTCATTTTGTCGCTGCGGAGAGTCTTGGGCACAAGCTCATGAACGAGGCTGGTGTCAGCCATTACACCTTCAGACTACTCGCCCACGTCTACAAGAGTGGAATGATCATTGGTGTCATGTGTGAGCCCATTGTTGGACGTAAGCTGAAGTTATACTCGATATCGTCGTTCGCGCTCATTTTGTACAGGTCGCGTGTGTCCTACCGACCGTGCTGCTGTTTTCGCAGCAGTAGCTGATATCCAGAGACACGGAATCTTATTGGGATCTCTTCTCCCTCACGATATCCTCATCACTGACGAAGGCGTTCGCTTCCTGAATATATCTTGTGTTCAATTTTACAAGGACCACGACCAGCTAGCGGCCGAGGCCGAAACATCTCACTGGGCTGAATTGGCGCAGACCTTTGGATCAGGAATGATAGCACCCCACACCCCACTTGGTTCTAGAGCCCGTGACGCCTTATCCTACGTTATACCTCGCCTGCCTTCCCCTGGGCGTCCAGTTTACACCACTCCCGAGCTGGCCATGATGCGGTTTGTTTGGTCAGTGATGACATCGCCGGGAGAGTACGCTCGTTCAGACGTTCTGCCACTGCTCAAGTTCAGAGATCAGCAGGGGAAAGGGAGATCTACTCTCGCCGATGATCCAAAGCACAGAAGACGTGCAAAGATTAGTCGCAAAGCACTAATCGCACCTCTTGATTGCTCGGAACCGGGGGATCGCTTTGAAGAACTTGACCCTGTTACTGATGAACCCTACAATCCGAAGTGTCGTTCTTCGCCACGCACCCCGTATGAGCGGCCGAAAAAGAAGCTTCTTCTTCCAAGGGACGATGAATGATCTATGAGTCACAACCCCCAGAACGCATGTCGGTGGATCAATTCACGCTCCATCTGGGAGGGTCTAGAACCACACCATATTCACCTTAACATTTGATCTCGAGGAAATTATTTAATCTGTTCATGCTTTGCTGCTTTCTAAGCAGCTCTGGGATGAAGCGTTGATTCAACCGCTATTTGTGTCAGTGATGTCGTGGCGTGGCGGGCACTGGAGAGATAATATCGACTTGATTGTGTGTTTACGGAGTCCTGTACATTTGTCTTGATTGTAGTGTACAAGTCATCCCTGTTTATAGAAGCAACTTTACCAAGAAATGTTCAGGTGGTTGTTCTATCATTCCACCCGCACGATACGGCCCGGCCTGGGATGAACATTTGTCTTCAGGACTCCGTCAATCTAAATCGTTATCAAACGTACTGCAGGTATTCTTGCCCGATGAGGTTGACGGCGTTTTGGTATTTTGATACTGGTTTCTGGTTCTGGCCAGTTTACATAACTTGCAATTGTCAAGTTTCGGATATGAGGACCGCAGCAATTGTACAAGCTTAGAGCAAGTATATCACTATCGGATACCCTTTTACTGGATGACCACCACAGCGATCGACACCAGAATCATTACGACTGTGCCCTAGAAGGAAGTCGCATATTTAACCAATCTTGTCAGAGGTCAACAGTGGCGCTGCGTGTGGACTCAAAAGTGGCTTACGACTCATAGCATGCGGCCTCAGATCCACATGTCCCGACATCATGATTTGCCCGACAACTATTCGAATATGCGTTTGAGCATCTATCTGTAAAACGGTCTGAGACCAAACAACTTGAACTTGAAGGTAGTCAACCAGCAGCGCCCTTCGCTAAGAAGTCCAGGCTGTGTCATATCAGGCGTCGCAAAAACAAACAACCGCTGCGCCGTTGGTGGATAAGGCAGTGCAGAAGTAGCGTGACGATAGTATGATAAGTATAAGCCCAGGGAGTAACCGTTTCAAATGATCGCAGTGCACGAGAGTCAATCGAATCAAACTCCGAGTTGAAGTGACAGAACAAGTCACAACCCGAGGGCCGAGTGACAACCGCCGATATATTCGGAAGGTGGTTGTTTGGCTGTATCTTTAGACTCAAACAAACAAGTAATGTATGTATCCATTCATTACCTTTCTAACAACGACAGACGACGCGTCACGATCAAGAGCTACTGGATTTTGACTGGAGTCGGAAGAAGTTGTCTATTCACTCTCTGGATCTCCCTTTTTTATACCGCATCAAACTATCATGTCCTCGTTTGTGTTCTCGTGTTATCATCTACAGGCGAGAACTAATGAGATTCACAGTAAATATGGCAGTGTCACAGATGCTATTACCCCAACGTGTGCCACGATAAAGCGCACTCCATCACATGCTAGTGCCTCAAGCACATATTCGACCCGGAAGCGAAGGCGGGTTTCCGTGGCTTCGCTTCACCTGGGACAAGATTTTGCAGGACCATTAGTACCGGAGACTCCAATCGAGGAGATAAACGTAAGAACATTGCTCAGCCAATATATCATGCTACACATAGGAGATTTAGGGAGATCGATTTGTGACAGTCCGAACTTCAACGTCATTACCATTGAATATTACACCAAGAACAAATCGTATCGCCAAATCATTTGGTCTGCTCGACGACCGTGTGTTAAGTCCTACCAAATCTCCCTCACTCTTTTCCGACCGTTGTTTTCGCTCGTTGCTTCGCCGAAGCGCTTCCGAATTGTTTTCAACTTCGCGTGCTGCATCTTCGCTCTCAGCAAAGGCCAATTTAGGGGCCCGGAACCATTTTGTACTAGCGCTCGATGGACCTGGGATGTCTACCGACATTTTCGCCTCTCCAATGGCATGGTCACATGTCAACTCCATCGGAGTTGCTTTCAGATATGATGTGTATTTTCAGAACCTTGAATCTCGGGCAGTAGTTCACCTATATCGTTCCTCGCTTTCACACGGGACGGTCCACAGTATCGATTGGGGTGGCAAAGCCAACCCTTATCTCCTCGCGCTTGGGACGACAGTCGGTGATGTCATAGTTATGGATGCCGAGAAAACAATGCAGCTTGCAGGTTGGATCGACGGTGATCATGGCATGGGAGGCATGCACTGGAATGGTGATGTCCTTGCTGTCGGCAGGACCGGAGGCAATGTGACCCTGTTCGATATCCGGATGCGGGCTGAGATAGCCAAGATTATGGGCCATAAACGCAGAGTACATGGTGTGAAATGGTCGGTCGACGGACACCACCTAGCCACAGGAGATGACAGTGGTATTGTCCACATATGGGACCATAGAGCAAGCAATCTTCTAACGAACGGTGACAAAAATATCCGCATGAAACACAAGGGTCCGGTCAAGGTATGTAGCATGATGAGATTATCCTTCCGCGGCAGTCATCGCATTTATTTTTCAAGGCCTTATCATGGAGTCCGTGGCAGCGTGGCCTGTTGGCAACTGGAGGAGGTTCCCCCGACGGTGAAATACACATTTGGAATACCGGAAAGATGACCCCATCCTCTGACCCTATCCATACCATCCCCTTACAGACGACTATCACATCTTTACACTGGTCCCTCCACTGCAAGGAACTCTTGAGCACTCACGGATCTTCGTGGGCTGTACCCCAAAGTAATGTACATCCGGCGACTCATGAATCAGCCATAGGTGTAGAAAACTCACTCGCCGTTCATTCTTACCCCTCCTGCCAACGAGTTGTTATCGTCAAAGCACACTCAGCTCCTGTGGGCCATTCTTGTATGGCCCCAGACGGGTGTTCTGTATTTACTGTCAGTCCCAAGGAGGAGACCATCAAGATGTTTAGGGTCTGGTCCGCACCCGATGACAAGGACAAGAATGAAGGCAGTGACATGACCTTCAAGTCTACCATACGATAAGGATTGCATGATGTATGTACCACTACTGCTACTACCTACGTACTTATTCATTCACAGCACGCCGCCCGCATGCTTCTATATTTTTGCATGCATATCAGTGTTGATGATTTCCTGCTCTTCCTAAATCTGCATGAGTACTTATTTGGATACCTTGGATCCACCTGGTCGGTGTCTTTGTGTCACCCTTCGCTCTGCCTTTATTCGGACTGTCCATATGGTTTACCCCAGTACGTATGATGGATGTGGTGAGTGTGTCCCGAATGAAATTATCCTTCTACAACAAATGCCTTTGCATGGATGTTATTCGGTGATTACTCCACAGGATAAACTTAAGGTATGGGAAGCCTCGGGAAGCTGCAATCAGCGGAGGCGTACAGCATGTTCCTAATCTGTTGGGGAATTAAAGCCGCCACAATTTCGCTTTGGCCAGACCCCTCGAGGCTGGCCGCGGATAGAACTTCATGTTGAACCAGTGGGCTAATCTTGGGCACTTCCCTGTAACAATCTGATCAATGTCGCTCAATCTTCCAGGGTGAACTGATCGTCATACGTATCAAACGAGAGGATTCAGATAATGAGGCAATATGTTTTTGTAGTTTTGTCGTGGTTCAAGCGGCCATACACCTGCCAGCGTCGGTCTGAATCTTACGTGTATATCTATTTTCTAGAGTCCATACTATATATGCATAGATGACTTTACCCCTTGTCAAAAGCCAATATATATGGTAGTCACATGACGTGGACGCCGGTTTGTCTCTCAAGCTGTCCACCGCCGTGACTGCGTGGTGTGAGTATTGAATTATACCTGAGTAATTCTTATTCATTCACTTCTTCGCATCGCCCCCTACCTGTCCCGTCAAGCAAGAGTCGGCTTTGTTTGATTATGGCGCCTAGTATTGTACTAATGGCACCCGGAGGTCAGCCGCAAATCAGACTCCTTTGTTTCGCAACGCTTATCTCGCTAATTCAAAACAGAACCTCAGGATGGCAATAAGCCACAGCCATTGGGAAATTTTGGCATAATACTCTTTTTCACCACTTCGACATTGTGCTTGCTTTACTTGCTTTGGCGTCGCGCAAGTGCCTTGCGTGCAGTAGTATCCCACCAGTGCGATCATCAAGTTTCGTGCCACATAATTCGGACTTATAACAGACACAGATTGCAAACATGGACGAGCACGGAAGGTCAAATTCGCCTATCCGAAGACGACGGTCCATCTGCTACCGAGTTTCTGACCGAGGCGGACGACGAAGATGTCGGAATAGTAGATGATGGTCTGACCCTGGGTCAGGACGAAGAACGACCAAGGAATGAAGTTGACACGCTATCTTCTGTTAGGCCTGGCTTCCCATCATAAAACACATATTTCATCACTTGTTTTGCTATGAGCTGCCGCTTTGTTCTACCTTTGGGGACGGTAATGCATGACCGCTATTCTCACACTGGGCTCTTATCTGACCTTCTCTATCGTCTCGCCATGCCTTGCTATCTAGATTCCGTTATGTTCGCAAGAAAGCTAGTGGACCTTGTCCTGCTATTGGCTTGTATGACAGGCTCCATGCATTGACATTTCATAGATCTGATGTCCAGTGACCACTCTTCCAAATGTCGGGCCTCATTCCAGCCAAACATTCAAAAGTACAATCAACATACAGACTTCTAGACATAAAATTTATCGAATGGTCAATCCTCGTCATGTGCACCATCCTGTTACGAAAATATGCACATTGCGCTTGCTTCTTCGTATCTTAGGACGGCATGGTGGATGTTTTAAGCTATTGTAGGGCCTGTTGCCTTCATAGATGGCGCCCACATTCTTTGATTCTTCTTCTGCATTATTATCTGTTCTTTCAGTTAAACGGTGTAGCCGCACCGATATACTCCCGGACGATTGACTTGGCGTGCACTTGTTACCACCAACGTTGAGGCAGATCGAAAGGTTACCAAGGCATAAGGCGCGGTACGTCCACTCCCAGTGTTTTCTATGTTTCGTAGCTAATGCGAATGTTCAGAGCACTTTTGCTGTCGATGATAAGTACTTCGCGCCAGACCATGCTAATATACACGAGATTGTTGTGGGCACGATGTGGGTGATTTTATGGAGTCACATGTATGCATAGTTCTCATTTTCAAGTCACATGGAACCTTTTGTGCGATCTACTCCAGTCTAGGTCTGCCGAATTGCTTAGAATGCAGTTCATACAAGATCCAATCCTTAATGCAAAGTTGAATGGGACTTTGGTCCAGGTCTTCGGGCTGCAGTGTTGGCGAATGACATATTTATAACTTCCGGGTCATTGGTGCCACTGTTTGAAACCATAGACACGTTAAATTGGCCCGGTGTTTGCGAATAACGATGCGCTCTTGCAGGAAATCATCTAAGACCAAGGGTAGATTCTATCGAATGGCACTGTTGCATCCCTCGATTCTGGCGCCTGCTTCGGTCCTTGAGCATCAAGGAATGTGTAAATCACTATGGTGTACTATCAAGTTGGTTTACGAGTTTCTGACGACGTCGCGTTGCCGCGAACGAATGCCGAATGAATCTGTTGCGCTTCGAAATTTTGGGTATGTTCGCTGTTGAAAGTCTGCGTTCTCGCTGAGATATTGATTATATTCAGCATTACTTGACGAACGCGATAGAACTAGAGGAGCGGGTGTGTACTGCCGCGTAAGCTTGTTGTCAAAATTCACTATCCAGTATTCATCTGATCCTTTTGCAGTATGTCTATGTTATTTCTTTACACTGTCTCTCCCGAATGAGTCCCCGACTTCCATGTACATCAGGTCACAGGTCTACAATAATCACTCAATAGAAATCTCGAATCCAATTTAATTGAAAATTCTGCGATGTGGCACATCGTCATTTACTGCAAATCTCTGCAGACCTACAGTCGCATTCAATCGTGATAGCGACTGGGCGCAGCACCCCTCGGGAGGCCCGGTGGTAACATGAATGACCGTACTCATTGGTGTGTAGGGTTAGAATAAGGACTTCGTGCAGCGGCTGTGCAGTACGTGGCTTCTCTTATTCGTCCGTGTGCCAGGCTCCAGCAAGCTCTGACGCCCTGTCTGCTACCTGCCGCCTTTCGGATTTTCTTTTCCCTACCCACCACTGCACAGCCTACTTTATCATTTTTCTAATATATGCATACTCAAGTCACTTAGCTACATAGATACATCCTTTTTTGAAATTCAAATTTTTCTATCCTCCGCGAGGGGATCCCCCACTAGTATCCCCAATGCATCTCTGAGTGAATACCCTGGTGTGACGTACCCGCCAGTCCGCCGTTCCCACCATCCGTTAATTTCAGACATGCGAAAATGAGATGACTTTAAAGTGCAGGTGCGATATACAAAGCTCTACATTCTTATTAGTCTACTATTGGTGCTTGTGGCCCGAACCTACTCAGTGACTGGGTCTGACGTGACACTGCTTACTGCGGCTGCCTGTAGCTAATCTCCGCTCACCGTCGGGGCCGGGTTACCCCTTCAAGCCTCTTCAAGGTTTCCACCAAAGAAAAACGCACACAATCAAGCAAATAATTTCTTTCTCACTACTCACACAACTGCACAAGAGTGCCCACAAAAAGTTTGTCAGACTTGTCAGCTGGCTAGACATTTCCATGACAGATGGTTCATTACCACGAACCGGCCCCGCATCTTTATTAACGGTAACCGAAAGTAGGAAATGTCATCGCACTGTCAATTTCGACATGGCACTGACACATCAGTGACCGCCAGCGGACAAACGTGTCGGGATTTTTGTTGGAAATCGTGCGATGCCTGGGTTGATTCCCTAGCCGGGCTGCGGGCTGCGGTGTGCAGACGGCGTGTTGATCGAAAATGTGAGTTCTACAGGACCACAGCACCTTGCCTGCTGCGTGTTCGCATGTTGGTCGTTGACTTCTAAGAACCTACCAATGCGTCAATGGTAGGGTTACTCGACCTTCGTAGCTATAGTTGGACACTCGCATCGTGGACTAAACTCGGTGAATTGCAGACCTTGAACGCATATTTTCAGCAGTACATGGCGGACTTATCTTTATCTGTGTAAGTAGTATATCTACCTGATTATGCCTCTACGACATCCCACATGCAGTCATGAACACTCACTCATCCACCTGCTGGCTTGTTAGAGTCAGCATCAGCGGGTCCGCTACAGAATGTTACAGGGTGCTACAAAGCACTCGGTAACAAATTATGTTTCCCTTCTCGAGGTCCGCAGCCCGGCAGTGGTAATTAGCTCTATATAGAGAGCCTGGGATCGTTGAAAGCATGATAGCATTAGGCTAGTACTAAAATTATGCGGCTGTCACGCGTTGAAGTGCAAATTTTGGTCGCAGCTGTGATCTTGAATGCAGCGCGCATGTAGTTCCTTCGCATCGGTAACCATACACTTTCGTGTTTCTGCGGGCGCAGCTTTTCTGTCGATAGGGCCTTCATAGCTTTACGTGACCTGTATTTGTCGCTGTAGCCGCCTGCCGTGCCGACGGGGCGTCACGATGAAGTAATCAATGTCATAATAACTGTACGTACATAGCTGCTAGGCTGGCAAAACACCTTCCTGCTTGGCATCCTTGATGGTCCTTGGAGTACTCCGGGTTCGCCCTTGTTTGTAAACAACGATAATGTTCTCCAGTTTCTCATCCTTCCTAGCATCTATTCCACAGCCGGGTCAGGAGCATCGCTCACACCAGTCACTTCCAACTCCAAACAATGACACTCCAAACGATGACACTTCAGAACCAGATGAAGTTCATTCCCAACCACTGGACTATGCTGATCCCAAGCCGAAGAAAAAAGACAAGAGGGAGAAACTTATAAACGAGGCGCGTCTCATACTCTTTTAGTCGACTCTGAAAGGCTCAACAATACATCATTTTCAGACATTCATTGTTGTACGACCCCCACCGAGTAAATCAAATCACCCGCTCAATCTCCAGGTTCAACTCGTACCCCCCCAATCTCGTCATGATCGACCCCATGCAACTGTCCAGGCGCTCGACCAGTCAGCCCCAGATACAGCTGACATCACTTCTGATTCCACCGATCTTAGGAGAACCGCTTCCGACCAGTCAGAGTCGTCTATGTTTTCAGCTTACACTTCTGCAACATCTATATCATCATTTAATTCGTCTTCAACTACGAGTTCGGGACGTCGCATGATCATTCCACTTTACAATCTCCAAGCTCACAATGTCATGACCAATGTTATAGTGGACGCTGGCACTGATGCCAAAGTGGCTAAATTCGCCAAGAGGGGTTTGGAAATTCTCGGTCTGGCCATTCTCGAACCTATTGAAGTATGGGGCACTGTACCGTTGCTAGGTGCTTTACCGCCAAGTAGCAGCGCGCGCACTAGCGTTGATGATTCAAAACGAGAACTAGGCTTGTTGTTCCCTCGGCCACCTACCCACTCCCTGAACATTAGGCCTGTTACACCCGAACTTTCCACCACTCTCCGTCCGCCTTCTTCACACACGGACATTCCTCGTAAACCAAGCTTTACCCTTGCCCCCACTACCCTAGAAGAAACTATAACTAGTAACGCACAGCCCCAGCGCGGAGGCGCTAAAAAGCTGTTTACGAAGATGTTCAAGAAAAGAAACACGTCTTCGCGAACGCTCCCATTAGTGACGGCGACTGCCGATTTGCAGGGTTCGCCAAGCATAACTCATGTTTCATCTCGCCGATCGCATGACCTACCCCCATCGAGTCCTCAAGTTCTGGATGTACCTCGTTTTAATGATAATCCTCCACGCACTTCATTGTCGGGAATTTCATCCACCGTCACACTTTGTCCCCCTGTCCTCGGTATCCAAGCTTCCCTTTATCCGTCAATATCTCCACCCAAAGGCCGACCCACCAAGTATGTTTGGGTTGTCCGTAAATGGCTGAAGGGCACGGACACGGGTATTTTGAATGGGATGATGGGTAAATTGAGCGTAAATGGGCGCGGGGATCTCGCTGGAGCGAGTGCTCCGCAGGTGGAGGTGCGTTTTGAGTGGTCACGAGGATTGAAAAAGGAAAAGGAGCGGGGTAGGAAGCCCCGTGCTGATAGGAGGCCGCCGACGCAAGGCCCCGACAGTGGGAGCGTCAGCTGCCGCGGAAGCGCGGTTGTGACATCCGAACCTCCGTTGACGAGGTTGGTTCACAAATCGCCATCTCGTTTGTGTGACCCCCCATCGACCCTCGATACGTTGCCAAAAAGCCATAGTCAATCAAGGTATTCGCACCACAGTACCAGCTCAGACGGTAGCACTAGTATTGGAAGTAGCGCTCACCGCGCAGATGACTCTGGTAATGACAGTGACGCCGAGGATTCAGAGACGCCTTGGACGTGTACTCTCACGGTACAACGCACGGGTCATCCGCCATTGATGCACAATTCCACACAGCAGGAAGACCATGTCGTCCGACTGAAAGTTGCCACACTTAAGCCGACCCCACACCATCCAAAAGTCGTCGGACTCCTGAAGGTCCCCTTTCCATTGCCAGACATAGACGTTGAGCGTCTTTCGGTGCACCGTCGTGTGGTTACTGCGCAGGGCGTTATCACAACTGCCTCTAACTCGGGCGAGTTGACGCTTACCGCTGAGGAGATCAAGGATTCGATTTCATCTACCGCTTTATGGCTTGTCGTACGAGAGGCATTCGGGGGCGTCGGCCGAGAACGCAGAAAGGGTGATGGGTGGCGAATCAGAGCCTGATCGCCCCCGGCACAGAATAATGTCTGTCCACTGCATTCTGGCCCGCGATATGTCTGCTCCGACCCCGAGTCATTCCTACCTTATCTATCTCGCAATATATATCCTCCCCCCTCACAAGGCATGCCTCTATCTCCTGGTTTTTTTTCGTCTCCCTAAGTGGGTACATCGCGCTAATGTATTGATATCGAACGCCCCTTTGCTGCTTGGTCGCTTTTAACTCATCCCTGTCATCTTTTACTCACTCACATGATACACTGAAATGCAGTTTTGTACATACTAATGGTGTGATTATATTATCTGATATGTACTCGGCACTGTACCTGATCACAATCATACATCTCGTTTCATGAATCGTATGCAGGCAAGTCATGATTGGTCGCATGATCATATGCTAGTCATATTGGTAACAACAGAACACCCACGACTCACGAGATGATCTGAGATGATGCGTTCCAACGGATAAGCGATCCCCTCGGTGGTCGAGGTGAGCAAAAACGCGTGCATAGCCTTGAGACTCATAATTCCGACATTAAATTAAGATTCCCATCTTTGAACCTCTTCGAACTAATCCAGATGGTAGATTCTAAGAAGAGACAAAGAAATCTTTCCCGCTCTAGACGGAGAGACTACGTTCCGCAGTATTAAGCAGCGCTTGTGAACAGTCGGAGGTTTTTTTGGAACAAAACAATGGCTTTTGTGTTATACCTAGGATAAATCGCACGCAATGAGTACGTAGACTGGAGTATGTATTGGGCCGATCCCGCGGCGAGCACTCCTTATACTTGCCCCACATATTACAAAAACGGGCGATCCCGTCGTCAATGTGTTTATCAGATTGACGCGTGGATCAGATGAATTGCGATCATACCGCGGACCAGCGGGGCCGAAATCATTGCCAGCGGCTTCAAGGCAACAAATGGCTTTTTTATTGGTTCGCATACGTCGATGGACCAACGGAACAGATCGAGACGAGCACGCAATCACCTTTATATGGGAAATGGCGAGATACGCGCTGACTCGGGGTACACATTGCACCCTGTTTTGCGAAGAATCGGACTCGGGCTACTGGGATGGGGAGTCAAGGTGGATTAGTCCTCCACGGAAGGGTTATAATTATCGGTGACAAAATGCCTGAAGTCAGCTTAAGTAACGATGTGTTACTTCCAACGCTGGCAGGCGCTGGCCTTTAATAACCTGTAAATGAGATTGCCACATGGTTTTGGCTTGGTAACACGCACGCACCGCACGACAACGAATAACGGAATACACCAGGCTATACCCTCAGGAGGACTGTGCAGTAGCTAACCCTAATGGATTATATCCCGTGATAGCGGCGTTTGGAGTTCATCAAGATCTTGGGCATCGGCGCATCAGAAATGCATCAAGAGTAGTATCATTCATTTCCCCGCATTTTTTTGGACTGCACGTAACCTTCTTGAAGCCAGATCCCCCTACCGTTCGGGCACCGATAGGTCTGGTTACATTGTTCATTACTACAACCCCTGAAGGCCGCACCAATGCCTCCGTAATCGGCATCTCTTGGAAGGGAAAATGCTTAACGTTCATATATGTGTCGTCTTGGGATGAAAAGGCTTCCCAGAGAGATCTCGGTTCTATTTGTACCTTGATTACAGCTAATCAAAAGACGCGTAGGGGGGGGAACTACTACAAACCTTCTGTTACTTTGCTGAGTTTGGTGCGAGGAAACCTGTGACTTCATTTATCCAAGAGACGCTTGGCCAGTCGGATCAAATTGTATTGCGGTGAAATCTTGCGACTGTTGATGACCGTGTAGATATGAACGCTCAGTTGTCTTGAAAACAGAGATGTCATCACCGAGACCTCCTTTTGCAGTTTCAGAAAACATGGACAATGCATTTTCGGGGATAACGGTTTGGACAATGCGCCGGCACGTGAGCACTCGCGATTAGTAGCCTGAGCCGGGACCGGGGAGAGTTAAATCGAGTAATGTGATTAGTCAGCATTACGGAATGTCTCAAATCTTAGATCATTGGTGTTCGAACGAACTCGGCAGTTTCTTTAATATCGGGTATAGATACACCACAACCCTCTCCGTGGCTTGCAGGGATTCGGCCTGCTAGTGAGTAGCACCCTCGGCTTTTCTGCCTTGATCGGTTTGATAGGCAGTCCACCTCCGGTTCATGGCCTTTCGCCACTTGGTCCATCACCACTTGATTGGTCGACTGAAGCTTCGTAGAAACAGCCTGAAATCAAGACACATGTCCGTCTTCTTGATCGTCTTGTTGGCACGTGGCATTTTGGGGCAGCATACTCAGATCTTGGGCCTTCAGCTATCTCTTCCCGATGTAGCGTCTGAGTTTTCATACTAGCGCGATATTTAAAATAACAATGCCGAAGCGGATTCTGGCTATACAGGCTGTACAGATGGATATACCAATTTACCCGACTATACCAGGTGCGTTAAATTCTCTAGGGACATCATAAATTGCACCAGCCATTCCTGCCCTTTCTCTCTCCATCGTTCCTCTTCTCTGCTTCCTTCTCTCCTAGACGTCGCTCTTCGTAAAACGGTAATACTGTTATAATGTCCTCACACGTACGTGGCACTCAATTCCCACATCAGTTCCCGTTTGACGTTCCACAGCCTACTAGTGGTCAATATAATTACAATCCTATGATGGATGATGAAAGCCCACGCGTCCCGCGTAGGACGGCCATGGCTTGTCAATTTTGTAGAGGTGGTGCTTTTGCGATAGTCAGTACCGCTCCGCGTACTAAGCACTCCTTTATCAAGGCCGCAAACTAAAATGTGATGGAAGTCGACCTAGTTGTGGCAACTGCAACCGCCGGGGCTATCCTTGCCTCTATACCCCTGTGTATGATATCTATCTCATTCAAGGCAGAACTCCTTTAATCACTCTTTCCAGCAGTTCGGAACAGCAAAAATAGCTACATTGCTATATACTTCTTGCAGGTTGCGTTTATTCGCCTCACGCAATTATCATTTTCGTGGCTATAATTTTCTTCGTCGAGGAACGTTCTGCCGGCCGATTCCGCTTCTTCAATTGTTACAATGAAGGACATCCCTAAGGGGATAAGTTAGCATCACTTTGACATGGACTTATCAGATATACATAGGCTACACCTGAGTAATACACACGCAGCCTCCTGTTTATAGTATTTGATCAAGCATTTTGTCTATTAAAATTTGCTTTTGGTTCTGTTTACCCACCAGCCGACTTTATGGCGCTGTGTTCCGTCGCCTTAAAAAGCATCATCTATAAGCACGATCATCTCGGGAAAATTATCACGGCATCCATGATGCATAACCGCACTTCGTAATCTGGAGCGGGAAGGTCACCCAGGTGAACAGGTGACACGTTTAAACCACGACATCGTGTCGTTGGCCATTCATTTTTATTGTCACAACAGTGACGGGACTAATCAATGAGACAGATCCCGATGGGTCCGTCGATCGCAAGTTTGAATCCTTACAGTTGTGTGCGAATGACAACCTGGTCGCAACCTAATATCGTGGTCCGACGGCCCAATTTTCGGTGTATTGAGATAATCCCATGATTCGAAATGCCGACATTGAGCCATGTATAATACACGGTCTTCAGGATCTCATTCGGGATCTCGAGGATATCTTGTGCCTGTGTCGTAAAGCGTTGCGACTGGCGTCGATGGGGAGTATAGCCTTAATATCTTTAATGAGCACCAGGTCTAGTTATTCGAGAATTTCATTCCGACTCACTGGCTGTACTCATCTACTTTATGCGATATTTTCAAGTCGGGCATCTTGATCAAGGCTACGCTTCTGATAAAGAATTACACTCGACTTATGGTTAGCTGAACAAGCCAGGCATCAATGCACGGAACCATATTTGGCCCCGCATTTTGCGATAACAATAGGAACAAGTTATCAGCACCAAGGGTCCTGTTGATGTCCGGTCAACTGAAGGCTTCGAATCTGATGTATGAATCGTTGGCTCCTATAACACATCATAAACAGGGGACGAACTTCGTCTGAGGTGCCCGCAAGATCCCCGATCAAGTTGAAGGACTTCCTTTTTGAGCACGGCCATTGTCGTGCATGACTTTTGGACAAAACTGGAGGATTAGACAGCAGTGCTGCGCATGACAGTAATCGACATACTATTTGAGGGCGATGTTGAATAGGTTTAGAGATATGCTCTAGGTTTGAGATCCACAATACTAGTCGGTATCACTGCCAAGGCAAACGATCAGCCCTCGCTTTCTCGAGTGTCTCTGAGTGCCATGCGACAAACCTGGCATAGCTATGCTTGGCTAACTTGGACCGGGGCCAATATCTGGTGTGATTCTTGCAAACGAAGAATTAGAAGCGCAGTACTGCTGTGAAGCCTATGCCAACCATAAAAATACACAGAACGTAAGTGGGCTATAAAATTGTACCATCATGATTTATTTTTGATGAGTTGCGGTGAGAACGGATCGTGGAAGCAGTAGCCAACCCGTACCTCGACATCCATAGACGAGATAGGCGTGCCTGCGAGCTCGCGAAGGTTCATGAAGCACCTTGTCACAAATGGAATATTAAGACAAGGGTGGCGAGCCAAATGTGAAGTAGCCTGAGATGGGTTCAGGGTAGCCGCGTAGCATGACTGAGGCAAAACTCTTTACTCGAGGAACTAGTCGAACTCGGATCAAGTGGGATCACATGTTTGCTCAGACGGTCTAGCGGGAACGGTGTGGAGTGGACTGCGCACCGCACCCAAACCGCACCCCACATTTGATCAAACAAACGTGGCCCGTGATGGTAGTAGAAGCGAAAGGCATGACGTAACAATCTGAAGTAAGTAAGCATTCCCAAGCTAACTTGCCGTTAGCGGTGTTTGTCGGTTCAGGTGCCAACATGAACCTCCTTGCTGAACACCACCTGCAGGAAACATCAGCTGCATTCTATATCCCAAACTTCATCTCTGAAGATGAAGAACAGTATTTGCTACGGAAAGTAAGTCGTAGCTGCACCAGTCAGTTTCTTAGGTGCGCTCCTTAGCTAGTCATCAGATAGAAGATTCCCCAAAGCAGAAATGGAAGACGTTGAACAATCGCAGGTTTGTCATGCTATCGATACGTGCGCAGCAATTCGGGGGCTAACTTGTTATTTTTATTTAGACTACAATTATGGGGTGAGTAGAGTCATCTGCTGTTGTCGAGATCCCTCACAGATCCATACAGGGGGTGAAATTCTTCAGAAGAACATTCTGTTTCGCCAGGACTTACCTCCATTCTTGAATGATTTGTGAGTCGTTTCTCAAGCTCCGGGGGGTCTATCTCAACCATCTGATCCGATCATAGTCCTGATGTTCTTGGACGTCTCAGAGGCCTTGGAGCCTTCAACCAATCATTGCACAAAGGACCCAATCACGTTATACTGAACGAAGTGAGATCATTGTGTCTCACGAATAATTTTTACATCTTTCATCGTCGTGAAAGTATCATCCAGGACAAGGCATCATGGTACGATCCGAAACATCCTATTCGACACCGATGATTGATATTCAATCTGAAGCCCCACGAAGACGGTCCCTCATATCACCCAGTAGTCGCAACTATTTCCCTAGGATCTCATACTGTCTTCCATTACTATCGGTATAATCAGGATAAACATAATCTGAGTGTTGACCCAGGATCAACTCGGATGGGACGTAGCGTCGATCCAGAGCCTTTATCATCGTTGTTTTTGGAGCCTCGCAGTGTGGTGGTTACGACTGGAGAACTTTACAGGACGCATCTGCATGGCATAGACGAGACAGAGACCGACACGTTCACTGGCGATGGCCTCCTGCTTCTTCCAAATGGATCGCACTCGCGGATTGTTAATCGCCACATGATCAAAGACGAGACAGCTTTGCGGATTATTGAATCGGGAGGGACAGTCGAGAGGACGACTAGGTACAGTCTTACTTGCCGCGATGTCGAGAAAGTGGCAAGCGGGAGGGTGGCAGGTGTCATCAATCGTACCTGACTGCGGTAGTCTATCATGGGCCTGAAAGGACAGTTCAAGTCTTTTAGGCTCTGCGAGCCTTTCTTACGTCACGGCAGTCGCGCCGGTACTTGATTTAGCCAAGGTATCGAGTAAGGTATAGTATATCATTTGATCCCAGAAGGCGTTTCCCCCCTTTCTTTTTCCTCTTCCCCACATTATCATGTGAGAATTTTCGTGGTGTCAGGGGCACTTCAACACTTCTGCTGCCTCGAGGATGCCCTTGATGCAAGGACCATCCTAATATTTCCCTTATCTCGTACACTATTCCACACGACCGCATCTTGACAGTTTCCTTTGTTGTTGCGGTATAGAAATATAGACATTCTCTCTCTCCTTAATGCGAAGATGTTCGTTTGGAGTGCTCGCTCAGCAGCACCGAGCGTCACTCGTACGACAGGTTGGATTACTCAGGGTAATCTCGTCAGTGACAAGGAATTCGTTGAAGTTGTTCGAGCGTTGTTGACGCATAAAAAACTCTCGTGGTTCCTGTGTACATATTCACTGCACGCCTGCGACAGCCGCAGTGCTCAATATTTGGATTGCGATCAATCATCAAAACCAAACGGATGAGGAGTACCTCGGAGAGTGCTGATAGGAGAATGACAGAAGAACTTCGAGACATTCTAGAAACAATAACGAGGACTTGCGAGCATTGTTTCGTCCAACGACCTCCTATGCATGCTAGTTTCAAATCCGTAGCTAACCCCAGATAACAGCATGCATATTCCCAGAAGTAAACATGCGGGGATTGTCAGGGACCGGAGTCAGTAGTTTGAGTGCTTCGCGGATCAGAACCGTCCATGAGATGATTTTTAAGAACTTTGTCGACCGTGTCCAAGGAAAAAGAAGGGCAAAGAATCCTATCAATTTTTAGATCCGAATATGCCCATGTACGCTTAAGAAACACTGATCGCGGTTAAAGAATGGACCTACCATATAATATAATCTGATACCGAACGTTGCTCAGTTTAATTTGTCGAACAAATTATGAGGACTTTCAGAAGAGATCCAATGTCTCGCTTCATTAACTCGAACATCCGTACGCGTATCCATCTCGCGAAACGACAATCTTCTCCGGCTAGAAATGACATGCATGAGACACGCCCAGACACTGGCTTGTACGCACACCACGATGTAAGTTTTGCAAATAAAACTCACCGAGGGCTTGAACCTCCCGAGGTTGTATTCCTCGCAGATTCGGAGATTAAGTGGTAAGCAACGGCTGTAAGCGCTAGTAATACATTGAAATGACATGAACATGGTGGAGTAACATAGGAGTACATACGCGATACATGTCGCCTCGTTTTTTCCACAATTGGCGAATGGAAAACACTGGCTGTGCAAGGTACTGATGGGCTCGACAATGTCTTGCCTTTCTTTTCTAGAATTAGGATGTAAGTACTGCCTCAAAGTAACGCCTCATTGTGATGACGTTCGGAATCATCCGCCAGTCTCCCCGTGGTTAGACCATATAGACTCGGAGGAAGACAGTTGATCCTTCTGTATCACCGCGCTAGCTGGGAAACGTTCATTCAGGGGTGCAAAGAACCATTGGAAAGAAGAGACGGTTGTCTTCCTTCTTCAAAGTTTGACCATAGGAGACGTGGTAATGATCGAGGGAAGCTCGTCCAAAAGTTTAAGTCTCGCCTACCATCAAGGTTTTGTTGTTAAGCTATGAACATTGAACCTTCGCGAGGACGACAAAGTTCAATTATACTGCGGAATCAGAACGGATAGACCCAAGTTCTTGCTTCTACAAGGGACTTTGTAGATTCTTGGCTATGTTTGATCGAAGCTCGAGGTGGACATCCGCCGGCACCGCTTTAGGATACCTCACATCTCGTGGCAGTGCATCATCAAATACACTTTGTCTGGAACTATGAGGACAAGAACTGCCAGTGAGGCCATGAAGGTGCCCTCGAAATGCCGAGCGGACTGCGAAATCGGCTAATGTGATTGCGCGGTACCAATAGTTGATGCTTAACTTTGGACTAAGCGTGACGCTGGACAGTATGTGTGCTCTTCCACAAACGTAGGTCAACAGTTCGTTAAAGATCTACATATAAGTGACACGATGATACAAGAAATTGATACTGCAGCTTCCCAAAAGTCCCACGCTTCCCGGCCTATCAGGACGTACTTTTTACTTGAACTGCAGCGCAAGACATCAGCGAAAAGCCTTGGAAAGAAAAAAACGACACTCACGTTCTTTCCATCTGCCCATTTCTTGCCATCGACCTCCAGATCCCATGCAAGTGCGCCCTCGAAGAAGGCTTTGTCCTCCTGGTTATCAAACACATCTAGTTTGGTGTAGTTGTAACTCTCAAAGTCCGGTGCACAGTCTACTGCTGCCTTTGACTCTTGGCCCCGCAGGATGAGCACACCAGTGATAATAGAGGCGTTGGCTTCGCCAAGCACGCCCACCGATCCAAAGAGGTATTTGCGCGATGCCTCAAGGCGGTTGAAGAAGCCACCGATCTGGTTGGAGGACATGAAAACTTGCGTGAGTTCTTCATTGTATTTGAAGTCTACGCGCCAGACGGAGAAACCCTCCTTGTCGAAGCTGAAAGTGCCTTAATCAGCACGTCCATCGAAGGAGAGGCATGTGCTTACTTGGCGTAGAACCACTCCAACGAACCATCAGCGCCGCGCGTATCTTTGTTGCTGTAAGCCCGTTTCCAGTCCTCGAGGTTAAACGTGCTCTTTGGGAGCAGTTCCAAGGGATTCTTCTCCTTGGGCTCCTCAGGCACAAGGTTGCCATCATCTTCCTCATCATCGTCCTTAGCAACTTGCTTCGGCTTCTCCTTCTTCTCTTTTGGTGCGGCAGGGGGTGCGGGCGCCTTCTCCTTTTTGGGAGGGACGTATTGCAACGCCTTCTCGGTGTACTGAGTAGGACCAAAGATATCCTCGAGTTTGGGCTGATGTACAATAGTCTCCAAGAAGCGAACAGTGTTGATGAGGTTGGCGCGCACAGCAGCGTCTACGTTGACGGAAACAACGCGCTGGAGAACAGAGGCGGTAGTGATATCAGCAAGAGTGATGCGGTCGCCAACGAGGAAGGTACGGGTGCTCAGATGGGCTTCGAGGGTGTTGAGGCCGCGCAATTGGAACTCAGCGAGGCCGGTGTGGATCTGCATGGGGTCATTGAGTGCGAACAGTTTGGTGGCGAGGAACTAACTTACGCCTTTGCTGTAGGGGATGTAGTTGTTGAGCATCCCTGTGATAAAATCGGTCTGCATAGAAAGTTCTGATTCGGAAAAGTGAACCCATTGATCGATGGCTGCAGCGTCCTCTGGTGTTGAGCCGAGAAGGCCAGAGTTGGGAGCAAGGCCGGCAACTGCAATCAAAACGTTAGTACACGGGTTTCAGCCCCACAACAACGGCACATGAAAGTGAGAACGGATAACACGATCAGAATAACATGAAACTGTCGACATTAGAGATTTAGACAGGGATAACTGTAGATCTTCTCATCCATATGGTATCCTAGATCAAGATCAACATGGAAAGTTGTATGACTCACGATACCGCGCGATCGGGGCACCCTCCGTGAGGTTGAAGCCGTTTGCGCCCTCAAAAGCGGGGATCTTTCCATGAGGGAACTTTGCAAGAAACTCTGGCTTCTGATTGTCCGAAAAGTGCTTGTACTCGGGGATCTCCAGCTCAAGACCTGCTAGTGCGCAGACGCTCCTGATCTAAAAGTCATTATGAGTCATATTAAAAACGCGAAATGATTGCACCAATTACCGTCTTGGTCTGGCGCATAGTAGGAACACAGTAGAGTTTGCCCACAGGTGCCATTTTGAAAACTTTGGCGAAGGTGGAAGATGGAATGAAAGATGAGATGAAAGGATTTGATTAGCGCGACCTCCTGAAATTTTATCGGAGCATAAGCAAAACACAGGTCCAGATAATCGCAACGAGGCCCATTAGGGCAGGCTTTATCGATCAGAGATAGGGTTCTACATCCTACTATAAATCGATGTACCAACATCCTACATTCAAAGAGATCGCCTCACAGGACGAGCCTCCGTCTGTCTGTGCCAGAGCTCTTTCTTCGGTCAAGCTCAATCAAAGCAAGAAAATCATAAACTTTTTATGTAAACGATGATATCTCCAGTGACACAATCGCCACATCGCGTCATAGCACTTCCATTGACACCAGAAGTTCCTCCAATTCAGTAACTTCTGGCAGCATCAATCACTTGCGCCTAACTCCTTCTTGGAGCGTTCTAGCATCGTAAGACTTCTGACTCTGGACTAGACCACAAGTTGACCACGAGACCCTTGTATTTGTCGAATGGCACTAGTGATCAATGTCATTGTGTGCGTCGCATCAAGGAGTTCTAGTGAGCTTACGAACATCAGACCCTCGAGCTTGGTTTGAAGCGGCTAATCGTTCTCGACGGTTGCTTTGCTTTCCAATCTAGGCTAGGTATTGTATACTTATACGTTGGATCTCTTGGTGACGCCATTATTGTACAGGCGAGTGAATATCATTCTCGCTTGTACAGTACTGGCGTCACTATTACCTTCCGACGTGATAAAGTTGATTGTCCGGCATACAAGTATTCGTAGTGACAGTTGGCATGGATAGTAATAAGTACCACGTCCGTGGTTGAATGAGGGCAAGGCCGGTGATCGCTGCCAAGTGGATGATGCTTCAGTAGTTGTCGCAATATGACTCGATGAGTAAATGGATCTGCCCCGTGCCCAGTCTCCCAATTGCGCAACGTTGAAGTGAATGACCAGTATAAACGTCCCTGACAGTCAACTGGGTCACGTTCTTGGTACGTTACAGCCGTCGGCCACCGTGGACGTACGATCGGTACCACATGCCAACCTGAATTGTTGTCTTTTGGAAACTAGTTGATTAGCATGATCATATAGCATGAGATGTATTTGCGCAAATGTAATCCACACACAACTCAGGGTGTTTGTGTTGAAATTAGAAAGAAACGGGTTCGGATCCCGCTTGCCAGGGGCTCACCTGTGAGGCTTCAGGTCGCCGGTGATGACGAAGCTCCGAGTCTTGGCGTATTACCTCCTAAAATGCAACGACAAATCTGTCTTGGTCACCGAATGCTGTGCTGGACCAGATTTCGAAAACCACTGGCAAAGTCCCTGAACCACCTCGATGATATCCACAATGGGTATCGTCAACGATAAATACGACATTCTTCTTGTGCAAAGATCAGAGCGAAGCAGAGGCAATGATAGTAGAATCATCAAATCGGCTGGGTAGTTCTTGCTAGTAAGATGTTTCCACCTGGAGAGATGATGTCACCGGTTCGTTCAATGGATGCATCAGGGAACGGACAACTTATTCCTCTGGATAGAACCTAACCCTCCCCTTTGTGACCCCCTGCACTTGATGGTAAAATGAACGAAGGAGGAAGAAGACCACGTCGACACAATACACCTGTCCGAGCTGCATCACTGTCATCACCAAGAAATATTTCATCATTGCCACCGCCGCGGCGTGGTGACTAGGCACGAATGCATGTGCAACCAACCCGCCAAGCTGTTTTGCAAACACGCTGTGGGCTACTACCTAGTTGAAACACAAATAACGCGACTAGGAACTGCAAAACATGCCTTGTAATCTCCAGTCTTCAGCATCGTAACATTATATTGACAAGGTCAGTTGGACTGGCGATGTGAACTGTAATGTAAGGCAATTCAGCATTTCGTGTCGGATGGGTGGACGTATGTTGATCCGCCGAAATAGAGCACTTACTCTCCAGTGTGGTTCTCTGCCGACAGAAACGTACTGTCAGCCCTTGCGCTTTGCACCGGTTGCTAGTGTAACAAAGACTGAGGACGGGATTGGCATAAATAGCTCACTGCCCCCGCTTGTAGCAAGCTCTCGCGTCAACTGAAATCCGGGAAGACAGGTGACGAAAATACTTTGCAATGTGATGGTGCGCGAGGGGTGTTGCGCATTGGCTGCTTAACAATGTGGACAGAATGCCAACACTAATGATGATCAACAAAAGTGCAGGCCAGGGCCTGCTTGAGCTAACCTAAACATTCAAAGATGACTCGTGTCGCTGGTTCTTGAAGCTTGAAAATTCGACGCTTGCTATACAGTGTATCAACCAAAGGAACTTGAATTTTAGAAATTCTTTAATTGAGGATTGTACAGGATAGATAGGCGCAGTCTCCGTACATTTGTGCTTCTTTGGGCACCCACTTGTTTATTTCTGTCCCGCCCTGGAGTGTAGAGATATGATTTTAGTAGGCATTGTGAGCTGAGTGTAAAAGACGTGCGGGTGAAGAGAACATCATCGTCACACAAAAGATACGAAATGAATTTGAACTATATCAAGATAATCCCTTTCGCATCTTTTGTGTGCAATGGCTTGCAAATACATTCCTTGTTCAACATGCATTTGTAGGCCGCAGAACGAGCTTCTGGAGAAGGATGCACAGTACTAGAGCAAGTCGTGGTTGGCGTGATAGTTTGGTTTTGGTTTAGTTTGGTTCCCTAAGAATAACTGAATGTGACAAACAAACAACCTCAAACGAACCAATGGACAGCGATGAAGGATCTGAGCTCTATGCCTCGGACGTCGAGCACAACTATGCCACCATCTTCAAAGAATCTGAAACTGATGGTCTGATCGACTCTTATAAGCCATCTTTTGATGCTTATTTCACGCATGCTTCCTCGCGCACGCGTACATCTACCAATGTCTTTTCACAACTTGTCGTGCCCCTCAGCCCCGAGGAGCACAACGCTGCTCTCGAACGAGCGGCCGTGCATGCTTACGCACCACAAGTTCCCTTTGATAGTTCCAATTTCAAGAGATGGGCTCGCGAGCTCGATGAAGGCTTCAATACATTGTTCTATGGACTGGGCTCGAAGCGCGGTATCCTGAACGATTTTGCAAAACATGTGTCAAGACATGGACATGTCGTCGTAGTCAACGCCTTCCACCCTTCGTTCACCGTGCGCGACATGCTTGTGTCGATTGCACGCGTCCCAGGCGTACAATCCACCTCCACTTCTGCTCCTACCCTGGAACGCGTAGCAGAGCACTTTGCAAGCCCAGACAGCCCCCATCTGTTCCTCATAGTTCATTCCATCGACCGCTCTCCAAAACTTGCACGTGCCATTTCTTCGCTCGCACTCAGCCTCCACGTACACGTTGCCGCGTCTATCGACAGGCTTAACGCGCCACTGCTCTTCAGCGCGTCTCAGCTCACAGCTAGGAAAGGTTCTTTCTTTTCTTCGGATCGTCCTACAAAAAACGTGGGGTACGGCTGGCTCTGGCACGACCTAACCACTCTTGCACCATACACCGCCGAACTTACGTTCGCTGACCGTACCTCTATTTCTGGTGCCTCATCGTCCCGTGCACGTGTAGATATCACCAATCCTGTCTCTGGCCCGCTGACCGAAACAGCGGCAATACATGTGCTCGCAGCAGTGACCGCTAAAGCCAAGAAACTATTTTCCCTGCTTGCTGCAAAGCAACTCGAGAACGCTGATTCTTCCGACGTCTCGGAAGTCAACTCCGCACATAGCCCTCATGACCAGCAGCAATTTGGCCTGACATACGATGTTCTCTTTACTTTTGCACGGGACGCGTTCATCGCCACGAATGATACTGCACTTGGAGCTCTACTTGGTGAATTCAGGGACCATGGGCTTGTGCTTAGCGCGGCTCAGCCTGGTACTAGTGGAAGTGAGGTGTTGTGGATACCTCTGAGGAAGGAGAGGCTGTCAAAGCTAGTTGGGAATCTAGATGGGAACGCAACATGATTGTGCGCCCGCCGTGGTAATCATGTATAACACGTTCTCATTAGTACAAGTGTGCAGGCGTATAATAATATAGGAGGCCGTAGGACAAAGGCTTTGTTATTTTATACAAATATGGAAGCAATCGGACCAAAATAGCCTCAATTCCGTCGGAAGCAAAGACGCCTGCTGATCGAAACGACATAAATCGAACCACCATTTACTGCGCGTTTCATCGCGTCAAAACTTCTTCACAATGTCGACAACGACGAAACCCAAGTCAGAGCCTGTGGCAGACTTGAACCCGCGCTCGACGACCTATGAGTTCTTGGGCCCACCGGGTGCCTTTCTCATCTCATTCGGCGTACCTTTCATGACGTATCTCCTTTACTTTGGTTGCTCTGAAGAATCTGGCGGCTGTCCTCCTCATTTGCAATCTGTTCCAGACCGGTTTGTGGAAGCATTGAGCGACAAGGCCTTTTGGGCGAGTCTGTGGGACACCGAGGCCAGTTTGATTTACCTAGGATGGTATGCGTTTTGCGTTGTTGCATGGGCGGTGCTTCCGGGAGATTGGGTTGAAGGAGTGACTATGCGTACTGGGGAGAAAAAGAAGTACAAGATAAATGGTTCGTATCTGACCATAATGGTGGGCGTGGACGCTGACGCTGTTCTTCTGCAGCTTTTTCGACATTCCTCTTTGCGATGGGCATCTCCTGTGGCTATATCTTTCGCAACGGCCCCGAGTCCTTCACCTTCCTTTACCAAAAATGGGTAGGATTCGTCACTGCTTCACTCGTCATGTCCTTGGTGCAAGCCTTCTACGTTTATGCAAGTTCATACCGCTCGGGCGCTCTCCTCGCACTTGGTGGCAACTCGGGAAATTTCATCTATGACGTATGTTTCGAGTTCGCTCGTCAGTGCTGTTCATGACTCAAGTGACCCGTTTAGTGGTACATTGGTCGCGAGTTGAACCCCTCCATCGGTTCTTTTGACATCAAGTCCTTCAACGAGCTCCGCCCTGGCCTCATCCTCTGGGTGTTGGTGAACGTGAGCATGGTATGCGAGCAAGCTGTGCGTCGTGGGGGTTTCGCAAACGTGACCGACTCGATGTGGGTTGTACTCGCATTCCAGACCTGGTATGTCGCTGATGCATTGTATAACGAGGTTGGTCTTTTCAATTCTACATGATTACATCTGTATTAATCCGATATGCAGCCCGCCATTCTCACGACCATGGACATCACGACCGATGGTTTTGGGTTCATGCTTGCTGTTGGAGACCTCACCTGGGTGCCTTTTGTGTACTCGCTGCAGGCACGCTACCTTGTGTTCAAGCCCGTCGAGCTTGGACCCCTTCGTACTGTTGGAATACTTGTGTTCAACCTCCTTGGGTATTATATTTTCCGCGATGCTAATGGAGAGAAGAACGATTTCAGGAACGGACGAAACCCCAAGAGTGATTATTCCCCTCTCACAGATGTCTTCATCAGTATTGATTTACCGCTGTTTAGATTTGAAATATTTTACGACATCTACTGGTTCGAAGCTTCTCACTTCAGGGTGGTGGGGTCGATCAAGACACCCAAACTACTTGTGAGTTCTTCTTTTCTTGCTGTGATCTCGAGACTTGATTTCTGTTGTGCAGTGGCGACTTGCTGATGGCATTTGCATGGTCGCTTCCCACCGGGTTCGATACGCCAATCACATACTTCTATGTCGTGTACTTCGCGGTCCTGCTCATCCACAGGCAGCGCCGTGATGATGAAAATTGTGAGAAAAAGTGAGTCGGTTGTTTCTCTATGATCGATGTGTGCTGACTAGTTGATACTAGGTACGGTAAGGATTGGGAGACGTACAAGCAACTGGTACCATACCGTATTATTCCATACGTTTACTAGGAATGAGGTCTGGATAAATTACTGCTCACTCCACGGATGATCAAGTTTCGGGAATGTTAATGTATTATGTTCGGATGACTCAAGATTCTCCGATCAGTCAATCCTTCTCTACAATATCGGGTAATATAGAGATGTCTGTTTGTCGTCGTTCATAGTTCAGCATTGATTTTAATCATGTAAATAACAGCTGACCATTTCGCTCCAAGACTCGCGTGCTTCTTTGTTGCGGTATGACGCGCTCCATGGGATAGATTTTAGGGAGTCAGCACGTGTAGCTGTGAGCTCTGTTGATAACAAACTTCAACGATATTGTGGAACAACGCTGGGGAAGGTGCGACGGCGAGACGTAAAATATGTATCGTGTGTTACGTGGTCAGTGATGCCAACTTCGTGATAACAAGATATACCAATGGGGCGATGAAGATGCAATAGATAGCAAAATGTAGGAGAGATCTTAACACATGGAGCACTTTATCAACAAGTGTATGTGCGACAACGCCCTGGTCGAGGACAGCCGCTGGCGACTGTGATGGTGGGCGAAGAGTCGACACTTCTGTATCCATGGTGTCCGACAATTGCGCAATGAGCGGAACGAGCAGCCGGCTCGCAAAGAAATTGGCTGGTAAACTACGGAATGCACGCACGGTGCGGAGCATATTACTTTTCGACAGGAAGGTCAAAGAGCCTGTCTTGGTTACGTTGACTAACAGAACAGAATTGAACTCCAATGTCTGGGGTCGCGATAGTTTTGTGATCTTGAATACAAAACCTGTCATTCGCCCCTTTCTGGGAAGATCTATAGCGCGCAAGAGACATCGCGGATTGGAAATTTACTTGGCCGATGTGTGTACCGTATTGTCCGCTGGCGTAAATTGGAGTTGGTGGTGCTGGATTCACGTTTAGGAAAGAGCTCGCCAATGAACCTCGCTTTACGTATGCTTTCATCTCCGGACGCAAGATGATATTACGCAAGACGAGAGCAACGCGAGGGCTGACTACGAATATGCGGTGCAGGTCAGGATAGCCATCTGCCAACCCTTCCCACAAACCAAATCCGTTGTGCGTGAGGATAAATTCTTCCCCTTCCGCAGCTTCCCAGATACTGAAGAAGTAGTTGTTCGCATGAGTGTGGTATGTGTAAGCTGGGAAGTGTTTGAGATCAGGTGGGATATGTGATTCAGTTATCATTCTTTGAAGACCCTCTTCGCCGTACTTCTCCACGAGTTTTGCAGCATCTTGCATGATGTCTGAATGAGATGAATCCAAGTAGTATCTGAGGAAGTGTAGCCAGACCCCGGCAGAAGAATGAATGCCCTTCGCCTTCATGAAGGACTCAATCCACTGACGGCCTCCTGCATTCTCCGGGTGATCCACTTGGAAGTAGGTATCTGAGCACGATACCTTGCGATAATGCATGATAAATAGAAACTTCCGCAGGAGCTCCAGCGGCCTCCGCTTCAGAGTGAAAGTACCCTGAGGAAGCGCATTATGCAAGTCCATGATAATGGAAGCTGCATCACGTTCGAGGTCCCCTAATTTCTCCTCTAGTGCGTTTATATTACGGGTGTTTCGAACGTCCTGGTAGAAATTCGGTACGCCGTAAACCATTCCAATAGGACGAATGTCAAGGCTACCCGTAGCAATATCATAGTAGTGGACGTATTCAGGATCAACACCAGTGCGTCGAAATTCATTTTGTCGTTCCGTTTTGGACCTGCAAAGGATATCACTCAGTGTTCTGATCTAGTATCTGCATGCAGAGTGCTCGAGAGGATTCTGAAAACACACTTCACAGGTCCGACTTGGAATCTTCGCAATATGAACCTTGGAATGAAATGTTGATATTGGTATTGTGTCGTAGGTGCACCCAAACTCGTAGAGCCGTCTGTCTGCTGAGCTTCTCCTGCAAGCTCTGTTCTGGCTTGTTTTGGTGTATTCTTGCGACGTCGTGTCATTCTGTAGAGTTCGACGAGTCTAAGAACTAAGCGCTGAGCGTCAAATTTCGTCCTCACACATCTGTGGCGCTGCCATCAAACACTTTATAAAAGAGCAGTCAATCATGTAAATTGAGAGCTCTTTCGAGTCGGAGGTCCAAAACAAGTTCCACGATGACCTCGACTTAATCCATGCACTCTAGTAACAATTGTGCTCGCTGTCTGCTGTATTGGGTATTCAGCGCGAAAACGGGGTTCAGATATGATAGTCTGGTGAGCTTCCCTTTTTTGTGGACACTCTAATATCTTTCGAAGTAATATCCGCACCTCAAGCTGTCCCCGACTCATGGACATCGGAAGCACCCACAAACAAAGTATTAGAGTGACTGGCGAGGTCGTGAGGCCTTTGATTCAACTTATTGATGTTGATGCCGGCTGTTCGATGCGTTGATAATGGATGTTACTCTTGTTTGAATTACAGCTCCATCATGATCGATCACTGCGACTGGTGCGCATTTATTGGTTGCTCACTCTGATGTTACCTGAAAACAGGGAATTGAAGACCTCTGACTTCTAAGTATGTCTTGTAACAAAACATCCACGCTGTTGCATGGAGCCTGTCCACTCCATCGCACTGTCTACCCAGGCGCTCTTCCTAAACCTGAGATATACTTCTCTCATATTCTTGCTTCGACAATGCCATTAAGACGATATTGCCTTCTTTGAAGTTCCCTCATGATGCTGCTCATGTACGCGCCGCGGCGGAGAGGTGATTTGATATTCGAATGCATCCTTGTGTCGGCGTCTACGTCAGGGAGGAAACTTGCCTCCCCATTGTGACGTCAACGGACACCACAGCTGACTGTTTTTGGGGCTCATGCTTACTTTTGAGACCTTAGTTGGTTGCCTTTTTGTGTACTCACTACAGGCACGCTACCTTATACTCGAGCCCGTACTGTGACCGCTGTGGTATGTTTCCCGCGATTATAATTATAAAAGAATGATTTTAGAATCGAACATGGTCCCAAGAATGTTGTGTTTCCTTTCACGCCTCCCCTCGGTGTTGATGTAACTGCCATTTCAATCTGGATTTGAAGTATCCTGAACGGATCGCGGGTTCACTTTCGAAAAGCAACAGCAATCAAGTAAGATGAATTGCTTATGGCAAACAAATTTTCAGGCGGCATTCCACTCATTGGCTTAGGTGAAGACAGAGCCTAACTCGAGTGAGGACACAAGCAGGCAGAAGGACTTTTCCAGTAGCCACAGGACAATTATGTATTGAAAATTTCAGTAATACAAGCGATTATACGGAATGTAAATTGAAGGTACGAAAACGAAGTAAGGGAGCGGTGGGCAGGTCGAAAGAAAGCTGTAGGTGTACAACAAACTCGACCACGTAGTGGAGGGAGAAAACGAATGTAGGGAGCGAACAGCATGTTCGCTCAGCTGGACTCGTGGCTACATTTATACAGGCACTGGAGCAATGTGTGAGTTGATGGCACTATAATCTAATAGCGAAAAAAATGAGTGAATGAAAGTATTCATGAAAATAACTAAATCCTTGAATGAGGTGATGACTCTATGATGTGCGTGATGATTCTAGTATGTGCATGATTAATGATAGTGAATATTAACAGCATAAATTATGGTCGAGCTGAAACAACGGTGATTAGAGCATCTCCACAGTCAACTTGCACGACGACTTACCTAGTTGTTCTTTGCGGTAGAACCAGAAGTAACCTAGTACAATGACAATCTGGCAGATCAGCGCTAGCCAGAATGGAGCGGAGGCCATTGGGCTGCCCCTGAGACCATGTGAGAAGTCCCATGTTCCGACATTAGGGAATACGCTCCCTGGACCGATGCGGTTTGGTGCACTTGCGCGGGCGGCCATAACACAAATAGACCCAATAACCTGAGCGAGAGCGAGCGTGGAACAGACGTGTAATCTTGACAATGTCTGGAGCAGAATCATTCCCAGGCCGACGCCCTGTACAGCATCCAAAACACCAAGCCAAAGCCACAGAGAAAGACCTAGGTATGGTCCCCCTGAGCCAGCCCACGGGATATAGAGCGCAAGAGACGAGGTGCCCCACAATGTCTGCGACATATGTTAGATGGCTGAAGATTGATGCGACATTGACAAGACCATACCTGACACCATCTTGGAGCGCCAAGGCCGACAGCGAACACGGGCAACAACCAAGTATGCGTCTTACTCAAGGACGTGAGAACATAGAGCATGAGAGCCCAGACACCAACGAAAAAGAAGATGACGAGAAGCATGATCGCCGACTTGGGGATCGGAACATTCCAGAGGAAACTCCAGTTGCGACCGTAAGGCTGCGATAAGGTTAGAACATAAGAAAATCAAAGCACCGAGCCTAACATACACCGCTGAGCCAATAATCACGCAAAATTTCAGACGCGAGGAACCTTGTGTGGAGTATCAGCGTCGTCAACTCAGCCGCGAGCAAGAAAAGTCTAACCAAAGAACTAGCTTCCTTCGCAAGAGAGTCTTAAGGAGGTTTGGAACTTTCGAAGGAGTTTGTCGGTAGTACTCTGTTTTGTAGTTGGCATTATTATCCTGCCTGAGAAGTCAGATGGGACTTACCTGGTAGTCCGTACAACATCAAGTATGCAAACGCAAACGACATTATTGAGAGCGGCCACAAGATAAACACAATCCACCAAGGCGTAACGGACCCAGGCGTCGCGGTATTCAGTGTGCTACCCCAGTACCACAGGGCAGCCACCCAGATCTGTTGAGAACCTTGTACAATGCAAGCGCGCAGTATCCAGACTTCAGTGGCGGCAGCCTAAAGAACAAACATCAGCTGCATACAAAAGGTCCTCACAAAGTGACGTACCGCTTCCTCTCCGAAGTTCAAGCCAAAAAATAGGAACGAAGCAGCAGAAGCGACAGTATATGACCAAGTGGCAATGTCCGATAAGATGGTATGAGTCCCTTGAAGTTTTGATGATAATGAGGGAATGGCAATCAAAAAGAATGCTAGGCCATAAAAGAGCCAGGGAGCAGAAAGAACGTAGACAGAAGGCTTCAAGCGGAACAACGTATACCAAACAAAAGATGAAATCAAGAATACAGTGCTGAGAACATATAGTTGAACGTTTTCCTGGTAGTTTTGACCAGTGAGCAAAGTCATCTGGTAGCTATTTGCAGCAAGCATCTTGAGAAAAAACGTGAGCTCGTGGATGAGATCAAGAATTAAAGGTCTTACCTGACCGAGAGCAATGATGATAGTATACAACGGCCAGCTTCCGATTTTTCGAGCCAGCATGATCCGGATACGCTCTCGGTGCGAGGAAATGTGACTGGCTGCATCGGACAGCTTGTCTCGTCTCGCACGTTCGAAGAAAGCATTCTCAGATTTGACGAGGTACTTCTCAATAGAGAGTTCACCCTTGGAGTTATTTGAGTTCAGCGTTTGTAGCTTTTGCACAAACTCTGAGGTAACGCTGCCATCAGAATCCGTGAACTAGAAGTGAATGAGATAATACCAGTCATCGAAATTCTCGAGATACGCACCGTCATAATAGCCTTGTTCAGCGGCGAGTTGGTCTTTTCTTTCACGACGGAGATCGCCAGAGAATGTGATCCAAACGGTTTTGAAGGGGACGTCGGACTCAAGAAAGGATCTGGCGCATGTCGACGATCTTGTGCAATCGTCCCGTCCCCTTTCTCCAAAACGTCACTGGAACTGGACCGACTACTATTCGTGAAACCAGGCGGTGTTAACAAAAAGCTTTCCTCGTGGGGCGTAGAAACTTCGCTTGCACTGGGAGAACCAAGCATGAATCTCGGGGATGACGTTAACAAAAAGCTCTCTTCGTGGGGCGTAGAAACTTCGCTTTCACTGAGAGAGCTAAGCATGAATCTCGGGGATGACATGGGGGTCTGTACATCCCAGCCAGGTGAAACGGGCAGTCCTTGATTGACAGGGTTCCAATCTTCTACCTCAAAAGCCGCATGCTGAGAGGGCTCAGTCCCGCAGTCCGCCTCCCGCCAAGCGTTTGAATCAGCCAGATTTCGGCTCGCGTTTATACTCCGTCGGTGTATGTCTTCCATCCGCTGACGCCATTCGATGACTGGGAAACGCTGAATAGCTGACCGAGCACGAAGCATGGCCCTTTCTTCTTCTGTGGATTTTAACGCCAACTTGATCGTCTTCGAAAGCTGAGATAACATATGATCCGTCGAGGTAGATTCCACAGGGAACCACTACCAGGAATTCTATCAGAACGTGCCAAAAGAAGATGAACTTGAGAACTCACCCATCCAGGCATCAACCCAAGACCACCGAGTCGACTACCAACACCAAGGGCACCTTTCCTCCCAAATTCGACAGCGACCAATCCAAACGGTTCATCACGGGAAGGAATCAGAGCAAAATCAGCACCACCAAACAGATAAGGCGGCAACACAGTAAACTCCAGTTTCGCGTAAACACGATCAGGGTACATCTCCATCAAGCGAGTGAGCTTCTCCGCAGCGAACCGACCATACAGATCAATAACAGGTCCGACACAAATCAACTGTATCGAAGGGCGTTTCTCAAGGCTGCGAGAAAGGTCTCATCAAAATCGAGTCCCATACAATCTAAAAACTCACTCACAGCGATGGCATGACATCCGCAATCAGGTCAACACCTTTCTGCTTCGACCACCGACCAACGAACACAAATAGATCAGAGTTGGGATCCTGCTTGATATTCGCCCATTCCTGAGCCTGCCTCTTCATCTCCGGACGCTGCGCCTCAGCAGCCCGATCGATCTGCACTTCACGGATAGCCACCGGGTTCTCATCCAAAGCCGCAATATCCGTAGGGTCAGGATTAGGCAGCGAATCAACATGCTTGAGAGTCCACAGAGCAGGATACCGCACCCAACTGCGCTTCCCATACTTGTCCGACACTCCGGCAACACCGATGCTCTTTTGATGAACGCTGATGAACGATGCGGCAGCGTGAAGCAAGTTGAACGTGTTTCCAAACTGAACGTATTTCGTACAGTGCTCTTTGCTGATGTTGAACACGGAGCAGACTTCTTTCATCTCTTCTTTTGTTCGAAGCGGCCATAGACCCTGGAACTCAGCATTGTGTAACGAGAGACAGACGGGTACTACTTTGGGCAGGAGGTAAATTGGAGCAAGCGCGCCGTGGTAGTCGTTGATGTGGTATATGTCGACGACGGGGAATCGGCGGATGGTAGTTGCGATGGCCTGGTTCCATGTAGAGTAGAAGATGGCGGAACTAAGATCATCCATGCGGGCTGGGTACGGGTCCGATTTTGTCTGTGCACGGAAAACGGGGCTGTCGAGGATAACATATGTGATATTGTCTAACACGTGCGTCTCCACATCGACGAGGTAAGGTTCATTGAGGATGGTAACCTCGATAGGTTCCGCAGGTTCACCAGCAGGATATTCCTAGGTCTTTGACTTTTGGAATGACCCAGATCAAGTCAACGTCCGTCATAGCTTTTCCCATGAGCGACGACATCACACCAAGACCTCCGATCTTGACTTTGATCTTCCAGTCAATGATCTCATACTCCAGCGTCGCGATGAGAACTTTGCGTCGCTTGTTCTTGTCCTCTGGCCATCCTATGATCTCCGCATTCGGCTTGTGCCCAAAGATTTTCTCCATGATGGGCGTCACGCACTCCTTGAAGTCCGCGGTCGGCTTGCTGCCGAGAGATCCAATGTTGGAGAAGCACTTGCTTGCGCCCCAATTCGTCTTCACACCGTACAGGTTGTGGCGGATGCCGTAGAAAGAGTATATGAAAATGACGACTGCGAGAACTCCGGTAATGGGGGGGAGAGAGCAGAGAAACGTGTACATGATAGCACTGACAGAAGCCTGGCCACGAGGTTCAAGAGTCCAAGCCAACGTGGCATCATCAACAATCAGTGCCCATGCGAGCGCAGGATAAGGGGGTGCCGACAAGTTCAGGTAGTTGAGCGCAATGGTGTTTGGTGGTAGCCGATCCAAAATGCCGTCCCCATCGACGTCGCCGTAGAAGTAGTCATCGTACCCAAACACGTTGAGTTGCAAGTACGTTGGCCACGCAGTCATGATTTCGAGCTCCCAAGTGCCATCGCTGACTAGGTTCATCGCATTGGAGATACCCTGGTCATAACCCCAGTTATTGAAAGGACCTCGAGCGAGGAACTGCGGAATGCGACGTTGCTGCTTGTGGTTCAGATCTGCATGCACGACAACGCTGGCGGTAGTCGCGACACCACTCCAATCTACCGCAACGTCAACACTGGAAAAAACCAGCACTATAAGGCACTCACATTGTACTACGAGATGTTGTCCTGTCCAGAAAGTATCAGAATTGATAAGGACGTCAGCGGGTATGGTCGTAACATTCTCCCAGCTCGTCCAATTAGACCAACTTAGTGTGAAGTCGCCTGAGTACCTGAACATGTCCGCCCCATAGGCACGGTGCGTGAATGTATACTGGCCATCAACGTAGTTGAAATCTGCGTTATCGTAATCGGACTCGGGGAACACCATGACATTGTTCGCTTCGCCCTTGCGCAGCAGCAGATGATCTGTATTCTACAAACCATGATCAAAACACGAAATAGAGAGCAGAAAAAACAGGCATACCCCAGTAGACAGCGTTCCATCGAACGATGATGGATTATTAACAATGATCTCCAAAATCCCATCCGGAACATTGGATTAGTGTACCAGACCACGACCACTGCGAAAGCGGAGCTCCCACAATGGGCGACATGGTGGGATTCATGACAGCATTGCACACCACCGAAGTCAGGTCGAGCATAGGCTGCCCACCGGTGCCAGAAGACGACATGCTGAACGATAAACTGTGTGTGACGCTATCACATGACATTGCCACATTGAATTCTAGCGCGATGTTCACGATCGTAGCGTTTGGCATCCCCTGCATGACTTCAAGGCGCGCGTCATGTCCAGGCAGAAACTTGGTGAGCATAGGGGGGGCAGGGACCCACTCGCTGACAGGCACCAAAGCCTTGAAGCCAAACATGTCCATGTCCACAGTCTGGAGACACCCATACCACGGTCCCATTCCGTTATTATAGTATGACACCCCCGAGTCCACAAGCGTATAGTTCTCGTACGGAGAAAGCAAGTTCCTCACCGTCGTCCCACCCACATATGGTGATGACAGCCACAGCGGACCGCTGCAATCATACGAATGCGTCTGTGAGCTGTTCTGATTGGAGTACAATAGCCAGACCTGATCGGTGTGCTCCCCGGTCAGGTTTTGTACGTTCGGGATACCCGCACGTGATACAGACCAGAGGCCCATCTCGGTCGCGGTATGGTTCGAACCCGGGAGGTCGACGAAGTAGGTCCAGTTTCCATGCTGTATGAGGTCGAAGCCGTCTTGGAGGGCGTTGTAGGTGGTTCGGAGGTACAAGAAATGTTTCAGGAGGCGACGCATGTCCGTTGTGGGATCGAAATGATCGAGCGAGTTCCAATCGTCGTCACATCCCGTTAAGGCAGGTTCAAGCGCCATGTTAGGGTATTGGGCAGATCCGACTCTGTAGCACCCATGGCGTTGCCAAGCCTTGTTGCTCATCATAGCTTGACGGCTGAAAGCAGCAGGGTAAGAAAAGTAACCACTTGAAGGTGTTGGTAACCCACCCGAAAAGATAGTTTGAAGCCGTGGAGTCGTACAGATAGAAATTCTGCTCCTCGCCATAGTAGATCTGTAAAAGGTATGTACTGCAGCAACAAACATTCCAGTATAGCACCTACCAATGGAACCCCTGGCATAACCAGGTACGTGATATAAGATCCCAATGCGGACCTCGATGTGCCATTCACCAAACCGGGCCAGCGGAAAACATCGAAATTACTTGTTCCGAATAGATGCTTCGGATCGGCGAGGCCGGTGTTTGGATTCAAGAAGTCGTCATTCACGAACATCTGATTCCAAGCGGTGATAAAGTTGGCGTCGAGGTCGGACGTGACGACCAATGAGTTGGCCACTCCGAGGAAACGGATGAGGGAACGGTATATTGAGTAATGGAACGCGTAGCCGTCGAGGCCATTCGATGACTGTGGGCGCAAGAAATACTGGCTTTCGGATCCTGTCAAGTTGGTTGCCTGAAGGAATCCGGGGTGCGGCATAGCCGGGGTACGGCCACGTCCCCTGTGAAGGTGAAGGCGATCAATCAGTGTTGGTGGTAAGTGAAATAGCTACTGACAAGTATAGAGACCCAAAGGTGTCACCGCCAGTGACTTCACCGGTGATATAAAAGTTCTTCTTTCCAAGATTACTGGCGCAAGCACGAGTTGCAGATGCCCAAGCGGTCAGGCCGTCGACAGTGAGCTGTGTGGATTTGTCGACACGAATGGCATCGATATCAAGGGCTGTAATGGTCATACAGGAAAAAGTAGTCAGTTTGTTCAAAACAGAAGGCTTCCATTCGCGAAGACGGTCCTGTACAGATGCAAATTTGGAAAGCTGACGCTGCCAGGCGGGGTGCATACCGAAGGCGTCCATGTCACCATATTGATCAAAGTCGGACTCGTAACAACCATCATTTCCCGTTACAGGCTGGATTATTCCATCATCTTGCCAAAAGACGGGAAGTTCACAAGAAGTGTTACGCTCATTGATGAGCTTGAAAAAAAAAAAAGTTAGTTGAGGGATGAAACGAACGAAAATGACTACTTACGGAAAAATCAACATACTGTTCAAATCCCCAGGGGATGTACCTCGGGTTTTTGTAGACCGTAGGATATTCAGCGAGACTGAATGGGGCGCTGGAATTGACATAACTGGTGGGTATGAGTGAGCAATCGTAGTTGCTAGATAGGGTGAACAAACCCTTCAAAGCCGAGAAGGTTGGACATGGTTCCGACTGTGAAAGTCCAACATGATATACATGCCGCGTGCGTGTAAGATGTCAATGAAGTTTACCCAATCATCAATAGTACCCCAATGAGGATCCAATACAGAGAAGTCGAGAGGAGAATAACCTAAAGGAAATGAGTATGTGTTGAAAATGAGATCGAGATTGGGACATACTATCGGCTTGCCATATCATGTTCAAGAATATAGTACCTGAGAGATATATGGCCTTAACGCCCATTCCTTGGATATAGTCCAGTTTTGAGATTAGACCTTTGAGGTCACCGCCGAAACGAAGTTGAGTTTCTCTCCAATCCCATTCGTGTGGTGAGTTAAAGAACTGATTATTTGAAGGGTCACCATCAGCAAACTTGTCCATAAGGACGGTGTACATTGGTATTGAGCGCCAGTTCTGTGGAGAGGGGGTGTAGGTGGTGTTTGATCTCGTGGTTGAATAATCTGTAGCGGACTGGGCGGATTGGTTCACATTGAGATTGTAGGATGTGAGGTCTGGACGATAAGGGGAAGCGAATGTAAATGAAGAAAAAAAGAGTGACGAAGCAAGGGCGGTTAGAAACCGCATCTTGGGCTAGTTGGAGGAAGGGAATGGTGATGGATGGAAGTGTCCTAGGCCAGTTGGGTCCCGGGAAGAGACAGCAATCGTATAAAAGTAGAGGAAAAAACATATTTTATATCGGAAACCTACCGAAAAATGGCGGGAAACACTAAGGCGAATCAAGAAAACAATACAACCCTGGACGAGTAATGTCATAGGGGTATCCGGGTAAAGTCGACGCGATGATATAAGCGAACCGAGTGGGCCGCCATGCTTCAGACTAGTACTGAAGCTGGATTGTTGTGGTGCAGAACAGTCTCCGGCATCATGACCAGGTAGCCAGAAATCTGCTTCAGGTCCGTATCTGCGCCAATGCACAAGTTATAAGGTATTGAAAGCTGCGACCACGCGTCCGACTGTCGAGAATGTGCTTATCTCCCGTTTTTCGGCTCTGCTATCAGTAACGACAGGCCCTGACTCGGGAGTCGGGACATTGTAGCTCGCAGATTTTTTTTGGTCCACATGAAGAGTTCATTTCGGTGTTGTTGGGAACGTGGCGATTGAGTTCTGACGCATGAAAGTGAGGTCTATGTTATTAAGTTCAAAAGTTTGTGTGGCCCATCTCAACTACAATTAGCCTATAAGGGGATTCTCTTAGATTTATGGGAAAGCAGACCCACCTCCCGCCATCTATTATGTAATAATACGCGCCTTGTACGCAATTTCCGTTGACGATTACGTGTGGTCAATGCAATGACATCAATTCAGTTCGGAGATCTGACCTTCATTAATTTTCATTCTTTAATTCTGATATTGAACACCATACGCGCATCAGTATCGCACTATTTTCAAATGAAATTCCCCTGCCTCGCAGTGTCACGCATATCCGAACGCTTTGCCTTCGCAAATCTGATTTCCCACCGCCAAACACTAGTGGCACATTTCCCCCATCGTCCGAATCTGCCAGGATACATTGTGAGGTGCAGGAACAAGCTTCGCCAAGAATGACGCACGTAGTTCAAGGAATAGCCGCGACAAAGTTGGTTTTGGTGCGGCTGGTAACAAAAAGACCTGGAACACGTAAAATAGAATGAGATAAAGAAGAGGCTAATACAGTGTCCAGATGGGTTGATTGTCTGTTCACGTGAAAGAGGGGTGCTGTTCAAACGAACACGAAAAATGAACATCTTGGCATGAACCATGGGAGAGTCGACAGGTGGCAATAGCCAGCGCTCTCAATACCAGAGACGTAGGTTCACTACAATGGTAGCACCGTCGAACGAGCGTGAATGGGAGTCTACGCAGGAGCGACGATGGGACATGAGACATTTCAGGAACCAACTTGAAGCACGGAACTGAGGAGTAGCAAATATCACAAAATGACACTGAGAATATTCAGGGTGATCATAAATATCTAACAGTGGAATGTCCTCGTCCCGTCCACCACACGGGGGACGTGCGAAGGTGTCTTGACCAAAGATGTGCTGGTGAACAAAAGGTAAGAAGGAGCGAGATAGATTTGTCGACAGAAAATGCAGATGCGGCAAAGCTGACATAATATTCCCACACGCCAGACGGAACGTCCAGCCTGAGGTGCCGGGTTGAATGGAGCCTGCCGGAATACCTCGGCACCATGCGTTCAGCTGAGCGGTCACGTCCACTGCCCTTGTACCACCCTCCTATATCAGTCGCTATATCTCTGGCGCCTCTATAATACACGGAAACCCTCTTGCGGACCTATCCCAACTCGCGTAGCATCACGTCACATGATTGAGAATTTCAAATGTATCAATCTTACTCATTTTTTCCTCAAACGATGAGTGACGGTCCAGCGGCTGAGCGCTGAGGCCCGAGAGAGTTCTCGATCGTATGGACACAGGATCCCCAAGTTAATGGTTCGTTCCCTCCCACGCTTGCCACCGGTGATGATGCACCGTCGTTTAGACCCGAACCTGGGCCTGAGGTACCTTACATAGATCACGGGCTCACTTCAGAGTGGCGCCAACAAAGCACTCTAACTACCTGTGAGCCTCATTGCCTCTTTCCTTGCTTTTGATTTATTCGTGTCGTGTCGCAGCTTTGTGAATATGCATGGTCAACTATCTACCAAGTCTGGTACTGGTATGCTATGGCCCTTGCTCATTCATGGACAGCAGTCACAGCACCGCAATATCCCAGATTCGAATTTACGTGACTCGCCGTGTTGGTTACCTGGGCAGAAACGTCAATAAAGGCGCAGCACACGCTTTGCCTCTCACGGCCTACAGGGCCCGTCATCAAAAAGCTCTTGCAAGCCCATCATACTACAGCAAGTAGTAGGATATCGCTTGTATGGCTCAATTAATTGTTGCCAACGCCTTAAATCTTGTGTAGACTCGGAGCTAAGAGCACACCTTGAACATTTTTATACAGGAGTTAGGGCGTATTAGGACGTGAGGGATACCAATGTATCGCTATAGAGCATAGGAAAGGTGTGGTTGGTTTGGTTTAGAATGCCAGGGGTGCGGCTGGTCGGCAGTGGAGCATCTCTGGGACACCGAGTGCTGTGTGGTCACCAAGCGAGCGGGCAGAACTAGCATTGTGTCAGTCCCTTGTGAACAGAGTAGTCGAATTTAGACATACCGATCACGAGGAGTTGCGGGGTTTCGCTCGAAAAATAAACGGAGGCGGTGACCTAGCTAAAACTGTTCGTAGATCACTACTACCTTTGAGATGAGATCTGGAAATGTTGATATGCGGCTGACCCAAGGCTGACCAGCAGTCAGGAGACCGAGGAACAAAAACGCTCCTTCGATCTCTCCGAGTAGAGGACTCGGACTAGTGGGGAGTAGCGCGAATATCGGAATGAACAAGCGGTTGCGCTCAGGTTGGGTTGCGTTACACAGTGCCTACACATGCAGTGCTACAGACGAGTCCCTGCGGGCTTCACGGAACTTTTGTAGAGAGGAACTTCAATGCAAAACGCTCGATACGGCCTTGCCTAATAAAGTGACTTGTATCTGCCGCGGACGCACTAAAGCCTACTCTAGTGACTGTTGCATCCTTGTTTAGTGAGCGTTAATCACAACCAAATCACAGGCTTGGCAAAAATCGACATTGCAGGTTACAAATGAGCCACAGCCATGCAGGCCTCTAGCCTCTTCTGGTCAACCTGACTCGCGACAAGCTATATTCCGCATCAACGCATAGTTCGGCGCTGTCACAGGACAAACCGCCTGATCAGTGATCACCTTTGTCGGGTATAGTGAAATTGAGTGGATAGCCGTACGTGTACCTATATAAGTGGCAGTGGGCTCTAATACCAAGTACTCAGATATCTAGACAGTTCCTCTTTCTCCTCCACCCCACGCTCGAGGATAAAATGAAATACAACAAACGCTTGACGGCTTTGGTTGCTGCTGGTCTGCTTCGAAGTTCGCTCGCTCAGACATGGTACGTACAATTTTGATCCTGTACATGATCGACTCTTAAATCTTTCAAGGTGCGGAAAGAATTATATGGCAAATCAGTCTGTGGTGCCCCCTGGAGGACAGTTTGTATTGCCTACGCAGAGTGTCGATCCACTTCTGTCGTTCCGTTGTGCCCCTGTCTTCCGCCCATACCTCCAAGAGGATGCGAAGAGCGCAGCATTCGTAGTGGATACACCAATTGTTTACGACTGGATCGCTGGTGCTGAGCCCATATCACTTCCTTCTACCTCCAGCAACTCCACTGGCTTAGGAAGCATCACTGTCACAATCAACGTGGGCTCCGTAGAGACCACCGCAAACGTCCCTCTGAATGCCACCAACTTCCAAATACCCGTAGATATCAGCAAACTCCAGGCTCAGAAGACTGCATACAATGTCCGCTGCTCCGCTACATACACTGCCCCTTCGTCTTCGAACTGCCAGAAATTCAAGACTAGTACATCCCTTTTGTATCTCCCTGACACGAATGCATCTGTCACTAAGACTGACTTGCGCACTGGCGCACTCTGGGTGAGGCCCGCAGATGGCAAGGGTGGAGCATTTGCGCCCTTCTTGCCTCAAGGTTTCTACATAAATTTCGACGAGTATCTAGTCAACAATTTGACTATGATCGATCAACTTAAAGCTGACGGGTTCGTTTTACATTTCTATCACCTTGTGCGAATTTACTGAAATCTTTTCCAGGTTCAATACTGTATGTCTTGCGAGCGTCTGATATATCTTGTACTAAACGTCTATTGCCATAGCTGCACCCAATTCCTCCTTATAACAACCTTACTATTTTCGAAGAAGTCATCAACAAGACCATCAGTGCCGGCATGTACATTGTTTATGATATGCGATCGTATGTCAAACTCCATCACCTCGTTGCATGGTAACTGATATCTTCCATTCAGGAACTACCAAAACTTGACCGCTGTCGCTCAACAAGTGAAGACTTACGCCTCGATTCCCAACCTATTGAACTGGGAAACTGCCCACGAGCCCGATGGCAACTCCGACCCCCAAGATGCGGCACAGTCGACATATGACTTGATCTATCAGCTGGACGGATACCACCCCATCTCTATTGTTCTGAATTGCCAGGACTATAACTTCTCGCCCTACGTCAATGGAGCCGATATCGTTCTTCACGTGAGTCGTTCATAACGTTTTCGTCGTTCGTATTCTCATCTCTGGTGTAGGATGCTTATCCTATTGGTATTAACGCCACATTTTCTCCTGTGTGGCACACAGAGTGTACCCCAGACTTTGGACACTGCGGTTGCGACAACTGCAAAGGTACATTGTATGATGTAAAGGCCCGTGTCCAGACCTTCAAAAACAGGCTCAACATTTTGGGCTTTGACCGTACCAAGTCTGTGTGGACCACGCCCCAAGCATTCGGCAGTGGCGCGTAAGTCGCCTCGAACCTTCGACGCGATCTATTTTGACTCTCATTGCAGATATTGGAGCACCACTCCCACTGGGCAGCAATGGGCCGCTTTAGGATTCACTTCCTTCAACCATGGTGCTCTAGGTAAGCGATGCGACGAAATCCCCATACGAATAAAGCTGACTTAGGTCTCCAGGTTCCAAGTCCTTCCAATACCCTACCACAACCGGCAATGTATCGACGATCGAAGGGACAGCGACTAACCTCACTGTCGTCATCAAGAACATCGTTCAGCCATTCATCGTCGACCCAAACGCCACATCTACCCACTATGATTATCTAGGCGTGGATGCCGGCCTCTGGCACAACGGCACTGCATACTTGCTCATCGTTGCCAACTTGGTGAACGCGCAGGTCTATGTGCCGTGGAAGGATGTTGGATTGGGCTCGATCACCAACACGACCACGCAGGTAGAGCGCATACTCTCCGTCTCACAGAATACCAACGCTACTGGTCTGAACTTTTTACCTGGAGGTATTGGTATTTACATCGCGACTCCCCCTAAGTGATTATAGAACGAGGACGATGGAAGCGAGAGGTTGGTGATCGTTATAGCTTATTATCATGATTTATCATGGGTCATAATGTATTCTACTAAGTGAGGAATGTACCAAGTCAAAAGTGAATGATCAGTCTGACTAATGTACTTGTATCTTCGTTAAAGAACACATTGTATACCTTGTTATGACCGCTGCGACACCACTGAGGAATTTGAGGTGGAAGCATTTAATAGCAACGGTTTGGCACGTGTCTGGTCCAGGTCTTGGGCAGATCCCCACATCATTACGCATAGGTATTTCGTGATTTGGTTTCCTCAACCAAGCTGATGCCATTACGTTCAAGCCGAAAGGTCTTTATTTCTTGCACTTGACGAGACATCCAAGGTTTGTATAATAATTTAAATGTTTACAACACTGGATCTTCTATGTGGACTTCAAATATGTGTGGCACGAGTCATCGATGAGTCGTGAACTTCCCGTTCTACGTGGCCACTGCACCCTCTTAATACTGCCAGTTCCTCTCAAAGTCCAACGCGTCAAACTTCGCAGATGGCGACATCAAGGCCCCATATTATCTCCTCCAACTACGATCGCTCGCACATCAACCCGCCTGACACCGCCACGCCAAACTTCTCATATTTTTGCAACAGTAATAATGATGAACACCACCTCAAGTGACAGGTTCCTGAGCAGCAATCTGCTTCTCCCAGTCTCATATGCAAGTATTCAAATGCTTTCATCCATCTATCGCGAGTTCAATGCAACTCGACTGCAGTTCTTAGACTGGGTCTCCAGAAACCGACTATCGAAAACCTACACGAGGACGTCCGTTGCGACATCTTGGTGCACCTGCCTGATATCACACTCGATTAAATATCTTTCCGGAACTTCTCATTTGAGCTGCTACTCTTCGCATCGCCTCAATTTCATCCTCCTGTTCGCTTGCTCTTGCATGGTGCTTTCTCCCTCTCCAACTGTCTTTTCACGCCTCACAGCTCACACGCATCCTCTCGTGCTCGCCGCCTTCGTCGTGGATATCACGATTATGTGTTGTACTGTACAATGCACACAGTGATTTCAATACATATTTCGTCTCACCCTGTTTTCTCAGATTTTTAGCCCTGATTACAATGGAAACTTGGACGGACCACAGGTGCCTGCAACAACAATGACCTTCTGTTCAGCTTCTCAGTCCGCCATCCGGAAGCACCGATTTATACGCTCCACAGCACACGCACCACAGCCTCTCTGACGGAATCGTCGTGCCTGGTCCATCGTTACGTGCTCTCACAAACCAGCATGAATATCATGCATCGTGAGAATCACGCAGTCGATTCTTCAATAAGTCGTTTGCTTGGACAACCCCGAACTCAAACTGGATGATCGATATAGAATAAAATACGAAGTATGATCTACCGTACGCTCGGTCATATTTTAATTGTATCTGAAAAGTCCATAATAAATCCATTTTCACGATCATCGTCGGTACTAAGATCTAAAAGTGTCGACGTTAGTAAGTGTGAGGATCGGAAATGGCTTTGAAGAGACTCACTCTTCTCGGCACTTCTGCCAGTGTTGTCCGTGTGCCATGCAGCTCAGATCAAGGTCACAACCTCTAGGGATCGCTAATATAGTCCCAGAACTCCAAAATGAACGTCGAGAAGCGGGTGGTACCCAGAATAACAGCCGATGGTTAGGCCCTACTAACCATCCACTGTCATTATCCAGGACAAAGGGGGTCGGGCTTTGATCGTCATGGGATGCTCCCTCTGTTAACTCAGATGTGTTGCGCAGCGCATGAATGGAGTTAGATGAGAAGGAAATGGAGTGATTGTCCCAAGTATGCGATTTCATGGTAGTGGTGAGGTCGGTCGTGCGATGTTCATCTGAGAAGACTGAAGGATCTGATATGGCGCACTGTTGGGATGGCTGCTTTATCACTGCATCCCACAGCCGAACAGTGTGATCATAAGAACCAGTGACGATGCGAGTACCATCCGGCGAGAACGAGACCGAGGTAACTTCTTCAGTGTGCCCCCGCAAGGGCTCACCGACTGGCTTCCCCGTCCCTGCATCCCACAGCCGAACAGTGTGATCGTAAGAACCAGTGACGATGCGAGTGCCGTCCGGCGAGAACAAGACAGAGGTAACATAAGAAGTGTGCCCCCACAAGGGCTCACCGACTGGCTCCCCCGTACCTGCATCCCACAGCCGAACAGTGTGATCGTAAGAACCAGTGACGATGCGAGTGCCGTCCGGCGAGAACGAGACCAAGGTAACTCCTGAAGTGTGCCCCCGCAAGGGCTCACTGACTGGCTTCCCCGTACCTGCATCCCATAGCCGAACAGTGTGATCCTCCGAACCAGTGACAATGCAAGTGCCGTCCGGCGAGAACGAGACCGAGGTAACAATAGAAGTGTGCCCCCGCAAGGGCTCACCGACTGGCTTCCCCGTCCCTGCATCCCACAGCCGAACAGTGTGATCCTGCGAACCAGTGACGATGCGAGTGCCGTCCAGCGAGAACGAGACCGAGGTAACAATAGAAGTGTGTCCCCACAAGGGCTCACTGACTGGCTTCCCTGTCCCTGCATCCCACAGCCGAACAGTGTGATCCTGCGAACCAGTGACGATGCGAGTGCCGTCCGGCGAGAACGAGACCGAGGTGACAAAATGAGTGTGGCCCTTCAACACGGTCTGAACAGCCGGCCAGTTTATATCACGTCCAGATGCTACACGAAGAACATTCGGAAATCGTGCAGAAAGCTTTATCGATAGCGGAGAGTTGGCAGGCGAGAATGAGAGGGCTGATACATACAGATGCGGTGTGCTGTGTAAAATGATGCTGCCGAAGACTTGAATGAACCTCTGTACGTCCATTGCAGTCGACAAGATATCCTTGAATTCAGAATGACCCTGTGGTGGCATGTGAGCGCTTTAGCTGACACACCGTGCAATGTACTGACCTTTAGCCACTGGGCAATGAGGGGAAGGGCAGGAACTGCACCGCTAAGCGCATCGACCAGCGCAAGTAACTCAAGCCAGAAAAACACCCGCTCGTGGTCGAAAAATAATTTTACTTCTTCTGCGAGCTCCTTGTCGAAGACCGTGGCGTGTACGTGCGAAATCCAAAATCGTGAGGAATACGAGAGATGTGGGAGGATGCATGTTTGGACTCGATCTTGCAGCCCGGGATCTTCGCAATTCGGCAGATACGACTTTAAATCGCAGATATTGAAACGAAGACCATTTTCCATCAATCGAAGTGATGCGAATGCAAGGTCGCGTTGCGCCTTTGATATGTCAATGAAAAACTCTCCGCTGGATCGTTGGTCCGTCAAGAAATCGTGGAAGGATGCGTGAAGGGGTCGGATTGGGGAATCTGGGTTGGTGATGCCGCTGAGCAGGGATCCCATACTTTTTACAACATGCTTCACGTCGAAATCGTCCTCTCGCGTTGGAAAATGGCGCCTCATGGCGTTCAGGGAAGCTAAAGGAAGGGGTTCAGCTGTGCCTAATATTTGTCCCATCACTGAGCGAAATCTCGCCAGCACTGTCGAACGCGATTTCTGCGAATGTTGGACATGGGTGGATGTATCCTTGGGCATGATATTCGTTAGAATGAGGCTATACATACTGTGCAACAGCATGCTTCTCTCAGCAGGATCGCGTGACACTACAGCGTTGTAGCAATCCATTGGAGATAACCCCACATGGGACTCCTTGATGTATCCGCAGGCGAGACGCGCCCACTCGAAAAGTCCATCAGCTTTCTCAGCAAGGATTGCGAACTCTCTGTCCTGGAAATCCAGCCCTTCCAACTCGTTGGATACGTAAGCATGGATGTCGCGCTCTGCGAATGCCGCTGGAATATCATCCATGGATATCTGTTTAATATGCTGAACGCCGCAAAACTCGTCATTGATGTCACCAAGCGGGCGAGAGGTAACGATGAAGCGGAAGTTGTGTGGGAGGTCCGTGATTTTGAGAACGACGGCGTTTTGATATTTGCCAGCTAGAATGCGGAGGTCTCTCCGTGTCTCTGCTCCACCGCTCTCGTCCAGTGCATCGATCACGATCACGATGGGTTCCCCAGTCGACCCAGATGACTTCCACAATGGTTCAATAAGAAGCTTCTGCCATTGTTGGATGATATCGGCTGTCTTTTTGAGCGAACTCGCGGCTTGAACTGCATTTGCTAACGCGCGTCTCATCTCCTGATTACGGTCAGCCAGGTCTCGCGCGATCGTGGAAAAGATCTTTTCATGGCGACGATCTGCTTCTCGCTGACGGTCAAAAGAGTAACACGAACCGAGCCCTCCCACGTCCTCGAACCACTTAGCAATGGTGTGGGCAATGGCCGATTTGCCCTTGCCTGCAGGACCAGATAGCCACAGCACACGTGGAATGTTGTCCCCAGTGCTGTTGACCCATTCCGTGATCTGGGAAAGGATTTCCGTGCGCGTCCCTTGAAGGCATTGTTTCCTAGTATCTAGGCCCGCGCCATCTGCATAAGTCATACCACTGAGATCCAATATTTCCTCTGAAAAGGTATGAATACATCTTAAGTCACAAGGACCTCTGAACTCTCACCGGTGCGGTGGACGTGTATAGCTATGTCTTGGACATGTATGGCTACGTCGCGAGCAACCTGATCCCGGAAGTTCTGCACGAGTGTATCGAACACGTCGTTGTACTTTTGAATCGTATCAGTCGTTTCCGAGATGACGTTTTTTCCGAGTCTCTTCCCTGTGATGATAGTAGAAACTTAAAACGATATAGAGGGCAAGAGCTTCTAACACTCACAAAAGTTGCTGATCTCCGAATAATCTTTGATAAACTGGGCGCATTCACGGGTCTGCTGAGAAATCTTTCCGAGGATAGCGCTCATCGACGAGATTTTGCCAAGCATTTCGTCTTGTGTCATGAAGCTGTAAACTTCACACAACTTATCGAGAAGTTTGAGGACCCCTGCGTCGCGATCCGCTTGAGCTATAATAATCTGCATAAATGATTGCTGAGCGATGTAAGATAGGAAGAGATGGAAAAAAACATACTTTGGCTGCACAGGACAGCACGCCCAGTGCCATCTTTGCATATGGATGTACCTGTGGAACGGGATTAATTTGGTTCCGTTCAAGAGGAGGGCTTGCATACATCCGCAATCTTTCCAATGACATGGTCGAATATCTTGAGGGGTTTGAGATATGTGTCCTGGAAACCGTCGACAGCGGTGAGATCCGCTTGTGCATCTTGGGCAGCAGACGTCACAGTTATCACAGGTCCCGAAAGCGAATGCATCTGCTTTGCAGCTTCTTGAGCATCCCGAAGTGCCGATTGGACATCAGCCTCCACTTCTAAGTCAGACGGAGTAACCTAAGCCAGCGCAACCACCAAAATTTAGAAAGAACACAGACTGAAGGGCAAGAACCTACCTCGATAATATTCGGGGTCGATGAAGCATGTTGATGATCCACATCCGGGGGAACAGCGCTGCGGCTGCGGGAATCCTTCGAGCGCTTGTTGCGATTTAGTCGGATTCTAGGACACTCGATACGCGTGTTCGTGGACTCACCGACAACCTTAACTTTTCCTTAAGTTTCTTCAGCAACCGACCGACTTTGCCACGGGGTCGGTGCTAGACGAAGGAGTCGATGTCAGTGTTTGGTGTGAAGTAAACTAAGCGATCCTCGTAAGCCACGTACCGAGCCTCCAGGAGCTGTTGCTTCATTAGATGTGCGAGTTTCTTGAGTCAAGTCCTTCGATGTGTTGCCTTTTTTCCCCATTGCGAATAGCAGTTGATGATCAGAATCGTATGTAGCGAAGTAGTGAGAAAAGGTCCTACACCTTATATAAAACAACAGGCCGTTGTTAGTACAAGCCTCGAGGCAATATTCGTTGCACTGCCGACTGCAAGCCCTAAGCAGGCAGGATCAAATAAAGAAAGAAACTAACTTATCGTCCAATAATCGTCCATCAGATGCATCAAGTTTCACTCCCGTACTCCAATGGTTCTGATCGTACGGAAGGACCAAGATCGATCCTAGCCTCGCAAAGCAGAGCGTCTCATTGGGCATGCCCTGAGACCTGAGTGTTATCCAAGGCTTATACCGACAGTTGTTGCTCGAATAAGCTAACTGTTCATTGTTAGATTGTAGACGAGCTGGTCACTCGGTAGGTCCAGTTCATTGTTGACCAATGACGGAACAAATGCAAAATGAGATCATAGGAAATTATGTAAAAAAACTTTACACTACATACGCGCGGCAACTCGCGTAAGCCTCGAGGGTTCTGTAAGAATGCCTGTGTAAGAAGACCCGATCTCGATTGCAACACGTGTAAGCTGCGGACACATTACTATTGCAATGGTTAACGCTCGCAACAAGAAACCCTATAACACGGAATGCCATGTTTCCCTAGCAAACAACGTCTGCAGAAAACCTTTCCAAGACTTATCGAAGTGATAGGTAATGTTGGAGCATCAGGGGCAGTCTCACCGCCGAGTGTATGCCAGCCTCATTCTCGTCCGGGTGATCGGGAAGTAAAATTAATTCGTCCTGTTAAACCATTTCCATCAGTAGCTGTGCTGCTTCTAAATTGTCTTCATACCCTATCTCCTCCAGGCTCCAGCGTTTCAACCACCAACTTCGCCTCACTTCATTCCAGAGTCCTTCTGCACTGCTTGCAAGATGACAGATCGCCCGCTTGACTTGAGCCTAATCCTTGGTGAAGAATGGGACCGGTGGTGCTTAGTATTGCCGAACCGAGCAGCTAGCATTCAAAGTAAGCATTAAGTACTCAACACTCAATTTCAGTCGATGCTCGAGTTAACAATACCATTGTATTCAAAAAAACACCTAACCATGTCTTGTGCTGACTCATTTACGCTACGACAACTTTTGAATCGTTTGAATCGTTCTCGTGAACTGAATACCATAGTGTGCTAATAAGATCTTAGAAAGCGGCTTCAGGGTTCGTGTCTCGGCGTTGTGGCTCCGACCTGGTCTTCTCAGGAGTCAGCAAGAACGGTTGCGAGTGCTATAATGAAATGTCAGAATCTGACGGTGACAGAAATGACACGTGTCATACCATTGGTAATTTCGCTAAGACTATATTCAGAGTACTTGGCCCGCGCAAGAAGTTTGTCATTGAGCTCTTCGAGGACGGTATCTACGGCCGCGGAATGGCCAGCATCAGAGCGCTTGTTGTTTGGAAAACTGACACCCGTGTTGCCTGCTACGTTTGAGACGACTGCAACGCACTATCAGAGTGAGGAATATGACATGAGTACAATGATGACGTACTCGATTCGAGCTGATCATACGAGTAACTTGAACCACGCTTGGAGTTCAAGGCAACATTGTTATCAACTATGATGAAAATACAATGAAGAGGCGAAACGCATAGTTGAGACGTGACTTACCGGAAACCACGTCAGCTACGCCTCCCGTAACGGGGGCTGCAAATGCAGGGGCAAAGGCAGCCAAGATAGCGAAGTATTTCAAGTTGGACAGCATGGTGGGTACTAGGAGTGGAGGGTAAAGTGGGGAGAATGTGCGTGGAGGAAGCACGGGACAAAAAGCCAACAGTACGAAGTTGCCAATGCCGAGATTTGCTCTCAGGCCAGGGTCCCGAGTAATACTTACATGCCAGCTGCAGTAACATTTGTTAGTAAATCGAAGAGAGGAACCATTTGTGCTTACATAATTCACAGTCTAGTACATCTGGGCTGTCATTGGCGCGTCGCAGCGTCTTTCATCTCCGCAGGCTTCTGAAGAGTTTCGCATCTAAGTCTGCACCATCCCCAGAATACAGACATTGCAACATACAGACTCCATTTGTCCTTTTCAGTTCTATTACCCTCAGGCCACAGGAGAAACGAGACTTACATAGGCAACACCACTGAGTTAAATGAACCTCCTAACGGCAAGTTTGTTTCTGAATAACCGTACAGATGATATCGTTGCCTCCAAAACTTTACTCTCTCAATGCAGTACCCCCGACATTGCCTGCTGCCCCCAAACATACGCTTTTGGGCAGTGCCTAATATCGGGTGTTCATCAAGGTCAAGACTCGCTCCGAGCGAGTCGCTCGCACGCTATTCCTTTTGGCGCATCACCTGGTCGTGACTCCGAGTCAATCATGTGAAATATTAGGAGTTCCTTGTGCAGGTGGCGGCGCTGTGTTTCGAGCGGATTATGGAGTTGTTATTTGAAGCTTCACTTTCTAGGTTCGTACCTTGGCTTGGTTGATGATCGTTCGTACGCTGTTGATATTCTGCTAGAGACGTCAAATGTTGAAAGTGTCTAAAATTGGAGTCGCGGTAGGACAACCCAAAATTAAAACAAGACGATCAACATATAATACTAATGGCGTTGAACCTAGTTGAACGGCAATCTGAGCGGACTACTATCCTTCCTATTCCCATCTGGACGTCTTTTAAAAGGTCAATGTTAACGCGTTAACGAAGGGATCTGCTAACGTTCGTGTTCTTCTCTTAGTACTCGACCCCAGACCATCGTGCATCGACCTCGATAAGCAAGCAAAGGACACAGTATATTTATTGCTTTCCTTCATCTCTTTTCCTTTTTTTCACATAGAACACTGGATTAAACAGGAGTATGCTACAACGGCCCCAGTCATCAGAAAACAGCATTACGATTGTGAAATAAGAAATAGAATATATATGTTATCTCTGACCTCGTAATCAAAGACCTGTTAAGAGTCATCTCTCAAGTCACGGTCTGACTTGGAACGAGTCTAAGCTTTACCACTCGACTGAAACTGCACAATTGTACAACAATATCAATCGTTCCGACGTTTCGCCCGGAACTAGTTCACCTCGATTGAGATGTCCTCCTCGTGCTTGCCCCGGTCACTTATAGAATTGTTTTACTACGTCGCTCACCACGGTGCCAAGTACCATGTACATTTGTTTGACGCGGAAGTAAATATATCTGTACAACAGGACAAATAAATATGAATCAGACGATAGACTAGGGTGAAAGAAAGGGAACAAATGAGCGGACGTTCCGTGAAGAACCAATTATTCATGAGCATACTCGATGGGTATCATGAAAATAAATAAAAATACAGAGCAAATACGAAAAAGAGAGAAGAATCGCGCCATAGAAATGAGGGTGTTGATAAAAGCAGAATAATAATTCAATTAGTGATTGCCCGTACCGACCTCAAGGCTTGCCACCCAAAGCCACCCAATCACAAGAGTGCATGTAAGCAGAGATGAAAGTCGGCATGCGGAGCACCGTCTCGCGTCGCAGCTCGTTACTGCTGCATTCCTCACTAGCCAGGACAAACCTCCCTTGTCCGCCCTCTGATCCAGTAAAAAGACAAACCGTGGGCGGCCTGTGTGCACGGAAATAGTAGATCGTGCCCGAGATGGTGTCGACGAGGGTGAACATGTGACCTTCAATAGGGTCAAATGCCGGGGCTGCGAGGGCTGCCTCGTACTGCGAAACGTGGCCTTCGCGGAAATTGGAATCACTTTTTCTTGGTCTCGCCAAATGCGAACCTGAAGGAGTGTAAAGGGTGCGACGAGAATTCCAGATCTGACGCCCATACAAGTGGTCAGAGACTTCCTGGGCAGAGAGGACTCCTTTGACTCCAACTAGCCACGGACGAGCGAGGACAATGCGTCCAGAGTGCGCATAACTTGTGAATACTGGCGCAAGTATTAGAAAAATAAGCGAGAAAGCAAGCAAAACGCCGCCGCCTGCGACTTGAGGTGAGGTTGAGGAACCTCCATAGCCATATGCGCTAGTATAGGTGCTCTGATTCCCGGTGGAGATCATGACACAACTCAGTATGAGGAAGATCAAGGCCACGTATGGCACTGTAAGTACTAGAAGACGTCGAATAGAACGCCTTGTAGCATAAGCGACGGATGGAAAATTCTTCCACCTAATTGCTGCCGCCCGGCAGCCATCTAACACAAGAGAACCATTGATTGTAATGCCGATGACCTGTACAGAAGGCTCGATGTCCCAAAGTTTGGCACCATATTCGTCGTCGTTGGTGTACCATTGATTTATACCTTTTCGATCTTTGGGAAACATTGAGATCATGCGATCAGCAATGCGATCGTTGTCGTTCGCCATGAACAAGCGCGCAAGCGCTTGTAGCTCTGTCTCCTTAGCATCCGGAAGAATGCGATGCTCGAAAAATCCCATGAGCGCATACACCTTTTCTGCGTGATATCTTTCCTCAGACTTTTCGTCCTGACTCGTAATTTCAGAGGAATAGCTATCTCGGCGCCATATTGCTTCTTTGAGTTGAAGATTGCGCTCCAACCTCTCGAGTGGATCCTTCCCGAGGCCATAAGAGTTGATAATCTGGGATTCTTTATCTTGATGGCGGTAAGCTAAAGAGGCGATTTGAATGAGATTGATGGGAGTGACTGCGTTGTTTCCAGCCTTGTATCGCAGCTCGCGACTAAGGAGAGCTTCAGGAAGAGTCCAAACGCGACTGCCCCAAATGGGCCAAGCGTTCTCGTGGAAGAGCATGATGAGTGTGAAGGAGGCGAGTCGGTAGACGTCCGACATGCGATACAGGTCTTGGGCCTTTCCCGTGGGACCATCGAGTAAGCACTCGTGATCTAGCCAGTACGCATCAAACCCTTGATCCAAGGTAGCATGCCGCACCCGATTTATGAGCTCCTCCATACTTCCGGAATTCATCACGTCGGCGTAGGAATAGGTGACAGCGACATATGGTGTTCGCCATACTACTGCCTCAGCATCGACTCTTGTCCATACTCTTCTGTCTTTGTTAAAAACAATAAGGAATCGGGGGTAGAGGGCGTGGGTGACACGCCGCACGCGTTCATCATCTTCACCTGCTCCTACACGTAGAGAGTATTCCCTTGGTGAGCGTGCAGCCCACAGTTGGCCGACAAACCGCATCAAATATGGCTTGTAATGGATGGCGAACGCATGATCGCTAGATGGAATCAACAGTGCGATAATATAAAGGGGCCAGACGAATAGCCACAAAAATGATTCGCTGGATGGGTTGAACATCATCCTGGTCAGCCAACCAGCAAGCCGAGTAGATAGTGGCGCGTTCGATCGAATGTCGCGCTCGTTCCAATCACTTGTTGAGTTGGGATTTACGCACTGCACAATGAGGCGCTTGCATTTTCCGCTAGAGGGACTGGTGTATCGCAATGTTCCCCCATGGTAACAGGGCTTGAGCTGACTGTTATAACACTGGGGTTGTTTCCGACCAGTGGTGTTTGATACATTATTCATGTTCGGTTTGATGGCTGGATTATAATAACAATATCAATCAAAAAAATATTAAACAATACAGCGAACGTAGTGCTTACCGTGGGCAGGGGCGAGAGAGACATTGTATCAGCTTTCTGAACGGTCATTTAAAGCTTCCAAGAGGTGCCTAAAGACGATTTGCCAGGGTCCATAACCATAATATACACAGCATGCACCCAGAATGCTGTAGACGCATCAAAGCCTCGTAAGTAGGGTCGATTATTGACAATAACGTTCTCACTTTTCGATCGAAGAAAATTTCTTTTGGTAAGTACCGAGGGGAAGGTAAATTACCTGGGTGGGATAAGATGTCAATCAGAAGTCATGCCTAATAGAAACTGCCGTGAAACTTGTGATGTTATTCAGACGAGACTTAGTACAGAGGCGGTGAATGCCAATTCCGAGATGCCCAGTGGTGGCATGACACGTCTTCCGAAACCAGAAGCGTTTTCTGTTGTCAGTTTAGTAGAACGTGTTAGTGCGTGATCTCAAACAGAGTTGAGATTTCACAATTTTTTCTGAGCAGTCCCGGATCAAAGCTCTTGAGGATCAAATTACGGTGTTGATGAGAGGTTTTCAGGGCTCCTGGGCGCCAATCGGAGGGCATTTAACTCTTTCGGGGGCGCCTTGTTCTGGAGCAAACATGACGTATCATAATGGGTACAAGGGGCACCAGACAAGCCTCCCAGAGACAGATGGGCGCTGTTTATATGACCTGATGGGTGACAAGTATTGAGCAGACAGGAAGGACCTCAACTAGTAGTAGATGCCAAGGCACAGGGAAGAAGTGGCTGGAGATTGGTGGCACCGGTCCCGAGCGTCACGCTATTGTGCGTTCGCAAGACATGAAAAGACTGAGGCTACGGAGGCATAAGTATAAAGGAAGCAAGTAGGGACGACTAACAACGATTTAGACTCGAGTAGGAGCAATGACGGCCACGATAACGAGCCAAAAGATAGTCCGATTGAACGCTTACCACGCAGTAGCACATAGAAAAACGTCAATATTTGGTTTGATGCGCCACTCAGAATTGCGTTCGAAACCTTGGATCCCATGCCCAAGCCCTCGTCCTTGGCTTGTGGATGCTGTTATTTGATCAAGCAGGAACATAAAGAATCCCAGAGAACGGGCAGGGTTGCCGTTATTTAACAGTCCTGAACGTGACAAACGAGGAAAGAGTCTGGACTTGGAAGACAGGGCAGGCTAGTGGCGGCGGCAGCGAAAACTGTAACCAGTGCGTACTGACAGTGGGAATCCAAGGCCAAGGCCAGACGGAAACACGGAAGACTGGATTTAGCTCAGGGTGGTAGTCCCCGACAGAGAGAGATATGCCGTCTCGCGTGGAAAACACTTTCCGGTTGCGGGTACCAATAATGACGGGTGATGTGATCTTTTTGTTACTTTTGTGCCAGCACGACATACGTACACCAGCGAAGAACGCGGCGATCGATGCATAGCCTGTTGATTTGTGCATCTTTGGTTTTATTTTTCATAATCACAGCAAATCTAAAGTTTAAATGTTTTGTCCGAGCGCCGAGTCACGGCATCTCGCAAAAAATGTTTGTGAGCACGAGACGCCGACGGGTCGCTCAGCATGAATTGAACTACGTCTCTTGTTCCCTCGTCGGATCCTCTTCCCCTAACTTTGTCACCATAGCTTCAGAGTCTGGTTTGTTGGATGTTTCATCTTCCTCTTGTGATTTAGGATCGTAGACGCGAGGAACCTTATTCCAATGTTCGGCAACCTCCTTGGAATGCAAAGGAACAAGATCAAGCGCCATCAATCTGATCATGCCAAAGTCACAGTATGGATTTATCGTCTACCTACCGTCACGCGTGGACCGTTGACTGCATCCAACTTGTCCACTGAAAGCAATATCGCGATGTTCAATGACTCGGAACTAGGATACTCTCAAGGGTCGAAATCTCATTGGTTGCTCTACGCTCGTGATGAAACCAAAGTCCCTGCATCGCTTGTATGAAACGCTCGGCCTACTATCATCACTCGCCCAGTCAACCACTATTTCATATCCTGCTTAAATCACCCCAGAACACCGCCATGCAGTAGCATCGCTCAAATTGAACCACAAAGCCATAGCATCATGATATATAATTTAAAACCCCGTCAGATCTGATAAAATGGAAATAAGTGAAATACGAGTAATGACTTTGGGGGTATAGATAGCGATATGAATATGTTGATAGATAGTTTTATCAAAGGAATGCGTAACGCGGACACTGCACCGGCAAAATCAAAAGCAAATCGTCCGTCCGTCCATCCATCCATCTACGCGTCACGACTGCCCCCCACCCTCATTCTCCCTTTGCAATACATGTTCTTCAATAGCTCTACACTGTGATAAGAGTTGAACGTTCACCGCTCGGCCGCATGCATTGCGGATGAAAGGTGTCTACAAATCGAAATCAACGTGATGTCAGCGTCCAGTCAGAATCACATAATAGAATAAACTCACGTTCACCAACTCATTGGCGTTCGGCCTCGATGCATACGGCCTCGAGCATAACTTCAAAAACTCATGGAACCCGCGCGAGTAAAGCTCTGGTTGACGCAGAGGCGGCCACTGAACACCGATTTGTCGCGGGTCTTGAACATCCGCAAAAGGCGGTTCTGTTTGTGCCAGTTCCCATACTGTTGCGCCTAGAGACCAGACGTCAACTTTGAGCGCGTTGTATGCTCCACTGTGATAGGAAGAAACGAAGATGAAATCAGATTCCTGATGAGAGAAAGGAATAAATACACTCACACTCGCATCTCTGGAGCCTACAAAACATGAACGCCAACACCATTAACACAGAGAGGACGAAAAACATCATGAAACGCACCTGCCAGTAGATAACACCCACAGCCCCAATACACATCGGAGAATTTCTCGTCACACGCACAGCATTCGAGAAATCAGCTATGCATTAAGCAACCAAGATGAAATCAGCATCTCTTCAACAACAAAAAGATGGCAACAAAACAAGTGATGATCGGAGTAAAAAGTCGAGCATATAAATGGGCTACTTACCAACTTTTACGATTCCGTTAGCGTTTAAAAGGAGGTTGTCAGAACGGACGTCTCGGTGGGCGATATGGTGTTTTTGGAGGTATTCGAGCGCAAGTAGGACCTGTTCATCCCGTTCACCGGTCAGCATCCACCCACCCACACCCCACACAACGAAACAAAAACTCACATCACTAGCAAACCGCGCAATCATCCTCTCCTGCAACGATAACCCCTCCCCAACAAGCCCCACAACATCCGCTAAGCTCCTCTCCATCAGCTCCATTCGTATCCACACCGAATCATCCACCAAATTCACATAAAACGCATCCATGCGCAACACATGCGCATGATGCACCCCACGCATCAGCTCCATCTCGTGGCTCAGGTCTTGAAACTTTGGAGATACGGCTGGGTGGATTGCAATGGATTTTATGGCTACGTGCGTCGTTCCAGGGGTTAGAGAGAGCGATTGAACAGGGCAGACGAGGCGGGCTGCGTATACGGAGCCGCTCTCGCCTTCCGCGATTTCTTGGAGGTCTGCAAAGTATTCTTGTGGATCTACGTCAATCATGAATTCGGAGAGAGGGGAGATGGCGTCTGCGATCCATTCTGGTAAGCGCTGTAATTGGGATTGGGAGCGTGCTTGTGGGGGGTAGAGCGTGAACCCTTCATCGCTATCACTATCCCGCCCTCCAACTCCAAACGTATCGGTTATTGATGTGAGAAGCGCAGCTTCAGGCGCGAAGCTCTTATCCCGGAGCGGCGAAGGCGGGACGTGCAACTTGGGCGTGACAAGGGGCGCGCTTTCGGTAGTAGAGCCCGTCTCACTGCTGAAATGTGAGCTGTGAGGGGAGCCCTGCACACGAAGGGAAGTTGCGCGGAAACGCGTGGGTTGACGTGGAGTTGTGTCGAGGTCGGGGGTGAGAGGGGGTTCTGGCCATGCGGGATCCGAGTCTAACACTACGGATGCGCCATCTGAGTCCAACACAACGGACGGGCTGTCTCCCAGTAGGCTAACTGTATCATCTCTAGGCTCAACAGCGCTCAGCGACACAGAATCAGAGTCAACGATACTAGCTGTCGCCAATGTGATAGCCACGGCTCCACTCACGCTGACAATCGTAGCAGGTGTAACTGTCATCATTGACATTCCGGAGTCGCGGTCGCCTGCGGGTCGTAGGGGGAGGAGGGTTGTAGAGGCACTGCGGTCACTTGTGGTTGAAGGTGGACTGTGGTTGCCTGTTGTTGACGCGCTCGTCGTAGAAGGAGAACCACGATCCAATGCATTAACACCCTCTCTTCTCGAAGAACCCCCACCCGAAATTTTCGGCAACAATGTCGCACTGGTAGGCGACTGTGACGACACAGTAACTTCAATTCCCGACGGAGGCGATGAGGATTTCGTGAGCTCTGTGTGTTCTGTACTTGTGATTTGCGTACTCGAGCTGGGAATGTTCGGTCCACAAGAACTGAGAGATGCAACATCCAACCCAAGTCCAAGTGAAGAGAGGTCCAACCCAGCACCCAGGGAAGAGACGTCAGGTCCTAACGAAATATCCAGTAACACAGGACCAATACTGCGATCAACCTCTTCAGGAGGCACGGGCGGAAGTTCTCTCATCGGCGTACACGGTGAATTCCGCGTCAGTGTAGGCGACGTTCTAGTTGTAGGCGGCGGTGTTTTCCTAGTTGTCGGCGTAGGTGGTACACTGTTCTCAGGTGATGTCGGCATCATAACACGTAGCGGAGCTCCAAGTGTTATATCCGCCCCAAACGACACATCCGGGAGTGTCGGGAGTGTCTGTGTCGGGGTTGGAGATAGTAAGCTTGAAGTTGACGGCGAAAGGACACTCAAAGTCAGCTGCGTTGATTCAGGAGAATGTGAAGGGGCAGAAGGAGAAGGGGAGGTAGACGGCGTCGATGTAGCTGTTGAAGTGATAGGAGAGTGCGATTTTGAAGATGATGGTGTTGATGGACGAGATGAAGTTGATGGAGAGCGTGATGTTGATGTCGATGGGGACAGTGATAGCGATGGTAATGGTGATAGTCGGGAGGAAGAAGGGAATGAGAATCCAGGGAGGAGCGAGTTGCTGCTGCCTTCCCCTCTATTTACTGAGGAGTTCTTCCGCTTCGACTCGACGAATCTCCCTGGTTTTGAGAGTCCTAGTCGGTCTTCAAGTCTACTCCTACTCCCATTCTCATTTCCACTCTCGTCTTCCATACCACTAAGCAACCCAGCCCCCCCAATCCCCCAAATCCGAGCTCAAGTGAAAACTAAGCCTCGGAGGCAACGCACCCACTTTCGTTAGCCTCTTATCAATGACCAGTGGGGGCGTCGGGCTCAAGTGCCTATTCAGCAGTGCAGGATCAACATCCGGAAGTGAAAGATCCACGACTGCGTCTGTACGGAGCGACGAAGAGGTGGTGTCCGCTGTTGCTGAGATATCCAAGATCGAATCCATATCCCGTTCTTTCTTCTTTAGTTGTCCAGACTCTTTGTCTATCCCACTTCCAGACTCATCTGATGGGAATCCAGGTTTATCCCGAAGAAAAGAGGTACGGACTGGAGAGTGATAAGCAGGAGGCGGCGACTCGTCCGCATTGGCAACATGGAACATTCTCCTCGGAGGCGTGCGTGGGGAAGCACTACGTATGCTATGCATATCGAGAGGATGATTGCTCAAAGGCAAGCTGTGAGAATACACTAGGGGGCTCGGGGTGTGGCCTGAGTTAGTCCGAGGAGGAGCCTCAGATTGAACACGAGCGATTTGAGGTGCATTTGTGTGATTGGAGCTGCTGTGGTGTGTGGATACGGATTGGGTATCGAGGGGGTATGGGTCAATCATGCTTTCGTGCCCTGTACCGTTGACGAATACGTACTGTGTGTCTACTGTGTCTCGTTCGAGAGCAGAGTGCGAGTGTGAGGAGGATGTGGCGGTGAATGAGGATTCGCGAGATGGGGGGAAGTTGAAGGAGGTTGGTGATGGAGCGTTGATGTAGGCACTTGCTATGAGCGTTGCGTTTGATGAGCAGGCTGCAAGGGATGAACTTCGGGGTGCTGGGTGGTGAAGAATGGAGAGTGGTGAATCAGGACGGGATGTATTTGGATTTCTACGAGTAGCTATGCGGCGGGCGTGAATTGCTGCGATTTCGTCTTCGGTGAAACCAGCTTGGGAAAGGGCATTAGACCATGAAGGAGGAAGTCCTATGAATCTGGAAAAAGCGTTAGGGTCGCAGAGCACAAGAAAAGGATACTCACCCCTCATCAACATGAATATGATGCTGATCATTCCTTTAGCAAGGACGACTAGGAATTACAAGCAGACTCACCTGGAAATTCCAAGGCCTAGAAATGCTCTCGTCCTCTTGAGGAGGCTCGGGATCTTCTGTTTCCATGAGATTCCGTGTTGACCTATTACGCTTGCCCATTGACGAAAACTTGAATAAGCTTCGCTTTGATTTCTCGCTCTCTATAGACATTGCAGGACCAAAAGAACGAACTGAAGGAGCGGACTCAGGTGAAGCCCGGTTATAGTCAGGCGTTGTTGGTAGTGATGGTAGTAGGTCGGCAGGAGGAGACAAAGAAGTTACGCTCGGGTTGTAAAGCGATTTACTTGAACCATAAGGACCTCCTTGTACTTGTAATCCTTGTTGGAAGTATTGGTCGTCCTTGGGAGGAGGAGGAGGCGGCGGTCTTTCCTTGTTAAATTTGAATACTTTGAGAGTAGAAAACCGAGAGTTGTTCCTGCTCGACATCCTAATACATCGACCGACTCAACGTTGACGACGACCACGACGACAAAGAAGAAGAAGAGTAGCGGTGGAGATGGTAGTAGTAGTAATAGGTAGTAGTACGTTAAGACCATTGAGTGAGCGTACGTGACCCTGGCAGGGCGCTAAACCGTGGCCAAAACTTCAACCATCTTTTTCACTTTGCCATATTTAATCTTCCGTTCTTCCATGATTTTTAACGTTTCTGGTACCAGCCCTCACACGCCATTCGGACCCCCCGTCAAACATGCGGGGCTCATCATTCGACTGGTATGTACATCATGCGCAGTTTCACATGGCTTTGTGAGGTCTGCTTTACACTTTCACCGTGACGGACATGGGATGCTTTGTGACGCAACTTAAATTTCTCATGTCAAATTATTGATGTCCCTGTGCATTACTAGTATCTGCTAGCTTTTGGTCGGATGTAAATTCTCGTTCGCTGAGTGCACCAGACGTGAGTGAAAACTTTGATGAGATTGATCTGGCAACTCAGAAACCTCTCCCGCGAGGGATTCTCTCCCCGACCCTCGGCGGTGCGAACGACCCAGCACCGTAAGCTACGATGCTCCAGCACTTGCACTACGTCGACCTTTCCGTATTCAGGTGATTCAAGGATGTTCAAACGAAGGGCGACCTCACAAACGACAGTTTCTTCTTTACTGATGGATTAATACAGTACTGTAAGGCGTCTGACTTCACACAAATAGGGGCTTTGAGAAATTCCTCTCAAGTCTTTATTTCAACACCCAACCACAATGAACTCATCGACCACCACGGATCCACCCAATGTCACATTGCGGTATATGGTAGACAAACATCCTAGTGATTTCAGCATCACCATACCACCCAACTCGAAGATAATAGACTTGAAATACGCCATTTGTGTGCGCCACGAAGACGGCCTTCTGCGCGAGGTACTTCCAAAAGATGTCGCTTTGTGGAAGGTGAGTTCTCCCCCCAGTACTAACCATAGAACTATCGACTTACCCTCCTCTAGCTCACCACCCAACTCCCCAACTTTTATGCGGTCGTTGCCAGTCTCGTGGGGGGCGCAGAAGAAATCTCGGTGGAGCTGAAAAACGACAGCCAAAGAAGCGTTTCCAGATACGGTAGAAAGGGAGTTGCACTTCTTTATGCACAGTACGTCTCTCGGATTTCTAATAACCACATCGACGCTACCGCCTGCTGATCATATTTCACAGTCGGAAAACCATCCCCTCCCCCTATTAGGTCTTCAACTCCTTGGACCTTACTCGAAAGTTCAGCTTTCAACAATCAACGTGCAGATGCGGATGCTTCCTGGCTTGGGGTTGAGAAATTGGTCCAGGCTACGTGGGATGAGGAAAAACTTGAACTGGAAAGGGCGGGGAGTGAGGCGCTGTCTCGTACAGATGTTCGCTATTCCTCTGACCGTGCACTACCGCTCTGACTTGACCGCTTTTTATATTTATTTTTAGATGGCAGTTATCCGATGACCTCAAGACTGATCAAAACAACATCCAGTACAAGATGAGGATATTAGAGGAGGAGCGCCGGGATGCTGCTGTTGAGGAGGCCAAGAGTGAAGCTTCTAAAGCCACATCTGACGCTACAAGCTTGTGGGAATCAGAGAAGTTCGAACTCCAAAAGTCGAAAGACGAGGCTTTAGCACGCGCTGATGTAGGTTATCCTTTCGGCTGTGTACCACTGTCACTACTCTGACTCTGACTGCTCCTTCATTTCATTTTAGGCAGCAGATGAGTTGATCGAAAAGCTCTCCCAGGAGGTCAAGATTCTTCGTGAATCCAATGACGAATACCAGTTCAAAATATCGGATCTGCAGGCAATCAGGAATAGGATGAATTTGGAGCATTTAACTGTCGAGGGAGCTAAGAGAAAGGCTTCTTCAGCAGCTTCTGCCGCTGCAAGGTCATGGGAATGCCAAAAGCTGGAACTCGAAAGAGCAAGGGATGAGGTAATAATATGTGCTAATGTTGGTGATTTAGCCTGACTTTGCATCATTATGCTAACCGTCTTTCTTTCGAGAAGCTGGTGAACAAACTGCTGCTGGAAAATGCCTTTAAATGCGATGAGTATCAGGTTAAAATATCTGAATTGCAATCTGCCAGGGACAGGGACGCTGCTATTATTGAGAAGGCCGGTATCATCAGTGCCTCGCCGACCACTGAAGGACCCTCGAAACTGCACATGCACGCCCAGGTGACTGCAGCATCCCTCAAACCAGCAGCCGACGCTACACCCATGGCTGTCAAACGGAGGCTTCTGCTGTTGCTGCTTCCCGAGAAGTTAATGCATTTGACAATTGCACTGCCGCTAGCGGCGCTGTGGGAGATTCAATCACTCAAAATGCAGCTTCTGGTAGGGGCAGTGGTGCCCAGTATACACCTTTGTCTAGCACAGGGTCTATCATTGGTGTCGTGGAGGACCGAGTAGATGAGTTATTCACAGTGGCTGAGGATGGTTCTAAGACGAAGCTACTCGAGCCTGCACCAGAGGGTCAGATTTACACTCGAAGTAGTACATGGAAGTTCAGGCGTACTGGAAAAATCTACGACTAGCTTACCAGCCTTTTTGTCGCTATTTTCGAAAGTACTATCTTTCAAAGGCCCAGTCCATCCTCTGAGTATTACTCAGATTGTCAAGATCGCCTCGAAACCATCGACGCAAACATTCATTAGACCTCGAAGCCAATCGTATCACTCCCTCCCGTCATTCATCCTGCATCAGTAGTCAAAAACATGACTAGTATTGACTTTGGTGCACCTAGCCGACATCTATCTAGAGTAGCACCCGTCATATAAAATCAGTTCATAATGACAGGTATGCATGATCATAATCCACTAATGCTTCCGGCCACACCTTCAACTGTATTCTTAAGTTTGTGTGTCTCACGGACGACACTTGTCATTCTCGTCTTCGGCGCACTCACTAATGAATGTAGCGGTTTCTGCTACGAAACCTATCATGGTGTTAGCATTATCCTCGATGACATGGATGAAACCAGAACGAACCAATGAGCTTCCCACCCTGTTCACGCCAGAGGGCTTCTGAACAGGACAGAGCGAATATGCGCTCACGAGCATCCTCTGCGCGAGTGTGCATGAGTAGGTCAAGGTTGATAGACTTGAGTAAAGAATCATCCATGGCCACGCTCGTCATAGCAATCAAGCAGTTTGTCAGCGCTTGTTTCCCGTCCGTGATATTCAATCTGATGCAACTCGAAACTTGCGCTACCATCGGCTTTGCTACCAAGGCCAGCTTGTCGTCACGCCAGAACACTGCAAAATAACGAGTGAGTGGTGCAGCGTAATGCAAGTTGCGTGTTCTTCACTCACCACCGTCGTCATTTTCGAAACTCTTTGTGAGAGTCTCGATTACTGACAACCATAAAGACGGATTTTGAATTGACCCTGCGGCCAAAGACTGCAATATATCGCACAAAGCTTGCAGAAGCATAGCCATGTAAGGGTTCATCAAGCCCTGCGCTAGATTAATGATGGCATACTTGAAAGATGTGTTACGAGCGCACCTTGAAATAATCCAACAAGGCAGAGTACATGTGACAAAACGTGACCTTACGCTCAATGGTTGCTGTACGACTCTCAGAGATTGAAGGTCAATTTTGATAGGGAGTAACTCACCGTTCTCAGCTGCAAATGCCCAGTCATACAAACGACGGAACAACGGTCTGAAGGCTATCTCGTTAAGCTTCACAACAAGTTCCAAGAATGCCGAAATGATATGAGGTCCTCCCTGGAACCCGTTAGTCTCACCGCAAATCACAACGAAGAGACTCACATCTCTGGAACCAGTCGTAGATTTCATGTTCACGCCAAAGCCGTCGAGGAAAACTGAGAAAATTGAACGATTATGCTCCTGGATGTCAGGACGCCGAGCTACCCGAAGACTCCGTTTGAAAAAGACGAAAAACGCGATGAGTCCATCAACGTGTTCCTGTCACAGGATATCAATATTCAAAATCATGTTCATATCGTGAGGTGCATGCCTTTTGCTGAGATTTTTCTAGACTGGGCCACAGATCACAGAGTACCGGTAGCAGCATGTTGCTTGGGATTCTCTTTGCAATAGCTTTCATTAAACCTGTCATGAGACCACTCGAGGTGACGGAGTAATCCAGATGGAGTTTGACGATGTCCCTAAGTTCTGCAGCACCGTAGAAAGCGGGAAGCGTTGATACTAAGCCCTGTAGGGTAGCAATTGCACCATCCACCTGTGATTGTGCTACTCGAGCGGAATAGTCAGTAGCTGTAATGCAGGGGAGACAAATCGCTCACCCATTTTGCCACTCAATCCTTCTTGGAGGACTGATATACATTGTTGTGCAATCTCTCGGAAGTGAGGTATTAGCCGAGGTCCAAGAGATGATCTACAAATTCCTCAGTAAAGTGTAACACGAAGAAGAAAAGTCCCATACACATAACACGGTAACACAGCTATAGCAGATTGCAACGATGCACGTGCTTTGATGATTTTGACGACAGAAGGGACAGTAGATACCAATGCTGACTCCTCGCCAGAACAAATGGAGGAGCCGATTGCTCTCAAAGCATTGAGTGCTGAATTAACTAGTGCACCGGCTGACTGGCGAGAAATGATGTCCCGAATGAAGTCGATGATTGATATAGCAGTCTTCTGCTGTTCGTGACGGACTGCTTCTGTAACTTTGGGTATCCTTTCTGCAAGAATTTCAAGAGCACCAGCCTTGATCTAGAAACGAGGTGAGAAAGGGTCCCGTATAGAAAATATAATCCTACCCTAGTCTCGTCTGATTGCAGCATGACTAGAGCTCCGTTCAGGAAGTCTGCTGCTCCGATGGCATTCATCACTTTTGACGTAGTCTGCTGTGTGACTGACAGAATGTCTGAAATGTTGCTGTCGTCTTCCGTTGTAGCAAGATCGACCAAAAGAGACACAAGTTCCGTCGTTGCGTTGTCGGCCTTGAACATATCGATGGAGGGCGCGGGTGTAATGGCATATCCGACGAACATAATCAGTGCCTGAGCACGTCGTTTGATGATAGAGGACGATCTTGCAGAGTGCTCATCATCGCTGCAATAAATGTATAAGTACGAATGTGAGGAAAGTAACTGGTCCTCGTACTGAACATAATCCAAAAAGGTGGCACCCGCCTCGTCCGAAGGTGCGATATTGCGAGTAAGCCTCTTTGCCTCTCGCAAAACTTCTTGAAGAACCTGCAAGACGTCAGTCGTATCCAGAATCTCCACAGAAAACTTACATGAAGATGCAATTCTCGGGGGAAATGGCGTAACAGGGATATCGGAAGTCCTAACGAAGTTGAAGCCTCGTCCTCGTGTTGCCGGCTCACCCGATTAGCCACCCTGTCCACCAACGACATGCAAACCGGAGCCAAGAATTCTTGAGGCCCAAGCACATCGGCGAGGTGTATGAAAAAGCTAGTTCGTACATCAGCACTAAGCCACGAGCGTCAAATCCTTGATGGACATACTTTTGTCGACGATGGCGTGGAATGTGGTTGGATGCGTCCGTGAAGATCCGCAAGAACTCCCTAGCTCCAATGTAAAGTTCAAGTCCAGGAGAGTGTCGGGATTTGAGCGATGATACCATGACAGGAACAATGTTTTCAATGGTCTGGAAGTGAACATCAATCAAACATCACATCCCACAAGCTACAAAAATGTTTACGTTTTGCACTACTTTGAAGCTATACGAGTCATCGCGATGGAACACATTGGTGCCCATGAATGTGAAAATAGGCATGATGTTATGAAGCACCGAATCGGGCGTGAGTCGAGCTAGGCTTGCCATGAGGAGGAGTGCTTGATGGAACGTCTGCGGGTTTTCCGATACTGTGACAACAATGTTTCAGTCAGCGCAAAAATTGGAAAGTAAATCAAACCTCTGATGATTTCAACAAGTATGTCTAATCGGATGGGTCTGGCAGGAGGCTCCTTCTCATCGTAGTCAGGGACTTGTCATTGTACGAGCAATTAAAATAAAATACCGTGATTCTACTCGCTGCTTGTTCCACAGCAGCCATCAGCATTTGGCAAGCATAGCTCGTATCTGACGGAATCGGCGAGTCGTGATGTATAATCTTGCCAAGAGTATCAAGGAGCTGTGTTAGAAGGTCAAGCGACCCAGAAAGTTCTTTCGTTCCGAGAACTTCAGCAAGGAAAGTGAATATCAACATTTTTTCCTCGACATCTCCGTGAGACGGACTGTGTTCGAGGAAATATGAGGACGGAACACGATGACAATACAAGGATGCATACTTATCGAGTTTAGCACGTTTACTGGCAGGAGTATCCGACTGAGCTCCAGCAGGTTGATAAACCACGAGCAGATGATTGATCAGATGGACGTCCTGCAGAAGGTTGCTCAGAAGTTCCTTCGCGCGCACATACTATTATCGCAGTCAGTCCTAATTCTGGTTGTAGCTGGCACGTCATCATACCACTTCATTGCCCAGCGATCCTGCCGACAAAAGGATGTCGCATATTTGAGCCTGCCGTGTCACGTCGAGATGCGCAAAAAGCCTCTCTTCTAACGCGTCTGAAAATAGTTTTCTAACTGCAGCGATTGCATCTACAAATCGTCAAGCTGCCACTCATGTAAAAAAGAAAAAAAAATCTTACTTGGCTTGAAGTACGTTTGCAACGCCAAAGAGAAAATATGCCAGATCGAATTTTCCGTGCCTGTATTCAAATCGCCAACAGGGACACTGAGGAACGTAGATGCTACGAGAGCGGTGTACCGGTGGAAGTTGACGCCGAATAATTCTGAGATGGGACCTGGGTCTTTGATCAGTGTCTCCATGGCAGGCATCACCATATGCGATCTTGCAGTGTCTGATACGTCCTCGACAGATATCATGATGGATATACGAGCTTCGGGCACTGGATGAGTGACCGCGTGCGACAGCAAGTAACAGATCACTCGGCGCCTGTATCTGAGTCGAGAGAAGATATATAAATAAAACTGATACATGATTACGAGGCAGACATACTTTGCACTAGCAGCGGCAAAGTGTTGTTGATGGAATACTTTAATATAATTGCCGTCTTGCGCAAGGAGAGTGTGGCATTCGAGGAGAGCCTTTAAATAGGCTTCGAGTTCCTTTGCGTCAAGGTATTGAAGATGCGCTAAGGAGTGAAATGCATATGAAATCGGATGGTATAACAGGCATAGGAAACTTACTAGACTCTGCTCCGTATATAGTGTCTAGCCCATAGACATGTTTCCTCTCTGAGGTAGACGCCAACACCGAGATACACTCGAATATCAATGCACGTCCCTGCTTGTCCGTCCGCGCATCCATGAGTACCGCTATGAATGAAGGCAATACCGTCTGAAAGTCGACGGCATTGTCAGCATTGTGCCCACGTAAGAACGCTAATGCATGTAAGAGAGCACGGGTTCGCACGCGCTCCAGAGTTGGAGATTGTGCAAGAAGAACGCCAAGTAAGAACATGAGAGAAGTATCTCTTAGATTTAGGAAGAGCGCCTGGATGAGATGAGTAGACAACTGTGATGGAGTGGTACTTCCAGAAGCGACAGCAACAGCGTATAGGTTTTGCATGAGAGCGACGTAGCGGTCCTCGAGGCTCTTCTTTTCGGAAAACGAATCACTCTAGGATATTAGTGAGCAACTGATGAACGGTCATGCTCGAAAACGCACCAATGGTGAAGTTGTAATCCAAGTAGGTGTACGCGCCTCAACTAGTCGAATAGCCGGGATCAACGTCAATATGGACGCCTGGAGAAACATCACAGTGATTCTTCCTCCAGGCTTTGTCGTGACTTTCATGCCCAGCGCAGCATCATTGAGCACCTGTCACATATTCAGCAAATCAAAGACAGAGACGAAAATAGCCATGCCTCTTGCAAGTTCGCGGAGCTATCTGCAAGATCCCCGAAACCATCGACAGAGTACAACTTCATAGCGGCCAGAGTCCGTAAGGCTATGTCAACCTGTTGTTCACATGAGGTGCTGAGTAACAAAACGCGGATGACTAGGTAAGCAAGGGCGCGACCGTGCGGGAGGGGGTCATGTAGCTTGGAAAGGATGAAGGAAATATCGCTTGAACTGTCATTGGAAGCAAGGATATTCTCTGCGAAAAAAATAAGCACATGATGGCATCACAGGAAAACGAACACGCACCTGCAATCTTGGCTGCCACATCGAGATTTGCCTGGCAGATTTTTTCCATGTCCACGTCTGCCTCATCCTTCTCCTCATCCTTCTTGCGACGTAGAAGGTCAGCCTTTTCCCAAATGTCTACACAACCTCTCAACCATCCAGTCCCACTGCCCCTAGCCTCCTTCAGCGCCTTCCATACTCCCCGCGCAGTCCTGAACTTTGGTTTGCTGGCAAGCAGGTACGGAAACAGTACGCGTTCTTGTATGTTTTGTGATAAATCCGGGTAGGTCTCGCTGAAATAACCGACGAGGAAACCAACGTGTGCAATAAGAATAGCGCGAGCTGGCGGGTCCGGAACAATCTGCGAAATGATGGCATCCAGGAGTTTTTGAGGGGTGATACTTGAAGTTACTGTCGAGAGGAATACTTCAGGTGAAGAGTACAGCGCGTGGAGAACTCCAGCGTGCGTATCGTAGACGCGAGCAAGCAGAGCTGACTGTATTGAGGCCTTACAACACTGATGTCAGTAAAATTTTAGGAACAGCGTGTCGATGGTGATACCTTATCAGATGCCTCGAGCGTCAACCCCCCTTGCAAAATTTTGTACAATCGCTCGACAGCTCCAACGCGTGCCTCCTTCGCGGAGCTTGTTGAAGCAACGACAATCTCGTTGACGTCAGTACTTTGAGCCCATGTATGACTCTGAGAAGGTCCTTAACTAAATATGTGTAGTAATACACACTGAAGAAACTTACCACCGAAAACGAGATCATCAATTCGTCTGCTTTCGTCTTCCGCTCTTTCTTTTTCATTTGCTGATCGTCGCCTTCGTTCTCGCTTTCTTCGTCGTCGATAATTTTAACCAGAGCATCGCGAAGAATATCAACATGACGTTGATGAACAAGAGACAAGAGAGCACGTGCAGCATTAGTCGTTGAAGTTGCGACAGCCTCTTCGTCGCCACTAGTGAGAATTAATCGTATGAGCGAGGACACCAAACGCTCAAGCAATCTCAGAGGAGTACCCGTGGCACTGAGAATTGCAGCGTAAAGAGAGGACACAGCAGGTTCCTCGAGTCTGAAAGATAATTAGTCCTTGTGCTCATTAGTTGAGCTAGGCTGTACACACCGGGGCTGAAGACATTCAAGGAGCGGCAAGATAAACTTTTCCGCTCCAATGAACTGGACTGAACTTTGAAGTTCTTCTGTAAATTTGCTGCGAGCACAACTTCAACATCACATAGTCGCCATTCCCAAAGTTGACTTACGGAATCTTTAGACATAAATTCCCCGTGCTGGCGTGAAACGTCTCAAGCTCTTCTTGAGGTGAACATACTGCAATTGCGACTTTGATAAATTGTTCGCTACATCCGTTATCCTTCGTATTCTGTTTGCCCTTTGGTGCAGCTGAAGTGACCATTGCTCCGATGATTGCTACCACGGCAGCAGATGACAGTGAAACTTTATGCGAGAGTGTGGAAAGCAGTACGTAACTACCGAGCTAAGGGAAGGCATCACCATGTCAGTGATACCAAGGCGTCATACTTCGGAAACTTACAATTGCGTTGGTATCACTGTGACTAGTCTGAAATGGCGCAAGGAGAGCCGACAGCATAAACGCAAGAATGCCCTCATCTAGAGCCGTCGAAGATGCGATATAGTCGTGCATTGTGGCTGCATTGAAAGCCACCAATGTACGATGAGAACATGAACCTAAAAGCGTTATGTTGAAGTTAAGAGTCAATTCGGACAGTCTTACCTCTGATCGCACTTGGCAGTAATGATGCAACAAATCTTGCGACCGCTTGGTTGGCAGTCATGGCTTTGACCATCGAGCTCCTTGCAACAGGTGTTGCTGCTGATTTAAATGGTAGCAGAAATGAAAAAATGGAAGAAGAGCTGAGGACGGAAGTCAAAAAAACTGAAGCTGGCATGAACGAAACGAAACACACGATATGTGTAGGATTGAGAGCATCTTGACAAAGTGCGGGGATTCGTGATAAGGAAAAAAGAGAGAGAGAACTGCATCGACATTGAATTCATTGATGCTTCAGGGACGTTGTCAATTGCAGAAGCTCGCAAGATGGTATAAACACGTACCGAAATCTCCTGACCAGCCACTCTAATACTTTGCTTGTAGGCGCCTCCATGAGCCACGGTCCCAGCAGGTACAAGAACGCGTTCAGCGTGCGATCAAGGTTTGCGTTCACTTCCCGAGATTGCATAGTGCGGTCGACATTCCTTGCAGCCTCGGAAAATAAAGTTTGCTCAAAGTCCACAGATAAGGAGGACCCATCTGAAGGCAATTTTACGGTTCGCGCAGTAAACGCAGGAGACAATGAGGATAAGTGCGCGAGGGCATTGCTAGCGAGTGCATGGATTGAGTCAAGGTCATGAACCTCAGCATCTCGACCAGTGAAAAGGTATGATTCTGTCCGCCTCCGTTTATTGGTGTGAGCGTCGAGAAGAGATGCATTTAGAGATGCGGATGCGGCCAACTGACTCGCAAGTGCAGACGGCATATTACAACGCGTCCAAGATGTCTTGACCGGCCTTAGAACTACTACTAGCTTTGAAGATCTTCAAAAAAAATTGCTGACGTAACAATCATACTCAAGAGAGACGGAATCACTATAGTGCAACCATGATGTATATTTGTGCAAACCATCCTTTCAAGGGCATATATATCACGACAAAAACAAAAACCTTGCAAAATCCCAACCATAAATATTGTAGGCAGCATGCGTAGCTGTCGAATCTATGATGAATCATTGTACATCGAGTAACATTCCATTCTCCGAGTTATCGATAATACTAGCTAGGTCATCCCGTGATGGAGCTTGGTAGTATAATCCTTAATTATGTCGATCGTTCCCGCGATGCGCTGGAGAACAACTTGATCAGCTGGATGGGTAAACAACTTGACAGCCGAAGAACACACTTTGCTTCCAGGATGCTCGTGAACAATGGATCATTGGAAGATTGAGCAGCTTCGACGTACCCTTCACGACCCTTAATGGTGACCGGGAGATGGCTCCTGCCGGGGCTTCAAATATATTCAAAATGCTGGTGATCGCACACTTGTTGTCTTCTCATTCACCGACCTAGATAGTCTTCTGCGAAGGAAAGGGCAAAACGCTGTATCATACCAAATGTCGGAATTTGGAACCACATTGTCAGCAACGACTTGGGAAGCGCGGGGAGTGGGGGTGGAGGCCTCCGAGTGTGGACTGTGGCCAGTAACTGCCAGTTCTGGAGGCTTTCTTGTTTGCTTACCATGATGAGCAGCAATGTGCGAATGAAGGAGCCGATATACGAGGCCATAGGAAGAACACTTTTATTCTTTCTCTTGCCTTGTATAGGTTCTTGTGCCAACTCCGTTAACTCGGAGGCAGAGGAGTTAGACAATTCTCCCTTTTGATAGGCCACTATGATGGCAGCCGCTGCGTAGCGTACACCGCTCGGCAAACCAGCTTCCTCTGCGCCCTCTATTATTGCGTAGATGTCTGCGGCCCAACTGAAGTTATTATAGATCCCATTTCCAAAAGAACAGCCTTTGCACGACACTTGTGACTTCAACTCGTTGTTCATCTTGGACTTCGGCCCAGTATCGCTCATCGTGGTGATAAAATTGCTTTCGAATATATAGTCATCTAAAAGTGTAATGATGCTTGGGCTGGATGTATCATCGTCAAGAGACAGAGAGAGAAGCCAAACAGAAGTTGTATGCAAGGGGCGTTGCGGCGGCCGTTGCTCCACAACTGTGCTTACATAATCCACGGTCTGAATCGACATACGACATAGCTGCCGACCGGCGTTTCTCCATACTTACAATGTCATCTAGAACTGGTCTTCCCCCACTTTCTTCGACAGGCGTCTTCTCAGTTTCATCTTCATGTCTTATAAACGCCCCTCGCGAAGTAGTGTGGGAAGTATTGATGGACTGGGAGTCATACAAGGAATGGTAAATGCTGGACACTTGACGACTCGGATTACTTGCCGGTCCAACTCTCCATAAATATCACCTAACTGACTCGGTGATTTAGGAACCCGTTCGTGTAAGCTATGCTGTCCATGACGTTTTCATTTGATGCAAATGACTTGAAAGGCGAGACCAGCGCATCACAGATGCGCGGAAGAATCACCTGCCCGACGAGATTCCACGTGAAGGGTGTTACCTCCATATCCACCCGGTGCACATTCCTCCATCATTTGACAACAAGTGGTTTCCAAGTTCCGCGTTCGAGCGGATTACTACGTTGGACCATGAAAACTATCGTACGGCATGGGCGAATATTGAAATGCCACATTGGTTGCTTAATGCGGAACGGTGGCAGGCGCTCGTAGAAGTTGAGGGAGGCAAAACACGTTATGAGACGATTGAGGTGTTTGGTGGGATCCTCGCGTATTTGGTGAGGGCCTTCGTCGGGAATGGATTGAAGAAGGGATTTACAGCCATGGCTGAAGGGCTTAAAAGCAGAGCAGAAGAAAGGGCGCAACACTAGTACTAGATTCGAAATAAATATAGGTTTCGCCGGATGCGAAACATGGTTAGGGTAACGATGTCGGCTCCTACCAGGGCAAGGTGTCCCTCTAGGCTCCTACTACATAGACCAGCTTAGCGGCAGCCTAAGCGGCTCATAATTGGACGGATCCGCTATCGGACAAATGAATCAAAATGAAATTGAGGTTGACTAATCCGAGACAGGTTGAACCGCTTCTGGAAAACATTCTAGACCACAGTTCATGCCGTCATATATAATCAGAGACAACCCTCGCACTCCCTTTCCAAATTACCATCACCATCTAGACCGTCTCACTCTAGATTTCTATCATGTCCTCATTTTACGATCCAGGATACCCTGTGAACGATCTCCTACTCGCTTCATCACATCCAGTAACGACCCCTGTTTATTCCCCCCCGTATGATGTGCGCGGGAGGCAGCAACATTTCATCGAAACAGCCCAGCAGAGGAAGGAACGGATCGAATTTTTGAAAAAGAGAGAATGGGCCCGTCGCGTTGCTGAGTGGATTCGAGCCACCAGTGCACGGCAGGATGTGGTTGGTTACAACATTGCAAATTACCATGAATTATGTCGCTAACGCGATTTTCAGATGTCCTTTGGCTGTTCTGGTAGTCTTGCAGCAACATCATCCATGCAAGACAATAGTCATGGTGCTCGTTTGACTTCTTCTGCATCATCCATCTCTCTGTCGTCGAGCGAGGAAGAGGAAGAACCATACGTCATTTATAGTTCATCTCCGTCATCTTCCATGTCGTCTTTGTCCGATGACTCGTCTATCTCCCCAGTCTCTCCCTCGCACCCGTCTAACAACATCCACCCATTGTCAAGCACCATACCATTTCCCTCCAAGCGCAGCCACCGTCGTCGTAGGAGCAGCACGAGTCTCATGACTCCACGTCGCAGACCTTCATTATCCAGTATCTACGAAGTTCCGGAGGAAGACTAACTCAGGCTAGACTTATCAGCCAGAAGTGTTTAAGCTAGGATCAAACCAGTTTTAGTCAAAGCAGTGCCACGTATCCCATCGCGGGTTTCTCGTGGCGTTACGACGATCCTGTTCCCCTCTGCTCCCTTTTTACGTTGTCGTTCTTCAACGACGTTCATGACCATTTTGCGGACATGCTGACCGCTCCGTATACCTGTGCAAACATACCCCCCCTCTCCATCGCCATGTCAGTTTCCTTACGTATCGTGTAATTGTATTATTATCAGTGTTTCAGTAGTATCTTTTTTAGCTCGATGCAAGTGTAAAAATGGAATGCTTTATGCTCACCAAGGAAGGATCGATCGATCGATCTCGTCTGAAAATCGTCAACGACAGACATGTCACTCTCCATTGCGGACTGATCCGCTGCCATGAGCATAGCCACCAGATGGATTGAGAATAGAGGATGGTTTTTATCAAGAGAGCAGTCATTATTTTCGCAGCGTGTTTAGGTCACCATCGGCGTATTCGTACTATAACAATGTTTACTGGATGTATGGCAGAAGTCCGTGAACGATCCTCAGTATGCGTATTGATATCAAGCCCATGTTTTCTCTTCAATTTGCAAGGGCGTACATCTCCTGAGGCACAGACTTTTATAATAAATTCATAACGATGCAACGGCTAGACTACATCAAGTATGGTCAAAAAGTATAGTGCGGAAGATGCTCATCTATTTCATGAACTTGGTCTACCATGGAGTAGCAGGACGTACCGATGAGTCGAAAGGGCAGTCAGGTCTCTGGCTACGTAGAGGGTAGGCAAAAAGGAAGGCAGGCTGCTGTAGAAATCAATGTAAGCTGATGTATTAGACACATCATGATAAACACATGGACATAGTAGGTTAGTCACCATCGCGCATTCCCCCATCTATGGAGCCGTTGTGCCAATCTCGGCATCCTTGTCGGCTTGTTGTCATGATTCTAGTCATCCGGAGGTAGGACATGGCAGCCGTAGGCTGGGATCTGCAAAAAAAACGACACGGCCCGGGTGTTGACAGGCAGGTAAGAAATAAGTAAATACCGAGTGAGTAGTAGACAGTGGACAGACAGCAAAGCGTGAGAGACTCGCAGGGATAATGGAGGTAAAGATCCTGATGGTAGGTAGGTAGGATGAATGGAGGTTTGGCGGATTGATGCTGGCATCGTGCGGTGGCCTCTTCCAGACACTTGCTGCCTATGACAGAATATCCAAAATTTGACTAGGTTCAGGCCTAGGTGGGAGTCACAGGCGGGGCTATGTCCGATATAGAATAACACGCCGTGATCACTCGACTTTTGGAGCTTTTCCCATTCCCATGAGCTTGTAGTATGAGATGTGGTTTTGGAAGCTTCACTCTTGGTCTCCTCCACAGCAGCATCTCGGAGCTCCTGCTCTAATATCTTGATCTTTTATTGGTCGTTGCATTCACGAACAGTCTCGAGGTCATCGGATGGCGTTTTCACTGATTCGTTTGCTGTCTAAAAAAGACCAGTGGTGCACGGTCAGACAAATAGCCGAACATTGGCACGAACCAGCGCCTCATCCCTCGACCTTTCGAGTTCGAGTGTTTCCTCCTCCCATGTTCTCACAATAACATCGATCAATCTCTCGATAGCTTCTGTATCTGTATGTTGCATGTGTTCTGTAGCGAAAGCTGGAATGTGTTCGCTATCGAGCAAGGTCCAAGGCGTGGAAGACTGGGAGGGGATGGTTTTCCGACTGTAAGATACGATCAGTAGGCGGTAGCGTCGATATTATTATTAACAACCCGGACGTACTGTGTACAATGAAAGGCGATTCCTTTTCTGCTGTGTCTGGAAACGGAAACGCTTTTAAGACTTTTTCGCTATCGTATTTCAGCTCCATCGCGAATTCTTCTAGGTCCATCGCTTTGACGCGTTCGTCGACGGTCTAGTGGGGGGACAGGGTTGAGTGCTGATGGACTTAGAAGCTCAATGGAATTTGGAATTCCTCAGGCACCTGCAGCTCCACTTGAGATGATGCAAGTTAAAAAATATGACAGGAAGGGTGACAATACGGATATAGCGAGTTTTCTATCCAAAGAAAGCAAGAATACCTCTTGCTGAAGGTCTCTTCTCAGGGGCTAACCAGCAGCTCTTGACCAACTCCCATAGATGGTCATCCAGACCTCTTTCGCTGGCCGCAGGATCACTGGGTCGTGGGGGTATCTCCCCCTTGGAGAGTTTGATGATAACTTGTGTTGTGCGGCGGATTTCATGCCATGGTACTTGATGGGTCATAATCTGACCAAATACTATGAGATATGCAAATTTTCTCGAATGAAATTTTAACTTACCTCGAGTATAGTCATGCCGTATGCGAAGATGTCAGATTGGGTGGTAAGCATGCCGCCATCGTAGTAGAGTTCTGGAGCAAGCCATCTCTGAGAATTTGAAACTCTGAATCAAATCGGGTTAGCACTGCTTCGCAAGTAATCGCGTGATTGATCTCAGTACCCAACAGACATCGTGAAATCCACGCCCGTGACATCTTCCAATACCTGATTTCACATATCAGTGATGAGTGGTTGATCAACTATTGGAAAGTCGTGCTACCTTTGCAAAGCCGAAATCGGCCAGCAGGGGGTTCCCGCTGGCATCAACGACGATATTGGACTAAAAGCAGACTCACGTCAAGCCCTCAAAGTGTAGATGAAAGCTACGCACCGCTTTGAGATCAGCGTGTACGATCGGGGGTGTCATGTCATGCAAGACATTCACACCCTCACATATGCCTTTAATCTGCAACGAGTCAACATCACACCAAACTTGCATGTTCACAAGACTTGTACATACCAGAGCATAATGATCTACGATGGGGTGCTTTCTTATATACTCGTCCACTGTGCCATTGACCATCCATGGACTTACAACATACCTGCCAATGGAATGATATGGTAAGAGGATTGGACAACCATATGGGGAGAAGGGCTTACGGGAAAGGCCCGTCGTTTTGACAGAAACCGTAGAAAGGAAGGATATGCTCTCCATGGTCAGCTTCCCACATGAGTTTCCAGATCTCCGCCTCTCTCTTGAACCTCTAGAAAATGATGTAAGGATGAGATTTCGAGCAGAGGAGAGTGATAACTTACTCGGAGCGTTTGAGGCCCGCAGTGAACAGCCCGCAGGATTTTGATGGCCACCCTTTCTTTGTTCAAATAGTAGCCTTCCCATATGTCTGCTGATCCCGTTCCCTTGACAGGATATTGTCCAATGCGCCTCACTTCACTGACTTCGAGGATCATGTTAGGTAAAAGCGACTGAGATGAATGTTGTGTGTGATACGGCACCAGGAAACCTCTCTGCTACCAATTTAGGCTGCGATCTATGTTTGGAACCTGACCCAGCCAGCGGAGGAAGATTCTGCATAGCGATGGGTTCATCACTGGCAAAACTAGTCTAGCAGTCAGTTGAAGTCACGGTGTGTCGTAGAGGCCCCTTACTAAGATCTTAAGCTAAAACTCGTTATTCAATTTGGTTGAACAAAAAATTCAAATTCAATTACCATCTCGGAAAGTTCCGAAGTCGATTGCAAATTGAAGAACCAACGGTTTGCCGCTTGCCTCAAGCTCGCGCCGCGGCGACAAACACCCGCAGATACTGTCTCGACGCCAATAGACGCTCTCGAGAACACAAAGTACTTGCTTAATACGCATGAGTTCAGTGCAGTGAACTCTTGATAGGAGACCACAAGCGAAGCAGGAGGAACGGGAATCGACGAACTCAAAGCCAAAGGGATACGATGACTAAGATCGGGATGATCGTCATTTAAATTTGTTACATAATTCAGTACTTTACTATTCTGGGAGAACGAGACTGACGCATTGTCGTCGATCAACTCACTAGTAAATCGCGCGTCAGTGTCAATGGCCATACTCCACCGATGTGAAAGCTCACGGTGCACCACCCCCCAAAGGTCTGCCATGCGGGTGAGTCGTGTTATCAGGTCCAGGACAATGCTGATACTCACGCAAATGCCCCAAGTGCACGACCTAGATTTGCACTCTAAGTCTTTCTTGCAATGGTCGGGACAACTGAGATCGTCGGTGGCACTTTCATCACTATTAATAGTGGGGATGGCAAAGCTTGATGATACTAAGCCAGCAATGATGGCGAGGATAATTGCAGAGGAGAAATGCATCGTTTGCGACTTGTGTATGTAGGATCAGGTGATTCTGAAGGCGATAGTAGGAAAACGACTGGCTTTTATATTGTTCTCTGCACTTACTGTTGCGTGGATGCCAGAACCTTTCCGGAAGAATGTGGCAGAAATCCCTCACATGTCAGGTTCTAGGCTAGGTGCTATGTTGCGTGGATGGCAGAACCCTTCCGGCAGAATGTGAGCATCACCAAAATTGCGCAACTGAGAGATTACCCGGCTGAACGTATGACCAAACAAGTCCGCGTGATACAGTTGATATGCTCATAACGCATACCGTTGGGGCGGCAAAAAATTGATGCATTATAACCCTCAGGCAGCACTTCTCGGTGCCGATATAGGGTCTAAGAGACCCTGTTTCTATGTTATGGGAAACTGGTCTCTGAGACTCACCCTCGCCCCATCTATTAATAACACACTCCTAGCCCACCTCGCGACCCTCCTAGAACCTCCCATATCAGTCGTGATACCTCTCGCGCCTCTAGAATATCCAGAAACACTCTCACGACACCTCTCGCGGGCCTCTAGAAATATGTCTAATACCTCCGGCGCGGCCACAAAAGATAAATTGTGCCAAGACGCTATGGCCTCCAAAGAAAGTTTTGACATATGCTCCGCCTCAGTGAACAACGACTTCGATGACTTGGACATACTCGCCTCTGGCCTATTACAAAATATATTCAATATACAAATAGCCTTTCGCCTGTAACGCTCTTCGGGGAAATTTACACGCTCTAAATCATTGCAGATGCTCTGCGCAATAATCCACAGTTGACCACCTGATATTGCACAAACATCCGCAGACGTCAACACGTCCAAAAAGTAAGCGACTAAATCAGAAGACGAACTAAAACCTGCAGCAATCTCACAGCAAGCAGTATAATCACGATGCTTAAAACGGGCATGCGAAGCGACGCACTGCCCATGAAGTAGGTGTCTCAACAGTGGGTTACGTAGCTCGGTCAACGAACAAGACTTGTCGAATTCTAGACCGTGCAAAAGACACGCCCTTTTGAGCAGTGCAACTTCAGGCGAAAAAGGACTGAAACGAATGCCCGAAGAAAACGACCCCAAAAAACATCACTGAGAATAGACTCAGAGCGTTGACGAGAAGACAAAACTGCCCCGCCGAGGGACGTTGACTGAAATGAATAAAACATATCAGATCGAACAGACTGTATATGGTCGGAGTCACGATCAAAGATACACGAGGTATCTAATACAACAGACCAATGTCAGCAGATACACAAAAAAATGAACAAAAGAAAAGAAACAACTGGAAAAACATCACCAGGAAGTGAATAGGGGTTGACAGCGAGTGCGTCTTCAGCCCCACCAATGGCACGCGGTCGTTGTAAGAAGCTGTGAGATTTTCGGAAAACCGCGAACCTCGATCAGAATGACGGAGCAAGCGAGCGGTTGAAGAAGAAGTCGAAGACGACAGATACACGCAGACACTGACGAATCTACCGCAAAACGGTGAAATTAGCGAGCTATAAGACCCACTACAGAGGTAGCGGGAATAATACATGAGTCCTCCCACGCGGCATGTGCGGGAGTTCAAGTTCTGCCACATTTTGCCCGGGAGGTTCTGCCATCTGCCTGGCAGTGCTAGTTCTACCCACAACACTCGACGCAGCTGACGCTGTCGTCGATCAATTCACTAGTAAATCGCGCGTCAGTGTCAACGGTCATACTCCACCGATGCTGAAAGCTCACTGAGGCGCACCACCCCGTAACCTGCCATGCAGGTGAGTCATGTTATCAGGTCCAGGAAAACGCTGATACTCACGCAATGTATCCGATTGACCGAGCACTGTGCGCAGTCTGCGTCCTTCCTGCAACGGGCGGGACATCTGTCGGTGGAAAGGCTTTCACCACTATCAATAGTGGGAATGGCAGAGCTTGATGATACTAAGCTAGCAATGATGGCGAAGACAATTGCAGAGGAGAAATGCATCGTTTGCGATTCGTGTGTGTGGGATCAGGTAATTCTGAAGACTATAGTAGGAAGACGGCTGGCTTTTATATTGTCCTCTGCAATTACTGTTGAGTGGATGGCAGAACCTTTCCGGCAGAATGTGGCAGAAATTACTCACATGTCAGGTTCAGCCAGTTCAGCCAGCATAAAATATGTGGCAGAAATCCGTCGCATGTTAGGTTCTGCCAGTTCTCGGTACCAGCGTAGAATAGTTCTGCCCAGCCTCAGCACGAACCCTTAGCATCACTACTAAACCTCACATTTACTTCACCGTTTATACGACATCTACGATTTTTTTGGTAAGGAGACTCACCGTAAATACAAAGATGACTGTTGTTGAGACAAGTTCAGCAAATAAATAAGGTAAGTGACCGAGTGTTTTGCTGATGTCGAAATAAATCTGTTGGCGAGCTGTAAGGAGGTATGACGATTTTCACATCTCCTGAACATATCATAAACTCGACCCGAGATCTTCCATGAGCCTGGCTTTCATGGCGATTGTGCGCCTCGCGTGCATGTGGCCAATAATCTCGCAAGACATGATTCAAAGATGCCAAGGCCTGAGGTGTGACTGGAAAAGCTGCTTGGAACAATTTTTCTCCCACAGACTTGGAAAGACCGTGATAATCAAATGCAGGACAAAATAGTACACCGTTGGCTGTGCACTGAAATCTATAGTGTTGGGCCTTTTTGCTCATTGTCACACCACACAAGGCGCTGACTCGGAAAGCAATAGTCGACACTTTCGGGGACGCTGAGCGCTGAGCTGCAATGTATTATCGACCTCAGTAACTTGAACTTCCCATATAATTCCAACGAGGTCCTTTTAAATGACCGTACTAGCCTCCACAAGTCGCAAATGACAGTAACGCTGCCTTCAACGATATTTAGGAAACAAGGGCATGGTCGGGGACTCAAATGTTGGACTAAAAATCCAAGATAGATAACTAAGTAAATTATCACCACCGTGACGTTGATTTCCGCTAGAAACTAAAGGATATTACTGTTGACTAGGGCTCCTCATCTTTGTCAACTTTCACAGGACCTTTAACTACACCTGCGTATCGGAGCCGATGCTCATGTAGGCTGGGAAGGAACAGACGCCTGTGTCTGTAGGTTTGAGGTGAGGTGTGATGTGTTGACGGAGGGCTATGCACATGGTTCAGTAGGTATTTACATCTTGTTATCAATTTTTGGACTGCTATGGCGCTGGATCTGTTCAACTACATCAGCAAACTATCCCAGGACGACAGAGTAGAACTTGGGACTGCGTCGGTCTTCTAAGTTTAGTGTACGATGGTCGTTATCGTTCGCCACAGACAAACGCAGAGTCAAAAGCACTTATAGCTGTCTCTTCCGCACTTCGGAAAATATGTTGCTCGAAGAATCTCATACACCTTTTGTGTGATATATCACCCGAGGACGTCTTGCTTCTTCAATGACATAGATGGTGTATTCAATAGTTTCACAGTTCAGTGAAGGGATAGAAAAAGAAAATACATTTCTGGTCTCAAGAGCACATCGGACATGGTAAATACTGGCGAGAATTGGGGAACAACGGCATCGATCATACAGCTAAGTGAGAGTGTGCGCAGCATCCGGTTCTTTAACACTAAAACCTACAACAAGTAAATGTCAGTGATGCCTGTGCTAACTCAAATCTCGTCACGCACCCATTTCTGCGTCTCGATCCATCCTATATTTGCTGAACGGTCTATCTTTAGTATTATCCAGCGATGACAACATGTCCTCTGCTCTGTCCCGGAATGACAATATGGAACGCGTAGACTTGACGCGTTCTCGGAAGATAAGGCCGATTAGAATGTTGAGACAGCCAATGGAAAAGAGGAAGAAACCAGAGACGAGGGGGAAGACTTTGACGAAGTGAGAAAGAACAGAAGCTCCTATCCTATTGATGTATAGATGAGTTGGTAAGAAAGCGATTGGAGGGACTTATCGACTTACAGACATTGCATCACTCCCAAAGCACCTAGCCCAAAGTCACTCCCGAGAACGGGGAAGTAATGATCAAAGAACGCCGCGGGCCAGCCTTGAGAAGTTGATAAGACGCATACTCACACACCGTTGCCAATATCATACCTAGTTCTGAAAGAATCAAAACGACGGTTTGTGCAATGATCAACAACCGATTCAATACTGCCCAAAACACGCCAGCTGGCTGATTAGGAACTGTACTGTTTCTAGCCAGAAAATTGAGTACATTCGCAGTGACCTTGACAAGAAAACTCACTGTATGTAGGCATAGTTGATCGTGGAGTTTGAGTTGCTCCCGCCATCGACAAATACATTGACTGCCTCGATGTCATCAACCATCACCATGATGCTGCTAGAGAAAACCAAAAGAAGAGCGATGATGCTAAGAACGCGGACAGTATTGAGACTGATGAAGATATCTGACGGCCATCATCCTGTCAACTCGCAAGTACAAAGTTCCTGGATGGTAGTACTCACAAGCTTTGGGTGGTAGCATCACGGGCAATGTAAATGCAACAGACGATCAAAATGACACTATGCCAGGAAGGAGAGTTAAATGCTACAAAAGTAAGAGATGACCAGCAACAGAGAAAGTAAAAGAAAGGGAACGACAATGCCTCCACTGTCGGATGACAGCTGAAGTAGACAGAAGGACAGGGAATTTCTGAATTGATAGTCTTCCACTGGCCACCGGTCTGCTTTTCATAAAATCTGAGTCCAGGGAATCATCTGATCTGGGGAATAAAGAGCCATTGTTCTCGCAAAGGGTCATCATCGCTGTGGACACCGTGTGGGCGACTTTTCACAAGCCGCAACGTCATAAAACGGTAAAGTATAACATTTCCCAAATAGGGCGACTTAGTGACTTCATCAGGCATTCGACCACAAATTGACAAACCTTTAGCTAGTATTATTTAATGCATAATAACACACATATATCACAATTGCAGATGACATGATAAGAGAATAGATAGGCAGACTACACTGGTGGGATCTGCCAAAGCTACCATATTGGTAGACCTATGGTGGCAAGCTGTGGTCTATTGGCACCCAGTTATTATATTGTCAAATATCTCTACCCTTACATAAGTTGTTAGAGATGGTGGACCATGCCATCACCAACAGTGCACCAGCATGTGGCAATGAGTCAGTGTGGGGTGGTGGAATGGCGAGCTTTTGCCAAATATATCTAGCTTGAGACAGGCAGACTGCAACAGTGGACCATGCCATCACCAACAGTGCGCCAGCATGCAGCAATGAGTCAGCATGGGGTGGCGGAATGGCGAGCTTTTGCCAAATATGTCTAGCTTGAGACAGGCAGACTGCGACGGTGGACCATGCCATTGCCAACAGTGTGCCAGTATGTGACAACGAGTCAGCATGGGGTAGCGGAATGGCTAGCTTTTGCCAAATATATCTAGCTTGAGACAGGCAGACTGCGATGGTGGACCATGCCATCACCAACAGTACGCCAACATGTGGCACTGAGCTATCATACTGTAACAAGCTGTTGATCTATTGTCAAACACAAACACCCTCACAAAGGTAGCTTCTGATGGTAGATTCTGCCATTCATAACATTGTGGCCGCATCTTACCATAGCAAGTTGTTGATATTTTGGCAGACATGCAAGATGGAGGAGCAATAATCAATTATATTCTGTCCTTACAATATGTAGATATATACACTACAGAGCATGTAGAACAACATTGTGAAATATATAATTAATTAGCACCATCATTGGTCAGTGCTTGAAGGGCAGTGCACTTCTCCCGAATTTTGGATAGCGCGCTGTTTTTGCTGATAGCTCGCTGTGAACTGGAGGGATTAGGGAAAATGCGACTGTGATGTGTTAATGTAGAGCTCGAAGTTAATGAGATGCATTACGAACTGTGTCCACCAAGCCATTAGGTCTACTACTTCCTCAGTCTCGTCTGGATCCTCCAATAGGTCAAGAATGCTGTGATAAAAATTTTCTGAGTCCGTAACAGTGTCCGTGCGTGAAAATACAGACGAAGAACTCAATGAAAACCGAACCTAGAACAGTAAGTAAGGGGGTCATCTTGAAATTTCCGACACACCTGTGTGGCAATGTAAGCCAGGGATCCTTTCGTCACAGATTTCATCCCATGGAGGTGTGCATTACCGGAGCGCGTGGCTTTCGGTTCCTTTTCTACGGAACTTGGAGAGGTAAATACATGTTTGAACCCCTATTAAAAGAAATAGAATTGAGTAAGAACACGACCACTGATAATGTCCTCACAAATATAAGTATGTCGCTCCTCAATAGACCCTGCCATGGATCTTCGGGATCATAGGCATACTTAGCATATAGAAACATCGGCCACTGGTCGCCACGGACTTCTATTTCACCGCTTTTAAGATTCTGCTTAGTTCTGAATAGCATTGTGGCGGGTATCTTCATTGAAAAATGAAAGGGCTTACTCGGCATTCGACCAGTCGAGGCCTGCGGGGCAGAGCAATGCACCGGTCACTTCATGATTGAAACTGCAATCAGATTTGATGTTTTGGGAGAGAGGCGGTATAAGTGGCTGGCCTTTGGGCATAAGCCATTCGAGCACAGCGGATTTGAGGGTTTTTGTGCCGTCGCCTCGTGCACTGGAGGCTCCTTTGCCAATCTACGAGAAGATGACCATGAGTAGACCTTTAAGTATTTCAATACTTACCAATTCTCTGACATGGATGACATCTTCCTCCTTGCCAGTTGTCAGACGTTCTAGAAGATTAGGATAGGAGTCTACAAGCTCCATAAATACCCTATGTTCACGTCGAACACTAAAGTTGAAAGTACTGTTAGACACTGCTAGTATTCAATTGACGCGATTCTACTCACTCGGCTGGATAATCTTCTATTGAAGAATCCTGTAATTCTTCGAGTCGAAGCATACCTCCAGTCAAAAGAGACGGATAATTGCATAGTGCGAATACCATCCGACCGAAGTGTCGCCCATGGAGAACCAGGGGATTTGAAGAGGCACTGATGAAGACACGTCAGGACAAGTGTGTTTCAAGATGAACCCTTACACTTTTTTATGTGGGCCCATGTGAAGTGCCGAACCACTATGCTTGTGAGAAGTATCGCCAGGATGGGGATTGTTTTCGTCACCACTCATTCTAAGATAAAGGAGCAGACGACTCATGTCAGTAGTAGGTGAGGTGAGACTTTATACCTTTGAGCACGCCATCAGATTCGAAACGGGAACGGACCTTGGCACACTATGCCATAAATATTATGGATGGCATATTATCTGAGCGCCATCCGAGCCACACCATCAGGATCGGGACTTGATGGCGTTATGTCACCTGCCGGTGCCGTAAATCTGGCCCATACACACAGGCACACATGCAAGCACACACATATATAAACTGTTGGCAGCAATAGTCAATATCATATCATGCACAATAGCACGCCAGACTCACCCTCTCAGACACGTTTGCGACAATGCATTCTCGTTGCAAGCAATGTCACACTAGAGTTAGTTCTTCGAATATGATATGACGTAGTACAAACTCACAATGTTCACCTGAAGCTTCCAACTTCCTTTACTCCACACACCGACCGGTACTAAGTGCAAGTGAGTGACACTGTCACATCGAAATGCAGAACAAGACTTACAGTACAGGTAATTCCATCTAACAACAACAGAGCAATGCAAACTAAAGGTGAGATTTCTTAATTAAATCTGGACGTCAGTCTAACAAAAGACCCACCTAGGTGTCGGCGAAAATTGTGCGAACAAAGCGAGGTCTGAACTGAATCAACTCGAGGAACAGTTAAGAAGCACGGAAGAACATATTGCGTACCTCACAGACAGGGTGATAGTGTACAGGTATAGATGGCTCGAAGAGTACTACCGTGCCGACAACCTTGAGCGTCACATGCCCAGTGACATTTACGTACCCGACCTTGCTCAGATTCCCCTGGGTACTTCTTCTCCCGGAAACTCTGCAGAGTTCTTGGCCTGGGAGAGCATGTGAGGGTTCCACACGGGGAGAAAAGTGAGATAGGGTCTCTGAAAAATGGATGCAGGTGTGCGAGGGCCTATCGTGGGCCAAATTGTTAAATTCATCACTACTCAAATGTACTACGATCCGTACACTATTACATCACGTGTTGCGCCAGTTCGACAAGACATATCAGCTCGAAAGCAAGAGTAATATAAGTTGTAGGTGAAGTCGCAACCTCGACAGTATTCTTCTTCATATTGCACCTTGTGACTGTAAAGATGCGACCACAATACTTCCCACTCAGAATGAAGACCAGTTGGTTTTTTCTGCGTGGCTGGGCTGGGCTGAGATCTTTGGCAGGGATGTGGTAATGCTGAATGGCGGCGCCTGCATTGCTGGATGTGCAGAATACAGCAACACAGTTGTCAGGTGCCGGTCCATTCACACCGCAGAACGGGTCAGGGCATGCTGTTGACACATATCATTTGTGTAACCTGCCTCCCATAAAGCGCACCGAAACTTTGAGCACCACATGATGAAGAAGGAACATTGATGAATACTCCTTCCCCATCAACCAAGGCAACGATACTGTGATAAAATAAAATGAGCCACACGCTTGATTCCTCCATTGTATTACTCACCATTGTCTGAAAGTTTCTCCGCTCCAGTATCGATTTCATCTTGAGTGTCCTCGGGGTTGACAACCCAAGGGTTATATTCCGAGGTGTGGGGAGTGACATGCAATGGGGGACGATCTGCAATATCTTCTGGGTTGAAGCTCCAGGAAGCCCATGACAGATTATTAGCTGGCAAGGTAGATGGAATTCGTTCAGGTGGTGGAGTGACACTCCGCTGTGGCGCCGTTGTTGTTGTGTATGATCTTCTCCGGATTTCGCAGAATGAAATCATCTCTAGTCCCTCCAGTATAACACCATTTAATCTCATTCCATAGCTAACAACCATTAACAGTTTGGCTGCCGCGAAATTTTCTGCAACACTCACCTCGTGACAACGTCACGGCATCTGACAGTAGTGCGCGCTTGCCCATGCACAGCGATGGTGCAAGTGTCGGGAGCTAATGTCGCTCGGTAACCTTTCAGGTCGCCCCCAACAATGAACACTTCTTGGCGAATAAACTTGTTGAATGAATCTAAGTTCACATTGCGGCGCTTTGTTACAAATGTGATTGGGACTTCGACCTGTGATAGGTCAGCCATGCTCAAGTCAAAGTAATTGATACTTACGAGGGTGTGATCACCGTCAGATAGAAGGGTCAAGCACGCGTTTGGAAAATCGACACTCTGCACAACCCCTCTCCTCTGATACTCTGGCCTGTGGGCAACACTCACCATGTCTCCAGCCTTTACATCATACCCCCTTTCCTTGGTGAATATTATCGTAGTTGGGAGCTTGGTCCGCTGAACAATTGTCACGGGAACACAAATTCTTGATGGTCCAACACTAGGCTCAACGTCATCCCCAACCAAGAGAGGATTCGTGTCCCAGAACCACAACATGGTTCCCTTCATAGCAATCCACTCCACGATGCCGCATTTCTTGAAGTGTGGACCTGCAAGCACTTCTATATGGTCCCCGATTTGTATAGATTCGGCCTCAGGAAGAGGCTCCAAGTGTTGCAGCGAGGGTAGCCATGTTTGAAGCATGTGATGCAAGGGGCGACGGTCTACGTAGTACCTTGAAATGAGTACCTATGTAAAGCGTTAGATCGATTTGATTGAATTTAGGGAAAAAGTTACCTCTTCCTTGGAAACATCCTGACAAACGTGAAACATATCATCACTAATCTGAACAATATGCCCCTCCAACCCCATGTATGAACCTGCTACCACTCTAACCTCATCGCCGACACAAAAGACACGCTCCACATCCTCGAGTGGAACATCCATGTCGCTTCGCCTATATCGCCTTTGTACAGGCCATATTTGATTCTCACCCACGCTGGGTTGGGGAGTTTGGTGCAAGAATTATCGACCGCTTCGCGTTCTTCATCTGGGATTAGAACATACTGTTTGACTGCGAAAGTGTGCGAGGTTGGAAGTGATGCTGTGATAGTTCTGGGGCTATCTGCCACAACGTAGAGCTGACCTGCCGTCCAAATCGACACCGTAACATGAAACCCTTGATGACAAAGGTGCTCGGCAATATAATCTGTGCTACTTCCTGGCATGTCATGAGAGATATGTTGCGCCAAAATTAGTTTCGAAAATGTACTGTTGACATGAAGGCAATACATTCTGCCTCCGATCACACGGGAGGACGGGACAGCGATGCAATGGCGAGCTTGGCACAATTCTGATAAACTAGGTGCGGTTCCTTCAACCCGATCGAAAATGTTGTTGAATGTTGCAGCCAACCTATCCTTGGCTGATGGTCCAAAATTGCGCACAACCTTCAATGACTGCTCAGAAACGCCATCACTCCCCCTTTCTTCATCATCATCTTCTTCTTCCTCGTCGTCTTCATCTGCTTCAGTGATGATGTATGGACTTGGCTAGACATTTATTTAGCACCAAAACACATCAAATTCATCAGATATATACTTACTTCGGGACGTCTACCCGATCATTGAACACGAGTGATTGAGCGACCAACTGTCCTGGACTACATTGAGATTTAGAATTGAAGTCATCACTAATTATGATAAACTTACTTGAGAGCATCTACGGAGTTGTTGAACGGAAGTTCTTGACAATAAACTGCCCGTCCTTGATGAAGACGAGGGAAGGGGTATGTGACTGGTCTTCAGGGCGTGGAGGTTTGCCAAGGCGATGCTATTATCGTCATCACCAGAAAACAATGCATCTCTGGCATCATTCCAGTCGTCTGCAACGTATTGGTTGCCGAGGTAAGCAGAAAACACCTGTTCCATCTGAGGGTACGTCATATCCGTGGTGAGATACTGCTCAAGAATCTCCCATGCGGCTGGGTCTGCCAATGGCGACAGCTGACAATTTCCTGTCGTACCAACAGGCTTGTGAATGACAATATCGGGAATATACACATTATGACTTACCGTCATCGACATCGATCCTGACGCGTTTTGGAGCATGTTCACCATCATCAAATGCCACGTGTTTGGACATCCTATCTGAAACATGTCAATCCTTACATCACATAGTAATGAACTCAACACCTCACATACTATGCATGATAATCTAGATCATCCAAGTTTCAAGTAGTACTAGTTGTAGGAGAAAGAAGTGTGGAGACGCGCATCCTACTAGTATTTGAGGTGAATTAATAATCCGGCTTAGTAATTGATAAGATTATGATGGCAGTCTCGTCAATCTCAGCTAAAGTAACTACTACTGACATGTACATGTAAATAATTGGTCATACGAATATTTTGACGATGGTGTTGCTAGTGTCCGAAAGAAGTTTCAAATGACGAGCGTGGGTTGATATACTGAACGATTCAGATGATTCAAACTCAGCCGGCAGTGCCCAGACCCATCTGCAAACTCAGCAGCAAATAATTACTGTCAAATCACACAGAGATATTCAGTTAGAACCAGATATTGATTGCTGTGACAAGAGTACAAAGTATTGTAAAGCACTACAATGTAAGGAACCTAGTGCTAGGGATCCGCACAGGTAAACTCCCGCATACTGGCAGAGCCCATAGGGTATGACGAGTTCAGACCCCAACACGATCTTGACCTCACCCCGCAATGCGTACGACTCCCTCCCTTTGGCGATCGCTGCGCGCATCCCAATCTCGTCCACCTACGTAAGCACTGCCAATTCCGATGGCCAGTCCAAATCCACCGTCAGGGCTGAGGCTCCCAAGGCTGTCCGTACTCTCACTGTCATGATCTGAGAATGAAGATGTCTGCATTGCACTCCATCCTTGTGACTGCTGCCCCTCGGCATGTGAGGGCAATGTTGATGACGACACAAATCGGCCACAAGGCGGGTTGGGTGGCTGAAGCAATCCAGATGTGGACGGGAACGAGCTAGACCTGGGCACAGGGACTGCTGTACTTTGGGGCGACATCTGTATGGATGCCAACGAAGGCAATGGTGTGCGAGACCTGGAGTGAGACTTTGATCTGGAACGAGATCTCGAGTTGGAACACGATAGGCCAGCCGATGGCTTACGCTCATGTCGTGACAAGCTTGCAATGGAATAGGATTTCGGGGATGGAAAGGCTGGGCGCATAGTCAGGATAGGCAAGTTAGCAGGTGTAGGTTGTTGCAAAATACACTCTTGCTCTTTTGTGATTGTCTACACTTGATTAGGTGCAGGGGGTATGACTGTAGACGAGGATGACACAGAGGTGGCAGAGGCAGGGGGTGGCTTGCATCAGATCAGGCTCCGTACTAGGTTCCATGTTCAACACAAGCCGAGGTGACAGGCACATAGTCGACACCGAAACAGCTGATATCGTTGAAGAATCAGAAGATGAGGATGACGCAGAGGTGAACTTCTTCTTTGGTGGTTCTGGTGGTGGGGCTGTAACTACAGGAGGTACCCGTGGAACCTCCGGGCTCAAACTTGAACCTTGTTCCTCGTGCGTTCGTGTTCGTGCCACATCAGCATTTGCTGACGTGTCATATGGCCGTACGCCTGATGGCGTAGAGGGCTCGGATAGTATCCATGCTGGTGTTGTCGTTGGTGTTGGCAGCCTCGTTGTTGTGCTGTTGGGGGCTGCTGCAAATGGCTGGGGATAGATATAGCCGTGGCATTGCTGGTGCTGGAGTTGGACGTTTGACATGGAGACGGTGAAAACGATGGTGCTGGGACAAACATTGTGGTGGGTGACATGGTACCGTCAAAAGTCTCAGTACCAAGCAACATCGAGAGGCAGGAGGTCCTGTATATTCTCAGTTTGTGTGAAGCTCTGCGAGTCGGATCGTGTGGCGCGTTACATACAAGTCAGCTTGGGCGGGGGTGAAAACTATGAACGACGCACATCAAAAAGTGACAATAATAGAGCATATAAGCTTAGGAGAGCATGTGCAGTAGCAAGGTGGGGGTAAAAGAAGGCATGAGAGCAGAACAAAGACGAGATCACCATGAGGTGGGAGGTATGTGTTACAAGAACATCTAGACGCTTGGGCCCCTACCATTTTTCTCCTAATACTCCTCGTATCAGCCCTCGCGTCATACCCTTACCCCGACCTTACCCTTGTCATCCTTGTCATCCTCGCATTCCCTTTCACCCTCTACTTGTCGCTTCAGCAAAGCCAGTACATCTGGTCGGACCCTTTCGCTGACGAAGCATACCCATGCTCCGTTTCACCACCTGACTGATCCTGTGGACAGTCCCCCTTGCCCTTACCATCTGGATGGTAACCTATGATACGATGCACGACGCATCCCCTTTGCCCCATTTCCTTTCTTGATCTCTGACTCAGTGCGCAGTCGCACATGTGACTTATACTTGGATCCGCAGCTGCACGATCGTGCCCCTGCATGTTTCACTTCTTATTCCGATCTCTGACTCACTTTATTATCTAGCACGTTCTACCTAGACCGAATGTGCCTTCCTGTTATGGTCTTACCCTTTACCGATTGCCTCTCCCGGTAGTACGAGTTATCATCCACTAATACGCGTCCTATCCTCTATATAAACTCGCTACCATGTACTATATTCCTTAACTTGAATCTACTTGGTTCTTGACCTCCTACTCTCACCAGAGTGATCCTTCTGCCTCGCCAGCAGTCTATATTCTATCTTCTTATCTGCTCCTCGCGGATAAGCCTATAGTCTCGACCTTTACTCATCGACTTCGTCGACGAGCAAAGCCCCTGTTAACTAGTCGGACTTCTGTCCTTCTAATTAACGACGATCCTTACGATTAACCTTCGGGTGTCGTAAGCCTAGGCCGATACCGCTTATCGTCTCGCAACCGCGTGACATAAGCTACCCGATTTGGACATAGGCGTCAAATCGTACTTGCCGAAGACACGCCAAGTACGACCCCTAACCTTGGGCTAGCCCAAGGACGTCCTCGACCGTTGACGACACAAGCTCTGTTTGAGCGTCGCCAACAGATACCATCCAAGTCGTAACAGTATGCGCATAGTCCAGAGCGCATATATCATGCTAGATCGAGTGTCCGTACCTTGTATGCACCATTGGAGGGATCAGCCGAGAAAGGGTACTAGTAAGGGCGGGCAAGAATGGCTGGGTACCCTGGGCAGGTGAGAGTGGATACAGACCCAGGGCAGGCAAAAGTGGGTGTAGACCCAAATGGCACAGGAATGGCTGAATCCCGACATCAGCCATTCATACTGCATGCTCTGCCCCACCAGTGTTTGCATGAGCGTTCTGCTGTGCTCCGCCGGCAAGTTATTCTCTGCAGACGACACGGTGAAGTCATTCAAGACTAAGCGGCTCAATGAGACAGGCGTGTGCAAATCGCTATTGTTCAGAGCGCAGTGCAAAGCGCTGCGCGCAGCCTGGATGTCACATGGACAGGATACATGTTTGCTGCCAAACTTGCGTTCTAGCACCTTGTGGTACCTGGGTAGAGATGTCCACACTGGGGTACAGTGACACTGGAGACACGAGTTACTCAAAAAGGTGTACTGAAATGGAATATACGCAAAGAACTTACAGATAAGTTGCGCACAGGCATTTGTATGAGGATGTCAAATAGCTTCAGCTTCTTTGTCAGTGGGTCCATCGCCTCGTCATCACCACGCTCTACACGAAGGGAAATCTTAAGTATGTGATTGACAGTGACATTGCTCTTTCTGTTCCGATTGGAGAAATTAATGAGGAAGCAGTGTTGAGGAAGCTGCAGTGCATGATGAAATGTCCATGGCCCTGGACCCATGACAACCATGGCCATCTCGTTCTCGTTGTCATTAGTGTTTAAGAGTCGGTAAAGAGGTGATTTTCGAAATGCCTCCGGCTCTCAACCCCAGGAGGGCGAAAATGGCCTTCCACTCTCACCAGCCATCTTGCTCATGATCTCCAGGCCGTTGATCAAGAAGAAGAATGTGCCAGTCTCGTTGGCTACCGCACGAGCCATCAATGTCTTTCTAGTACTGGGGGGACTGAACATCAGAATACCACAAGGAGGTTTGATACCGATGGAATGGAAGAGTTGCAGGTGGCGTAATGGCAACTCGACGAGTTCACGGATCTGGGCCATTTGCTTTCGACAGCCACCAATATCGTCATAGCCAACATCTGCAAGATTTGCTTCCTCGTCTTCGCGCTTGATAGGGTCACCCTCTGTGGAATGTTCAGTGGCCAAGAATGGCTGCAGGCCAAGAGTGGCAAAGAGTGGCTGCTGACCCCGAACGTGCGAGAGTGGCTCCAGACCCAGAGCGGACGAGAAGAGAGAAAGGCAGCTGATTAAGGCAGAAAGTGCAGATGGGGCTGAAGGAAGGGAGAGTTCAGCTAAATAATATGATGAGTGTTGTTTATGCAGTTTACAAATCAAAACCCATGAATTGGAGCAGCAGATTCTGAATCCGTTTCCGAGTCAATCATTAATTTCTTAATGTCGTCTTCCACATGTTTCACAGTAAACTCGCCTAAGAACCTGAAATTAGATAGACTTAAGAAACCACATAGATGTTGACTTACTTGGTTTGCGTTCGGTCACAACAACGCCGCATCTTTAAAACACAGCTTTTAACTTGCTCAAATTGAGGTCACAGTCCGTTGTCCCAGATACTGTTCCAGTGGGAATAATGGCTTCTTTGACTGAAAGCTGTGTGACAAGAGACTATTCTAGTGAGGCGAGAGTGGCGACAGTCTGTGAGTAAACCCACCTCCAGATTCGAGAAAGAATCATTGTCAATGAAATCAGCAACTCCGAACTCCCTGACACTGGTGTCCGTGAAGGCAATGCCAACTGACTTGATCTTGGCTTTGTTCATGACCGAAGCTGATGATATTTTGACAGCTAAAATGATAGGTGCCGATGTAACATTGGAACTGGCAAGAGAAGGTCTTCCATGGCTTGGAGATTTCCAGGTGATGCCTTTCAAATGATTACATCATGGCTATAAAGACAAGACATGACTTGCTCACCTCTTTTTTCAAAACAAATTTGGAAGCTTTCCTTCCCTTCCCTGGTGCAGGCACCCAGATTTCCACGCGCAGCTGTTTAGATGTGAGGGCATCTCGCAAAAAGGAGTGAGCCAGGGTATGGCTAAGCGTAACAACCACCAGCTAGATACTTGAGGATAGAGTTGGTATGAAAGATGCGCGTTGCAACGTAGTGAGCATCCTGCCTGTGGACAGAGTAGTAGTCTGTGTGATCAAATAGACGGATCGTTCCAGTTTCAGGAGATTTCTTTGGGAGTTTGGAAAAGAATGTAACGAAACCGGGGTCAGAGGCTGGTGTCGCGTCAGAGTTAAATTCGATGAACAATCGAAGACTCACTCAGTTCATGCTCTGCATCTTTTTCCTTCCCATGCATGAGAGTTGCATGAGAGCCATGCTACTACTTTTTGACCTGGTAGTAAGAGTTGCGATAAGAAAGAGACTCGGATGTCAACTTGCGATCCGACGTTGGGGCACTCTGGGGCACTCCACAATATCTCTGTGTAGAGTTCGGGTACTGCCAGCAGAGTTTCATTGTCAATGTTGTTCAGTATATCAACCCCATGTGGGTGCTCTCGTTCTTCTTTTCCCAACTTCAAACTTGTAGTGCACTGTACTAGATGAGATAGCATATAGTGAACAATATAATACTGGAATACTTGTAGCAGTTGCACTGCACACATGGAAGTTCGGAATAGTTCAAGTAGGTAAAACTGATCAGTGAGATATGATCCTGTTCTGACTGAGATTCAATGTAAAGAACACAGATGATGGCCCTGCTGTGCAGATTGCTGCAAGGGACACATACTGCCATGCTCGTCATTTTCCAGTAGGACGCACTGAATCTGGACAAATGGATTGTTTCCAGGCATAATGCATCGCCGGTACGTAGGCTTTCCCAATGAATTTCTCAATATTTACTGAATCAAATATTAGCCATTCGCCATGCTTAATTGCGGAGCACACTTACACCTGTAGCCGCAAGTGCTGGTTGCGCATTCAGCAACATATTCCCCTTGCCACATTCCACGGCTCTCCCTGAACACCGATGACTCGACATATGTGTCACCCGTCGCACAAAGACAACACAGGTATCGAAAGTCATGGATCTTGCGATATGCCTCGAATTGTGAGGGGTGGATTTTATCCCCACGTCGGTTAGCTGGCCTGTAGGGTGGGTTCTATCATGAGTGAAGAACTTATGTAGTCCAAACTTACCATTGATACGTTGACAGCTCTCTCATTTGAGCGTGGTATTGAAGTATACCGTGGCGAGAAAACATAATTTGAACCAGCTGCCGCAGAACGTTGGGGTCAGCTTCGTATACCTCAGGCTCGAGGTCCGACCAATCAGACTTTGGTGAAGATGGCATCAATATTATAGATGGGAATTGAGCTGATGTCTGTCCTGGGGCTTATATAGGCTGTGGGATAAGGTTCCTACCCGCCTATATTGCGTTAGTCATGCCATCCTCAAGCAAATTTGGCAGCAGCTGTGCCATGCTGCAATACCTGGTGCCGTGCCATCAATTTTTCTAGCGTATTTGATTGTGAGTGCATCATTTGATTTAAAATCAATTGCAATAACAGAATTCAAGCTTCAGTCATCGATCTATGTCCAAAACAAATTATACCTGCCTATGCAAGAGAACTTTTACGGCCCAAAATTATTTTAGCCAACACCAGCGCTCATGCTCGCATATGAAAAAGCGATTATCATTGGCGATATCTTCATTCAAGGAATTCGTAGGATGCAGGAAAAGGACACGCGCCTCTCTTGGATCGCTGAGTGACGCATCTAATGTGCTCACCACTCATCTCAGCCCTGAAGATGCCAACACTTCAGCAGCAACACATTGTCATGATGCTGGGGTAGTTCCACCACCTACCCGATTACCATCCTCCGGAGCAGGGATCGCGCCCCCAGATCGCAAAGGAGGTGATATTGAAGAAGGGGAGGATGTCAGTTTAGCACAGCGGAGAACGTGACATCAGAATCATCAGCTGCCCCTCAGATTCAGGGACGTGCTTCCTCTGCCTCCCCCTACAGTGCCTATGGAAGTGCGAGACCATCCTCCAGAATCTACTGGATCCGTCATCGTGACAGATGAACGACCCGCCTTACCTGTGCGCAAGATTTTTCGTACCCCCTCAAATATTTTTGGGTTAGTGCGCCAATACTTCTCTTCGGAACCTCCATCCCATGATCCAGAAGAGTACATCACTCTTGCCGACCTCTCGCTCTTACCAGGCAGCCCTAATGTCACCGAAGGACCAACTTTAAGCAATGACTCTCAGTACCATCCCTATCCAAATCGCTCATCTTTCCAGCTTGGCGATTGGTATTGGAATCAAGGGGTCCAGAAGTCGCAAGGTGACTTCACTAAACTACTGAAGATTTTGGGCGACGACAGTTTTGATACCGCTGAAGTGACTTCTACCCATTGGAAGCAAGTCAACTGTCAACTGGGCACAAATGAGTACGATGTGGAAGATGGTGACAAATGGGTCGATGAAGATGCCAACTGGAAAAGAACTCTGATTTCTATTGAGGTTCCCTTCTGGCGCACCACTGACACGCCAGGCTCTCAATCGTACCAAGCCACCGATCTTTACCACTGTTCCCTGGTCGCTGTCATACGCGAGAAGCTCGCCAATGCTCGAGACAACAAACTTTTTCATTACGAGCCATATCAACTTCGTTGGACTCCTCCCCACCTGGATGGTGAAGTTCCCATATATGGGGATATGTACACGTCTCCTGCTTTCCTCAAGGCCCACAGTCAACTGCAAGAATTGCTGGGGGAACCAGGCTGTGACCTCCCTCAAGTAGTAGTGGGCCTGATGTTTTGGTCCGACGCGACACAACTTACTTCGTTCGGAAATGCTAAGCTTTGGCCCACGTACATGTACTTCACAAATGAGTCTAAATATCGACGGTGTAAGCTGTCCTGTAACTTGAGCAATCACATTGCTTACTTTGAGATGGTAAGCCCCCTAATATTGTGGGCTTTGATGTTTCCCTAATTCAACACTTGTAGCTCCCCAAATCATTCAAAGATTTTGCTGGCGGGGCCAGCGAGGGTGCCACTCACTGCTGTCGAGAATTATTCCAGGAGCAATGGAATATCTTATTGGATGATGAGTTTGTAGATGCTTACATGCACGGAATAGTCGTTCACTGTTGCGATGGCATCACGCGCAGATTTTATCCTCGAATTCTGACATACTCTGCTGATTACCCCGAGAAGTGCGTAATTCGTCCTTGGTTCAGTAGCGTTGATCTAACTTAACCAGAGTACTTATTGCGACAGTTAGAAATCTAGGAGGGTGCCCGTGCCATCGCTGCCTCATTCCAAAGGATCGGGTGCAGAATGTGGGAAGGCCTCAGGATAGGCAGGAATGCCAGACCCTGGCGCACAATGCTCAGAGCAGAGAGACTCTGATCAGCACTGCACATAAGTTGATTTACGAGAAAAACTATGCAGTTAGCAGCGTAGCGGTGGAAAACATCTTGAAGGCACAGTCCTGGGTACCCACCTCAGTGAGACTTAATCTCAAATTACTGACTAGCACTAATCATCCCTCAGAACGCTTTCATAGATAAGCTCGGCGAATTGGGTTTTAATATTTTTTGTGCTCTGGTGGTAGATCTTCTCCACGAGTTTGAAATCAGCATATGGAAGATGTTGTTTATCCACCTATTGCGAATCCTTTCAGCACAAGACAAGGGTTTAATAGATGAATTAGACAAGAGGTATGATATCATATTCCGTGTTGCTTTCTCCATCCAGCTGACCTCAACCTTCAGATATAGGCAAACCCTGACATTCAGTGCAGCTACCATTCGAAAGTTTTCGACTAATGCTTCCGAAATGACGCGTATGGCTGCTCGAAATTTTGAGGATCTCCTGCAGGTATGAGCCCACAGCATATTGATATCGGATAGGCTAATGATTATGTGAACAGTGTTCTATCCCTGTATTTGATGGTCTTCTCCCCGAACCTCATAACGGAACTGTGCTGAAGTTGCTATTCACTATGGCTCATTGGCATGGGCTGGCAAAGCTTCGGATGCATTCTGATTTGACTCTTGAGGTCATGGACGAAGTAACATCGGCGCTCGGGCAACAATTTCGTAAATTCAAAGCTATGGTTTGCGATGCGTATCAGACCCGGGAATTGCGTAAGGAGGCTGAAGCTCGCGCCCGACGCCTTGCGAAGAAAGCGGGGAAGCAGGCAACAGTGCAAAAAGGAAAGGGAAAACAAAGGTCTGGCCTCTCAACGCAAGGGCAGGAGGAAGAGTCGGGGAGAGTTGTTCAGAGTGTACAGCGCATGAAGACTTTTAATTTTCAAATGTATAAATTTCATGCGTTAGGAGACTACGTGTCTATGATACGTTGTTATGGCACGTCTGACTCCTATAGTACTGAACTGGTATGTCTTTATCTGTTTAGTCATTTGCTTAACTGATTGACCTCTTCAGGGAGAACTCGAACATCATTCTCCCAAAGCCAGGTATCTATGTACTGATCGCAAAACATTTGTGAAACAGCTTACTCGAATCGAACACCGTCAAGCTCGTATTTGCCGTATCGGGGACAGAACTGTTCATCGTCCCCATTTCGAAATTTCCGAGTTGGTGACACATCCTGAAGCTCATCACCACATTGGCCTGACACAAAAGTGCTATCTACACATAGGATCGTACCTGCGCAGCTACAAAGGTGATCCTGCCATCATAGTAAGTACAATGATGAACCGTCGAGAAACTTTTAACACACTCTCAGAATTTTCTTCCGAAACTGAAGAGTCATCTATTGTGTCGCATCAATACGTCGAGAGATTCTCCAGGCTACATCAATGAACACAACATCAATACCATCATCAAGGACAACCAGATGTATTGGCACAATATCGCAAGGTTTAACTACACAACCTATGATGTTCGCAGATCTCAAGATGTGATTAACCCGAGGACTTCCCATTGTAACGTCATGGTCTTCCGCTCCAACACCGACACACAGAACATGGGGCATAAATATATGTACGCGAAGGTACCAGGTATATTTCACGTGAATGTGATCTTTATCGGCACTGGCATGATCGACTACACTCCCCTTCGAATGGAGTTCTTATGGATATGCTGGTACGAGCCCATAAATCAGTGCCCTACCTGGGAGGCTTCCACTCTGGACCGACTTACCTTTCCACCCCTAGCGCATGAGCACTTGTTTGACTTCCTTGATCCTGCGGATGTCTTGAGGGGTTGTCATATCATACCGCGTTTCTCCTGCCACAAAAAACATGTGGATGGATTGGGTATATCCGCAAGTGCGGGAGATAAAGATGATTGGTCCAAGTACTTTGTTAATCAGTGAGTCCGTCTTATTGTGCTATTCATCAATTATATCAAGCCCTACATGTCAGGTTCGTGGACCGCGACATGGTTATGCGCTTCCATTTTGGACTTGGTGTTGGCCATGTTTACTCTCACCATCACGCTGCGCATACAATTCAGCAAGATGGTATGGCAGCGCAGTATCATGTCAGAGAAGCTGATGATGATGACACTGCATTTTTGGAGGATGATAAGGGCCCGCAAGATGAGGAAGACGATGACGATGATGATGATGATGATGACAATACTCAGATGAATCACCCTGATGAACAGTGGTATGGTAGTAGTCAGGAATCGCTGGTAGAACAGTTTGAAGAGATGTATGCAAGTGAAGTAGCATTAGATTACAAGAACTAGAACACATTACATTTATGCACGTAATAATGTTTGTGTCTGGGCTACTTCAGGCATCTAATGGCGTGCAACGTTGCATCAAAAGCCACTCTGGGCGTCCGATGGCGCCCAATGCTGCATCAAAGGCTACTTTGGGCATCTGATGGCGTCCAGTGCTGCGTGGATGGCTATTATGAGCATCTGATGGCGCCGAAGTCTCTCGGTTAAATCGAGTGTTCAAATTTTAACAAGGTATGTATTTGAAATTTTTTGGCAGTGCGATAGTAATTGATGCCAGGATGCATTTTGCGATGGTGCCAGTGTATGTCGCTTAGTCTAATGCCGAAATCAGAGCACCAAAGGCTATTTTACATACTTAAATGATTCTTTGCCATTGTCGCAGGTAGAATGGCTTCCTCCTCGAGCATCCCTCACAATCATCATCATATGGGCGAACCAATACTGTTCGATTCCTTTATATACGATACCCTCGGCCTCATACCTATTTCTGTGTGTTTCTTGTGACCTTTTGAGCTCAGTTCACCCAACTTACTAGGTTATTTTAGGGCAGCTTCGTCAATGTGGATGATGTCGACTTCATCGGGTATTTGGCTTTGGGACTTAAGCCGACGTTATACCCTCTATATGCAAGTACTCATATTTCTAAAGTATTAACGTGTTATTTATTTTGGACCTAGTGTCGCCCAATGCTGCATGACGATGTACGTGGTTGATTTTGTGGGAGGGCTATATACTCACTCCTTCCTAGCTGAGAACACAGATTTCTCTGTATGGTTACGTTTCAACTTCAATCGTGCATTTTTCAGCCTTCGAAACAGAACAAAGCAAGGAAGTCCCAGTATATGTTAATTTCGTAAATCAAACATCTACTGTGTCTGCCCATCCGCTGAGCAGCCTTCTAGCTTCAACCTGCGATTGAATGGTTGAACTTCCCTGCCAAATCTACGAGGATGGGCCCTGACAATCGCTTTTATGTCGTATACGACTTGGTAAGTCTGCCTTTCATTTCCATATATCTCTCGCGTGACAATACATCTTAGGTTAATTCTGTCAACTCTACCACCGTTGTTCATATCGCACACCATCCCACCGGCTATCACCCTTGGTCTGACTTCACTACTCTAGGTTCCATGTACGATTTGTGCAACAGCGGCAGCCCTGCAATCCTCCCCTCTTCCTCTACATTGTTGTCAAGCGACGTAACACAGACTCACACTTCAAACGAGGCCAAATTCATAACAGGCGCGCACCACAACCAGCATGTAACATCCGTAGCTGCAACCAGTGCTCAAACAGCCGCGTCATCATTGTCGACGATCTATTCATTGTTACGACTTGGATGGTATCTGTTGGCGATGCTCAAACAGAGCCTGTGTCGTCAACGGTCTGTGGACGTCCTTGGGCTAGCCCAAGGTTAGGGGTCGTACTTGGCGGGTCTTCGGCAAGTACGATTTAACGCCTATGTCCAAATCGGGTAGCTTATGTCACGCGGGTGCGAGACAATAAGCTATATCGGCCTAGGCTTACGACACCCGAAGGTTAATCGTAAGGATTGTCATTAATTAGAAGGACAGAAGTCCGACTAGTTAACAGGGGGCTTTGCTCATCGACGAAGTCGATGAGTAAAGGTCGAGACTATAGGCTTATCCGCGATGAGCAGATAAGAGGATAGAATATAGACTGCTGGCGAGGCAGAAAGGATCACTCTGGTGAGAGTAGGGGGTCAAGAACCAAGTAGATTCAAGTTAGGGAATATAGTACATGGTAGCGAGTTTATATAGAGGACAGGAGATGTATTAGTGGATGATAACTCGTACTACCAGGAGAGGCAATTGGTAAAGGGTAAGATCATAACAGGAAAGCACGTTCGGTCTAGGTAGAACGTGCCAGATAAGAAAGTGAGTCAAAGATCGAAATAAGAAGTGAAACACGCAAGGGCACGATCGTGCAGCTGCGGATCTAAGTCGCATGTGCTACTGCGCACCGAGTCAGAGATCAAGAAAGGAAACAGGGCAAAGGGGATGCGTCATGCATCATATCATAGGTTACCGTCCAGACGGTAAAGGCAAGGGGACTGTCCACAGGATCAGTCAGGTGGTGAAACGGAGCATGGGTATGCTTCGTCAGCGAAAGGGTCCGGCCAGATGTACTGGCTTTGCTGAAGCGACAGGTAGAGGGCGAAAGGGAATGCGAGGATGACGAGGATGACAAGGGTAAGGTCGGGGTAAGGGTATGACGCGAGGGCTGATACGAGGAGTATTAGGAGAAAAATGGTAGGGGCCCAAGCGTCTAGATGTTCTTGTAACATTCATGGGTCACATACTCGGTCGGCATGATGGACAATGCATCCACCAGCGCTCATACATCCCAGGTAGGCCCCAGATCATCCCGCACCACTTCTGCGCGACAAAAGGGAAAGGCGCCCAAAAAGGACAAGGTTAAATACGAAGGAGGGCTGAAAAGAGTGATCAAAGATGCCGATAATTGGAAAGAGGCCCTTGCGTATCTCCGGGCCCTACTACGAGTCGCAGTTTGCCTCGGCCATATCGACAATCCCTTCCTGCTCAATTCTCAACGGAGGGCAACGGCCATTGACGATGTCTGGCCTCAGGCTCTCTCGCGGGCTAATATCAGTGCTAGTGAATTGGAAGATGGTGAGGAACTCAATCCCTTTGATACCTACTGGAAATTTTGACCTCTTTCTAGTCAAATCGTCTAAAAGCAAGGACAAAATACTCAATCTTAACCAATGTCCCTGTCGACTTACTTGTACAGTATCCAACCCCGGCTACTGTGTACGAACAGCTCTGCGAGACGGCTGCTACCCTCGTTGCGGAGCACAATGACGTGGGTCACCCGGCGCTCATGGCGACCTTGTCCGATCTATGCCACATTGTGTAAGTTCATACGCAATCTGAATTCCGCACTACTAACTACTGCAAATAGTGCCACTGATGTCTATCGACTTGGCCGAAGTGACAATTAAGATCCTTACACGCAACATCTTGTTCATATGTCATTTACATCAGTCTTGTTTTACAAAGCAATGTTTGGTATCCGTTGAATTACAGACATATTTGAGGTAGTATAAGATTGACTTGCCCTCGCTGTGTATTTTTGTCTGTCAAGCATACAAGTTGCATGCAAGCAAGTCCGTAGCTCTCAAATGCAAACAGGATACATATACATTTCAGAATCAAGACACGCCAAACGACATACGAAACACTCTACGCAAACAGGATACATTTACATTCGAATTCAGAACACGCCAAACACCATGAGAATCACTCTCCACTCAAACAAACTCCAAGCCCAAGAGGAGCTTAATCTCACTCAACTCTTTCCATAGTTACTTCAAATTGTCTCTTTTTTCCTCGAGTATGAGTGTCAGTATGCATCTGTCGCGACGCGACATTGGAATGGGAGGGCGGGGAGGACATGCTGCATGCGGATGGGTCTGCGCATGCTCTTGCTCATCCTGCACGATCGTCTGCACATAGTCCCAGAGAGCCTGGTAAGTACAGCTTGCAGTTAACAATACGGAGTAACTGACGATAATCTAAGACTTACCATCGCGGACGTCGTGATCACAAATCCAGACTGTGGCGCACCTTGTTGCTGCACCTATCGCCCCACATCGTCAACCTTCACGCACTGGATGGGCATCTGTAAGGTACGTCTATCACATACGTTATTATCAACCGTGCTTCCATCTAAAGCTTGCTGAATCTGTTTCAAACGAGTTCGTCAGCCCTTTCTCCTCAACTGTCGCCAACGGCTTACCATGTTTGTGCCTACGTTATGTTGGAGTTGATCCATTGAGTTGCGAGAGAGATGTGTTCGATCGATGAGGTAAGCTGATTTAATGGTACTAGGTTCAAAGTCAGGCTTACGTAATACGAGAGTTGAAGGTGATTTCTGTTCTGCCATGTTCAAGTCATGCTTCAATGTTCTTGTCAGTATATCATCGTTCAGGCGCCTGTCACTCCTGCGATCGCTGTTGCAGTGCTCACCCCTCAAGGTAATGCTATCTCGTCCTCTTGTGCAGCTTCAGGCTGAATAGGTATGTTTTCAGCCCGTCATTGTAAATCGAGCTCTGCAGAATATACTTTAACATCCTCTTCCTCAGTTCTTCAAAATCTGAAGAGTTGTCTCGAAGCTCATTCATTTTATCGCTGCTCTATTCCGGCTCCACCCCACCGACACATGTCAGCCTTTGAATGTCATTCCACTCACACGCATTTACGGCGGGACCATCTCTGCATCAGATTGAAATCTATCATTGAACATCTTCTGCTTATATAAGGCTGAAAAGCTGATACCTATACCATCCACTCTCGCCAAGCGGTCACCTTCCCCTAGTATATCTATTTCAAGCCAGCTTGGTGCGGTGCCAAACATGGATCCCATACGCATGTTGAGAACCTGTCATGTGTTCCCACGTATGTTATCTTGTTTTAAGTTATTCTTAGGCGTCAGGATGCTCACTCCTTGTCAGCTTTCGGACATGCAATGAAGGCACCACGCGCTGTACATCTTTAACCTCCTAAAGAACCTAATCAAACCCTCTTCCGAGGGTCTCCCCCATCATCGATTTTATTTCACACTCTTGGTTGGGTGTTTTATCCCTCCAAATTCATCTACTCATGCACAGCGCATTTCCTTCTTCAGCGCCCAGAACTTGACATGGCCGATGTGCCAATGCTATACGACATGTTCTATGGCACCTCAGATGACTAGAAGGAAGAGCATGGATGGATCGTTAGGTTCCTGTCTGACGGTATGACGAGCACAGAAGATTGGAAGGTGCTTAAATGCCGACGACATACATGAGAGTTTCTTTCTAGTCTTATGCAGAGCTCGGTTCACAATCATGCGTTGCGACGCGCAGTACTGGAGGTTTGTGGCGCCAACTCTCTCATCGACCCTTGATTCGAATTATTTTACAGGTGCTCGCCAACCTGACTTCTAATGCACAGACATGGACTTCCCTTGGTTTGAAGACATCTCTCCTGTCCTAGATAGAGATGCAAGTTCAAGCAACGACACAGCAACGACACAGCAACGAGCCGCTCTTACTACAATACACCCATCGAGTCCTGAAGCAGCATCCTGTCGACCTAACATTCTTTTTTGTTCCTCAAGTCGTTCAGGCTCTTCGCTTTGACCTTGGTGTGTATTTGGAGATCATCGCGATGTTCAAAAACATCTTCACCAGCATTGGGTCGACCCTCAATCATTTCCCTTAAAGGGTTACCGCAACTTGCACTGGAGTAAGTACCTTTTGTTTTTCATTCACACTGGACCACGCTCACATACATCATAGTGCAGTGTTATTGATGTGGTGGAGAAGAGACCGTTGCGTTCCAGCGTGCTTGCCTCAATTTCCGAGTCACCCATGGCCGCATATTCTGTTGCTTGTTATATCCTGCAAATCAAGGATCATCACAATGGGAATATCGTACATATCGGTAAGTTTTACCTGCCTTAAGAGTATGGCAACGGGTATTGAACTTGATTTCAGACTTTGGATTCCTGTTTGATATAGATGAGTTGTTCATTTCACCGCCGCCGATATGCTAACTGACTTCCTTCTTTCCTTGAATCCATAATGTCTCTTGAACCCATAGCACCTTTCAGCTGGTTTGGTATCAAAGTGTGCTCCATCAAACTGGTTGCTGCCTTGCGGCTTTGCACTGTCTTGAGACAGGTCTGGGAAGATTTATATGCCAAGCATCAGCGCCGTACTGGCGATAAACCCGCGTCTGTGGAGGAGAGGTCCTTCCTAAGAGACGCATGTACCTCACTCACAATCAAGTTTGGAGGAGAGGCCATCATAGGTACTTTACTAACTCGAACCTGCGTTATACATACTGACTGCTTGCCTCCACATTCAGGCCCTCTGCTCGGTGTTCCCCCATCTTTTGTGCTCTCAGGTGTTTCCCCTGGTGTGTACATCCCTGTGATACCATCCACATCACTCAGCACCGAGCTTCCGTTGTCTATTGTTGATGGATTCACGCGCGCATTACTTCTCTGCGGTCTCACATCTTTATCACGATACCTTGAGCAATTCTCTGATTATACTTCACAGGGAGTAAAGTTTGAACCCAGCTCCTTTAAGCTAACCCCCAAATGGTCGTTTTAATAGGTGGCAAATTCTCAAGGCTTTAAACTATTTCAACATCTGACGGTGAAGGCTTTTCTCTCCATCCGACCTCATGCAGATCAGCTTATCAGCACAGTCCAGCTCATGCTAGTAACCAGCCTCCCGTCATTCAATGGTGAACTGACCATCAAGCACCTCAAAGATCGGTTTGCGCTTGGATTGAATGAGCATCAAGCTACCAAATGGATGATGGGAATCATCTGCAATGCTCATGAAAATGTGGGGAGCACAGCTTACGATGAGTTCCAATGGGTGCGTAATTCTTGCTTGCAATCATTAGACATTCTCATATGATTTGCTCAGATATAAAATGGTCAGTCAGGTGCATGCTCGATGTGATCCCTTTGGGGCCTGAGGCGTTTGCAGGTATACAATAGCAATGCATCTGCTTACAATCAAGACGTGTGGAGTAAGCTGGTCGAGGACCAACAGACTAAGGTTCGGACGGGAGCTACTTTGATATATTTGTCTCGGAAGCTTACGGGTTTGTTACAGAATCTCATCCAATCCATATTGGATACCATTGCATGTTCCTGGTGAGCGTCAGAGCAAGTTCGGCAAGGCATGGTCTAAAATAACGCTCCTGCGTCTCTCCTCCATTACCTACATGAATATGAATATGCCATGTTTATGAATTATGGAATAATTGCACCCCCCCCCCCCCCCTCCTTTTTTTTTTTTCACAACTTGATTTTTCGCATGCGCTTTTGATATACTTAGTTGTCATTAGCTCACTGTACCGCAATAAACGATTTTGAAATAGGTGATTATGTAATTTTATATGTTGGTTTGATTGCCCTGATGGACGCCATCATAGTGCGCCATTGTGTCCAAACTAGGACAAGGTCGAAGTGCACTAACACCTGCCAACCACCCGTATATTACAATGTATAAGTATTCAACCATCGTGTGAATATCCCTTGAGCCTTTTGCTCCCTTACGAACTTTCAACATGTCAAATATCACTTCAAATTTTCTTTCTATTTTCCAGTCACCTTCGAACACCCTCCTTGAAATCGGACACACTGAGAATGCCCTACAAACTTGGCTCTGGAAACAAGGAGCCGAAATTGTTAGTGTCCTTACTTCATTTGAGCATTGGTCTCTCATAACCTTACCTTCAGCTTCCAGACTCCCTACTTATTGCAGCTTCCGTGCTGTTTGGATCGGTCGACCTGCATGACCTGATATCCCTCATTGACATGAGCCTTGTGGAGATCGCGATGCAAACACAACTCCAGCAAGAAGACAGTTTGACGGTCATCCCAGTGCAAAGAGGGCAATGCTTGATGGAGGAGAGAATGTATAGAGCACAAATGGAAGTTTTGTTGTTTAGTAAAGCTATGGCCAACTTGTGCGAAACGCTGAACACTACAACTAGTTCAATTGAGTCACGTAAGTCATTCTGTTTAATGGAATGCTGTACCAAAAAAACATCAAATTTATTTCTAGCTACATCGTGTCTTGCTCCAAAGATGCTGCCCGTGGATGCTGTCTATGTGGAATCATGCCAAGCACTCAGCTCAGCCAATTTCAACTGCTTCCAAGCTACTCAATACAAATGCATGGCATGGCTTTCTGCATGCCGCAAGGCATCACTTCTGGTGTCATCGCATTTGTACCACACCACAGAAGCTGGTAACAATGCCAACCAAACTCTACATGATTCTCTACAATATCCAAATCTTCATGAAAACCTCTTTAAGGTAAGCGCTTCTTACATATGAAGGACGTGGTGTTCTGACTTATTCAGCCCGGTGATCGAATTTTTAATCTACCGGGTTATTTGAAGCATTTTGTTGATGATGTGGCATATCGTGCATACCTGAGTGCATCCGTTGCAGAGTCAAACAAGTCTTTAGCATACCCCGACAATCGCGGCAGCTTTAAAGCAGAGTCCAAAATGTTGGATGAACTCAAGATTGAGTTCCGTATCATGTACTTGAAGAAGCAGCGCGCACAGGCTGAAGTTGATATGTTTGCTGAAGCAATAGCGCGTATTGCTATTGGTGGGTATGATAAACTTTCTGCCTCGAGTTCTCTCCATTAATGTGGCCGTTTGCTCGCAGATGGCATGTCTGCTGGAAGCGCTACAACATTCACATCACATTCACCTGACCATGCCGATGATTGGTTTGACGATTGGCACTCGACCTCATCTTTGTCTTCCAGTGCCTCCGGACTTCTGTGACACTCATGTTGCTGTACCACCATTTGTACAAGTAGGTGTTTCCCTTCAAAGACGAAGTATGTTAATAACTTTTACTTCTGTGTAGGTATTTTTTTGTATGTCGCCCTTATTGTACATTATTCTTACTGCCCTTTTCATCAACTTTGCCTATCAATTAACATTTACTTCGTGGCTGCGCTTTTGATAGGTAGCACATCTGGCGTATGATATTTATATTCTAGCCACACTTACCCACTTGTTCTGAGCTTCCTCTTATCATTCACATCAGGTTGATTCTGCTCATTTGTTTCGACACCAGTTTTTTTATGGCTTTGTCAACTCATATAACTTGACACACTTATATCCAGCACCCTCATAGTTATAGGGTATAGACTCTATTGTATCCTGTCTCTCGCTATATCATTTCTTGCCTTATGGAATTACTCAGATCTTAGTGCGAACTGCATGAACCTTATTCTTAATTTTATTTTATTTATACAAGTTGAAATTTGCGGCGCTGAAATCTAGAGGTGAAATAAAATGTGAGATCTTGATGTGTCCCACTTGGCTTATATGCGACTCAAGTATGGTACTGCTTTGTAATTACTTAGCACCCACAGTAGTCCAATGTTTGTAGATGCCAGTCGCACTGGTGATGGCCAGACAGGCAAAAGCAAGCAGGCAGCTATATAGTTATTGTAGCTTCCATGTAATTTAGATAGAGTATATCTCATTATCCAAAAAATTTCACAATGCGATATAAGTCTACTGAAAATGTGATGATCAGCAGCCATTCAATTACAGCACATGGGCGGGTTGGTTATCACACTGTTAACTGCTTCCAAGGCACACATCAATGTGATAATTTTCTGGCACAGTCATATCATAAGTTAGATATGTGGGACACCATAATAATCATATTTAAAGCTGGTATCACACTGTTGAATACTTCTATGACACACATCAAGGTGACGTGTTTCTGGGATAGTCATACCATACAGAAGATATGTGAGACATAACGATAAAGCTAGTATCATAGTGTTGAATTCTTCCAAGATATGCATCAAGGTGATGTGTTTCTGGCACAGTCATACCATACGGAAGATATGTGAGACACCATGATAATAATATTTAAGGTTAAAACATATCATACAATAATTTTGTTTGATTACCAATTGTATCTGCTCATATCAACTTCCAGTTGATTTCCTGATGTTTCCGAAGCGCCGCGATTGTACCGCGATAGTACTAGTGTGAGATTTCATTGACTCTGAAGTGTTCCTAAATCATGCAAAGGACTGAGTTTCATTGTTGAGGAATTCTAGCTCTGATCATTTGACTACTACAGTAATATGTCTTATTCGAAAAGAACAAGGTAGTCGTATCTTCGAAACAGCCACGTAGCCAACAAAAGAATGATCACATTGATTTCGACACATGCAAACACCAGGACGTACATTACGTTGTACATCTCGACATTACACTTTCTGAACCCAGTTGGCCTAGTTCTCGTATGAAAGTTATTGTCCACTCCACTAGAGAGTCTGTAATAATTCAGTTCTTGGAAACACATATAAATACCCAAGATACGCAACAAATGTTACAAAGTGTTTGCAGGGTAAGAACTCATTATGGGTTTTCTGGGTTTCGGGTTTCGGGCTCAGGGATCAGCAAAGGACTTCTGGCAAACTGTTGAAGACAATCTAATATTTCCATGTGAACAATTTTGCGAAATGTGTGTTTCCACTCATTTTGTGTTTCGGACTTCGAGCCTCGGCACTTGGCATTCGGGTCTCGGGTCTCGGCACTCGGTGAATCGATAAGTCACTGATAAGTTTCGTGGTTTTGCGATGGGACCTTCGTGAAATTTGTAAGAAATACCATATGGTGTATTGTGTCCAGTGGTCTGTTGTGAGCCCCAGGCTTCGAGCTTTGGCACTTGGCACTCGGCATTTGGGCCTCGGGTCTCGGCACTCAGTGAATTGATAAGTCACTGATAAGTTTCATGATTTTGCGATGGGACCTCTGTGAAATTTGTAAGAAATACCATATGGTGTATTGTGTCCAGTGTTGTGTTTTGAGCCTCAGGTTTCGGGCATCAGCACTCAGCACTCGGCACTCAGCACTCGGCACTTGGTACTCGGTACTTGGTACTCAGTGATTCAACCATTGAGTTTTGGATTTCAGTGTTCTGGAAGTTACACTTTCATGTCAACAATTTTGCAACATTTAGTCTTCCACTTGTTTCAAGTTGCAGGTGTCAGGCCTCGGCACTTGGCACTTGGCACTTGGCACTTGGCACTTGGCACTCGGGTCTCGGCACTCAGTGAATCAATAAGTCAATGATGAATTCCAGGGTTTTAGGATCGGCACGTGGTGAATTTTGTAAGAAATTCCATATTGTGTATCGCTTCCAGCCTTGGGTTTCGTGGCTTGTGTTTCAGGCTTAGGCACTCGGCACTAGGTGATTCAATCAGTCAGTGGTAACACTTTCAGTTTTGCAGTTTGGCTCTTGGCACTCAGTGATATGTCTCAGGACATCAATATTTCACACATTCCTGTGAGTATCTAGTGTCCAGTCTGGAGCTTCCGGTCATCAGGCGTCCGGAATTTGAGACAGTGATTTCTCATTGAAAAATGGATGTTGTACCATGGGATTCAATTTTCGGGCATTGGGACTCGGCAATCCGTGCATGTCAGACAAGTGCTTTATATATCTATATAGTAAACCAATACCTTGGCCTATACGTCTATACAATATCTCCCTACCTCGGCCCACCAGTCTATATCATAAATAATTTCCTGCACTCTCAGCCCACCCATTGATATAATAAATGTTTTACCGCTCACTCGGCCCACCCGTCTGTACAATTCACAATGACCTCGGCCCACCCGTCTATATAATAAATATTCCACCGCTTTCTCGGCCCACCCATCTACAAAATTATTCCTGTATGTCGGCCCACCTGGCTATACAATGTACCTTTACATCAGCCCACCCATCTATATAATAATGATTGCCTCTCATCTCCCTTCAGCCTAGCTGTCTATAATATACATGTCCATCCTACTGTACATATTCCCCGGATGGGCCCACCCATCTCCATCATTAAAAATATTCATCCCGGCCCATCCGACATCATTGAGCATATATATAACATTGGCATAGATGGGCCCACCTGTCTCCATTGGAAATAATATTTTCCCCGGCCCATCCGTCAACATCAGGGATATACATCACATCGGCCCATAGTCTGCTGGCCCGTATAATACGGAATTTGTCACTGAAGGGGCTCAATCATCATGGTGCAGGCCTTGACTCGAACCCTGGAACATTATGATCATGGCTAATCCATCAATTTTGGCAGGTGTTACCATCAGACCTTCTAGGATCTCGACTGCTCCACACTTCTGAGTCAGCTTACCATGACAGCCTATTCAGTACATACTAATCATTCAAACTTTCATCTGGATTTGGAAGACTGCCATAGCATGCCTCGAGGGTTGACTTACTACTTGAATGCGCCACCAGGCTCGAGGCCGAAAACTTGGGGTGCTCGGTCAAGGTTCATGCACAACTCATGATGATAGTATGTAATCTGTACCACAGGTGTTGAAGCTTAAATACAGGCCACCTTCCGAGTCGATGTGTTGGAACTGTGACCTTGGTAATACACATTGCCATTCTTTCTGTACTGCTGCACACCTCAAAATGTGCAGCAGTACTATCCACAGTATAGTCTTGGTTATGCCCACAGGTGTGTCTCATGCCCTTTTTGGAAGCACCGTCCTGAACCATCACAACCTGAATCACAGCACCGAGTCAAAGTCAAAGTCAACGTCGGAGCAACAGAGAGCTTACCTTCATACATGTTGACACCTGGCAAGCAGCCAGAACCTCGAGGGCAGTGCACCATTGACTTCAGCACTATAACCATGCATCAATGGATAGTAGCACCTCTGGTGATGGGAGCACCTTTCTTTACTATCAAGCCCCACCCCACATTCCTTGTCTTCCAACTAAGGTAGGGCTACTACAAAACCAACCAACCATGACATGGTGTGACAGCTGATGAGATGGCAGCGCCAGTTCTTGGTAATCTTACTTTGATAAACACTACAATCCCTTCTAATGTCCATAAGTCACACTACATGCACTTTTTAATGAATTGGGTCCCTGTGAACTGTACTATATAGTGTGCTCCATCATCCACAGGTTTCCGATTTTCTCTCCTTCATGTTATTCTAGAGCCTTCATCAGTTTTGCAATTCTGTCACACTTTCAATACATTTGTCACGTGAGGTTGGTCGATTTTGTAGTAGCCCTACCTTACTCCCTCACCACTAGCACAACCTCCCCAAATACGATATGAGATGCTATCTGCGCAATTAACACCAATCCCATCGCCAGTACAATTTAAAGCCTTGCCTCCACCTGCCTTAGTGTTGGGGCAAGACAAAGACAAAGGCTGCGAGTTCTTGGAAGAAGTGAACAGAAGACTGGAAATGGCCTGGGATGTAGAAAATACAGAGATTTGGGAGACTTGTGTCAGATTTCCTTGAGGATTAATATGTGATCATGATAGTACAGTCTTCCTTTGGAGTGGTTTCAGTCCTCGGACCTTCAATTGGTTGATTTACGCAACTCAGGCCACCTACATAAGGAAATGCCAAGTTTAGACTAAATCACTTTTCCCCCAACGACTGGCTGTTGACTGTGACCGTGACTGGCCAAAGGGTGCCAACTGGCCCAGGGTTCTCCAATGAAGCCTCATAGTAGTAAGTATATCATCACCCTCCTCTGAGCTCCAACCTTCATCTAATAATTATATCAAGAAGACCAGAAAACAAGCCTTACACAGCTCACACCTCCAGAAAAGACCAAGTCCCCACATCTAAGTTGCAATCATCCAAATTCCCAAACACGATGAATGATGTGGCGAACTCGGTGGACACACCATCCCTCCTCGATCGGACAAACCAATCATTTGTGTTAGCCTGTTACGACTTGGATAGTATCTGTTGGCGACACTCAAACAGAGCGTGTGTTGTCAACAGTCGAGGACGTCCTTGGGCTAGCCCAAGGTTAGGGGTCTTACTTGGCGAGGCTTCGGCAAGTAAGATTTAATGCCTATGTCCAAATCAGGTAGCTTATGTCAAGCGGGGCTTGACAATAAGTGTATCTGCCAAGGCTTATGACACCCGAAGGTTAATCGTAAGATCTGCATTAATAGAAGGGCAGAAGTCTGGCTAGTTAACAGGGGCTTTGCTCATCGACAAAGTTGATGAGTAAATATCGAGACTAATGACTTATCTGCGATGTGCAGATAAGAAAGTAGAATATAGACAGCTGGCTAGGCTGAAGGAATCACTCTTGTTAGGAGTAGAAGGTCAAGAACCAAGTAGATTCAAGTTAAGGAGTAAGATACATGGTAGCGAGTTTATATAGAGGAGAGGATGCGTATTAGTGGATGATAACTCATTGTAGAAAGCTGATCTCCGCTGGGCTCAGAAGAAATCATACTACCTAGACAACAAATATTTAGGTAGATCTTAGCACGACCTATGCTGCTATACTTGCAGAGCAAGTGCGTTCGATCCTAAAGGGATCGCTAATTGGTATTAGTAGTAAAATGTGTCAGTAATGCAAATAACAAAATGTCCGATGGTGCAAAACAATGTCCAAAGGTAATCCGATGATGTCCGAAGGTACTTATCCAATGTCCGAAGCCAAAGTGCGATGTCCAAGATTTCAGACTTTCGGACTTCACAATAATGGGTCGGAAACTTTATAATGAGTGTCGAATTGTGAGCGGTATGCGCGAGTATAACGAGTGACGGAGTATGATGGTGAATGAATGGTAATATTTCGCAATGCAACTAAGAACTACAAGAATATTCTGGGTGATCCGCAGAGTTGGGAAACAGCTCCTAACTACTGGATCATGATTGCTACGCGTCACTACAGAGTATTTAAGTAAGTACGTAGAAATTCGGAAAACTACAGGCAAAGATAGTAGCAATATATTTCGGGTCTGATGTCCTATGTAATAAGACACGAGGTGCTGCGGACATGTACTAATGTGGTCCGAATGTCAGAAAACATGCACGGGAATGACTACGCACCTAGTGAGGCTAGTTCAGATGGACAGGACACGGGATGGACAAGTGTGCGCAAAGTGCGATCGGCCGATGCGATGTCCGAAGGTCCGATGCGCCAGATCCGATATGGAGTGGCTCGGACATGTGCGAAAGTGCGTCGGACATGTGTGCATATGTTTCGGGTGTTGACGTGAGTATGGAAATACGTGGTTTTGAGCCCAACGCCGTGACCATCACTACAACGGAAAATAATATAGTCTAACTGAAATAGGAACATACAAAGGGATTAGGCATGGAAGTTAGACGCGGGTCGGATCCGGACATAGATAGAAGTTGGCTGGATCCGGATATCCGGAAACGATGTGTGTGATACGTCCGGGTCCGGAACGCGGGATATGACAGATATGTTGTATACATATTTTCGGGTTTCAGACTTCGGGTTTTGGGTTTTGGGCTTCGGACATTGGGCCTCGGCACTTGGTGATTTGTGTACCGGGTGTCGAGTTTTGGGTTTTGGTACTCGACACTTGGTGATTGGTGCAGTGAGGGAAATATGGATATGTTGTATACATATTTTCGGGTTTTGGGCTTCGGACATCGGGCTTCAGGCCTCGGCACTGGGCATTCAATGATTTGTTTAATGTAAATGAAAAATGGGCATGTTGCATACCGGGTTTCAAGTTTTGGGTTTTGGCACTCGACACTCGGTGATTTGTGCAATGGCTGAAAAATGGATATGTTATATACATGTTTTCAGGTTTTGGACTTTGGGGTTCGGCCCTCAGCACTTGGTACTTGGTGATTTGTGTACTGGGTCTCGAGTTTCGGGTTTTGTCACTTGACACTCGGTGATTTGTGCAATGAATGAAAAATGGACATTTTGCACACATGTTTTTGGGTTCTGGGCTTCGGATTTTGGGTCTCAGGCTTCGGGCTTATCAGCACTCGGCACTCAGTAATTTGATAAATGGACTTTCAAGCTTCAGGCTTTGGGTGTTCAGGTGTTCATGTGTTTGGTGTCAGGAAATAGAAATTTCACACATTTTCACAAGTTTCCAGTTTCTAGTCTCAAGCTTGGGGTGTTCGGGTGTCTGGAATGGATGTTGCACAATGGGATTCGGTTTTTGGGCATCTGGGACTCGGTAATCTGTGAATGTCAGACAGATATCTCACTACCTTGGCCCACCTGTCTATATAATGAATATTCCACCACTCCCTTGGCCCATCCGTCTATACAATAAACCCTTACATCAGCCCACCCATCTATATAATACATATTCCACCGCTCCCTCAGCCCACCCGTGTACAAAATACTTCCTGTACGTCGGCCCACCCATCTATACAATAAACCATTACATCAGCCCACCCGACATCTTTGAGGATATATATAATATCAGTATAGATGGGCCCACCCGTCTCCATCGGAAATAATATCCCTCCTGGCCCATCCGTCAACATCAGGGATATACATAACATCGGCCCATAGTCTGCTGGCCCGTCTTATACAGGATATTATGTAGGTCGGGTGATCCGTATAATACGGAAATATGTCACTGTAATATGTGGATAAAGAGCGAGAGAAGGCTCTGTACCCAGGGAGAGTGCTTTTGACCAGTAAGTCTTTCTAGAGTTGTCGACACTACCTTTCACACACTTCTGTTGTTAACTTCAACTAATCTCGACCTCTATAGCTCATCCTGCCCAACATGGAATCAAACCCTTCCATGAAGAGGACCTGTGATCTGTTCACATTTACCTTCCTCAGTCAAGCAACGCAACACTATTGGTGCCCACTCTGGTTTCATATTCGATTTATTGTGCCCTTGCTATAGCCATGGGAACTCTTGACCCCACTCATAAACCAGATTATTCTATGACAGAGCTGCCTGTGCCTATTCCTCCACAGCCTGCATGGTCAGACCCACACAAGATCATTTCTTTTGACCCCTGGAGACACTGTGTGCCTCAGATTTATAGAAAAGAGGTTGATGAACTTGGCCTCGATGTTTGTCCCAGTATAGCAGTTACAAGGGCGCACATCAAACCACACCTTTCAGTCTTATAGTACTGCATAACCTGTTGATAGGACGTGTACATTGGCCTGCAAAACCAGGTTTACAGGACACCGGCCGGTGTCCGCACTGCCTGTGTAGGCCGGCCATGCAGAACCTTGCAGGCCAATGCCTATGATATCTCTGCACTGCCTGTATAGGCCAGCCATGCAGAACCTTGCAGGCCGATGCCTATGATATCTCTGCACTGCCTGTATAGGCCAGCCATGCAGAACATTGCAGGCCGATGCCTATGATATCTCTGCACTGCCTGTATAGGCCTGCCATGCAGAACCTTGCAGGCCGATGCCTAAGACAGAACATGATATCTCTGCACTGTCTGTATAGGCTGGTCATGCAGAACCCCCCCATAAGTAGAAAAGATATATTTCGCTGATGATGTAGGACCCCTGCAGGTTCATGCCTCATATAGAGAATGATATTTCTATGCTACTTATATAGGTGAAACCAGCATATCAAAGTACAGTTATCAATCAGTACTTGAGACGTGAAATTGAAAAATGAAGTACTGTGCTTTTACAACACTTTATACAAACTTGGTTGTATTTTTCCCAGCAAGTAGTATATGTCAAAATTGCATATCTGAAGTTTCAGAGAAAAATATAAAACTGTTCATGGACAACACTCAAACAGTGAAGCGACCTTTTTTTTGCTCATTATCACTCCATGAGACATGTGACTCATTAGCAAAATCATTATCAGTTGCCAAATAGCAGTTCAGAGGTATCATTGAGGCCATAAAGTGAATTGTAGATGTGTGAGATGCATTTTGTATCCTGGAGTGATAGTGTCTCATGGACCAATTGATAACTGTAGATCTGGCCAACCTTGCACCCTGAATATTTATGCAGGCTGTCCTAAATTCTCTAATATAAAATGAGATTCCATACAGGAGTAAGTCTAGCCAACCTCACTCATGTAACCAAAGATGTATCTCATATGGGATAATATAAATGGTGACTGAATAAAAAATAAAAATACAGTCTACCTACACTCCTTACATGGTGACTAGGAAGGCTGGCTTAATGGGCCAATATGTTATTCAGAGGCCAGCCGGCCATAGTCTACATACTGCACAGACTGGCTGGCCCAATGGGCCAATATGTTATCAGTGGCCCGGCCGGCCATGTTCTACATATTGCACAGACTGGCTGGCCCAATGGGCCAATATGTTATCAGTAGGCCTGGCCGGCCATGTTCTACATATTGTACAGACTGGCTGGCCCAATGGGCCAAACAGTGTTCAGTGCCGGCCACCCCTGCCCTGCATACAGCATAGGGTAGCTGGCCCACTGGGCCAATATAATATCAGTAGGGCGGCCGACCATGGCCTACATGCTGTACAGACTGGCTGGCCAATAGGCCAATAAGGTATCAGTGGGTTGGTCATTTCCTCTGTGTATACTCTGCTAACATTAATGTTACTCAAAATATACATGAAAATCGAGGTGTATATGACAACAAACTGCAAGAAGGGAATTCTAAGGTATTGTGCTAATGATAATGTCTCAGTTCTTATACTTCTTTGAAGCTACTTTGTCTCTGGCAGAGCGACGAGGAGGATTAGGAGGAGCAGATGTCTTCACCTTTTTCATGACTGAATCATCCACATCTGTTGCTGGGCGTTTACCCTTCCCTTTTCCCCCAGTGTTAGTACTGCTTGCCTTCTTTGATGTGGCAGCCCTCTCCTCAGTGATCCGAGATGCCTCAGCAACCCTCTTCTCCTCAGCAACCCTCTTCTCCTCAGCAGCCTTCTTCTCCTGAGCAACATGAGCCTCCTCAACAACCCGAGCCTCCTCAGCCACCCTCTTTTCCTCTGCCACCCTTGCCTGCTCCACCTCCCTTCTCTCTTTCACCTGCCTTTTGTTCTCCAGACGCCTCATATGAACTTCTTCCCCCACTGTCATCTGCTTCTCATTACCATCTGGAAGCATTGCGTCCACCTTCACCTGGATTCTGGTAATTGCCTCTTCAACCTTGTCCCCTACCTCTATGCCAAGGATGGAGTCGCCCAAATATTGAGGCACATCATCTCCAGCCTCATCTGCCTCATACTCCTGAGCGCAGCGACACTCACGAAGGAGGAGTCCAAGGCCCAGGACAACAATCATACCCCAACCACGGGATGTGATGATATAGTTGCCTAGTTCCTCCAAAGCCACAATGGACGCCTGAATATTATTGTGCATATTTTGAGGTAGATAGGGCTCAGACCACGTCCAAGATGCCCAGACAGGCAGATGTTGCTTTCTAGCCTTGCCCTTAGGATCTGGAGTTTGCTTTTAAAAAGAGTAAATTTAATGCTGTATCACAAAAGTAGTGAATTATACATACTGTGTTGGAAAGTTTTTGAACTGTGGCCAACAGATGACTGGTATGATGGGAGGTTAGAGAGGGATTGAAGATAACTGACTGTGTCACCACCCATATGGAATTTTGGGCAGGAATTAGAAAGAGATGGGGTGTGACGTTCCAAGTCTTCCTCTTCGTCAGAAGCAAGATTGGCTTGGGGGGTCTTCTTCAGTACCTCGTCCTCATCCGATGATACCTCGAACATATTTTCCCTTCTTCCTTGATTTTTTACTTACATCCTCCTTCTTAGCCAGTGAATCATAGAAGTCGCCTTCCTTATACCCAACAAACCGTACAATTGGTTCATTATGGTTAGCACGATATTTCCAAAGTGAAAAAATCATACTGATAGCTTCCTTCTGCAGGTGAGAAGGATCCTTGATGACGACATTCTGAGGGATACAGTCCATGTCAAGGTAATGGTCTGGATCTTGGGTAATATGACCCCAGGGGACTGCAGCCCGAGGGTTGTTTGAGATGACTGCTGTTGAATGTAAGCCGTCAGAAAAATACAGTACTTCGAAAATAGAAATGAATCACCATAAGCCTTTTGAAATACCTTTCATACAACCTTCTGCTGGTTTTTGAGCATGAGAGATTCAAAGCCTGTTGGTAGGCAAGGATAGCCCTCATCGTCTACATCCATGGTTAAATCGGGCAACTTCTCATCTTCCTCATCAGATTGGTCCTCAGGGTCTATGTCTGTCGCTAGATCATTAACAATTAAATATATTACAGTATCCAAGACTTACTGTACTCGGCTTCATTCAGCCAGTCAGCAAGTCAGTCTTGTGACTCTCCAGCCCATTTCTTGTTTTCTTTGGAAGCCAGAGTAAAAGTTTTCTTCACCGTCCTGGGCCAGGATTCCCAGCTAAACCAATCAATTATTAATAGTGATGTCAATAGGAAAACATAACACTGACATGGTTGTTCCAGGCATTTTGCCCTCCCCTCGATCATGAGCTACAAGCATCACAATATGTAAACCCATAGTTCTTCCTGCCATCTTTATGAAGTCCTCCATGATTTTCTTCTGGTGTCGGCTGCGGTATCTGTAGATACACATGAGTTTTTCCTAAATATAACAATGTAGTGTTAAAAAAATACCTGTCCTTGGTGTCGGAATGAGCACCTTCCTGGTTCCACTTTTCTGCCACAAGTCTGAGCTCCTCATGGACACCTGGTGACAGGGCATTGTACCAGGACCGGACCAGCTTTGTCCTTGTCCCCATGGACCTTAGGTCAGAGGTGTCACGGTGCTTCTTGTCATACTCCCCAATTTCTTCTTTGAACAATTTCTGAGTGACATCAAAAGTCGAGAATTCAGTCTTGAATGCTGCAGCATCAGAGGCTTATCATCCTGACGGTCTTTGACCATATCTACAGTGATGATGCCTGCACCAGATGTGAGTTTATGAGCTCCCTCAATGATTTTTTGCTCAAGATCGCGGTCCTCATTGTCCTCCAGAAAACACAAGTAATATGTACGGATAGCCTATAAAATTAGATTAATATAGACAAAGAGACTGGAAGCTCACCTTCCGAATGTTATTGCCTGGAAGCATAGTTGAAGGATCCTTAGCCTCGTTGCTTTCAAGTATAGTATCTTTGATGTTTTTGAGGATTTGTGCCCTCTCAGCAGGGTTTCCTTTAGCTGAAACATAGGAAATCTCGTGCTCATCCAAAACAGCCTTGAATACATGTGTCCAGTCAGCCATTGTATGCAAAAATCTTGAGAATGCAGGCCGGTATAAGTTTGCAGAACGTGTAACCAGTCCCAACTCACTTGACAACAGATCAACAAACCATGTCACATGATTAAAACACGGTCACATGCTAATCACATGATTCAAATCACCAGTACAAAATCATCTAAGTATACATCTGACCGACTCACAAATTTAATGACATTAGATTATATACCAAATTTCAAGATTCAGACACCAAACAGATGATTACTCAAACTCAGAACAATGATAACATGAGCAAAGTACAAAGTAAGACGGAAATTGCAGAAAAACATGTAAATCAAGCTAACTGTGTCTCCAATGGAATATCCAACCAAGTACTACCATTCTTCCTACCAGAATACAGTACTGTGGACCCTGGTGGCTGAGAGAATGTAAGACTTACATTGCAAGAGACATTTTTGCACTCAAAAATGTAAGCCTTGTCCTTGCTGCCTTTGACATAGGCGGACCTCCAAGAGTTAGCCCAACCACACCCACTGCATTGGATAGGCAGGCGGTGGCCCCAAGGACGGAACTCTGTGTTGGCCCATGCAAACCTAGAGCAAGTGAGGGCGCCCTCCTTGACAGTCAGCAGATAAATGTCAGAGTGGTGACCAAGGTCACAGGCTTGTGCGAGCATATCCTTGAATGCTAAACGAAGTGGGCACCGTCCAATGAGAACCTTCTCGGTGAACGCAATGAGCAAGTGCGAGGCGAAAGACAGTTGAAACCGAGTCGCATTGAATGTGATGGTACCAGTTAAGTTGTGTCTGTAGGAACATTAGATATGTGAGGCGTGTCAAATGAAGGCGAAAAAAACTTACCGGACAACAGCCTCTTGCAAGCCATGGAATGAGTCCAAGTTGGTGACAAGGGAGCCACAACATAGCATCCAGAGGTAAGATTCCTGGGCGCCGTCGATGATACTTTGCCAGGGTTCGAGAATTATTTCCAAGAACTGTAAAAAGAGTTACTATTAGGCCGACTATATATAAAAAAACTCACATCTGTTAATCGAAGTACTGACATAGACCTTTGGACCCTCGTCGCCATACCCAGTAAAAGGGTCTCCAAAATCGTCATCAGGTGTGAGTAGACACGCCAATGACAACTCGCTCCCAGACAAACGAGTTCTTCAAACCTTTGATTAACTGCTTGATTTTGCTGCGGTAGGGGCCAAGCTTGGCATCAGGTGCCAATGTCATAGTAGACCTCGAGATACTCGATGCCAGTCGCCAGCGTAGTAAGGTTTGAGAAAGGCGTGAGCAAACTCAAAAGGGCTACCAGCCACAGCGAAGTCGACAACGACAAGGTGAATAAAAAGGACTGGGGCTGAGGATATTTCGGCTCGGTCAGACACCTCGAGTGCACCATTGATGGGTAAGAACCTGTCCAGGACAGGAAGGAGGTTGGTGTTATAGAAACCCTGTTATCAATGAGGCGTGAACAAACAAATAAATTTTTTAAAAAAACTCACGAAGTAGGCGCTGCCTGGTTCCATCTTGATATGGCAGCAAACGCACTGGAAAGAGACGTCCTCTTGCATGACTTTGGTCTCTATGTCAGGCGGCAGCTGCAGGCAGAGTCTGCACACTACTCTGGGACACAGAGCGCACATGAAGAGAGTGTTCTCTTTGTAGCCGTCTGCACCATCCCTGCAGAGTATGCAATACTAAAAGCAAGAAAGATAAAGCAAATTAGCAACTAGAGTAGTGAGAAATGGACTGCACCTCATTGTGACTACTTCTCTTTTCCAAGTCCCCAGCCTTGGCAGCGGTCAAAGCCTTCATAAGAGACAAAGATAAAGTAAGTGAGTAAATACAAGACAGAAAGAAAAAAATAGACGCACCTTATGGTGAGCATCTCTCTTTTCAAAATCCCCACCTCCCACAGGTTTGACCTTGGAGGCAGTCAAAGCCTCCCTTCTCTGCCTATCTACTCCTCCAGAAATCTGGGTGCTTGAGAGCTTGAGGAGGACGCGTGGCACTGAGCCACCGTTGGATTTTTTGGCGGTGTTCTTGGTGCGGGCCATTGAAAGCTGAGATTGTAGTTGGTATTAGCGTAGTTGCACTTGCTACACAAAAATAGAATAAGAAAACTCACCTGAGCAAAAAGATGCAGAAGCAGAAGAGACACGTTGACAAAAGGCGCGCGTTGCGTTGGCAAAAGGTGCGTGTTGGCAAAAGGCGCGTTGACAAAAGGCGCACGTTGCGTTGGCAAAAGGCACGTGTTGGCAAAAGGTGCGTTGACAAAAGAGAAGCTGAAACAGTCAGTATCAAGTCAGTATACCACAAGCCACAGAAAGATATACTCACATGACTAAAGTAAAGAGACACATCAGGAAAAGAGATGTGTCAGGAACAGAGACGCGTCAGCAAAAGAGACGCGTGAACCAAAGAGACATGTTCACTCACATGACTAAAGAGACGCGTCAACAAAAGAGACACGCTGACAAAAGAGACAAGTCAGTAAAAGAGACGTGTTGAGAAAAGAGACGTGTTGAGAAAAGAGACGCATCAGAAAAGAGACGCGTTGAGAAAAGAGACGCGTCAGAAAAGAGACGCGTTGAGAAAAGAGACACGTGGACAGAGAGAGAAAAGACTTTGACAAAAGAAACAAGTCGAAAAACCAACCAAACATGCACGTGACTTCCACCGGCCAAGTCCGACAACCAGTGGAATTGAGCACAGGAACATTTGGTACAAACATCAGCAAATCAACAAACAATACTTCAACCATCAATCTTGTTCCCACAGTTCGTCTTTCTCAACTTCAACCATGTTTCCACTTCGTCCCATAATCATATTTATCACACCTTTCTTCCTTATCTTTTTGTACCTGTCCTTTGGCCACTTGCAGACTGCAGCTGCAAGTGTTCAAAGGCAGTGTTACATTAACTTTTTGACGCTCTCAGTAAGTAATTTTCAGTCATATGATTTGTAGTCCTGACTTGGTTTTTTTTTAATTTGACAGCTGGCGCGCTATCAAGCTTTTGATAGCGCGCCTAAAGGTCAGTCCTTTCTCTTGATTCTTTATTGACTTTGTTTTAGTTGTTCTTGGCCAACCATGTCTCCAGGGACTGGTGCCTCTAACCCTTGTTTTTTTAGTTCTTCCTGGCCAACCATGTTCCCAGGGACTGGCGCTAGCGCGCCTTAAGGTCAGTCATTTCTGTTGATTCTTGATTGACTTTGTTTTAGTTCTTCTTGGCCAACCATGTCCCCAGGGACTGGCGCCTTTAACTTTGGGATCTGAGGGATATGCTCTTGGCCAACCATGTCTTCAGGGACTGGCGCCTTTGCTTTGGGATCTGAGGGATATGCTCTTGGCCAACCATGTCCCCAGGGACTGGCGCCTTGGACTTTGGGATCAGAGGGATATGCTCTTGGCCAACCATGTCTCTAGGGACTGGCGCCTTTACTTTTGTCCAGGTTTTGCGCCTATTGACCTCTCTTTCAGATTTTCCACCTGCCTTGTTAAGCCCCCTTTTTTCTTCTTCTTCAAGTATACCCCAGCACTAACCACATTTTTTTCTCTAGCTTTCTATAACAGTTTCTTGCTTGCGCCTGTCTGGTTGAGCGAGTTTTTCTTATTTCAATCATACTCTAACACTAACCGCATTTCTTTCTCTAGCTTTCTATATCATTCTTTGATTTCACCATTGCTTGGTGATTTTTCAAACTGGTAAGCGCTGGTTTAATATTCAATATCATACTGACTTCCACTACATTAGATTATTAGTTATTACTGCGCATTTTACCTATATTTTTGTACTCTAGGGTGCAAGGCTTGGATGGAGAGGGCCCCTCCATCCTTGTCTTGCATCACTTACATTAGTTTTTTGTCTTTGTTTATTTTTGCCAACCTTGTACACTTTAGATTAGATGTGTAGCGCAAATGTATTGCCCTTTATGGGTATTTTGATGTCATGTGATTGTTAATCTTTTGCCAAAAATAAATGTCACGTGATCGTGAGAGTGCACCTTAAAGGGTAATAATGTCTAGAGATTATATCTGTCTATGGCGATTGATAGGGTGCATCATGGTCATTGTTGTGTTTTTCGCCCGGTATTCCAAAACACGAGCCTGTGCCAGTACCACCACCATTGAAACACAAGATGTTCGCATTCGCATTGCCCCTATGCTTCACTTACTGCATTATCATCCATATGTTGTTATTTACCAGGACTATCTATACCCTACAGCATCATTACCCAGAACGAAGATGAGATGCTTATTGACGAATCTAAAACAGTGAGTAGTTAATTAGCTTAAATCTTGACTTTCACCTTCATTCACTCCACCAACACCACCATAGCAAGTCATGGACTTCGTCAACCTCCAGAACGAAGATGCGATGCTTATTGACGAACATGAATCCCAAATCACTAAAATGGTGAGTAGCATATATCTTGTATTCATTTATATTTACATTTTGTTCCTTCCTTCACACTACATAGGGAGTGATGGACGACCTCAGCCTCAATGACGAAGAGGTGATCCTCATTGACCAAGACGGTTCAAACAATGTGAGTTTATTATATTATATTTTGCTGCTATATATTGACACTTTCTACACTATCATAGGATATGGATGTCGACAGCCTTGATGAGGAGGATGTGATGCTTATTGACCAAGACGGTTCAAACAATGTGAGTTTATTATATTATATCTTGCTGCTACATATTGACACTTTCTACACTATCATAGGATATGGACATCGATGAGGAGGAGGTGATGCTTATTGACTAAGACAACAACAACAATGTGAGTTTATTGTATTATATTTTGCTGCTATATGTTGACACTACACTCTCCTTCTACACGATCATAGGGAGATATGGACGTCTTCAGCTGATGTAAACAGGATGTGATTTGCGGATTTATCATTTACCAGGGAATCTGAAGATACCCCTGAATGTAAACATTGTACTACTATCATAGCTATCATACAACCACTTCTTTTTTTTTTCAAACAACATCCATAGTCATATAATGCAGTAAGTGAAGCATGGTCCCAGAATGACACTGGGCCAAGTAATGATACTGTAGGGTATAGATAGTCCTGGTAAATAAAGGCACCGCTACCGATGGTGACCAACAGTGATGAAAGTGTATATGTTAGCGGTGTCATCAAGACGGGTGAAAATGAGTGTATAAGTGGCGACAGAACAAACGCCACAATGACCACAATGCACCCTATCAGTCGCCACAACTAAACAGCTGGCAATCATCTTGTGTTTCGATGGTGGTGGTACTGGCATGGGCTCGTGTTTTGGGAATCTGGAGATACCCCTGAATGTAAACATTGTACTACTATCATAGCTATCATACATACTGTAGTAGGGTATAGATAGTCCTGGTAAATAAAGGCGCTGCTACCGATGGTGACCAACAGCGATGAAAGTGTATATGTTAGCAGTGTCATTGAGACAGGCGAAAATGAGTGTATAAGTGGCGACAGAACAAACGCCACAATGACCACTGATGCACCCTATCAGTCGCCATCACCAAACAGCCGGCAATGCGAACACGAACATCTTGTCAAATATGCCTTAATTAGCGATGATTAGCCTAATCATGTTTATTTATAGACTTATTAATTACATCACAGCTAAGTTTGAAGTCCGTGAGAACTTTGGTTCATTTTCTTTTTTACATCCACCATGGAAGAGAACCTGAAGAGCCAGGCATCTGAAGTAAGGGAAGCTCTGAGTAGCAGGATCAGCAAGATACTTGGGAATTCATCTGAAATGGGTGTCCTGAAAGATGGGCAAGTGGTAACTGAGCTGTTGCATAAAGCTAGGTATCTATGGTGGATCATCAATTTTAGCTGAATTCTAATTGATTAATCTTTTAGAATGAGAATATCAGTGCACCTCCAGATTTGCTTGGCAACGCCAGATCACACTACATTTACCAATACACCAATTTTGGAATATGAAATTGATCGGGCCGCACTAACTATTGCCCATGCAATGGTCAATCCCAGTGAGTGTCCCCAAATATTTCTAACTGTGATGAATTCTTAAGCAGAAGTATAGTCAATGTTGATTGGGATGTGGATCAATATGCTGACAGGGTCAAGTTGTCACCACCGAATCGGGATGGGTCAGCAACCTCAGAGCCAGAAAGGCTAAAGAAGTACTTCCCTGAGGCAGTGCTCAGCAAAATTTCAACTCCAGCCACCATTGTAGACAGGCATGGCAGAATTTTGATGGTTTACCTGCCCAATATTTTGTCACCTGCCCGCCTGGTATGTGTCTGGATGGGATTTTCCCTCAGGGACTGATTGATTAATTAGGAGTACGTTAACAATGCCACCTCAGGCTTACGAAATTCTCTTCTTGATACCCTGCCGCCCATTTCGGATCAAAAAAAGAGTTGGAGAGATGATGGCTTTGTGGTGCCAGAGGGAGGGGGTAAATTTGGGGCTGGTAGGATTACTGTGTCACCTGCATATTTCATGCAAAGACAAGAGGTATTGTATTTTCAGTGATGAATTTTCCCAGTTCTCACGCAGTGATTAGCGTTTGATAGATCCTCTCGTAACGTCGGAGTCTTACCACTCAAAGGAGGTCCAAAAATGGCTAGAAGCTTCAACAACATCAGAACTTCTATGGAACTCCATTACTGCAGCAGTGGCACCAGAACTTTTTGAATCAGGCACCTCTGCATTTTCCAAGGTTGTCAAGGAGGTTTGGCGGCGGAAAAATAATTCGGTTCCGGTGGATTCTTGGTCTTCTATCTTTTCAGGGTTGGAAATCATTGCCAACCGAACAACCTTCAGCCACAGAGATCCTGGTGGTTCTCCTTCGCTTTTTGATCTTCTAGTCAGTTTAGGTCGGAACCATCATGCAACTCTTTCTTTGGCCGATGTCCATGCAGAGCTAGACTATTCCCCTGGTGCAATGGTCTACATCGCTGGTAGGGTACTGGAGCACTCTGTGGGTCCTTGGATTAATGGAGAAAGAATTGTGGTTGCCCATTTTATGAAGGATGCTGTGCATGATAGAGTTAAAGTGCCAAGGCCAAGTTTTCCTTTGCAGAGGAACTTTTTAGAGTTGGTAGGGAGGAAACCCAAACCCGCGGGTCGGAGAGCCAATAAATTACAAAGATAGTTAGGTTAGGAACATGACTGTTTTGGGGTGTGTGGGCAGTGGTGGTGGTGATGGACTGCCCGGATAATGCCAATGTTCTTGTTGTTTTGTCCCCTTTGACAGACTCTCGATTTCATGAGCTCACAAATCACACCAAGGAATAGAAACAGGGTCAGAGTCCAGCCATCTTCATCTGGAACTCGCCCATCAAAGAGAAAACGGGGGGCTTATAAATATGCATATATCCCTTCAAAAACTCGGAGGGGAAAAGATTCGTGGAAAGAAGCTAATGCTTCATTTGTCTATGAGGACTCTGATAGTGAGATAGAAGTGGCTTCACCATCAAAACAAATCAGGCATCACCATATTGAAGATCATATACCGCTGGAATATAACCAAGAGGTTCATGGTGATTTTTGGTTGGGAGGGAAAAGAAAAACAAAAGTGAGTTTGTTGAATTTCGGAGTCTCAAATTTTTAAAACAAAAATCATGTGCAGGCCCAAAATGATTTCCTTCGAGATTATTTGCCTTGGCGTACTGAATATCTTTCAGTGTTATTGGAGTTAGAGCAGCTGGTCAACAATGGGAAATGCAAAGATTGTGGAGAAGGAGAGGGGTTAATCCGGTGTTTGTCTTGCTCAGGAACACATGCTTGGTGTTCTTCTTGTGTTCTTAAAGCTCATCAACACAACCCCTTCCACAACCTTCAACTCTGGAATGGCAGGTTCTACGAGACTACTACCCTGCAGGCTCAAGGGTATATAATGTATCTTGGCCATGGGGGGGAACCTTGCCCCAATCTCTCACATCAGCCAGACCCATCTCCCTGGGAAGATCTTGAATCCATGGAAGATGTGTTTGCACAGGAGGAGGGGGATACAATTAATGACATGCAGTCAGGAGTATCTAACCTGGTTATTGTACACTCTACTGGTGTTTACTCACACAGTGTATCATGGTGCCGGTGTCCTGGAGCTGAGAAGGCACATCATCTCCATCTCATGAAAGCAAGGTTATTTCCTGCCAGTATCACTCGCCCTCGATCTGCTTTCACATTTGATGTTCTGGATAACTTCCTCATAGACGCTTTGGAGTGCAAGACTTCAGCCATGAGTTTCTATCAAAAGCTCCGTCAGTTCACAAACAATGCTTTCCCTGATAAAATACCAGTGAGTAATTTTATATGATTGTGTGCCCTGCTGATAGGACAAAAAGGACCAATACCGTGAGCTTATGCGAGTGTCACGTATATGGCGGGATTTGGTCAATAGAAAAAGGTTCGGGTTTGGACATGACACGGAACGGTCTCCTGGTCCAGGGGATTTAGCCCTTTATTGCCCAGCATGTCCACAACCTGGAATCAACTTGCCAACATCTTGGAGATATGACTATGAAGAGTAAGCTGACTCATAACTATTGCAGTAGTATGTCACTCATTATTGGTCTGTGGTAGGTGGTTAGTTATGCGAAGATATGTGGTTGATGGAAATTTCACAGCACAACATATGAAAATGAAAATTCCGGAAGACGATGTTTCTCTAGCAGATGGAAAGGGATACATGGTAACAGAGGGACCTTATCAAGCTCACATCCATGATTCTGTAGAAGAGAAAGAGGCAAGTGATGATTTTGAACGATTGGTTACTCCTGACTTAATAATATTTTTGAAGAAATCCACTTGCAGCAATCATCGGGCAGTGGATGCAACAAACATCCAAAGAAGCAACCTTAGAGCTACAGGGGTTGGGGCAACAGCATGTGCTAGGCATGGATGCTTTGTTCCTCACGCAGTGGTGGACTTCCAAAAGGGAGAGCGGTCTGTGATTGTTTTGTTGTTTCAGACAATGGACTGACCCTGTAGTCAGGCACATGAACATGGACTATTCCATTTGCAACGCAGTTAAATATACACCTGAACATATTGGCAGTACGCTCATCATCTATGATGTTGCATGTCAGTGGAGTATTCACTTTGCTGAATGGGTGGACCAAAGCTATCATCTGTCCCTTCCCGAGGGGACCAAAATATTACCTGCAGTTGGCAAGTTTCATTTGAGCGCACATAAGCTTCAATGCTTTCCTAGGTTCAGCCTGAATTTTATGACCGGAGCTGGGCATATTGATGGGGAAATATTGGAGACGCTCTGGGCTCCTTTCAACAAGATTTCCCCTACTGCAAGATCCATGTCTTTGGCTCACCGAAAGGAAGTTTTGGATGACCATATGCGGGATTCCAATTGGAAGAAGCTGGTTGGCATTGGCAAGTCCAATTTATTCTGGTTTCTGTTACTTCGCCTGACATAAACTTGGCAAAAGTCAAGTCATTACTCAAAAAGTATCGTCAAGCCCTACAGGGTGTTAGTGACACTCAGGGTCCATATGAGGAATTAACCAGATCACTTGACTTGGATGATGTTCAGGAGTGGAAAAAGGCAGCTGAAAAAGCGGCTCAGGCCCATGGAGAGCTTCTTGACATCTATCAGCTTAAAATGGACAAAGGTAGGTCTTACATTGTGGATATTGATTTTGCCCTGATGGAAAATAATTTAAAGCACTCTCTATGGCTGAAATACATCTCAGATTGACTGAAAATGAACTATCTGCTAATGGTAGGACTGGGTCTGTTGCATGGTTGATTGAGGGTATAAATATAGAAAATTCTCACTAAGGTGTTTTAACTTTGGGATTGGATTGACTTAAATTGTGTTACTAGAGATGCCTTGAGATTGTCTATAAGGCAGCTGCCCCAGGATCCGACTGCCTCTCAGAGAACCACAATAGAAGAAAAAAGGCAAAAGCTCATGGCACGGATTATTAAGTTTCATGAGGCTGCAGAGGTCATGACTAATGGTATGGAATTGAAGGGAGGTAAAGGAGTGCCACTGGACAACCCTGAACTGTGCCTGGAGGAGGCTGACATATCCAATATGGAAGATCCAGAGGAAGAGGACATTTTGGACTTTGACGGTAATATTGACTCACCTGCAGAAGTCACCGAGATTTGGATGCCATCATGGGCAGCCTCTGGTCACATCATGGATGATGCTGTCTTGGCATTACGTCAAGAAGAACTCGAGCTTCGGAAGGGCCAAGCAAACGACTGCCTGGAAAAGCTTCGTCAAGCCCTGGGTGATAGATCAGTCGTCTTTCGGGAGAAAATACACTCCAACAAATCGGTCCATCACCAGGGCACTAGATCTAAAAAGGAACTTCAAACGATAACTCTCTCCATCAACAGACATGCAAGAGGCTACAGCCGGGCAAGGGCTGCAATGCTCCGCCTAGGGGCTGACTCCGATACAGTGGCAGTGTATCAACCCCTAAAGCCTCAGGACCTAGTGGTGAGCAAAGAAGTAACAGAAAAAAACAGGCATGGGCAGGGTTCAGATAAATTGGCTTGGTTTTGGAGGATCAACAATGCAGAGAACAGTCAGAAGAACGTATGGATGAACGGGTGTAAGTTTCATTGTGATCTATTTTTTATCAAGTGAATTAGCTTATATTCCCCATTTCCAGTTTATCGTGTGAATTGGTTGAAAGCTAAAGCACGGTACAACCGTTGGTCAGAAGAACTGAAATTGGTACAACATGAAATGTTTTGGACCACATCCTGGTTTCGGACACAGGAGGAGAGGTGGATAGTTCGAGCAGATGAAAGCATCAAGAATGGGAATAGGGCATATGCTGAGAGGCAGGCATCTATGTGGGCAGAATTTTCAGCTCAGGGCCTCAAGAATTTTGAAGGAAAATTACTTATAACAAGTTGATAGTTCACGAGTTGATAAGCTAATGTAATGTTGATCTTCCTGACTTGTAAAAAAAAGTGTGATGTGAGTATTCAGAATGTAAACAGATTCTGGCCTAGTAGGCCTGCCCAGCTCTGTGGTATGTGGGCCGTGGCCGGCCGCCCCATGAATGAATTTTTGCTGGGCCAGCCCCCCTTACAGTCTGCAGGAAGGGGCCAGCCGACATCATGTGGGCATCTGGCCCAGCAGGCCTGTCCATTTCTGTAGTATGTGGTATGTGGCCAGCTGGCCTAGGAATGAATTCATGCACGGCCAGCCCCCATTTGCAGCCTGCATAGAGGGGCCGGCCGGTAGGCTTTGGGCATCTGGCCCTGTGGCCTGCCCACCCCTGCAGTATGTGGAGAGTGGCCAGCTGGCCTAGGAGTAAATTCTTTCTGGGCCAGCCTCCATGTGCAACCCGCAGGCCATGGCCGGCTGATGTGCTTTGGCCATCTAGCCCAGTAGGTCTGCCCACCCCTGCAGTATGTGGAGGGTGGCTGGCCGCCCTAGAAGTAGAACTTGACTTAGTGTGGTTAGGTGTGATGATAAGGGGTACTCCATAAATGTGTTAGATAATGAGTGTATAACCCACTGGAGCTTTACTGAGTGGTTGGGTCAGAATGGGGAGGGGGTGTACTCTATACATCAATTGTAAGGGCAAAGGTGCCAGTCTCCGACTCTCCTCTGTGGTCAATTCTGTGGACAGATAAAAGACAAAAGTACTGAGCAAGTATGTCCCAAGAGTCCACAAATTGACTCTAGCACATGCAATTCTGATGGAATCCTTATGTATGTTGTATTTAGGTTCCCCCAAACATAATACACAGTGCCATATTTTTGTTTTGAAGAAAATCAAAGTAGATCTTGTCCCATGGCCAACTTATCAGTGCTGGAGGCTAGTTTTGTGGTTGACTCTAAAGGTCAGATCACCACATAAAGTTCTGGAATGCAGTATGCAGAAGTGAATGGATGTGTCATAAGCTATAAATTGAGCACACTACACACCCACTCCAATAAATATCTCTCCAAATGTACTCAAATTTGCTTCAAAATGACAACTTTAAAATCTATGAATGCTATTGTCAAATTTGTTAAGTGTCCTACTAGCTCTTGTCTCACATGTATGCCAGCAGTATGTCCCTCCATGCAGACCATAAAAGGAGGCTGACCTAGTAAGAATTCATTCCTAGGCCGGCCGGTCACTCTCCACATACTGCAGGTGTGGGCAGGCCACTGGGCCAGATGCCCAAAGCACATCGGCCGGCCATGGCCTGCGGGTCGCACATGGAGACTGGCCCAGCAAGAATTTATTCCTAGGCCGGCCAGCCACTCTCCACATACTGCAGGGGTGGGCAGGCCACTGGGCCAGATGCCCAAAGCCTGCCAGCCAGCCCCTTCCTGCAGACTACTCAGCCAGATATGAGAAGCAAACCGGCCGGCCCCTTCCCACAGGCTGCTGCTACTGTGGGCCGGCCTACTGTGCCAGCAACCAGCAGCATGCCGGCCAGTCACCCCATACAGCCTGCATGACCTAATCTGCATCACCGGCCTACACAGATACTGCAGAGATATCATTCTGTATATAGGACACCAGCCTGCCAGGGTTCTGCATGACTGGCCGATACAGGCAGTGCATGGGCCGGCTGGTGTCCTGTACACCTGGTTTTGCAGGTCAATGTACATGTCCTATCAACAGGTTATGCAGTACATATGACTGAATGGTCTGATCAAACTCAGTGAAATTGATGAGACTGCAAGGAAGGGCGAGCTGGAGGTGGACGGCAAGATTGTATTAGCCACACATCCTCTCAAAAATGTCAATGGAACAGAGAGAGTGAGGCTTATTCTGGTGTAGAGATCATGACCAGTAAAGCAGCCGTTGAGCCAGTATGGTATCTGCCTGGCATCACTGAACATTTTGGGATGTAGGTGACCGCTGCTGTCTCAATCTACTAATTTCTAATCTGTCATCAGATCCGAGAGCCTGCTTCGCCGTGCCCTGTTCAAAGACACTGGAGGAATGTATCCTGAATTGATCACCCGCCCCGATATCAAGGTCTTCCTCCCTCCTATTGGCAATTTGACAGTTGACATCTGTTTGTGTTATTATTCATCTCCAAAATTTCCACTGACCGCTTTGTCCAGTTGGAAACCCTGCCTTCCTGGCTGATGAGTCTAAGGAACTGACCTTGCGTGTACACGATGAATGTATATTTCTTCATCTGTTCTCTTGATCATATCTGAATGCTATAATTATCAGGTAATGGTTCTGATCTCTTTGGATCCGACATTTGCACCTGCAAACCTTACCTGGTCTTTGCAATCAAAGAGTGTATCTGTTGTGCCCAGAGAGGTGGAGTAGGCCTTGTAGTCTACTTCCACAAAGAGGGCAGAGTGCTAGGTGAAGTCACAAAGTAAATATTGATTCTCTTTTCATACTCCCAGGCTCACAACACCTCCTCAGGTACTTGGTCTACAATCTCCGGAAGCGTGGTGGCAACTCTGACAAGTACTTCAAGTCCATGGAGCTTATTGCTGGTGTGAAGGACATGTGATTCCAAGCTATGAGGTCATGTACAGCGCTGATACATTACAGATGGACTTGATCAAATACAGACTTGGAGAAAAACTTCTCGATCTACTTCCAGCGACTGCTCAAACGAAGTGGAGCCCACCACATCAACATACACAGTAATCTCCCACCTCTGATGTGTCTTACAACCTATTTTAGTGTCATTGAGGATGGCCTCACGTGTAGTACGCCTAGCCTGAGTACTACATGTCATAGTATTCGGGACAGTGACTCAGCTTAAAACTTTCGGATTTCTGACGTATCCTCATTAGGCATTACTCTTTATACCTCCAACATTTAGCGAGTATATATACCACGAATGTTGCCAGTTTCTTACTTTCATCTTGCCCTACAGTTCCAAGGTCCAACCACCACTTTTTGTTATCATTCGCTGCTTTTTATTTCTCCATTTTTCCTCACTTCATCTTGCTTTAGGAACATTTCTGTCTATGTCTGAGGCCCAGTTCCAGTCTCCGTCAGAGGATACTCATGTCAATCAGACACATCCTATGGCAGCCCCCATGGTTCCAGACCTCTCTATGGCAGTCCCTACATTGACAAAGGCAAGGGCCAAGCACTGTATTGCTGCACTGGAGGAAGAACTGGAAACAATGAAGCAAGAAAAAGGCACAAAGCAGAGGTTTGTGGCATACTGCCTCTGTTATATTGCCCCTTCCTCACCCATTCCTCACGGAAAGACAACCTATTACATTGCTCAAGGCAGGGCAATTTGTCACATGACTGTTCTCTATAGTAACCTGGAGGATTTGATCACTGAGAATGATCATAGGTACGAGGAAAGCTTGCGGGACAGCTTGGTGGATGCCACCCCAGAGTAAGTTGCCTTGTCCTTCCCAGACCCATTTAATTCTGTCATTCAGACAAGATCGATTGCAATGCGGTTACCTCGCACTTGCGCAGGCTATACCTTGGCTTCATTCTAAGCTCGTGGAGCTTGACATTGACAACTGTGAAGATATGTTGAAAAAGGTTCATGCTTTGAATCATTTTGTTCTGCATGCTCATAGCACTATAGCTTAAAAGAGGAGCTGACATGGCCCATGGCGATGATACTTCAACTCTCAAGGACCTCATCGTGACATGGATCAATCAAGATTTTCAGCCATCTCCTCTACTGAGGTCTGATAGCAAGCAGTTATGCGGCTTCGCACATGATGTTAGTGGAAGACTGCTCTGCCCTGCCGAATGGGACTGGAGCAATAACCAGTAAGCATTAACCTTCATGGAACCATTACATGGCACTGAGGCTAGGCAGTGTGAAGGCCGGCATCCACAACCGAACTTTGGATTACATCATGTCTGAGAACTCCTGGCTGCTGTTTGTTTATGAAAACTATTCATTCAGCCGTGGCAACCTGGAGAAAGGCCTTTTCATGTCTAAGATTTTAGTTCAGGTCAGCCTGAGTACCTGGAGTTCTAACAGTGAATATCTATTCATTATCATGCTCGAGAGGCACACTGAATAGTTGACAAAACTCAGGTAGGCAATGGTACATTACCAGTGGATCGCAAATCAAGACCAATCAATTATTGAATTAAGCATGACACGCATTAACTAGTAACTCATCATCACCCCGCAATTCCATCATCCTACTCTTCTGTCTTCAATCAACTAAGAATTCTACATATCGCAGACAAAGACCCATTAGTCACCAACTTGAATGCTGGAGAGATCTCACTATCTCTCCGCACCTCCATCATCCAATATTTCAATGGAATGCACAAATAATTGTTGTTGCCATTATTCATGTTTTCCCGAGACTAATGACAATAAGCTGACTTGCAAAGTATCTGAAATATATTCATTGTCTCAGTTCAACAATACGCTCTGTCGTTCCTCACACGTATCATAAAGTATATATATAATCATATCAGGTGTCGTCTCTGATGAATGTCCTATTGGCTCACCTGTTTTTTGATGTGCTGACATTTACCACGATTCCTCTGCCCACCAAATGAACCTATTTTGTTGCAGCTTGCACATGGATGGGTTTATGATAAAATTTTGACTTTTGTAATGCTTATCAAACAACTGAGCTGTGCTGCAATATTTTGTTTGGTATGGCAATCTAGGCAATATCCTGTCTGATATGGGAGCCTAGACCCTCAGCTTACAAATGTTTATGCACCACGTGATAATGAATATCAGCCGTCACAAGTAAGATTATCTACAACTTGCGGTGTCATACTTTGGTTGTACTCTTGCAAGCAGCATCACAAACATATAGTCGACACAGTACTTCAATGATGGAAAATATCTGGACTAGTCACAAGACTGGGTGTTATGCATGTGGTGCGATCTTTAGGCAGCATAGGCAAGTACCTATTACTTCGCAGTGAAGTGCCCTGTGTTCTAGCAAGTAAACACGTTATCACATTAAGTCTCACCTTTTACCATCACATGGCTGAATATTAATGCCAGGAATCTGCGACTAGTGGGAAGAATTGCTGCTCTTGCACTAGGCATCTTGATTTACTGATTGTCACAAGACCGAAGGACCTCGCACTATTGTCTAGTAGGGACTTTTATGTCGCCATGACACTTATAGACTTACATTTCATTTGTTGGCTTGCCTCAACTTATTCTGTTTGGAGGATAATATAAGCAGACAACAGGAAGTCGAGTGCAGGACAACTCATTTGGCTGCCATGAAAATACATCATTACTATGCAAAGCAAAATATCTACATGCAACTACCGGTGACACATTTATGGAGATTGACGTGATTGACATCAATATATAGTCTACTATGACATTTGAATATGTTCATCAGTTCACTGATGTCACCATCCACATTCCAGTGTCGTTGTCAGGTGCAGCATAAACTCGGTTGAACCAGTAAACAACAGCGCATGGATAATATACACCCCAGGAAAAAATGTGAGTACCTCACCTATTACTCCCACCTTTTCAAAAAAAAAACGGTGAAATTAGCGGGCTATAAGACCTACTACAGAGGTAGCGGGAATATAGTAAAGCAGTACAATTATAAGACTCACCCTTATATTAAGTTACTGTAGGAATCAACTCAATTCGGCACCCCCATGTGACCATGACATGCCAGGTCGATTCGACATTCTGACACTTAGGCCTGTGATGTGTGACATGCCGAAAATTTTCGACACCACAAGTCAACACCAATGTGATGACTAAGTACTTATACCTAAAATATCCCTAATTAGGCAGTAGCATGATAAGTACGAAATGTTAAGTTTTCATTTTGGAGGTTAAGGACAACAACATTGTATTGAAATGAATGCCGTTAAAGCCCCTCAACAAATGCACCCCCTCCTTGAGCTACCAAAGGATGCTCTCATTCAGATTCTCCCCCAAGGAAACCTTTCTGTGCTTGAATTCTTATCCTTCAAATTTCCTGCCATCATGGTCACTACAAAACACACAAGTGTTGAAGCATTCTTCGCTAAAGATCAGCCATCCCTTTGTGATGCCCAGCTCATACAAGACTTTCCTATCCCCTCGACACAAACACTTGACATGCTTTCCAAATCAAGTTCCGAGGCCATAGAGAATGGAGCATTGTCACTGGAGTGTGCACATCTTACAGGTGATGCCACCAAGACACAACTCCCACTCTGCGTTCTCACCCACTGGTGTGAAGTTGCAATGCTTCGTCACAAACATCTTGAACTGTGGATCCGGGCTGAGCAAAACATGGAAAGGAGGACTCAGCTATGGAAAAACGAGGAGGGTGAAGAAGCTCGAAGATTGGTTACAAAGATTTATAATGCTCCTACCTGCATTTCGTGGTCTGGGAAACTCAGTGGTTTTGCTGTTGCAGAGCCTGTTGTCGAGCTAAAAGCATAAACCTGGATGAAAACATGTACATGAAAAGCAGGATGCAGTCTACCATAACTGGCATGGCCTATTTACATGGGCTCAAATTGACAACACCGCTAAACATCCATCAGTTATGTGGAGCTCATCACGTCTTGTTCAATACTTACAGCAAAAAGACCCCATAATTTTCAAAGGCCTCACACAATCAACAGTTGAGGGCTGGATTGACCATGTGGAAAAACCAAGATGGACAGATGCTGTGATCCGCATGGCGGAGCTAGGTAATCATCAGGGCCACTCAAAAGGAAGTACAAAGGGGATTTTGGTATGTTGACTTACTAAGTATCTCATCATCAACCCACCCTAATGTGATTTAGACAAATTACCCAGCTGTTGAGCAAGTCATTGTCAAGTGTCTAGAAGGACTTCGAGAAGGCGGAGCAGTCCTTACCCTCATGACAATTCAAGCAATCATAATTGCTGTCATCTTGGATTTGGCACCACAGATCTTTTATCAGCAAGCTAAAGATGAATCCCGATTTCAGTGCTCTGACACATTTGTTCAATGCTGGCTACATTATACCTTACATTGGTCAGAGAGACATGCAACTCGAGCTGCGCAAAAGATACCTGAAAATTGGGAGGAACTATGTGAGCACTCATTCCTTCAATTAGCATACACCATCAAAGAGGAAGATATCCCCTCCGCACTCTACATTAATTCTGACCAAACCCAGGTCATGTATGCGCAGGGCTGCCAACTCACATGGGCGAAAACTGGAGCAAAGCAAATTTCAACTGTTGGCAATGATGAGAAACGAGCATTTACTGTCATTGTTTCCATTTCGAACAATGGCACAATGCTGCCCCTGCAAGCCATCTATCAGGGTTACTCAAAAGGATCCCGCCCAAGCCAGTCCGCACCAAACTATGAAAACTGTATCAGCGCTGGATTTCAATTCGAACATTTGAATACAAAAAACTTACTGGTCCATGCACACGACCATGCACTCCCTCATTGACAACATCATTGCTCCTTACTTCGAGCAGAAGAAGCAAGAGCTAGGTCTACTGCAGATGCAGAAGACGATCTGGCAAATTGATGTCTGGTCCATGCACAGGTCAGAAGAGTTTCAGTCATGGATGAAGATACACCACCCAACTATTGGGTTGCACTACGTACCTGGAGGTTGCACTGGCTTGTTTCAGCCATGTGATGTTGGGATCCAGCAAGTCTTCAAACACTCCTTGAAGTGCTCGTATCATAGCGATGTAGTCTTGAAAATGTCGAATCAGCTTGCGCGTGAGGAGACGCACCTTTTTGTTGACAAGTGGATTGGAGTTCTTCGTGATCGCAGTGTGACATGGCTGTGGGATGCGTTCAACACTGTAAACACACCGGACATCGTGAAAAAGGTAAGTAAAAAAAACTCACCATTACATCGAGGCACTAAAATTTTGTTTTAGTCATTTGAGATGTGTCGTGTGCATGGCTTTAACCTCTCGTACCAAAGTCTCACCAGTTATACTGCACGAGAGAAGTTGAGGAATTTGAAAAATGATGAACCAGAGTTTTGGGACGAACTCACCAGGCAAACAGGAGAGAAGGTGAAAGATGGTGATGGCATAGAGGTCCTCAGCGATGAGGCAGAGCTCAATGGTCTCCCAGAGGGTGATGATACTGATGTGCCGTGTTTGTCTGTTATTGCAGACATGTTGAGTGGCAACATTCATACAGGATCCAAGAGACCAGTTGGAGTGCTTACCTCCAAAGGAGAAGTCGAGACCATGGACTTTGTAGTGGACATGGTACCTGAGGCGGAGGGTAATGATTGCAAGAACCTGGAAGATGCAATGGAATTAGGGTGGGGGAGAAGGAAGAAAAAAGTGAATTCTTTGTACTCACACTCATTCTTGCACCATCATGATGATGAGAGCTAGATTTTATTAGTAGCCAAAACATTTTGTGCGTCGCACACTTACAGCGCAAATCCGGAGTCATGTACCACGCGCAAATCTGGGGTCGCCATGGAAGCAAAATTCGATGTTTGTTGTGACGTCAAATGGTTTCGACACATGCTGATGTTACGTGTGACAACTACCTAATTTCGACACCGACACCCACCTGACCTTCCCAATAGGTAAGCCTTACTATGCTGAGCGATCACATGTATGGTTCAGTATTATTTGGCTTAGTTGCAATAATCCTCAACACCGGCATTAAATCATGTACTAAATCATCTAATACCTTCAGGTATTCTACAGTAGGCAGCTCGGCAACAACGCCTTCGGCAGCAAAGGTGCACATTTCCCTGTAGCGGGGTTCTCACACCCCTTGCTCTTGCTCACCGTCATTGCCAGTGCCCTCCCATCCTCACTGTCCTAGGCTCGGCAAAGGTGCACATTTCCCCCATAGCAGGGTTCTCACACCCCTTGCTCTTGCTCACCGTCATTGTCAGTGCCCTCCCGTCCTCACTGTCCTGGGGCTTCCATCTCGGCCTTCTCAGCCTCTCTGGACACCATCCCCGACCTCTTCTTGCGCTGCTGCCATCACCATCCTGTGCTCCCAGCCTCTGGCACGTCATTGTCAGTGCCCTCACTGTCCTGTGGTTGGCAAAGGTGCGCATTTCCCTGTAGCTGGGTTCTCACACCCCTTGCTCCTGCTCATTGTCATTGTCAGTGCCCTCCCATCCTCCTCATTGTCCTGGGGCCCCCATCTCGGCCTTCTCAGCCACCTCTTCCTTCCAGCGTCCCCCAATGTTGTCAACGGTGCTCTCTTAGCCCGTTTTACTCCTGTGTCAAGCAGGATCTCTCGGACTTTGTTCATTCTCATTGGTTGCCGTTCTTTGTACAATGAGTCTACATACAATTAATGTGTTTTGTTCTTACTTGATATCAATCTAATTAAATTCATTGCCGCTTTATTTGATTGACCAACAGTAAGAATATAGCCCATATTTGACAAGCAAGGTAACTAAAATCTATTCAAAGTTTATGAAGTCTAGCATACCTGAGATACCATCAAAATTAAATTCGGACCTCATGTCAACAGATGTACCAGCGCCAGGACTATTTGCAGGCAAGAAGTCCATGCCAAACATATCACCATTGAAGAACGACGAAGTGGGAGGAGTGGATGACGTGAGCTCGGGGGTGCCAGCAGGCTTATGCTTGCAGGAGGCTGTATTGTCAGGGATGTCTGACTCGTCATCACTTATAACGGTTTGGGCGCTCTTATATGTCTTCCTGCAGTGACTAGAGTGGTTCGAAGGCTGATCGCATTTCTTTCCCTTGTCAGAGCGAGTCTGGCAGTGTTTTTCAATGACCTGGCCGCTGCTAACCTTCTCACGGTGTTCTTGACAAAGTTTCTCATACTTGTCTTCGTCCAGATGCTTCCAATGGATTTCTCCAGTCTCCCATTTGTCCAAAAGCATCTCCAAATCAGGTAGGGCGCTGGATACTGTGCTAAGGTTGACAAAAGGTATGTTTTCAGGCCAACCTTTGATGACGACAAGGTAGCGCTGGACAATATTCCGCCAGTAGTGTGCCTAGTGCATCCGTGCTTTCGGATCATGTGTGATTGCCTCTAGAAAAATTGCCGTCATCAGTAACATAAAAAAACACTTCAAATGTAGAGTATTTATGAAGTGTCTTGTTGATTTCCTGGCAAATTGCGCTCCGAATATCTGATGTGCATTTTTGGTGGTTCCTCGCAGCACCTAATAGATGCAGTCAGTGGAAAGCAAGTTTTTGAAAAAACGATCCTCACCTTTCATCCCCTGGACAGCAAACCCCTCCATCTTACTCACAAGGTCCTGGTCATCAATATTTATCACCAAGCCCATGAACTCATGGACACCTTCAGTTGCAAAAGCGATACCACAGAGGGGGAGATCCATAGAGCCACGTGTGGTGTAGAGGATACTCTCGGCACCTGTACGTGTCCGTAAGTTCTTGAGCTAGTAGATGTGTCAATAAGTAGCACAACAACAGATATATAATGACTTACCTCATTCTCGACAGCCTTGAGTGTCTGCGTTACATCGTTGACTTTTGATTTTGTCGAGATACAGATGCCAGTAGTCTTCGTCTCCTTGTGTTCACGGTACTCCTGCAAAAGCTGTGCCTTCTCATCGTCTGTGAGGTTGTGATATTCATCATGGTTCTCATCCCTAATGAGATCTTGCAATACAGCCTTTCCTGTGGCCCCTTAGTGCATTGTCAGTTTGTGCATGCTAAGGACAAAGATGTTGTTACTTACCATTTTCCTTGTCTTCATGACGCTTCTTCCAGCAGAACGTGTTCCATGCGCTCAACTTAGAGTGTTGGTAGTGTAACATCCCACAGCCCATGCATAAGTCGTTCTGGACACGACGGAAACTCTTATGGTGCGAGGACGCAATGGTCTTCATAGTCTCATTGAGCTCATCCCAAGCATTGTGAAGAGCTACCCTAAACTGATGGGATTTATTGTGATGTTGGGCAGTTATGGCTGCACGAGCCTCCTTGCTGAGGGTCACCTTTGGACGGCGAGAGGGTTGGGCTTGGACCCGTCTGCGACTGTTCGTCACCATGAAGCTGTGTGAAACCATTGGTGCCACAAAATTCACACTGTTGGTGAACAGATTTTATAAGTCAACAGTGTGAACACAATTTACGATACCAAAATGACAAATGGAAGCAAAAAAACAGCAGGTGATCTATGAGAAGAACAGATAAAATAGATCAATTGCACACAAAAAACTTAGGCTGCCAACCACCCTGAAAATGAGTGTAAGTAACGAGAGAGGCGGCTGTGAATGACCATATCATCAGCAAACTAAAATGCAATGAAGGAGACTAACTAAACCTGTTGATGCACTCCCTGGAGGTCCACAAGGAGGGCTCTAGCTAAATTTGAAGCCTGTTCATACATTAGATCCCATTTTGGGAATCAAAGCACTGCTTCCCAATGGCTGCTGCGAACGGATCCAATGAGTGCATGAAGCCTAAGAAGCATCGTATCGTCCATTTTGAAACGATCAAGTATGGCATCTGTATGTGGGCTGAGGCTAATTAGTGGTGGTGTAAAGGATGCTGGTGCTCACATCTCTTGTATCTAGGTTCTGGGAACCATCAAACCCTTAGTGAAAAATGTGTTAGCAGGTCGACATTGTTGGATCTTGTTAGGTGGTGTGTCGGAGTCCAAAAGTGCCATAGATCTACCCTCCCAAACAGCAGAGGAGGTTGCTGTGTTGGACTGGGCATTAGCTTGAAGATCATGCTGAAACTGCTGAGGAGGATGCGCTGAACAACGAATGTGGGAACCTGTAGCAGCCATAGATACCGGCAAATGCGGGACTGCAGATGGATTGACCTGACTTTCTGGGTCTTGTAGGAACAAAAATGCAAATCAATTTTAGATCGTCATGAGAGAAAAGGAAGGTGCTGACTTACAGTGGTGAGGAGGGACAACACCCTCAATGTGGCAGCGCTCTGTGAAGTGCCGTAAATGTGGGACTGCAAACTCTTCCTCAAAAGCCTGCACCATGACAGATATATCTCCTCCAATGCGGTCAGGAGATTCACATAATTCACGCGGTGTGATATAGAGATCAAGAGAGAGATGCTCGGGTGAAAGAGTTGGTGTAGCTTCAGAGCCAGGACAACGAATAACAAGAGAGATCCTACCATCAAGACGGTCTTGCATTGCAACCTATTGTTCCCCATCCCATTAGTATCCTGCCAGATAGATAGGACTAGTTGTACTCACTGCATCAAAGAGGTCCTGCAATGCTGCCTCAACAAATTCCTTGTGCATCATAAACTTCTCATCCAAAGTTGTGTATGAGTTGAAAGCAATATATGAAGGATGAAGACCAGCGGGTTTCCTGGTATGAAAATGAGTGCCATCAAGGTGAGCATCATGTCTGAGCAGTGCGCGCACAGCCGCCTGGTGTTCGGTCTCGGTAAATTCCTGAGCAAACGTGTTTGAGTCCAAGGCAGCAATGCTGGCCAGCGAAAACCGAGGTCGGTTTGTGCTGGGCACATCATTTGTGATGGCAGGCAACATCCGAGATATAGGCTGTGGTGTACCACGGAGTCATGAGGGTGCTGATTTGACTTTCAAAGGGGAGAATATGATCGAGTCCATAGTAGATGTTGGATGTACCAAGGAGTACTGAAAGCGATTAGTGAACTGGCACTCCAATTAAGTAGTATGGTGCTTACCAGTTAATGCACTGGCAAGTCCACCACATTTTGAGCAGTTGCGCAAGGATTGGCTTCGATAGACAGTAATAAAAAATGTTCACATCCAGTGTATTCACTGTACTAGTAGTGCTTGCTGTTGGCAGTCCGACCAGTGAAGTCAATTGTACATGTGCACTTCTGAATGATCTACTATTACAAACTCAGTACTTACTAAGTACTCACTCCTGATCAACAGATGGCACCAGCATAACCAACCAATCACAACCCAACAATTCATCAGATCTACCACCTAATTTCATCCTCTATGATGTGGCCAACCACAACCCAATTTATCAGATCTACCACCTAATTTCATCCTCTGCGATACCGCCAACCACAACCCAATTTATCAGATCTACCACCTAATTTCATGTGTCTTTGCCTGCATGCTCACCTCTGATCCTCGTTCTCACTGGACCGCTTTGTAGATTAATTTAATAAAACATATGATTATTCAGAACATGAGGATAAGTGCTGTAAATAAATACTAGTCTCCAACTGAGAGTAGATAGCTAGCAAAGTCATCCGTCATTTGCACTTGATCTGTTACGACTTGGATGGTATCTGTTGGCGACGCTCAAACAGAGCTTGTGTCGTCAATGGTCTGTGGACGCCCTTGGGCTAGCCCAAGGTTAGGGGTCGTACTTGGCAGGTCTTCGGCAAGTACGATTTAACGCCTATGTCCAAATCGGGTAGCTTATGTCACGCGGGTGCGAGACGATAAGCTATATCGGCCTAGGCTTACGACACCCGAAGGTTAATCGTAAGGATCGTCGTTAATTAGAAGGACAGAAGTCCGACTAGTTAACAGGGGCTTTGCTCGTCGACGAAGTCGATGAGTAAAGATTGAGACTATAGGCTTATCTGCGATGAGCAGATAAGAAGATAGAATATAGACTGCTGGCGAGGCAGAAAGGATCACTCTGGTGAGAGTAGGAGGTCAAGAACCAAGTAGATTCAAGTTAGGGAATATAGTACATGGTAGCAAGTTTATATAGAGGACAGGAGACGTATTAGTGGATGATACTCGTACTACCGGGAGAGGCAATTGATAAAGGGTAAAACCATAACAGGAAGGCACGTTCGGTCTGGGTAGAACGTGCTAGATAAGAAAGTGAGTCAAGGATCGGACTAAGAAGTGAAACGCGCAGGGGCATGATCGTGCAGCTGCAGATCTAAGTATAAGTCGCATGTGCGACTGCGCACCGAGTCAGAGATCAAGAAAGGGAACAGGGTAAAGGTGATGCGTCGTGCATCATGTCATAGGTTACCGTCCAGACGGTAAGGGCAAGGGGACTGTCCGCAGGATCAGTCAGGTGGTGAAACGGAGCATGGGTATGCTTCGTCAGCGAAAGGATCCGGCCAAATGTACTGGCTTTGCTGAAGCGACAGGTAGAGGGCGAAAGGGAATGCGAGGATGACGAGGATGACAAGGGTAAGGTCGGGGTAAGGGTATGACGCGAGGGCTGATACGAGGAGGATTAGGAGAAAAATAGTAGGGGCCCAAGCGTCTAGATGTTCTTGTAACATGATCCTCGTCCTCGAGAACATTACTGGTTGATTCAAAAGAGATAATATTAGTTAAGTCAAGTCCCTCAGCACGCTCTCCATCAATACTGGTTACAGAAACACCTGTAAATCATCAATTAGTGAAGTAGAACAACAAAGTCAATGAAGTCCACACAGACCAGCATTTGGCGATGAAACTGTTACCTCTGGGTGACCATTCAGCGACACTGACAGATTTGCCACTCGGATACCAATACCACGTCTGCCCGAAAATGCAGGCTGTGACTCAATTCGATCTAGTCGGTAAAGATGGACAGCATTGACAGCAGCGCGTGCCTGCCACCTCCTTCTCAACTCCACAGCAAGCGGGGAATTTGTGATGAGGAGTTGGTCAATCATTGCAATGGTCTTGGTTTTTTCATCATGTATTGCCGTGCGCAGACGATGGACTTCTATATTCAGATGCTGTATTTCTTTGCGAGCATGTTGGAGCTTGAAGTATTTAACTGTAGCTTCCTGATGAGCGGGTGTGGTCCAGTCAGCGTCTCGAATGTCAGTACGTGAGTGACGCAATAGATCAAATTCACCAAGGAAGCTATATTCGACAATATCCTTCCATGCCAGTTTTGGCCTAGGTGGGACCAGAGCAGCAGCCTGAGTGTTGTAATGATTGATAGTGTTCCGAATAGCATCTGAACGTCATTGAAGGGCTTTGGTAATCTGTTGACGTAACTTGTAACCTAAACAAGCTACAATTTAATCCTAAAACAAAACGAACACGACTCACTTACCTGTCCCTGATAACGAAAGTTTGGACAGTTCAAACAGGCACATGACTACCAGGTGTTCAAGTTCATCAAGCGCTGAACGATACCTCAGAAGCAAGGCTTCTTCTTGAAACTGACTTGTAATGTTCACCTCCAATTTCCCAGTGTTTGTCAATGCCAAGTTGAACCTCTAAGTATCCAGCTAACTGTTCCGTGTTTTGAAGTTTTGAATATGCCGTATCGACATGGACCCGAGCTTGATTGAGAGCAAGGTGCATATGACTCAGGCTGCCAACATGAATTTCAACTAGTGATTGATTAGCTACTTCTCAGGCTTGGTTCCATTCCAACCTCGGTCAAACTTAATAAATAAATTTGCTAGTGCGAAACATCAGAACTCACTGGCACTCAGCAAGCTCGTCAAGTACATTGATGTATCAGATACTGACAAGATCCTTGACCGGTGCTTGTTTCAACCCATCAATATATTCACGTTCTTGCACATGAAAACGAATAAAGTCAGCATCAGAAAGATTAAGGGTTTCACGGATGACTGAAAGTTCTGCTGTGAGGGTTCGGATATCTGCCAGGGCCTCCTGATAATGATTCCATATAAAAACACCTGGACAAGGGTGTCATAAGCGGTCATCGAGTAGATATTTATAAAATGTACTTAATGCTGTATACTTATCCTCATCCCAAAATGTAAAATGTTGCTCGATTGATTGATGTCAGTGAAAAGTTGTAGTGTGCCGAGTGCTTCGTGCAAGGTCATTTGATGAAGAAAGAATGTGTTCGCATCCTTCGCCCTCTGTGTGTCCAGTGCCTTCGATATACATAGGATGCCAATCTATCTGGCACCTTCAATTATGTGCATGGCCGTGAAACGCTCCTACCATCATCCAGAAATTGAGGGCGGAAGCACGTGGTCCCAAAGTACTGTTCCCTAGCGTCTTAGCAAATGCACAACCAATGTCATACACACAACCTCCATTTTTGCCATAAACCATTAGCAGTTGATCAACAACCGCCAATGGATATTTCGCACTAACAATGATCAGCAAATATAAATTGAATGGAAGATAAAATAGCTTACAGTTCACCGCTCTTAACCATATCGCAGGCAAGAAGGATAAACCGGTGTCGACATGCAGCAATAAATATCCCCGACTCATCAAACACTGAAAACATCCTTTTACATTGTTCTGGACCGGCATTTCGCCACCGGTCAACACAAGTAAATGATAATGGCACTGTTTCAGTTTTCTCGATGTCTTGCCAGTTTTCAGTATCTGCAGTCGAGTGCTAGTCAGGTTGAGTTGCAGCATCATATAGGGTGGCAGTGAGAAGACTTACAGTTTGTCCTCGCACTTCATCCTTAAACTTATCAACTCTCGAGCGGTTGAGCCAGTAGTCAGAACGGAATGTCCGTGAATCGTGTCGAGCAGTTGACGATGTCCATTGTTTTAAGCTATTGTTGCCATCCATAGTCACCAGCCACTCCAGAGCCATATTTTCTTCATCCTCTAGCTTGTAGAAGCAACATGGGCAGGAGTTCAGGAGACGCCAGTTGGGTGAGTCATGATTAAGTGCTTGGTTGATAAGGACATCGATGCGATGCAAGATTTCGAGATAAATGTCGTAAGCATCTGAAAACTGCGCATTTAAGTATGATCAATATGGAATCTAGAAGGGTTCGAAATGAGTAAACGATTATGACAGACTAAAGAGCTTACATTATGGAGATGACATAATGCCTTGCATTGCGCCTGAATGCTGAATCGGGGACAAGTTCGGTGAACCTGCCGATATACTGCGAGTGTGCGGATGGAGATGGCGACAGTGGGAAATAATGGAGAGCAGCCTAAGTAACCATGATGAATAAGTGTTTCGTTTGGATACTTGTGAGATGGATGAGGCTGCAAAGATGCGTGCTTCTGACCTGGACAATGTCAACAATAAAGCCACACAATATGCCCCAAACTTACTAAAAATATCAACCAGTTCAATATTTTTGAGAGATAGGCAGTCACCATCCAGGATGGGTTCACCTGAAGGCAGAAAGCTTGGCATACCATCGCCACCATCCTGGGTGCAATAGTCAAGGTACGTGCTGACCAGACGCTCAATTTGAACACCCCAATGTTCATTTTGAAGTCCTATATGATCAGTACGAGTGCACAAATCCACATAGTGGCTATCAACACCAACGTTGCTTTAGTATGAATCAGTAGGACAACAAGAACAACTGTGTACCATCCTGAGAGATCTGCCATCTGCTGAGCCAATCCTTCAAAAGCCTCATGCTCTCCGCCCTCGTGGCTGAAGTCATGTCCCTCCTCACCAGGTGGTGCGCTGTAAGGTATATCATCTATGTCAATGTTAGTATCAGCCATCATACTCTCAACAAGATCCCGATCTTCGCTAGTCATTTCTACAAACACAATTCAGGAGAATGTAAGAGTTAGACATAGGCCTCGCACCCTGGACATGTGATCGGCGCTTTGCATCAGTTGCATTCCTTCGCTGTTGCTGTTTTCCTGCTGTGAGTACCTCAGAAGCTCGAGTAGAGCGCTGGAATCCATGTGAGATTATAGCCTTTGAGAGCCCTGTAATTTTCCTGGAAGATCCATGCGCCATAACAGCCCAGAAGAGCAGCAGGTACAATGTTGGGGGAACCAGAGAGATGCTACAGAGGAATATGCTGCCGTGGACAATGAAAAACAGAGGATGTAGATGGCTGAGAAGATGCCAGAGGCTGGGAGCGCAGGATGGCGATGGCAGCAGCACAAGAAGAGGTCGGGGATGGTGTCCAGAGAGGCTGAGAAGGCCGAGATGGAAGCCCCAGGACAGTGAGGACGGGAGGGTACTGACAATGACAGTGAGCAAGAGCAAGGGGTGTGAGAACCCCGCTATGGGGGAAATGTGCACCTTTGCTGAGCCTAGGACAGTGAGGATGGGAGGGCACTGGTAATGACGGTGAGCAAGAGCAAGGGGTGTGAGAACCCCACTACGGGGAAATGCACACCTTTGCTGCTGAAGGCATTGTTGCCGAGCCGCCTACTGTAGAATACCTGAAGGTATTAGATGATTTAGTACATGATTTAATGCCGGTGTTGAGGATTATTGCAACTAAGCCAAATAATACTGAACCATACACGTGATCGCTCAGCATAGTAAGGCTTACCTATTGGGAAGGTCAGGTGCCGACACCACCAACTGTGATGTGTGACCGTCGAATTGAATTGATTGCTACAGTATTTGTGAGGACCGGGGGTCCAGACCAGACAGGAAATAACAAAAATTCAAATGTCGATTGCAAATTGAAGTTTCAAAATGAATTGACGGTTTGCCACATAAAGGCTCTTACATAATCCAGTACCTGGTTCACTCTTCTGGGAGAACGAGACTCTGACGCATGCGGCTGCCGCACTGTCGTCGATCAACTCACTAGTAAATTGCGCGTCAGTGTCAATGGTCATACTCCACCGATGTGAAAGCTCACGGTGCACCACCCCCCAAAGGTCTGCCATGCAGGTGAGTCATGTTATCAGGTCCAGGACAATGCTGATACTCACGCAAATGCCCCAAGTGCACGACCTAGATGTGCAGTCTGAGTTTCCCTTGCAATAGTCGGGACAACTGAGATCGTCGGTGGCACTTTCATCACTATTAATAGTGGGGATGGCAAAGCTTGATGATACTAAGCCAGCAATGATGGCGAGGATAATCGCAGAGGAGAAATGCATCGTTTGCGACTTGTGTATGTAGGATCAGGTGATTCTGAAGGCGATAGTAGGAAAACGACTGGCTTTTATATTGTTCTCTGCACTTACTGTTGCGTGGCTGGCAGAACCTTTCCGGCAGAATGTGGCAGAAATCCCTCACATGTCAGGTTCTAGGCTAGGTGCTATGTTGCGTAGATGGCAGAACCCTTCCGGCAGAATGTGAGCATCACCAAAATTGCGCAAGTGAGAGATTACCTGCCAGTAGTGTGGCTGAACGCAAGTCCGCGTGATACAGTTGATATGCTCATAACGCATACCGTTGGGGCGGCAAAAAATTGATGCATTATAACCCTCAGGCAGCACTTCTCGGTGCCTATATAGGGTCTAAGAGACCCTGTTTCTATGTTATGGGAAACTGGTCTCTGAGACTCACCCTCGCCCCATCTATTAATAACATACACTCCTAGCCCACCTCGCGACCCTCCGAACGACCCTCCAGCTCTACCCTCCTAGAACCTCCCATATCAGTCGTGATACCTCTCGCGCCTCTAGAATATCCAGAAACCCTCTCACGACACCTCTCGCGGACCTCTAGAAATATGTTTAATATCTCCGACGCGGCCACAAAACATAAATTGTGCCAAGACGCTATGGCCTCAAAAGAAGGTTTTGACATATGCTCCGCCTCAGTGAACAACGACTTCGATGACTTAGACATACTCGCCTCTGGCCTATTACAAAAGATATTCAATATACAAATATCCTTTCGCCTGTAACGCTCTTCGGGGAAATTTACACGCTCTAAATCATTGCAGATGCTCTGCGCAATAATCCACAGTTGACCACCTGATATTGCACAAACATCCGCAGACGTCAACACGTCCAATAAGTAAGCGACTAAATCAGAAGACGAACTAAAACCTGCAGCAATCTCACAGCAAGCAGTATAATCATGATGCTTAAAACGGGCATGCGAAGCGACGCACTGTCCATGAAGTAGGTGTCTCAATAGTAAGTTACGTAGCTCGGTCAACGAACAAGACTTGTCGAATTCTAGACCGTGCAAAAGACACGCCCTTTTGAGCAGTGCAACTTCAGGCGAAAAAGGATGCCCGAAGAAAACGACCCCAAAAAACATCATTGAGAATAGACTCAGAGCGTTGACGAGAAGACAAAACTGCCCCGCCGAGGGACGTTGACTGAAATGAATAAAACATATCAGATCGAACAGACTGTATATGGTCGGAGTCACGATCAAAGATATCTAATACAACGGACCAATGTCAGCAGATACACAAAAAAATGAACAAAAGAAAAGAAACAACTGGAAAAACATCACCAGGAAGTGAATAGGGGTTGACAGCGAGTGCGTCTTCAGCCCCACCAATGGCACGCGGTCGTTGTAAGAAGCTGTGAGATTTTCGGAAAACCGCGAACCTCGATCAGAATGACGGAGCAAGCGAGCGGTTGAAGAAGAAGTCGAAGACGACAGATACACGCAGACACTGACGAATCTACCGCAAAACGGTGAAATTAGCGAGCTATAAGACCCACTACAGAGGTAGCGGGAATAATACATGAGTCCTCCCACGCGGCATGTGCGGGAGTTCAAGTTCTGCCACATTTTGCCCGGGAGGTTCTGCCATCTGCCTGGCAGTGCTAGTTCTACCCACAACACTCGACGCAGCTGACGCTGTCGTCGATCAATTCACTAGTAAATCGCGCGTCAGTGTCAACGGTCATACTCCACCGATGCTGAAAGCTCACTGAGGCGCACCACCCCGTAACCTGCCATGCAGGTGAGTCATGTTATCAGGTCCAGGAAAACGCTGATACTCACGCAATGTATCCGATTGACCGAGCACTGTGCGCAGTCTGCGTCCTTCCTGCAACGGGCGGGACATCTGTCGGTGGAAAGGCTTTCACCACTATCAATAGTGGGAATGGCAGAGCTTGATGATACTAAGCTAGCAATGATGGCGAAGACAATTGCAGAGGAGAAATGCATCGTTTGCGATTCGTGTGTGTGGGATCAGGTAATTCTGAAGACTATAGTAGGAAGACGGCTGGCTTTTATATTGTCCTCTGCAATTACTGTTGAGTGGATGGCAGAACCTTTCCGGCAGAATGTGGCAGAAATTACTCACATGTCAGGTTCAGCCAGTTCAGCCAGCATAAAATATGTGGCAGAAATCCGTCGCATGTTAGGTTCTGCCAGTTCTCGGTACCAGCGTAGAATAGTTCTGCCCAGCCTCAGCACGAACCCTTAGCATCACTACTAAACCTCACATTTACTTCACCGTTTATACGACATCTACGATTTTTTTGGTAAGGAGACTCACCGTAAATACAAAGATGACTGTTGTTGAGACAAGTTCAGCAAATAAATAAGGTAAGTGACCGAGTGTTTTGCTGATGTCGAAATAAATCTGTTGGCGAGCTGTAAGGAGGTATGACGATTTTCACATCTCCTGAACATATCATAAACTCGACCCGAGATCTTCCATGAGCCTGGCTTTCATGGCGATTGTGCGCCTCGCGTGCATGTGGCCAATAATCTCGCAAGACATGATTCAAAGATGCCAAGGCCTGAGGTGTGACTGGAAAAACTGCTTGGAACAATTTTTCTCCCACAGACTTGGAAAGACCGTGATAATCAAATGCAGGACAAAATAGTACACCGTTGGCTGTGCACTGAAATCTATAGTGTTGGGCCTTTTTGCTCATTGTCACACCACACAAGGCGCTGACTCGGAAAGCAATAGTCGACACTTTCGGGGACGCTGAGCGCTGAGCTGCAATGTATTATCGACCTCAGTAACTTGAACTTCCCATATAATTCCAACGAGGTCCTTTTAAATGACCGTACTAGCCTCCACAAGTCGCAAATGACAGTAACGCTGCCTTCAACGATATTTAGGAAACAAGGGCATGGTCGGGGACTCAAATGTTGGACTAAAAATCCAAGATAGATAACTAAGTAAATTATCACCACCGTGACGTTGATTTCCGCTAGAAACTAAAGGATATCACTGTTGACTAGGGCTCCTCATCTTTGTCAACTTTCACAGGACCTTTAACTACACCTGCGTATCGGAGCCGATGCTCATGTAGGCTGGGAAGGAACAGACGCCTGTGTCTGTAGGTTTGAGGTGAGGTGTGATGTGTTGACGGAGGGCTATGCACGTGGTTCAGTAGGTATTTACATCTTGTTATCAATTTTTGGACTGCTATGGCGCTGGATCTGTTCAACTACATCAGCAAACTATCCCAGGACGACAGAGTAGAACTTCGGACTGCGTCGGTCTTCTAAGTTTAGTGTACGATGGTCGTTATCGTTCGCCACAGACAAACGCAGAGTCAAAAGCACTTATAGCTGTCTCTTCCGCACTTCGGAAAATATGTTGCTCGAAGAATCTCATACACCTTTTGTGTGATATATCACCCGAGGACGTCTTGCTTCTTCAATGACATAGATGGTGTATTCAGTAGTTTCACAGTTCAGTGAAGGGATAGAAAAAGAAAATACATTTCTGGTCTCAAGAGCACATCGGACATGGTAAATACTGGCGAGAATTGGGGAACAACGGCATCGATCATACAGCTAAGTGAGAGTGTGCGCAGCATCCGGTTCTTTGACGCTGAGACCTACAGCAAGTAAATGTCAGTGATGCCTGTGCTAACTCAAATCTCGTCACGCACCCATTTCTGCGTCTCGATCCATCCTATATTTGCTGAACGGTCTATCTTTAGTATTATCCAGCGATGACAACATGTCCTCTGCTCTGTCCCGGAATGACAATATGGAACGCGTAGACTTGACGCGTTCTCGGAAGATAAGGCCGATTAGAATGTTGAGACAGCCAATGGAAAAGAGGAAGAAACCAGAGACGAGGGGGAAGACTTTGACGAAGTGAGAAAGAACAGAAGCTCCTATCCTATTGATGTATAGATGAGTTGGTAAGAAAGCGATTGGAGGGACTTATCGACTTACAGACATTGCATCACTCCCAAAGCACCTAGCCCAAAGTCACTCCCGAGAACGGGGAAGTAATGATCAAAGAACGCCGCGGGCCAGCCTTGAGAAGTTGATAAGACGCATACTCACACACCGTTGCCAATATCATACCTAGTTCTGAAAGAATCAAAACGACGGTTTGTGCAATGATCAACAACCGATTCGATACTGCCCAAAACACGCCAGCTGGCTGATTAGGAACTGTACTGTTTCTAGCCAGAAAATTGAGTACATTCGCAGTGACCTTGACAAGAAAACTCACTGTATGTAGGCATAGTTGATCGTGGAGTTTGAGTTGCTCCCGCCATCGACAAATACATTGACTGCCTCGATGTCATCAACCATCACCATGATGCTGCTAGAGAAAACCAAAAGAAGAGCGATGATACTAAGAACGCGGACAGTATTGAGACTGATGAAGATATCTGACGGCCATCATCCTGTCAACTCGCAAGTACAAAGTTCCTGGATGGTAGTACTCACAAGCTTTGGGTGGTAGCATCACGGGCAATGTAAATGCAACAGACGATCAAAGTGACACTATGCCAGGAAGGAGAGTTAAATGCTACAAAAGTAAGAGATGACCAGCAACAGAGAATGTAAAAGAAAGGGAACGACAATGCCTCCACTGTCGGATGACAGCTGAAGTAGACAGAAGGACAGGGAATTTCTGAATTGATAGTCTTCCACTGGCCACCGGTCTGCTTTTCATAAAATCTGAGTCCAGGGAATCATCTGATCTGGGGAATAAAGAGCCATTGTTCTCGCAAGGGGTCATCATCGCTGTGGACACCGTGTGGGCGACTTTTCACAAGCCGCAACGTCATAAAACGGTAAAGTATAACATTTCCCAAATAGGGCGACTTAGTGACTTTCCGAAGCGCCGCGATTGTAGCGCGATAGTACTAGTGTGAGATTTCATTGACTCTGAAGTGTTCCTAAATCATGCAAAGGACTGAGTTTCATTGTTGAGGAATTCTAGCTCTGATCATTTGACTACTACAGTAATATGTCTTATTCGAAAAGAACAAGGTAGTCGTATCTTCGAAACAGCCACGTAGCCAACAAAAGAATGATC